AAATTTGGTGAGGGTGAATGGATGGAAAGAGGTGAAGAGATTTTCATGATCCACGCAAAGACAAAGACAAAGCAATTCGCATTCACCCTTTCCCCACAAAAAAATGGGATTTCTCACCAGGTAGATCGACACGGATTTTGTCTTTTTTCTTATCCATTCTTTTATTTTTGGAAACCTGACTTTCTTTTACAGATTAGGTTTGATTGACTCCGATTTTTGACACTCTGGTCAACACCAGGATTCGAACCCGCTACCTGAGAGGTTTTCAGCCGCTTTCCAGCCGCTTTCCAGCCGCTTACCAGCCGCTTTCCAGCCGCTTTCCAGCCGCTTTCCAGCCGCTTACCAATGAGCTACCAATGAGCACTTATAGCTTCAACAATGATTTGTTGCTTTCACTCATCCCCATAAACAATTGTAAATCTAAATTTTTCAAAAAATTCTTTTTGAAATCTCAATATGATATTCAAATTAGTTACTTGAAAAAGATTTGATGATGAATTTGATGATTTGATGAGGACTTTAAACTGTATGAGTAGCCCATGAGAATTGAAGTTTTTGTTTCTTTTTTATTTGTAGTTTTTGTTTCTCAAAGCTTGCTTCTCAAGCTTCTCAATCTCGATCTCGAGAAGAGATAGCATCAATTCAATAGGATCAATTCAATAGGGTCAATAGGATCAATTCGATAGGATCAATAGGATCAATTCAACTTTCGATAGGATCAATTCAACAGTCATTCCATTGGTTGAGCTTATTTCTTTTCTCAAGACACTGACTGTGAATGCTTTTTTTCCCTTCTTTTAATCAATTTTTGTTATATTGGTGGAAGGGAAGGTCAATGATTGAATTAAGGGAAATAAAGAAAGAAAGGAGAACTTTTTCTTGGAAACAAGAATATGAGAATTATTGGGGAAATGATTGGGGAAATGATTGGCAAGTTCAAGTCACTGAAAACAAAATCTTTTGTCGCTTTTATTTAGTGCATTGGAAAATGTTTTATCTATTAAATGTCAGCTACAATTTCTGTTAAATGTACAATTGAATGTATAATTGAATGTACAACTAAATGTACAATTAAATGTACAATTGAATGTATAATTAAATGTACAATTAAATGTACAATTAAATGTACAATTAAATGTACAACTAAATGTACAATTAAATGTACAATTAAATGTATAATTGAATGTACAACTAAATGTACAACTAAATGCACAATTAAATGTACAATTAAATGTACAACTAAATGTACAATTAAACGTACAATTAAATGTACAATTAAATGTCCTTCTGAAAATTTGCTTTTCATCTTTCGTAAACTTATTTTTCGAGAAATCTCTTCAATCATTTGATCATTTTTATTTGACGTTTTTCCTTTAATCTGATTGTGTTTCTTCGGTTTTAGAGAAAATTCTCAATGTTTGCAATGAAAATATTTTGATCATCAAAGCACTAAATGTTTTTCTCGTTTCTTTAAAGCTTCTTAAAGATTTAAAAAAAAAGATTAACACATTACTCTACTTTTTAGCTGAATATCTTTATCATTTTGTCGAGTATTTTCTCTAATATTGCCGTTTTTCCTTTAATCTGATTGTGTTTCTTCGGTTTGAGCACCTTTATTTCTAGCGTATTTCTACCGTACGCTAGAAATAAAGGTAGCACACGCCGGAGAGCCGAGTTGATGACTATTTTACGGTTTCTAAGTTTTCGCAGAAGCTCAACACTCAAATCACCAGCTAGATCTCATCGTCAGCTACATTTTCCGACCCCACATCGATAGGTTCTGATAAGCGGTTCTCGAGATTTCGAGGAATTTAGGTTTGAGCGTCGCCTAAATTCCTCGAAATCTCGAGAACCGCTTATCAGAACCTATCAATGTTTCCCTAAGCTTCTCCTAAATTCCTCGAAATCTCGAGAACCGCTTATCAGAACCTATCGATGTGGGGTCGGAAAATGTAGCTGACGATGAGATCTAGTAGAGGATTTGGGTGTTGAGCTTCTGCAAAAGCTTGGAAACCGTAAAATAGTCATCAACTCGGCTCGGCCGGGTGCGACTATTATTAGAGGAAATACGGTAGTTATTGGCTCTAGTTTTGCATTAGCATCTAGCATCTAGCATCTACCAGTTTTGCCAGTTTTACCAGTACCAATTTTACCAGTGAAGCCTGTTTTCCTACTTTAAACATCAATAACCATTTTATATTATTGGATTACTTTTGTAAAAACATATTTGTATCAATTCAGTGAGACACTTTTGTCTTTTTGTCGACCAGTTTTGAGTACGAAAGTACCAAAAAAACGGAACAGAACCTACCTTTCAACCCAATACCGTATTTTCTCTAATAGTAGTGCACCCTGAGCGTCGCCTAAATTCCTCGAAATCTCGAGAACCGCTTATCAGAACCTATCAATGTTTCCCTAAGCTAAATTGCTAAATTCCCTAAATTGCTCGAAATCTCGAGGTCCAACGCTTCCTCGTAGTTGATCGGATCTTGATCAAAGCTGAAAATTGTAGCTAGATTTGGCTAGATTTGGCTTTGATGTGGTTAAATTTGAAAACTTATATAAACTTATATCAAAACCAGCCGAAAACAGCCGAAAACCCGCCTAACTGAATGTTTTGAGGCTGGCGTATCCCTAAGCTTCTCCTAGATTCCTATACCGTTTCCCTAAGCTTCTCCTAAATTCCTCGAAATCTCGAGAACCGTTTATCAGAACCTATCGATGTGGGGTCGGAAAATGTAGCTGACGATGAGATCTAGTAGAGGATTTGAGTGTTGAGCTTCTGTAAAAGCTTGGAAACCGTAAAATAGTCATTAACTCGGCTACAAATCTACCGTAACAAATACAGCAAAGCTTAAAGAACCCTGTAACTACCGTATTTTCTTCAGAAGCTGGTGACTAAAGGAGAAGCTGATCTCAAAGAAGCTAGTCCCTAATACTAGTCCCTAAGCTTCTCCTAAATTCCTCGAAATCTCAAGAACCGCTTATCAGAACCTATCGATGTGGGGTCGGAAAATGTAGCTGACGATGAGATCTAGCTGGTGATTTGAGTGTTGAGCTTCTGTAAAAGCTTGGAAACCGTAAAATAGTCATCAACTCGGCTCTCCGGCGTGTACTACCTTTATTTCTAGCGTACGGTAGAAATACGCTAGAAATAAAGGTCTAAACAGAAATCTATTTGACCCTTAACAAAAAGCTTCTACACGCTCAATGATTTTGAGTAAAAGAGCTTAAAAAAGATATTAATACGTAATCACTTTTTGCTGTTAACCCCATTTTTCTGATGTACTCATTAAATTGATTTATTTGTCAGTGATCTATTTGCTTTTCAGTGCTCACTTGAAAAAAAGACTCTTTTTTCAATCATTTTGATATTTTTGGAAACTTTCCAACTTTTTTCTTTATAAATACAGTTTTACGATTGGATTTGAATTATAGGTTTTGATCTAAAACTATATTTCTTGATTTCTTAGAATTTCTTAGATATTCAGAATTAATTGACTATCAAGTACTTAAGTCTATAAGAAGTCTACAAGAATTCTACAAGAAGTCGATAAGGAGTCTACAAGAATTCTATAAGAAGTCTAGAAGAAGTCTATAAGAATTCTATAAGAATTCTATAAGAATTCTATAAGAATTCTATAAGAAGTCTACAAGAAGTCGATAGGAAGTCTACAAGAAGTCTACAAGAAGTCTATAAGAAGTCTATAAGAATTCTATAAGAGGTCTACAGGAATTCTATAAGACAAGTCTACAAGAAGTCTATAAGAAAGGTTCTCTCATCTAAGAAAGCTAAGAAATCTAAGAAAGCTAAGAAAGACTTCGGAAAAAAAGATGTAGACTAATGCTCCAGAATCTTTGATTTTTTTCTTGCCGGGAACGTTAGTTCGGGTGGATGGGGCAGTATTTTTCCCATTCATTTGGGCAACGGAGTTTGGGTGGAAGGGTAGCACTAAATCAATTTTCTTATGCGTTTATTTCTTAGAATCACCACAAAAACATGACAAAACCACATAATTTCAAATCACAAATCGAGTAAATTAGAAGGAAACTTTTCTGGTTACGAGCTGAGCCGGACTGTAACTATTGCAAATTTATGACGTGAGCTTCCGTTATGACCTGAACTAAACTTAATTAAGTTTAATTGATTTTGGTTCCAGTTCTGGCTCCAGTTCTGGCTCCAGTTCTGGCTTCAGTTCTGGCTCTAGTTCTGGCTCCAGTTCTGGCTCCAGTTCTGGCTCCAGTTCTGGCTCTAGTTCTGGCTCTAGTTCTGGCTCCAGTTCTGGCTCCAGTTCTGGCTCCAGTTCTGGCTCCAGTTCTGGCTCCAGTTCTGGCTCTAGTTCTGGCTCCAGTTCTAGCTCCAGTTCTAGCTCCCGTTCGAATTCTGGATATTCTAAAAAGTCAATATAGTTTTAGATCAAAGTTACAAATCAAATCCAACTGGAACTCTCAGTTCTAGAGTTTTTATAAATCTTTAGCAAATCTTGCAATCTAGCAAGTCTTGGCCCAAAAAATTGAATCTAAAACATTTGAATGAACAAGACCAATCCTCCTGCAACAATTCTTGTACTTTATCTAATCTTTTTCTTTAACTAAACTTCTTTAATTTTCTTTTTTTAACTTTTCTTTCTTTAAAACTTATCAAAACCTTTTCTCAATCTTTTAAAAAATTTATTTAAACAAATTTTTGCGTTTAAAAAGTGCTTCTTTTATTTGAACAGCTTTTCGAAAAACGAACGCTCACAATAAACATTTTTGATTCATTGATTTGATTGAATTCATTTTTGAGACATTTTTGATGATTTTTGAGACATTATTTTCCATTTTACCTCTCAAAAATTTCAGTTATGGTAACCAAATTTTTTTCATCTCTTTGGGGACGTAGCAAATCAAAGCAAATCAATCAAAACGATGGGAAAAGTGACGAGGAAAACGCGAATAAACAACAAAAACAATTCCGACAAAGAAGACCCGTTTCTGAATATATTTCAACGACGAGAATGATCCGAGACAGTGGATGTGAGCAAAGGTTCCTTCAACTTTACAAAGATAACAAAATTTGAGTTTTTGAGACTTCTTAAATGACGTCAAACTTTTTAAAAGCTAGATACTTGTGACTGGCTTTTTCGGGTAAATTTGCAGATTTGAAATGGGCGCTGGCTTAAATTGGGCGCTGGCTTAAATTGGGCGCTGGCTTAAATTGGGCGCTGGCTTAAATTGGGCGCTGGCTACTTTGCGCCAAATCCTTTGCGCAACTGGGTCATCCGCAACTGGATCATTTGCGCAACTCGCCATAACTTCCTTCAAAGTCATCCAGTCTTTATGATTTTAGTCTCATTTTGTTGCACTTATTGAGATCTACAAAATGACACCAAAATCATAAAAATTGGTTCACTTAGAAGAAAGTTATGGTGAGTTGCGCAAACGACACAGTTGCGAAAAAAATTTGGCGCAAAGTAGCCATCCCTGTAAATTGTGCAAATGCATATACGGGATGTCCGAAAAAGGAAGTGTTCATCGGTTTGAGTCTGGAAAAATTGATGATCCGGTACTGGAGTTAGTTACAGTTCTCGTTGTTTAATCAACGCTAGCTCCTGTACCCGATCATCATCCGGTACTGGAGTTAGCTTGCTTACTTGTAACGAGCTAGCTAGCTTACTTGTAAACAGTCGAATTTCAGCCCTGGCTCCTCATCGATCTCCTCTTCGGCAAGACACGAAAATGAAGGAACTCAACCGGGCACCGCACTCAAATCCACTCGGATTGTCTCATGGATGGAAGGGGGAGTGGCCTCTCCCTCGACCTTTCCCCCTCAGCATCCCCAATTCTCTTCCCTCTCCTCTTCATCCGACTCCGGCCATTCATCGCCTTCTCCCTCTCATTGCCAATCTATCTCTCGTACGATTCCAATTCCCAGTCAAACACCAATTCCGCACACTTTGCGCTACTCGGCTGAAGATTTGGCAATGAAAACAGCTTTGGCTTTCTCTTGGGATGTTCAGGTTGGCTTTGTTTAGTTATTTGTTGATAAACTGTTTAGTTATTTGTTGATAAGGTGAAAAGAGAGGTGATTTCATTTCTTGATTAACTCTTGATTAGAGGAAAAGTTAATAGAAAAATTAATAGACAAAGGAAAAGAGGAAAAGTTAATACACAAATTTACAATTATCTTCATTTGAAACTTTAGAGCTTTATAAAGATTGGTAGAATTAGAATTAGAGAATTAGAATTAGAATTAGAATAAGAATTAGAATTAGAACTAGAATTAGAATTAGAATTAGAATTAGAATTAGAATTAGAATCCTGTTATCAAGGGTTTTAGGTCTTCTCATTGAATTGCTCGTCTGATAAAGCAGACACAAGAATAACATTCTCATTAACAAATGAAAAGACTTTGGAGTCTTTATGAAAATTCAATTCAAATTCAAATTCAAATTCAAATTCAAATTCAAATTCAGTTCAAATTCAATTCAAATTCAAATTCAAATTCAAATTCAATTTGCGAAACTTGTAGGCGTCTTGTAAATGCAAATTTTACATGCAAATTTTACATGCAAATCCTACCTTAATAGGCTCAAATTTTTTAGCGTAAATCCCTAAATTTCTGTTGGTCTCGTAAAAGCGAATTTTCATTGAGCAAATTCAAATTATGCCTCAAGTTTTACCGTATTCCAACTTAGGGTATACTTGAAAGGGTTTCCTCCGAAAGATTGCTCATAAAAAGGGATCTTTTTCTCCACTATTCTTTTTTTTTGATACATGCATTGAGTACTTTTTTTGAGAGCAATGAAACTTGATCCGGGTTTTGAACAAAGACCGGAGATCTTATAATCTTGCCGATCCAGGGTTATGGGTAGATTTATCTTTATCTTTCGGTTACTTTAGCACTTCTTGAGTTACTGTAGCATTTCTTGAGTCACTGTAGCCATTCTTAGACTACTGTAGCCATTCTTAGACTACTGTAGCCATTCTTAGACTACTGTAGCCATTCTTAGACTACTGTAGCCATTCTTAGACTACTGTAGCCATTCTTAGACTACTATAGCCATTCTTAGACTACTGTAGCCATTCTTAGACTACTATAGCCATTCTTAGACTACTGTAGCCATTTTCTGAGTCACTGTAGCATTTCTTAAATTACTGTAGCCATTTTTTCGTTACTGACTTAGTAACCTTATAGTACAAATAGTTTTTAACAATTTGAAGCTTACATGCAAATTTCTTCACTCAGAATCCATTCACCGAATCCCTTTAAAAACTCTTTGTAGAAAAAAACCCCATTCAAAAAGCAATTACCCATCGAAATGTCGAGATATTCAATCAACGCGATTGCTCATCAAAGGTGCACTTTTTAGTTAAACTTAAGCCGCTCCTTTGTTGGCTTTTAGGGTGAGTTTTTTGTGCCGCACCCATTCACCACTTGAACTCCTTCAAAGGAAAAGAAAAGGAAAGAAAAAAGGCTTTTTGATTTGCCTTCGTTTGAACATTTGAATGAGTTGATTGGGCAAAAAAAGTCGGCTTTTGTTGGGTGATGATAAATCTAGAGAAGTAGACAAATCTAGAGAAGTAGACAAATCTAGAGAAGTAGACAAATCTAGCGAAGTAGACAAATCTAGGTTTGTAGACAATTTATAAGGTTACTAAGTCTACAGTAAGCAAAAAATGGCTACAGTAACTTAAGAAATGCTACAATGACTCAGGAAATGGCTACAGTAGTCCAAGAATGTTCGTTTAAACATTTGATTGGGCAAGAAAGTGGGCTTTTGTTGGGTGATGATAAATCTAGAGAACTAGAGAACTAGAGAACTAGACAAATCTAGGGCCTAAAGTTTCTTCAAAAAAAAAGCATCAAGTTAGCATTTGGAAAAGTTCAATTAGCTCTAGACTTCTATCAATTTTAGAGTCTTTTTTGGTTTCTTTAAAGTTGTATAATAGACATCATAGTTTAGTGTGTGACTGTAAATAGTGAAACCGGAAGAAAGGTGATTATTTTATGATTTCTAGGGGAGATTTTTGTGCTAGTGGCAAGATTTAGGTACTCATTGGGGAAATAAAAGACTCACTTTATCAAAACAAGCAAAGATTTTGAGAGATTTGAGCGAGATTTTAAGAAAAACCATAGAAAAAAGAAAAAAGAACCTTTTCTTCTTGTTCTTTCTCTTGATCATCTAAGCAAATAAACAAAGAATGGGGATTGTTGATTGTAGAGGTGAGAAGAGATTCTTTTGTAGATCTTGTAGATCCTTGACGTATCAATGACCCGATAAAGTGTCAAAAATAGGTGTAATTACTTGGTTGGATGTCAAGAAATGTTTACTTTTATAGATAATGACCCATTTCACCTCTAAACACACAATGAAAAGTCTGCTCATTGTTTTTAGCTGTTTTTTTTTTGTTCCTACAATTTCTTTCATTACAATTTCAAGCATTTTCTTAAACTTAAAGATACTGTAAAGTGTTACCGTAAATACTAAATAGCTATAAAGTAAAATTTAAAAGTTATAAAGCTATATATAAACCGTAAATACTGTAATAGTACCCCCACGCCCATAATGACGGTGCGGAGTGTTGGGTAGTCTAGCTTTGAACGAGTTTTTCTCGACACTGGTTTATGCTACAATGCTCGTTTAAATATCAAAAAATAGCCCTGAATTTCAGCTATTTTTTGATACCTAAGAGCGCATTTTAGCATAAACCAGTGTCGAGAAAAACTCGTTCAAAGCTAGAAAGCTACGCAACAATGTTAGGGTGGGGTACTATTACAGTATTTACGGTAAGTATTCAATTTTATCGTATCCTTAAGCTCTAGTAAAGATTGAACAACTAACTTTCTCTGTCTTTGAATAACAAAATGACTCTTTCCCATGTCCCAAAGCTTTGCGTAAAGTTTTTAGACAAAAATTTGGATTCATAAATCTAAAGCGAGTACGATTAGGTGGATTGAGAAAAAAAGAAAGAAAAAGAGAAAGAAAAAGAGAAAGAAAAAGAGAAAGCCTATCCATTTCTCTCTTTTCTCTGAACTCTGAGATTTGCAAGTACCATTAGGTGGATTGAGAAAAGAGAAAGAAGAAAAAAAAGCAAGCCTATCCCTTTCTCTGAACAGTCCATATGTAAGCCATATGTTGAATTCTTCATCTAGAATCTCATAGAAATGAAAACAGAAATGAAAACCACAAAATAAACCACACAAATATATCTAATATCTATCCTAAATGGAGAAACGAAAGATTTTTACAGTTTAGTGAACTCTTCGTTTTGCACTTTGCACTAGAGTTTAGCAGCTTCTGCATTTAAAATTTCAAAGTTTTCTCTGAGCTAAGGAATTCTTAGGTTTTGTAGCTGGTGTTTGTCTGGCTTTCTAGCTCTAGCTCTCTATAAAAACATAAAAACTTTTATTCCACTGAGTCAACTGGTGGGCTTTATTCAAATTGATGGTGTTGAGCCAATAAAAGCAGCTTGAGCTAATTCATTTACTCAGGTGTGTCTACAGCATCACACCCCTCAGCCCTACAGTACCTGTGAGAGTTTAGTGAGCAGTCCTCTCCATAGTAAGGCCCTACTCTGACGACAATTAGTTACATCTCCCTGTAGCTCATTGGTAGAGGGTTCAGCTGGTAAGCGAGAGGTGGCGGGTTTGAACCTCGTCGATTATCTTTTGTCTTTCCAGCTGCAACTCATAGAAGGACTAGCGTTCCAGAAGGACTAGCTTTCCAGCCGTAACTCATAGAAACACTTTCTAAGGTCAAAATTCTGTGCAAGTTTGAGTACCAAAGGCTCAAAGAACATTTCAACTTTTATATTTGATTATTTTGATTCCAAAGCTTCTTTTGTATTATAAAACAGTATTCAGTCAACTGATGAAGACTCTAGAGTTAAAAGGGGGATAACTGAGGGGTAGATAAGGCTGGATTAATTGCTTGGCTTGAATTGAAGGCTTGGCTTGAATTACAGCTTTCTGCCGATGAGCTTTTGTCTTCGAGAAATTGTCTTTTGAACACGATCTCTATCTTATCTCTATCTTAGTTGTTTCAATGATTTGTCTACCGTAGCTGTAACAGATCTATCCTTGATAACTGAGGGGTAGATAAGGCTGGGCTCATTAATTATTCAACCTAATATAGCTGATTGATGAATTATTCAACCTAATCTAGCTGATTAATTAATTATTCAGCCTAATATAGGTGATTAATCAATTATTCAACCCAATATCACAGCTGTCAATAGATTGTTGCAAACTTTTATCGTTTCCAGTTTCAATGACGGTTTTTGAAAAGAATCCAAACTAAATCTTTTCCCCAAAATTCCCATCATTCAAATGTTTCCCTTTTCAAGTTTCATTCAAATCATTCAAATGTTTTCCTTCAAAAGAGTTGCGCAAAGGAAAATGTTTCCTTTCTTTTCTTTTCTTTTTTTCTTTTCATCTAAAAATGTTTAGACTAAACTCACTGTATCTTTTCATTTTTTTGACTTAAGTTTTAAGCATCAAAGCATTTAAAGCATCATTTAGTGGATGAGTATTGATGGAGTAGTGCTCATCAAGTATAGTACTCATCAAGTACTGCTCATCAAGTACCCAAGTGTTTGTTGAGAAATGAACATTCTCTGTCTGTCTTTTTCTTCGATCTGCACTCAAAAAAATCTTCTTGAGAGGGTCATTCGCGGTTCAAAAACATTACAGCGGGGCATTTTCGGGTTTAGAAGGGTTATCTTTCGATGAGATAAGTGCAATTGGGTTAATACTCGTACTGTAACTAGTTTTGAATTATCAGCAAAATAGATAGATAGGAAAAAGACATTTTTAAACCACTAATAATCCCATTGAGTTAGAAATAATTGGCTTCAGAACTATTCCTTTCTTTGGAAGCTTCTTCTTCAATTGACATTCCATTCAATTGACATTGTGCTTCAAAATTGAAAACACATCTTCTTCTAGCACACTAAATTCTCTTCTTTCTTTTGAAAACAAGGAAAAACATGAAGAACTCGTTGCACCAGACGGGATTTGTTTACTGTTTACTGTTTACGGGACACTCTAGTTACTCTAGTACACTCTAGTTACTCTAGTACACACTCTAGTTACTCTAGTACGCTCTTATTACTCTAGTACACTCTAGTACACTCTAGTTACTCTAGTACACTCTAGTTAAGTAGAGTTTTAAACGTTGAATGGAAAAAAAGGGTGTCTTTTGTCAATCTGTCACCAAAACCATCAAATAACTCACTTTCAAGGTCCATCTGCCTGTCAATGTCACATTTTCATAGAATTTTCATTGAGAAATCGCAGTTTTCATTGGATTTTCATTGAGAAATCCCAGTTTTCACTAAAAACAAGTTCTAGACAAGGAAAAAGAGTAGAATAACGGTAAAATAAAGGGAAAAGAATCAATTTCTCATCTCCAAATCAACATCTTTAGTTTGCCGGCTCATTCCCAATCTCTTCAACGGATCCGGAAAAAGTTGGGCAACGATTGGAGAGATTTCGACCACAAACAATTCCAAAATCCGTTCAACTCTCCGTTTCTTTACTTGGCGTTCGTGTCTCGCAACAAGAAGTGAGTTGAATGAAAGAAAAACTGAAAATGAAGGGTTTAATCTCCCAGAAAGGAGTTGTTTTCATTTTTTGCTCACAAAAAGTACATTTGAAAAGCTAGTTTGACAAGTTTCGATAGGTTTTTGACAAGATAAACAATTCAGTTAACTGTTTCTGACGAATTTTCGTTCAAGCAGTGCTGAAGTTTTTGACTATTGATGATGATTTTGACTATGATTAGAATTGAACAAAGCATTGAGTTGAAAAGGGCCCGAGTTCGGCAAAAAAAGGCGTCAACCCGGGTCGAACCCCGGATGCTCGGCCTGAGAGACAGACGCTCTGGCAGTCCACTATGGGGGCAGTTTGATTCACTGCTTTTCCACGCCTTTTCCTCTCAAGGGGCTCTTTTATTGAGGATTCTAGAACTCAAATTCAAATCCAAATCCAAATCCAAATCCAATTGATGAACAGATTTTCCCGTGGATGAGCTTTTCCGAAGTTACGCAAGAACAGAGATAGATCTCATCACTTACTCATTCAATCAAGTGTCTCGATTTCAATTTTTGAAGTGATCGGTTACGCAAAAGAAAGTCTTATCCCAAAAGAAAGCCTTATCCCAAAAGAAAGCCTTATCCCATTCATTCGTCTTTCTTTGGCCCATTTTTGAGGCTCAAATTTGCATATTGAGGCGTGAAATCGTTTTTTTTTTTGCGTCATTTCGCTGATTGAGGACATCTCTTTGTCTTGCTGGGTTATACGATCTGCTGAGAAAATGAAGTTAGGGATTTGGGGCGAATTGGATAACTGAATCAGGGAACTTTCAAAGGGATCAGCTAAGGCAAGCAGCTAAGGCAAGCAGCTAAGGCAAGCAGCTAAGGCAAGCAGCTAAGGCAAGCAGCTAAGGCAAGCAGCTTTAGATTCTCTAAAGCAGGTCGAAAATCCATAGTTTAGATTACTGTAAGACTAAAGTTTGCAAAACAATAAAACCACAAATATACTATTACGGTCTTTACGGTAATTAGTCTACAAAGTCTAGTAAAGTTAGAAACTGGTCTGAAACACTCCGCACCGTCATTATGCGGCTGGGGTACTATTACAGTATTTACGGTAGTTAAATAACTGACATAGCTAGAGTAAAATACCTTTTCTTAAACGCAATTTTGAGAAACATATGACTTTTGATCCCAAATTTCCCACAAAAATCTCTACTCAAGCATTCCACTACAAGCCTTGAGATGATCAAGGGGATTAGGGAAAAGAAACACGAAAGATTAGATGGATCTTGGTTTTGATTGAGGTCAAAAGGTCAAATCCTTGTCTCTCTTTTCAAATTTGATTACAGACTCAAAAAAGGGAACCATTCGGCTGTCGACAGGTGGTTTTCTGGGGAAATGAAAGAAGCAAATGAAGAAAATTCCGGTAGTCATCAAGCTACAGTACTCATTTAAATCTTACCATCACTTGTACGGTTCTTGAAATATTTAAAAAGTTATATAGCTAGTCTGGTACTAATAATACCCTAAAGTACTTAATACTGGTACCCAAAGTACTCTAAAGTACTCCAAAGTACCTTAAAGTACTCTAGAGTGCTCTAGAGTGCCCCAAAGTACTCTAGAGTGCTCCAAAGTACGCTAAAGTACTTTAGAGTACTTTAAATACAAGGCTTGGCGTTTATTGGATTTCTTTTCAACTGTACAATTGGATTTCAACTGTACAATTCTTTTCCTTTCAAACTTTAGCGTACTTTAAAGTACTTTGGAGCACTCTAGAGTACTTTGGAGCACTCTAGAGTACTTTAAAGTACGCTAAAGTTTCAAAGGAAAAGAATTGTACAGTTTACAACCCTATAAACGCCAAGCCTTGTATCAAATAGCTTTAGAAAAGAATTCGAATCTCGAGAATCCCAAAATTCCCATAAATAACTTATAAAACCTTTCCAAAACCCTTTTTCTAATTATCCTTTGATCTCTTTGTCTTTAAAATTTCAAAATTAGACTCATTTATTGTTGCGCAAGTGTCTCGTCAAAGATGCGATCGTTACGGTAATTATGTATGAGTTTGGGGACAAGAAAGAAGAGACAATGGATGGGAATTGGCGGGAAAATGAAGGGAAAATGAAGGCACATTTGGGGGAGAAAGCTCGAGAATTTGAATGAACAAAGATTTTGAATGCGAATGGAATTAGAAATACCGGAAAAATTCGAATCGAAGAGTTCACTCTCACTTTAAGCTCGACGGGGGTTCAATTACGCTGGCAAAATGCTTGCCAATTTAAAAATTGACACTACACTACACGCATAAAGTTTTTCTCTGTACAATCCACCCAAAATGCAAACCAAAACAAGCTAAAAACTTTATAAAATCAATAAAATCAATAAAATCTATAAAATCTATAAAATCTATAAAATAGTACAAAAAAATAGCATTTTTATCTTCCAGAATGTTCTCATGGCTCACTCATTGCGTCGAGTGTGCAGCGTGATCGCGAGACCGTCAAAGCGACAAGTGAGTTCATGAAAGATCTTTAGCTTATCGTTAAAGTGATAAGCTAAAGAGATATTAAACATTTTGTACTATTTGGTAAAGAAATATTAAACATTCAGTACATTCGGTACTTATGAATTATTAATTACCGTATCCCCTCTAATAGTAGTGCATCCCGCCGAGTTGATGACTATTTTACGGTTTCAAAGTTTCCCCAGAAGCTCAACACTCAAATCCCCCGCAAGATCTCATCGTCAGCTACATTTTCCGCCCACACATCGATAGGTTCTGATAAGCGGTTCTCGAGATTTCGAGGAATTTAGGCGACGCTCAGAATGCACTAATATTAGAGAGAATACGGTAGTTATATTCTAAGCAGGCAGAAAGACAGACTACAGTCAGCTAGTCAGATCTAGAGTCAACTCTGACTGACGGACACTCAGGGCTTCCTATAGACAATAGATTTTTTTACCCACCTCGCAATCTATCAACGCCATCGTTTTACCTCCAATTTACAAACAAAGAAATTTCTTTGCATAGCCTCCTTTCAATTTTGACTGATTTACTTTTGACTAATTTACTTAGTCACCCAGTCAAAATTATAACTAAATCACTAATTTGAAAGGGTTGAATTGAAAACGGCAGACGTTTTTTTTAACAAAAGTCCCAAATTTACATAGAAAGATAGTAAAATTCATCTATGCGATTGAAGACAATCTGATCAATGCAAAGTACAAGAATAAAATCGAATGACTCACTGAAACTTTTTTAAAAGTGCAATCAATCTAGTTGTGCCATTGAAAATTAAAAAATCAAGATTGTGTGGCACCCGCGGGGGATCGAACCCGGATCGTGTGGGCTGTAGAAAAGCACACCCCCGACTGCGCTATGTCGTCTCTTTAGCCCTCCTAAAAATTTGGCAATAGAACCCTGCTATCAGGTTTTTCGGCTGGTATCATAAGCTATCTATCTAATGCTCAATTTGTCTTTTAAATGAAAGATACGGTATTGTCATAATGGCATAGACTATATTATAATGTGCAGAGTACTGTAGTGTATGCAAGGTGTATAGTTTACTGTTAGATTACTGTTAGATAACCTTACTGTTAGATTACTGTTACTGTTTACTGTTAGATAACCCATCTTTAGGTGGCTTACATAGCGATGGAGCCAACTGGTCAAGTTTATCGTCGTCAGTGCCACGTTTTCCTCACTCATCAAGCGTTTCAGGTAAGAAAATAGTTACAGTACTTTATTAAAGTAGATTTAGACAGTTACCGTATACCATTTCTATAGTACAACTCAAGTTATAAGTTTATCTAAGTAGAGTTTTCAAAGATTTTCAAAAATCCAACATTTTCCTTTGTTATGACAATTTGTCAAGTAATTGACAACTGTTGGATTTATCTTTTCTTTTTCTTTAAGCCAATCGGTTAGAGTAAAAGATCAAAGGACTCCAATTACTCATCAAATCCAAACAGCAACATTTGTTCTCTTTCTGAAAAGTAAACGACGATTTTTACTAGTTTTCTCTTTTTCTGGATTCTTTTCTCTTGAAAAATGCATTTTACAAAAAAACAATAAGGCATAAGACCCTTTTCTGGCGGTAACGAATACCTGTCTGTGTGGGTCATTGGTTGAGCGCTTGGCTGGTAAGCGAGCGGTCGCGGGTTCGAGTCCCGGGTCGGATCATTTTTTGTTGTTGATCATCATTCGTTGCCCCAAAGTACCAGTCAATGGACCCAATTACTCATCAAATCTAAACAGCAACATTTGTTCTCTTTCGACGTAATCGACGATTTTTACTAGTTTTCTCTTTTTCTGGATTCTTTTCTCTTGTAAAATCCATTTTCTAAAAAAACACCGATTTTTTAGAAAAGTTTATGCTTTTTCAGCTTCTTCAAAGTATTGATCTTTTTAAAAAACGCTGGAATACAATGATTTACTTCCTTTAACTTTTTCAGTCTTTCAGTCTTTATTCAGTTGCCCATTCATCAGTTAGCCTCGTTTTTTTTAGGTGAAAACATTCACAAAGAATCCATTTTCCAAAAAAATCCACATAAAAATCGTTTCCTTACCAATTGAAAACATTTCCTTTTCGTCGGCTGTCAGGAAAATTGGTTGTTTGTGTGAAAAGATCGATTGGAAAAGATTGACGGTTGAAAAAATGGGAATGAATGACTGAAAAGAATGGCTGAATGAATGGTTGAATGGGTTGGGTACCGGAATTGAGGTCAGCTCTCTTTCTTGTCCTTTCAAATCTCCCTTTTGCAACTCTTACGTCAAAATTCGAAAGCACTGGGGTTAAACTGTTTGGTGGAACTGTTTGGTTAAACTGTTTGGTTAAATTGTTTGGTTAAATTGTTTGGTTAAATTGTTTGATTAAACTGTTTAATTAAACTGTTTGGTTAAATTGTTTGGTTAAACTGTTTGGTTCAATTGTTTGGTTCAATTGTTTGGCTAAACTGTTTGGTTAAACTGTTTAGTTAAACTGTTTAATTAAACTGTTTAATTAAACTGTTTAGTTAAATTGTTTAGTTAAACTGTTTGGTTAAACTGTTTGAAGGAGGGAACAAGACTCTAGAGAGATTTTGGAACTCTATTTTTCTTTCTAAATCAAGCTTTTCTAAATCAAACTTTTCTAAATCAAACTTTTCTAAATCAAACTTTTCTAAAGCTTAAATTTCCAGCAACGACTTTGCAGAGAAAGAAAGAGAAAGCAGATCTTTGCAATAATGCAAACTCGTACTTTAACATTTGTAAAACAAATTTTTGAGTGAAATCGAGCTATTTGGAACTTAATACATGCTGAGCACAGGGTTTTTTTTTTTGAATCATATTCGTTAGTTGTAAAGAATGGAGTAAAGCAGATGTTTTTTTGAGAGTCACAGACAGATGAGATTTCATTACATTTTACCCAATTTTGGGGAACCATCACGAAAATTACTTTTGCCGATCACTTTTACAACCGGAAAATTGCTTGAGTTTGGTTTAAATGAGCGGGGGACAGATGGAGTTCGGCAAGATACCCAATAAGCCATAAGACCCTTTTCTGGCGGCGACGAACACCTGTCTTTGTGGGTCATTGGTTGAGCGCTTGGCCGGTAAGCGGGACGTCGGGGGTTCGAGTCCCGGGTCGATCATTTTTTGTATTCCTTGTCCCAAAGAACCGGTGGGTCTAACTTACCCAGTTACTTACCCAGTTACCTACCCAGTTACTTACCCAGTTATTTACCCAGTTACCTACCCATTACTTACCCAGTTACTTACCCATTATTTACCCATTACCTACCCATTACACCCAGTTACTTCCCAGTTATTTACCCAGTTACACCCAGTTACTTCCCAGTTATTCCCAGTTATTCCCAGTTACCCAGTTACTTACCCAGTTACCTACCCAGTTACCTACCCAGTTACTTACCCAGTTACCTACCCAGTTACTTACCCAGTTACTTACCCAGTTATTTACCCAGTTACTTACCCAGTTACTACCCAGTTACCTACCCAGTTACCTACCCAGTTACTTACCCAGTTACCTACCCAGTTACTTACCCAGTTACTTACCCAGTTACTTACCCAGTTACTTACCTAGTCATCTAATCTAATGAAATTCTCATTTAACAACATTGTAGACCTGCAATAACCAATCATTGAATAGCTAGTGCTAGGTTTTCAAATGATTCCTAGGAAATTTTGATTGGAGTACATGATTCTAAGAGGCTATTAACCAGCGCTAGATACAGTACAGTTACCGCAATCAATTTCCAGACAGAAAAGTCCTTGACTTTGGTTGTAAATGAGTCGTCCTTTTTGAAAGAGTGATGAATTGGATCGCCGAATGAATCCAAGATTCACAAAGAAGTGTCAAAGGTTTCTTTTTCTAGATCTTCAAAGATATAGATCTTTTTCCTAATAATATCTTTGCTCGAATGATAGATAAGAATAACATTCTTGAAGAGAATTCTTGTGGATTGCATTGAAAATGGGGATTGCATTGAAAACTTAGTGTTAGAGAATCATTTCATAGCAAGGATTGGGTTTTTAGGGTTTCAAATCCTAAGAGATCCTAATAATCAAATTCTAATAATCCTAAGAGAATCCTAAGAGAATCGAGAGAGAAAACGCTTGAGTCAGCTCGGATTATTCTCTCTGCAGTTTGATAGAATTTGTTTTGTAAAATGTAGAAGTTTTAGCAAAAATCCAGCCAAATTAAAGGCCAAAGTTGGCCTCAAAAATTGGCGCATCGTTTGGCGGTGTTCATTTTATCGTAGCATTCACTCGGATCTCTTAAATTGTTAAATTGGCGTCTATTGGAGGCCCTGTTGGAAATGTTGGTTGATTGGTTTAGCATAAGATAGGAGATTTGTCAGGATCGGAGATTTGTCAGGATAGGAGACTTGTCAGCATCGGATATTTGTCAGGATCGGATATTTGTCAGGATCGGATATTTGTCAGGATCGGAGATTTGCCAGGATCGGAGATTTGTCAGGATCAGAGATTTGTCAGGATAGGATATTTGTCAGGATCGGAGATTCGCCAGGATCGGAGATTTGTCAGGATCAGAGATTTGTCAGGATAGGATATTTGTCCAAATTCCTCGATATTTCTTCTTTACATATCCAATATCGAAAAAACGAAATGTCCATATTTGATGTATGTTCGGCTGTTCATTGCGCAAGTGTTCTTCCACCTCGTTACTCTCTTTCTTGTGTGGATATTAGAAAATGACACAGCAAAGCCGTAGAATAAATAAAGATCAAAGGGGGGAAATGAAAAGATACAGTAAGTTGAGGCTAAACATTTTTAGAAGAAAAGAAAAGAAGAAAAGAAAAGAAAGGAAACATTTTCCTTTGCGCAACTCTTTTGAAGGGAAACATTTGAATGATTTGAATGAAACTTGAAAAGGGAAACATTTGAATGATGGGAATTTTGGGGAAAAGATTTAGTTTCGATTCTTTTCAAAAACCGTCATTGAAACTGGAAACGATAAAAGTTCGCAACAATCTATTGACAGCTGTGATATTAGGTTGAATAATTCATTAATCATCTATCTTAGGTTGAATAATTAATGAACCCAGCCATATCTACCCCTTAGTTATCAAGGATAGATCTGCTACAGACACGGTAGACAAATCATTGAAACATCTAGCCATTCTAAGATAGAGATCGTGTTCAAAAGACAATTTCTCGAAGACAAAAGCTCATCGGCAGAAAGCTGTAATTCAAGCCGGAGCTGATCAGAAGTCAGGCCTAAAAACCAAGTGACTTTTTTAGTCACTAGTGCATATAAGCATGCCTTTTCAGGCTTCTGACCTGGTGTATTGGTTAACGCTTTCGCATTACGGTAACCGTTAACGTGGGTTCAGCTCCGGCATCGGATTAGCTGTATAGAGTCAAGCAAGCCAAGCAAGTCAAGCAAGTCAAGCAAGTCAAGCGAGTCAAGCAAGTCAAGCAAGCCAATCAAGACAAGGCAAGTCAGGCCCTAGTCTACTACCAATCAAAAAGCTTTTGGTTTCGTTTTGCTCTAATTAAATATGTTGAATTGTTTTTGCCTTCAAAGCTTAAACTTTGGCATTTGGATAATAAAAAAAACCGGAAGAAAAGAGGGAAAGTGGGCGAGGTCATAAATTTTCATTTCGGAGATTTTCATTTAGTCCCTCTTTTTCATCTCGGCTAGTTTTGAGTCTCCAGGTGGCTGGGGGAGTGGAATGGAGAGGCTCGTTTTTTTTCTCCTCCATCATTTCCATGGATCTCTGCAAGCTTGATGGAATTCCATTCTCTTTTCCCCATCTTCTATCCCTTTCTTTTTGATCTATTGATGTCAGAACCAAAATATTTCTATAGTTTGGTACTATAGTTAAAACAAAAGAATATCTAGATTACAAGAGAATGAAACTGGATTTTTCTATGAAGTGTAAGGATTTAATTAGAGTTCTAGAAGCAGGCTAGAACCAGCCTGAGCCTGAGCCTGGTTCTAGAATTCTAGAACCAGTTCTTCTAGAATTCTAGAACCAGTTCTTCTAGAGTTCTAGAGCCAGTTCTTCTAGAGTTCTAGAACCAGTTCTTCTAGAGTTCTAGAACCAGTTCTTCTAGAATTCTAGAACCAGTTCTTCTAGAATTCTAGAACCTGGTTCCAAAATCTCTAAGCCAAGCTAAAAGAAAAGAAAAACGAAATGATAGAAAAGAAATTGGTTAAAAGTAGGGTAGAAGTGTAAAGGCTAAATTTTACAATAAAACTATCGTCTACCATAGTTTCTAAGCTATCATTCTTGACAATTTTGCAGCACTTTTAAGCCCAGGCGATTTTTCTTTCTTCCACCATGGATGAAATCCCATTTCATCCTTTGTCTTTTCGTTTTTGTCGCAAATTTCCCAACGATTCCCCATGTCTTTCCTTTCTTTTCCTTTCTTTTCTCTTTTCCTTTTCTATGATGATCTTTTTTAGAAATTCCTTCCCAAAAGGCGCCAAAACGTCCAAAAATTTTGCCATCATTTTTCTCGCCTTTTCAATCCTAAATCTTTAGCTTTTGCATGAATTAATATTGATTTTCTATTTTTTTTATTTAAATAGATAAATTAATTTAAAACTTGTACCCATTTATCTATAGTTATCTTTAGAAATCATTTATCTATAGCTTTTAGATACTCAAGCTAGTTTATAAACGATTTGAAAGTCAGCCAGTAAGCCAGCAAGCCAGCCAGCAAGCCAGCAAGCAAGCCAGCAAGCCAGCAAGCAAGCCAGCAAGCCAGCAAGCCAGCCAGCAAGCAAGCCAGCAAGCCAGCCAGCAAGCCAGCCAGCAAGCAGAAGCAAGCAGAAGCAAGCCAGCAAGAAGAAGCCAGCCAGCAAGCCAGCAAGCAAGCCAGAAAGCCAGCCAGCAAGCCAGCAAGCCAGCCAGAAGCCAGCAAGCAAGCCAGCAAGCAAGCCAGCTTTGAAAATCAGATCCAAGCCAAGCTAGAATCAGACTTCGACCTGATTTAGCTCTATTCTAGTTTTACTGTTTATCTTTTACATATAGCTCTTTACATTTTATAATCTAGCAATTCATTCATTTTCATCTAGCTCTTTAAATTGATCTAGCAATTCATTCATTTCAATCTAGCTCTTTACATTTATTAGGTTGATGCAAAAGTCTTTTTCATTTTTTTCGTACTTCCGTTAAAAAGTAACAAATGCACGAATTGAACAACGGTTATTGCATTCGAAAGGCCAATTATTTTTCTGCAAAATGACATTAAAACGAGTTTAAAATGTCTATGTCTAGATTTTTTGAGAGCCTGAAGTCGGGTAGTCAAAAAGGCGACGGCTCGATGATGCATTTAGACGCTTTAGCAAGGAAACCAATCTTGATGTTAATAAATAAAGATAGAGCACAAAAAGTTAGATATTTTTTCAGATTTTCAGAGAAATTGATTCAGCCAATTTCTTTATAGAGGTTTTTATAGATTTTTATGAAAAAGCCCGTTTTCACTCTCGAATTTGCTTGAAAGTGAACCCAAATTGACTTAAAAAGATGGGAAATTGAACAATAAACACTTTTTCATTTAGAGCAAACCATAGGTTAATTGATGACTTTGTTATTTTTCAAAAGAAGTACGAAAAAAATGAAAAAGACTTTTGCATCAACCTAATATCTAGCAATTCATTCAATCAGAATATTGAACTAAACAACGATTCTCAATCTCGTTTCCAGGTTGAAGAGATCGAGTCAGTGCTGGGAAACGCGTTTCAAGCAGCTCTCTTGCGTGCGAGTCAGCGACGATCAGAGAAAGATCGCCATTCTGCCACAATTCAACCCATCAAAGTGGCGAAACCATCCGAGCCACAACAACAAATTCATTCAAAACAACAAAGGCTCACCATTGTCACATCTACACCAACATTGGTGAGTCAATACGAAATAAATACTAATGACTGAGGGTCACTGGTTCGCTAAATGAGCGAAAATAGTACAAAATCAAAATGATCGGCTTCTTTGGATCAACTATAATCTTTAACTTAGTTTAAATAAATATAAATAAATAAAATGTAAATATTTATTGAATATCTGATAATAGCTATTCAAGTAATTCAGCTTTTTTGATTAGATTACAAAATAGTCATTTTACGAAGATGGTTTTGATTTATTTGGGATTCACACGCAAAAATGAAGTAAAGAGGAGGTAAAGAGGAAAGGAAGAGAGGAAGTAAAGAGAAGAGTAAAGAGGAGAGTAAAGAGGAAGTAAAGAGAAGAGTAAAGAGGAAAGGAAAGAGGAAGTAAAGAGAAGAGTAAAGAGGAGAGTAAAGAGGAAGTAAAGAGAGGAAGTAAAGAGGGCAGCTGCGAGAATTTTGTGAAAAAAAAGGGAAAACGATTGAAAAGATGAATTGAAATGGGGAAAAGAATTTCTCACAAATACATTCATCTCTCCATTACTGAATCGATTACTGAATCGATGGGATTGGTGAAAATGAAACCATTCCTCAATCCGATTGTTTCAATGGTTTTTGAGGCTAACCATTTCTTTTGCATTTGTTTGTTGTTTTTTTAAATTTGTTTAACATTTATTAATGGGTTAATTAGAGAAGTAATTGGGGGTTTATTTTAAAGATAGCTTGAAAGATAAAGATATATTGATAAAGATTGCCTTCCTCTTGACTAAGGAGTTCTAAAACGTGTTTAAACAATCTCTTGGCTGTAGATGGATTGGACAGACAGATAGATAGACAGATAGATAGACAGATAGATAGATAGATAAATAGATAGATAGACAGACAGACAGATAGACAGACAGATAGACAGACAGACAGACAGACAGACAGATAGACAGACAGATAGACAGACATATAGACAGATAGACAGACAGATAGACAGATAGACAGATAGACAGACAGATAGACAGACAGACAGACAGATAGACAGACAGATAGACAGACAGATAGACAAGATTACGGTAGTTCCAAAACGTTTCCACTTTCTCCGTAATTTTGGCTCTAGTTTCATTCAATCTATCTACTTTTTCGTCCTCGATATTCTTTGTAAATCTTCAGCGAATCAAAAGCAGATTGATTGAATAAAGATTGAATAAAGAATAAATAGTGATAAGCTTACGGTAGTTTTGGAAGGATTACTTGAGAGACTGGCGACTTAAAACCCCTACAGTAATCCCTGTAAAGTTTGGGCCAAACTACTGTATCTAAGTCGACCCTTTCCGGTAGTTTATCGTCTCACACTCGAAACAATCTCATTCCATTCAATCCAGTTCAACCCTAATCCCTTTCAACTCTTCAGAATGAACAAATCAAAAAGGCAAAAAAGCTTGTGTTGTTGCTATGGTCACCCTTTCCATTCATCTTTTTTCATATGACATTACAAGGAGACGATGAATGGTGAATCCCCTTTCATTCAATCAAATACCCACCTGTCTCTTTCTCGTTTCATTTCATTCTATTTTTTTTACCTTTCCTGAGAAACATCAAAACCTACAACTTCTCTAAGAAATGTTCTTATAGAAGTTTACGTACTTTTCTAGAAACTAAACTCTGAACCGCAAGGCAAGCCAGAGCCAGATCTAGATCTGTCAAGCAGAGCCAGATCTAGAACCAGACATGGATTATGATTTGGCTGGCCTGGATCTAGAGCTAGTCTATAACATGAAGTACAAGATGTCCTTTAGCTTTTTACTTGTATTCAAATTCTCCACGAGTTTTCCAGGTACTGGACTTGGTTAAGCCTGGCTAATTGTTTAGAAGTTTATAATGAAATCAAATTTTTTCTATTACTTGATGCAATATTTGAATATCCAAGATTTCCTTTAGCTTTTTACTTGTATTTGTACTTGTATGATTCAAATTTTTCACGAGTTTCCCAGTTTTCCAGACAGATAGACAGACAGACAAATAGACAGATAAGCAGACAGACAGACGACACAGACGACAACAGAGCAGACGACGGCGCGAGACAGAAGACGACCAGATAGACGCGCGCAACAGATAGCGCAGACAGAGCGACGAGACAGACAACAGAGAGCGACAGAGCGACGGACGATAGACACCGAGCAGACAGACAAAAGCGACAGATAACGACAGACAGATAACACAGACAACAGTAGACAGACAGATAGACAGACAGACAGACAGATAGACAGACAGACAGATAGATAAAGTTATCAAATTGATTTGATTGATTATTGAATTCAAAAAGTTCATAAGAAAGTTTAGAGCCAAAAGTTTACAGTCGGAAGTTTATAAAAGTGAATCCCCATTTTTCCACAGCCACCTGTCCTAGTGTGACCATTTTACAGTGACTCTTTGACTCGTTCTCCCCTCAACAACTGTCCCCCATTTCTCTGTCTTTTATCGAAACCGATTATCGGATCTCTGCCAAAAAAAAAACTCTTCTTTCTGAACCCTTTTCTTCCTTGCAAGTATTCAATTTCTTTGTAAATCCGAAAGAAAAGAGAAAAAAGGGCGGTGTTCGTTTACAACCTTCCCCCCACCTTCTTTTCTTCAATCAATTCAACAATTTTATGGCCACCCCTTGTTTCTACCACTGATATCCATGTTGATTGATTTCTGAGGTTCTGCTCAAATTTGCATTTAAAGTTTGATTTCGATTGCTGGTGGTTACAAGACTGTTCTTGGTTTCAGGCTAGAAGCTAGATTCATGACTAGAGCTAGATTCTAGCTATCCCAAGCCAGGATCAGACTATACTTGTTTTGGATATTTCAAGTCCAAGCCATCCTTATGACCTAGCTGCTTCAAGCCATACCAGGATCAAGCCAGGGCCAGGGCTTAGGCCAGGGTTGGGCTAGGGTCAGACCAGGGCTAAGGCCAGGGTCGGGCCAGGGCTAGAGCTAGGGTAAGGCCTTACTGAAAAGCTTGGCTTCGTAATCCTCAACGTGATAAACAAACCAGAAGTTTTGATTTTAAAACCCATTCAATCTCCATTGAATGTCATTTTTTGTGAGTATCCAAAAAAACTTTGAAACTTTTTGCTCATGTCCGTAAAACTGAAAGGTGACTTTGATGACTCAGAAAATTTTGGGGTTCTCTCTTTTCGACATTTCTTTTCCAAAATCCTTTGTCTTTCCGTTTCAAAGCGCTATCAGAAAAGCGAATCTTTCAGTCATTTACTCCAAAGGTAAATCTTTGAATAGCTCTTTGAAAAAATAGCTTTGAATTTTTATCCCTTATCCTCTATCCTCTTTGAATAGCTTTATCCAAAATCCTTTTTGAATAGCTTTATCTTCATTCTATTTTTCCTGAAAATTAGAAATCAAATTTAATTGATCTAAACTGATCTAAACTGATCTAAACTGATCTAAACTGATCTAGGCTGATCTAAACAGATCTAAACTGATCTAAACAGATCTAAACAGATCTAAACTGATCTAAACTGATCTAGGCTGATCTAAACAGATCTAAACTGATCTAAACTGATCTAAACAGATCTAAACAGATCTAAACTGATCTAAACTGATCTAGGCTGATCTAAACAGATCTAAACAGATCTAAACTGATCTAAACAGATCTAAACAGATCTAGGCTGATCTAAACAGATCTAAACAGATCTAAACAGATCTAAACAGATCTAAACTGATCTAAACTGATCTAAACTGATCTAAACTGATCTAAACAGATCTAAACTGATCTAAACTGATCTAAACTGATCTAAACAGATCTAAACAGATCTAAACAGATCTAAACAGATCTAAACAGATCTAAACAGATCTAAACAGATCTAAACTGATCTAAACTGATCTAAACAGATCTAAACAGATCTAAACAGATCTAGGCTGATCTAAACAGATCTAAACAGATCTAAACAGATCCAAACTGATCTAAACAGATCTAAACAGATCTAAACAGATCTAAACAGATCTAGGCTGATCTAAACAGATCTAAACAGATCTAAACTGATCTAAACAGATCTAAACTGATCTAAACTGATCTAAACTGATCTAAACTGATCTAAACTTTTACTAAACAAAAACGACATCGTTCTATATTGATATTGATCACTTTGATCAATCAAAAAAACAATCCAGCAATGAATCTGGTTCACCGGAAGCACGGGGTGCTAATTGCATTTTGTGACTAGAGGGGAAATTTCGGAAAAGAAAGGGATTGGGTGAATTGGGTGCTTGTTATTGCCTGTGGTGTTTGAAAGGGGAGGGGATTGAGTGAGTCGAAGAGGGTTATCTCTTTCCGAGATCTCTCCAAGTACAACCCCTAACTCCCCTCATTGGGCAATTCGTGTTCATTTTCCACCTATTTCTTTCTTGAGTCAATTCTTTTTCTTTTGCTTAATTGTTATCAAATTTTGAGGCAATTTTTGACAATATTTGACGATTTTAAACAATTTAGACAATTTTTGACAATTTTCATTGACAGAAATTCTCAATAAATCTCTTTAGCGGCAAGTAAATCTCTTTAGCGAGTTTTGCTCGTTCAGAAAAACTTTACTGTCCATTCCCAGAGGTTCATAGTAAGCTAAAGTCTCATAACTAAAGATCTTCAAAGCTGGATAGGTCAATGAAAGTATTCAGTTGAGGAAGGAGTACCTTTGTAAAGCTTTGTAACACTTTGTAAAGCTTTGTAAAGCTTTGTAACGCTTTGTAAAGCTTTGTAATGCTTTGTAATGCTTTGTAAAGCTTTGTAATGCTTTGTAATGCTTTGTAAAGCTTTGTAACACTTTGTAATGCTTTGTAAAGCTTTGTAATGCTTTGTAAAGCTTTGTAATGCTTTGTAAAGCTTTGTAAAGCTTTGTAACACTTTGTAAAACTTTGTAACATTTTAAATCTGATTTGAATGTGGTGAGGTATAGATTTAAGGCAAATCACTTGTTTAAAAAAGCACAGCACAAAGTATTCACGTATTTCAAATCGATTACCTATCTTCTAGAATCAATAATCAATAATCTATAACCTATTATCTATAATCTATTATCTATAATCTATAATCTATTATCTATTATCTATTACCTATAAAATCTATATCCATAAACCCGTATTCTTTCAGCACTCTCCATCTTTTTTTGTTTCCTAAATTCGATTAACTAGGTTTTTTACTCAAAATCCATCAATCTTCATTATAAGAATTACAAAAAACTTAACCTTAAGCTCTCTAAAAAAGACATTTTCGAGTAGTGATCAAATTGAGGAGGAAAAAAGGCTAGTGATTATGACCTGGCTGCTCCAGGTCATACCAGGATCAAGCTAGGGCCAGGGCCAGGGCCAGACCAGGGCTAGGGCTAGGGTGAGAGCCATCTATTGTCTATCAAATCTATATCCATAAATCCGTATTCTCTCAGCACTCTCCATTTTTTTTTGTTTCCTTAATTCGATTAACGAGGCTTTTCGGCTGCTTTTTTTACTCAAAATCCATCAATTTTCATTATAAGAATTATAGAATTATAGAAAAAGACTTAGAAAAAGACTTAAGTCTTAGAAAAACTTAAGATCTTAACCTTAAGCTCTCTAAAAAAGACATTTTCGAGTAGTGATCAAATTGAGAAGGAAAAGAGGCAAAAGAGACACCTGTTCTTAATGCAAACATAGAAAAGAACGGCTGAAAACGACTGAAAACGAAATCTGAACCTTTTTATTCACATTACAGCTTTTATTTGTATCTCTATTTGATCAGACTGTGGATCATTTGAAGCTTTAGAGCTTCAGTTACCAATTTTTTTTAAAGTCATTCTCAATTAAAATGAATAAGTTTCTATTTTTCATTCATTAAAATCTAAATTCTTTGTTAATTTTTTAATTTTCATCAATTCCTAAAGAATTTCTTAAGAATTGCTTAAGAATTTCTCAAGAATTGCTCAAGAATTCCTTTAGAATTGCTCAAGAATCAATTCTCAGACAGCTTTGAACATTCAAAATCGTTTCAGAAAGAGTTTTGATGAAGATTTTCTAATAAAATTGACACCAATCGCTCACTTTTCTCTCTTCTTTTTCTAGAGAATGTTTGATGGGAGTTGATGTGCATATATGAGCATTTATAGAAGGGGAAAAGAGAAAGAGAATGTCCAATAGGGTCTCATATAGAAGGACTCCAACTGGGTGAGACAAACGACAAGATATATTTTGAACAAGCTATATTTTGAGCAAGATATATTTTAAACAAGATATATTTCAATATTGGTTTAAGGATTTTATCCTTTCAAAGTACTCTATCTTTCAATTTGTTGAATATCTTTAATTTTCAATAACTAGTTTAACTTTTCCAATGAAAAATTAAGCTTGAGTTCTTTAGTTTGTTTAAATTTCAAATTGACTTTCGTAGATAAAAATGATTCAAATTTTGAGGATCTGATTTGAGTTTTAAAAAGTAATCACTTTCTTTCATCGGCTTTCGTTCTTCAGCTTTCTTTCTTCAGCTTTCGTTCTTCAGCTTTCTTTCTTCAGCTTTCTTTCTTCAGCTTTCGTTCTTCAGCTTTCTTTCTTCAGCTTTCTTTCTTCAGCTTTCGTTCTTCAGCTTTCTTTCTTCAGCTTTCTTTCTTCAGCTTTCGTTCTTCAGCTTTCTTTCTTCAGCTTTCTTTCTTCAGCTTTCGTTCTCAGCTTTCTTCTTCAGCTTTCGTTCTTCAGCTTTCTTTCTTCAGCTTTCTTTCTTCAGCTTTCGTTCTTCAGCTTTCTTTCTTCAGCTTTCTTTCTTCAGCTTTCGTTCTTCAGCTTTCTTTCTTCAGCTTTCTTTCTTCAGCTTTCTTTCTTCGGCTTTCAAGCTGTTAGTGTGCTAGTGTATTAAACCTACGGCGTCTCTTGGGCTTGCGTTCGAATCCGCCTATGGAACTTTTGCAATTTTTGATGCATTTTCATTAAATATTGATGCTTTATGCATTATTTTACAGCTTCTAAAGACATAAAAGGGTCATAGAATGAGATAAAATGCTTATTTTCATAGTAGTATTGTTCAGAGGGTAACGGGTAAATAAACCGAGCAAGTTTCAGCTCACTTTCTTTCTTCAGCTTTCTTTCTTCAGCTTCCTTTCTTCAGCTTCCTTTCTTTAGCTTCCTTTCTTTAGCTTTCTTTTTTTTCAAGCTAAATTCAAATCTTCAAATCAAATCTCTATATAAAAGCTTAGAAATCGTAAAATATTTAACAATTATACTTCTAGAAAGTCGAAAATAAAATCTAGTTTTATAAATGTTTTAGTATAAATGTCAAATATTAGCTGGGGTGAAGAGATTCCCAGTGGGAGACTTTTGATTGGGTAACAATTCTTCCTCTTTTCTTCCATCACCATTCGAGACAATTGCTTTTTCTCTTTTAGAACAAGAGACATATTGATCTTTGCATTTCCGTCAAACTTTATGCTCTCTTTTTGTCTTTATATTCTTGTTAAATTATGCATTTTCTTCGTTTATGATCAAAAATTAAGCTTTAAACTTAATTAAGTTTTTATTTCTTTAAATATTCACTCAAAATTTATATTTAAATAGATTTAAATAGATTTAAATAGATTTAAATCGATTTAAATAGATTTAAATAGATTTAAATAGATTTAAATAGATTTAAATCGATTTAAATAGATTTAAATCGATTTAAATAGATTTAAATTGATTTAAATTGATTTAAATTGATTTAAATCGATTTAAATAGATCTAAATAGATAAAAGGATGAATAAAAAGATAAATAAAACAGATTTTTATATCTAAACTGTTTTGTTGTTGTTTGTTTCTAATTCTTGTTTCTAATTTCTTGTTTCAAGTTTGTTTTTTTGAAGCTTTTCTTGACGCTAATTTTTTCAATTCTTTAATCCAATGAAGTATTTGAGAGAAATCAATTAGTACTATTAGTACTAAGAGTACTTACAATTAGTACTAAGAGAGATATGTTTTATCTGTTATTAGAGATGTATTATATCTTTTTTCTTTTAGGAGATGCCATTAGAGACTCGTCAACGGGTTTCATCAACAGCTTTCCTCTCAAGACTTCTCGGAAAAGGGAAAGAAGCGGTGATCGAAGATGCAAAAGCGAAAAGGTTAGTGAAAGAAAAGCTTAAGTTTAACTTAAACAACTTTAACTTTAACTTCAACTTAAACTTAAGCAACAATGTATCTAGTGACTAATAAGTATTGTCATATGTTTGTCATATGCTTTGTCGGGTGCTTAAGCGCGTGCTATTCCTCGAGCTTAGCTCCAAATCTCATAAGTAACATAACATGTCTTTGTCGCGTGCTTAAGCGCGTGTTACTCCTCGAGCTTAGCTCCAAATCTCATAAGTAACAACAAAATATTGCTAAGAGTCTAGGGAATATCCATTAATCTGAGACAATGACTGCAAAAGATTTTATTTCGATTTTTTTGATAAAAAAGGTTTGGAAGCTGCTCGCAAATGAAAAGTAGTGTTATAGCAAATCTATAGCAAAGCTAATCAGCTCTAGATCCAGACGAGACCAGCCAAAACAGAGTCCAAACCAGAGCCTAAATGAGAAACTCATTTAGGAAACTTTTTTCAGGAAATTTAAGGCTAATGTCCAGCATTCACACGGTAGTTCATCAAAAAATAGTCTTTTCCCCCTCATTTTCTGAAAACATGACATCCATCAATCATAATTATTCGCAAAAGAATCGCTAAACGAATGGATTTCTCCTCCTTTCCCTTTTTCTTCACCATATGTGCCCAGTTGCGCGATTATTAACTAAACAAAACGCTTTTCTGAAGGGAAATGAGCTAGTAAATGGATTTGTTAAAGAAAAATTTAAGTTTATAGCATGAAAAGTTGAAAAATTAAGGCCAAAATTGAGGCCAAAATTGGTTTTTTTTGAAAAAAGTAGAACAAGAGAATGGTCTCAACTCGAATTATGGGGCAGCCACAAGCGGCGTTCGCGACAGCCCTTGTGGTCTAGTGGTTAGTGTGCTAGTGTATCAAGTCTATGGCTTCTCTTGGGCTTGGGTTCGAATCCGCCTATGGATTTTTTGCAATTTTTGATGCATTTTCATTAAAGCTTGATGTTTTATGCATTATTTTACAGCTTCTAAAGAAATAAAAGGCTCATAGAATGAGATAAAATGCTCATTTTCATAGTAGGTTTGATCTTCGTAGTATTGATCGGAGGGTAACGGGTAAATGAACCGAGCAAGTTTCAACTTGCCAGATTTGCCAAAAGATAGCTCTTTCAAGTCACTTTTTATGAAATTCTTAAGTTCTTTCTTAAAAAGTTAACCGAAATTTTTGAGAAATAGCAAAGTTTATCATAAAATAATATAAATGGTTATTTAGGAAACGGCGTCCCGTTAGCGCTGTCTTCTCGAGTGCCATTCATCGTTTCGCAAGCACCGCTAATGTTAAAGATTCAAAAAGGGTTAGTTTAAAGCTAAAAATGTAAATAAAATCTAAAAACAACTACTATTCGTTTACTAGCTCTAGTAGCTCGTTTACTAGCTCTAGTCGCTCGTTTACTAGCTCTAGCTCTTTTGCTAGCTCTAGTAGCTCGTTTACTAGCTCTAGTCGCTCGTTTACTAGCTCTAGTAGCTCTTTTGCTAGCTCTAGTAGCTCGTTTACTAGCTCTAGTCGCTCGTTTACTAGCTCTAGCTCTTTTGCTAGCTCTAGTAGCTCGTTTACTAGCTCTAGTCGCTCGTTTACTAGCTCTAGCTCTTTTGCTAGCTCTAGTAGCTCGTTTACTAGCTCTAGTCGCTCGTTTACTACCTCTAGTAGCTCTTTTGCTAGCTCTAGTAGCTCGTTTACTAGCTCTAGTCGCTCGTTTACTAGCTCTAGTAGCTCGTTTACTAGCTCTAGTAGCTCGTTTACTAGCTCTAGTCGCTCGTTTACTAGGTCTAGCTCTTTTGCTAGCTCTAGTAGCTCGTTTACTAGCTCTAGTAGCTCTAAAACGGATAGTAGATCTAAAAACGATCTACTATCCGAATTGTGGAGTTTTCTATTCAAAATTAGATCTTAAAACAAAAGAAACCCTATCGAAAACTCGAATTCAAATCCAGCCTCTTCCCCTTTCCAAAATTGCCTTCAAATCCGCCGACCTTTTGTTTTTCCGCACTTTTTTTTCTTTCGTTTTTCTCTTTACTCATGCTTTTTACCAGATCATTCCCCTCATTGGTCATGCCTTTTTTTGGCCTTCCTTTTTCTAACAAAAGTCCTTGAAAAGAAAATTCTCACACCATAACATGTTTGAATCAAAAAATATAAAAATTTAGACTTTAAAAAAATCTTCTACGATGCTAGATTTGAGTTTAAATCAAGTTTTTAAAAATTTAGCCTTTAAAAAGATATTGTAAAGTGTTAGATTTGCTAGTCTAGCATCAGCTTCTAGCTTTCTGACTTACACCACTTACAACAACAACTCAACAACAACAAGAATCAACAGCCAAGATATTAGAGTAGATTTGTGGTGATATTGTGGTGTTAATCAGTTAGTACTTTGTGCTTAATCCCTTTAAACACACCATGCCTAGTGCAGTGAGATCTGCATTTTCTCAGGAAGAATGTTGAATTTCGTGCGCTAGACAAGGTGTTTTTGCAGTTTTTTAGAGCTAGTAAACGAGCTACTAGAGCTAGCAAAAGAGCTAGAGCTAGTAAACGAGCGACTAGAGCTAGTAAATGGACTACTAGAGCTAGTGAAAGAGCTACTAGAGCTAGTAAACGAACTACTAGAGCTAGTAAACGAGCTAGAGCTTGTAAACGAACTAGTCCAATTGTAAGATAAACGATAGCTTTTGCATGAACTATGCAGTTTATGACCTAGTGAAATAGTTGAACTAGTGAGCCAAAAATCGACTCTAATATCTTGGCTGTTGATTCGCGAAAGAGTTGTGTTGAGTTGGTGTTTCCCTGGCCGACTTGCGCAATCAACACGACACTTCCCATCGAAAGACAACGCCTTTTCATTGGGTTATTTCCTCAAAAGTCGTCTATAACAGCTAATTGCTCTATAGAGAAAAAATCATTTACGAAAAGAGCCATTTACCATCATTTACCCTAGCTGACCCATTTTGAATAGGATTTTTTTTTTTTTGATCAAGGCTACAATTTGTGGACTAAATTTAATTGATGGTCACTGGAAAATCGCTGGAAATAATTACATAAACAAATCCGATCCAGGTGGAAAAATGCGAGAAGTTGACGATAAAATGAGGAAAATATTTAGGGAATGATGAAAATCGCGAAACAATTTTCAGCTGAGAAAAACCAAACAAACAAAAACTCCAAAACGCGCCCTATCTAGCGCACTTTCGGCTAATCCAGTCACTTGGAATCTACTAATGGAATGAGCTGTTCTAAAGACTGTTCTTTGGGCTCAAAGATTCTCAAGCCTAAGCCTAAGCCTAAGCCTAAGTCCAAGCCAGTTTAGTGCACTGAATCGTGTTCACAAAGTCGATCCTCTTCAAAATTCAAATCCCCGATCCACTCCAATTCTGTATTGTTGTCCAAAAGTGGTGTCCACTTATTGCCCTTGTACTATTTTCGAGTAAAAAAAGAAAGACAAGCCTTTGCCCATTTTTATTTGCATATACTTCACCTCTTCCATCCACTTGTCAGCACTGTACTTCTCGATTTCTTCACAAAAAAACACGAGTTGATCGGCCGGAAGAGAGAGAGGGAGAGGCCGGTTCGGATTTGGTTGTGATTTGGTTGTGATTTGGTTGTGATTTGGTTGTGATTTGGTTTTGATTTAGTTCTGATTCGGTTCTGATTTGGTTCTGATCTTGGTCCGCATTTGGTTCCAATTGTTCTTTGTGCTCGAAGGTTCTTAAGTCTAAGTTCTTAGTCCAAAAGTTCTTAAGTCTAAGCCTAAGCCGGTTTCCAATTTCAATTCCAATTCAAAGAGAGCTAAAAACTGATCTATTATCGGATTCGATCGATCTTAACTAATAGATCTTAACTAACAGATCTTAATTTCTAGATTAATCAGTTCAAGTAATCAAACCAAATTCAAATCGAAATCAATCTAACAGAACAAATCTCACGGTATCTTTTTCTCTTTTGATAGAGGCAGATGTGAGATCATTGACACTTTTTCTTTGAGTGAACTTTGGATTTTTGTTGAATGAATCCAAAAAAAAGAGTGACAATTGGTGAAAAGTTTGAAGAAAAGTGTCACCTATTGATTCTATCACTTATGCCGGTGACTTTGATTGGCTTTTTTATTGGTGATAAGGATTTGGATTCAAATTTGAAGCCAAACATGAATAGATGCCCAATCTAAGAACTGAAGTCTTACAAATGCAAATTTGACAAAAAGTCAAGGTCATTTCTAAAGCTGATCTCGAAATTTGACCCTTGTCCATTGCTCAATGTGAATTTGGTTTGATTACTTGGACTGATTAAGATCTATTAGTTAAGCTCTATTAGTTAAGCTCTATTAGTTAAGCTCTATTAGTTAAGCTCTATTAGTTAAGCTCTATTAGTTAAGCTCTATTAGTTAAGCTCTATTAGTTAAGCTCTATTAGTTAAGCTCTATTAGTTAAGCTCTATTAGTTAAGCTCTATTAGTTAAAATCTATCAGCTAAAATCTATTAGTTAAAGTCTTACAAATGCAAATTTAACAATTGCAAAAGTCAAGGTCATTTCTAAAGCTGATCTCGAAATTTGACCCTTGTCCATTGCTCAATCTATTCTTCTCATCTCCCCAAATGATACCCCCAAAAAATACTCAGCGGATTATTCACAAATCTCTTCAAATGGTCAAGGTTATATCTTCGGATTGGGTAACTGAGCCAGCTTGATTCAAAAATTCTTACTCTCATCTGACTCTTCTAGAATCAAATTTACTTTGACAACTATTTTTTCTGATTTATAGTGTAGCTTATAGTGCTCTAAGAGATGATTTTTTCGATTTACTTTGCGAGATTTTTTTGCTAGTGTTTGTAATTTGAGGGATTAGGACACTCATTTCTGATTAGGAGGGAATGTTACGTAACAGAACGGACAGCCTATCCATCTTCAAGATTTGCATTCATTCAGAAATCTTTTTTCTCAATCTGATCCTGGCGAATTCGAAAGGGAATTGACAACATGTCGTGGAGGGGTTTTCGACTTGAGAATTGAGAATTGCGTTTTCTAAAAATATGTCAACTTGTTTGCTCTGGTCGCTTGCTTGCTTGCTTGCTCTGCTCTTGCTTGCTTGATCTTGCTTGCTTGCTCTTGCTTGATCTTGCTTGCTTGCTCTTGCTTGCTTGCTCTTGCTTGCTGCTTGATTGCTCGCTCTACTCGACTGCTTGCTCTGCTCGATTGCTTGCTCTGCTCGATTGCTGCTCGATTGCTGATCGATTGCTGCTCGATTGCTGATCGATTTCTGCTTGCTCGACCATCGTAAACTTTTCTCTAGCTTTTGTCAATTTATCTACTATATTCAAAAAGGATATGTAAAACTCCAAAAAAATCGATAGACTAATAGACAAGATTACAGTAGTCAAAGTCAACTGATTGACTTTGGATTGGGTAATTGACAACTTAAAGTTGGTATGCTTTAGACAAACTCAAATACATTCAAGGATTAATGGTGGAAATTCAAAGGGTTACTGTAAAGGGTTACTGTAAAGGATTACTGTAAAGGATTGCTGTAAAGGATTGCTGTAAAGGATTGCTGTAAAGGGCTACTGTACTTCTTGCCTCATTACAGTGCAATATGCAACACTTAGACTAGTGCTTATTAAATTTAAGCTAAAGCTGACCAGAGAACCCTTTGAAGTTCGATTTTAGAAGCGATTTGGTTTCAAGGTGCAAACGCTGGTTAAGAGCATCCACAAAACTGCTTTCAAATCCTACTTATCATAAATGACAGCCAATGACAGCCTCACGACACATGAGTCAAAATGTCATAAGCCATTTTTGAGATATAAGTCTTCAAAGTTTAGCTTCAAAGAGCCTAAGCCTAAGCCTGAGCCTACTTAAAGTCTTGGCGCTGATCGATCGGCGTGTCTAGCCTAGTGGATAGTGTGTTAGCGCGTTGGCTTTACTTTGTGCCTGGTTCGAATCCACTGTCGAACTACTTAGCGTACTTGTTGTCTAGTTCGCTCTACAAGCTTGAAAGCTACAAGCGACATTGAAATGACTTGGCTTTGGCTATCAAGCCAAGTCTTTGGCTATTCATATTTGAATCAAGGATTCACCTTTGACTCAAGGTTTCATATTTGAATCAAGAATTTATATTTGAATCAAGAATTCACATGTCAAGACCTCCTCTTAATCAAAGAGGTTCGTAAAAACTTTCATCGGATCTCTTTCAAACAAATCCGGTGTCAAGCGGTGGCGGTGCTTTAGATCTCAAAGAGAAAGAGTTCTCAAAGAAAAAGAGATCTCAAAGAGAAAGAGATCCCGTAAAAGTGTTACTAAACACAAATATCTAGGCAAAAAAAAAGAGAAAAGAGGTGGTAAAGATGGGACCTGACCACAGATAGGATCCCACGCTGTGTGTCCCATCTTGTGATCCCCTTTGAAATCCTTGTCTCTTAACTCTTGACGCCCGGGGGCACACCCGTGGCAGTGGGGGCTAATCGCCTTCGAAATCCCCACCGCTCCACCCACCTTTTTTTTTGAAGAGAGAAACTTGACCTTAGTCATTTCAAATTAGCTCATATTACCTTGGCGTCTAGTCAATTTCAAATTCGATACTGCTTAACATGACGAGACTTGGCTTGCACAGGATCAAGCTTGGTGTCACGATCTTGCGATTGGTATATATTTAAAAATCAAAATTTAAAACCTAATCCAGTCACTTGGAATCTACTTTGAGCTGTCCTAAAGGCTGTTCTTTGGGCTTTGTTCTTTGCTCGATGATTTTGAAGCCTAAGTCTAAGCATAGGCCCGTTTATTGGACTGAATCGTGTTCACAAAGTCGATCCTCTTCAAAATTCGAATCCCCAATCCACTCCAATTCTGTATTATTGTCCAAAAGTGGTGTCCACTTATTGTCCAGTCTAACCCAGTCACTTGGAATCTAATTTTGCTAAGCTGAAAAGCTGTTGATGATCCTGGCTAGGCCAATCAGCTGAATTCTGGCATCAGCTAGGCTAGGCTAGGCCAATCAGCTGAATTCTGGCATCAGCCAGGCTAGGCTAGGCTAATCAGCTCAATAGACTATCGAAAGCTCTTAAAACCTTTCATCAATTCGTCATTTCAAGCCTATCAATCAAGTTTATCTATGCTAATTAAATGTTTTTTAGATATTTGATAAGATAACAAAGAAATGCTTTATACTTTTTCATAAATCAATGCAAATTTGCAGCTGTCCACCGCCGAGCTCACACGGCCTTCGCTGACTCCATTGCGCGTGCAGAACAAGAACTTCGAGGCAATCAAATCACCGGTGAGCTTTAATCGTAAAATATTGTGGGCGAAATTTGATTTTAATACAGTTATGGTACTCATACGAATTATCGTATTTAAATGATTCAAATGATTCGTTTTTGCAGCCTCTAGCCGAGCCAGAAGACACCACCTCAACAGGAACTCAAACCACCGCTCGCACCTCATCAACCCTTCCAAAAGAGCCAGTCATCATCTATGATGAGAAATTGTAAGGGAAAAAGATTAGAGTTAAAGGGTTAGACTTAAAGGGTTAGACTTAAAGGGTTAGACTTAAGGGGTTAGACTTAAGGGGTTAGACTTAAGGGGTTAGACTTAAGGGGTTAGACTTAAGGGGTTAGACTTAAGGGGTTAGACTTAAGGGGTTAGACTTAAGGGGTTAGACTTAAAGGGTTAGACTTAAAGGGTTAGACTTAAGGGGTTAGACTTAAAGATTAACCTTAATAGATTAAGCTTAAAAGATTAGCCTATTAAATCTCCATAACAATTGCATTTAAAATTGTACAGAAAACTTACAAGTTAGCCTTTTGTCTTTTGTCTTTTGTCTTTTGTATCTTTGTGCAAGTCTTTTGATTCTTTGCCCAAAACAAACAAATTGTAAGACACAAATTTGCTATGAAAAGTAGATAGAAAAAGGGAAAAAGGCTTGAATTTGCATTAAAGTTTCAAACAAATTTCAATCCCACATTTTCAGAGGTGAATACGTTTACCCAATGGATGAGATGCTCGAGAAACAGCTTGAACAAGTCGCCTATTTTTGTCGTTTACCCCCAAAAGATGTGTTGATGTTGAATCTTTTGGCGCATCCAGAAGGCGCTTTTGTTGTTCGATATTCGGAAAGTCGGAGAAGGTTTGTATTTTAGAAGAAGATTTTAAAAAAGCTTCAAACTTTCAAAGGATTTTCTCTTGTGAATTTAAAGTTTCGTACTTTCAGCTTGGCACTATCTGTTCGAGTTCCCTATTCGCATAATGTGAACGGCGTTTCGAACTATTTAATCGTCAGAAACGAGAAAGGCTTTAAAATAAAGGTATTCTTTTATAAAGTTATTATAGATTGTAAAAGGCTTTCTGAAATAGAGATAGAAAAGTTAATAAACTTTTCTTTATTAAACTATTCTAGTGTGGCATTGCTGAGAAATACTTCCCATCACTTCAAACCCTCGTCACGCATCATTCAGTGATACAAGTGAGTGAAAAGCTTGATAGTAATCCGTTTGTTTTCTCAAGAATAGTATCTTTTGTCAAGTAATCTTTTGCTAACTCTATCATTCTTCTATCATCCTTCTATCATTTCTATATTCTTCAGGAACAACTCCCTTGCCGCTTATTGTTCGTTCAATGGAAACAAAGTGATTGGAAAGCACAGAAGAAAGAAAGAGACACAAAAGAAATGAAAGAATTGAAAGTGATTGATGAAGATGGAGAAGAGAAACAAAATAGGAATAGCAAGGTGAGCTTTAGCTGCGGATTACTGTAGCTATCTTTATTTCCTACCATTCTTTGCCTTTGTCGAGTTATCTATAACTCTTCATTAGCTGACTGTCATCTATTAGTAGAGCTATATCACTCTGGATTAACGTTAACGGACTATTAGAGTGACTCTGGATAGTTAACGGACTATTAGAGTTCGTTAACTATCCAGAGTCACTAAAAATTTATGTTTTTCTTTGGGCATAGTCTAAGTCTCAAGTATGACTAAATAAATAGAAAAGAAAGTCGATTTTGACAGCATGGCGTCGATCATTTGGATATCAAAGCTTGATCTATCGTCTATAAACTAATGGCTATTTAAAAAAAGCTTTAAAGTTTAAAATCAAAGCTTTTATTAAGGTTATCAGTTCAAAAAAGCTTTGATTTCAATAGCTTTCTCATTTATTTTATTTTAAAGCAAAAAAAAACGCTCACTAAAGCTTTTCACGCGATCAAAGCCGCGCCCGCAATCAAAGTCGCGCCCGCAATCTAAGCCGCGCCCCTCGCTGCGCACAGACGGATAAACGCTTTATATATTAGTAAAAGTTGTAGAAGAGCTTTTGAATAATGTAATGGTAATCGTTTGCTAGCTTTTCAACAATATGCTAATGATTTCTTTACAGATCTATCTTATCGAGTGTGATGAAAATCGAAATACTTGTTACTTTGATGAGCCTCCCTTTAAAGCCAACTATTTACAAATGAATCGCGATCACGAGTTATTGTGGAGTACAACAATGACAACTCCTAAATCAAGGAGGTGAGACTTTAAATCTATCGAATTAAATCGACTTACTCTTTTCTAAATTTTACGATAAAAACCATAGTATTTAAAGAAAATAGTAGATTGGGATCGGGAAAATTGCGCCGAATCGAATTGCCATTTACCAGAGCTTTCGTTTTGTGTGAATCTGGTATCAAAATGTAACCCTTCAATTCAGCTACACGAGCATATAAAAAACTTTTCAAAAAACTGTTGTTAAGTAAAAGAAAAATGGCCGCAAAGTGAGAGCACTAGACATGGGATCGGTCGGTTGTTCTTTGCGCTCCAACGTAAACTAAATCGATCTGGCACATCAAAATCCTCATTTTTCTTGCAGCAGCGGGAAAAATTGGGATTTTCGTGTGCCAGTTCGATTTAGTTTACGTCGAAGTGCAAAGAACGACCGACACTGAACGACGACCGTCTAGTACACACCCATACAAAAGACGGCACGTCGTGGTTCGTATTGCGATGTACAGTCGGTGCGTTGTACAGTCACTTTGCGGCCATTTTTATTCCTATTTAGTTCCTTTGAAGCTCCTTTAAAGCTCCTTTATAGTTCCTATTTAGTTCCTTTGAAGCTCCTTTAAAGCTCCTTTAAAGCTCCTTTAAAGCTCCTTTATAGCTCCTTTAAAGCTTTCCTTGTACTAAACAGCAGTTTTTCGATGAGTTTTTTATACCATCATTTAGCTGAATTGAAGAGCTACATTTTGATACCAGACTCGCACAAAACGAAAGCTCTGGCAAATGGAAATTCGATTCAACGCAAATTTTCCATTTTTAGACAGTTGCTCAATAATCCCACATATTTTACTATTTAAATTCGAGCTTTTATTGTATTTACTAAACCAATCAACGTTTTTTTTCTTTTGCAGATCTCGTCAATTCACCGACTCAAAGCGGCGCTCGCGTTTCGTCGAACTCGAGCAATTGTAGAAAAAGAAAATTGCAATTGCAAACACTAAACACCTATAGCATAAAGAAAATTTGCATATTTTGCATATTTGCAATTTGCATATCAAAATCCAATCAAATAACATAAAGAAAATCTTTATTTTTTCGTGAATCTTGTCGAAAACCGGTGTGATCATTTGTTATAAATTTTTGTCTCTTTTCTTTTATCAAAAAACGGGGTAGGCTACTTTGCGCCAAATTTGGGTCATCCGCAACTGGATCATCCACAACTGGGTCATTTACGCAACTGGGTCATCCACAACTGGGTCGTCCACAACTGGGTCATCCACAACTGGGTCATCCACAACTGGGTCATCCACAACTGGGTCATCCACAACTGGGTCATCCGCAACTGGGTCATCCACAACTGGGTCATCCACAACTGGGTCGTCCACAACTGGGTCATCCACAACTGGGTCATCCACAACTGTGTCGTTTGCGCAACTCACCATAACTTTCTTCTAAGTGAACCAATCTTTATGATTTTGTTTTCATTTTGTCGATCTCAAGAAGTGCAACAAAATGACATCAAAAATCATAAAGATTGGTTCACTTAGAAGAAAGTTATGGCGTTACTTAGAAGTTACTTAGAAGTTAGTTCAATTTTCCGCTTTTTATTCCGCTTACGAGCCTCGTCCTGAACTTTTCGGGGTAGGCCATTTTATCTTCCGCCATTTTAAAGCGGAAAATTGAACTAACTTCTAAGTAACGCCATAACTTTCTTCTAAGTCGACCAATCTTTATGATGTTGATTTCATTTTGTTGCACTTCTTGAGATCTACAAAATGAAACCAAAATCATAAAGATTGGTCCACTTAGAAGGAAGTTATGGTGAGTTGCGCAAACGACACAGTTGCGGATGACCCAGTTGCTGATGACCCAGTTGCGGATGACCCAGTTGCGCAAAAAATTTGGCGCAAAGTAGCCTACCCCCAAAAAGCCTTTTCACTAACAATTTCTCCCTATATCACCAAAAAATTAACTCAAATTTTCCAAAAAACTAACCATTGAATTGATCGGGTTAAAGTACCATTGTATAATATTTGAATGATTTCATTTGAATTGTCTTTTTTTGGATTATTCTACACTACTGGACAATGAAATATGATATTTGAAAAAAGATCGTCACTTTCGCGCGTCTGTAACTCCCTTGTCTTTACGGTATTTCTAAATATTAATATTACCATTGTGTAGCGCTTGAAAAGAGCTTTCAGAAAATGTATAACACTAATAGTTTAAACTCAAAGACAAGGGAGTTACAGACGCGCGAAAGTGACGATCGTTTATTCAAATATCATATTTCATTGTCCAGTACTGTACCTTTTTTTGGCTATTTGCATATACGCTTTATCAGACACTATTGTTAAAATATTTAATTTTTTAAACAAATAAATACTCTCTGCTATAAAGTTATCGTAAATCAATGAATCAATTTACATATTCAAGAAACAGCCTGATTTTGTGCACTCATCTCAAAAGTGGCATCATTAACGGATACAGTGTTGTGCTTGAAGACCTAGAAAAGTTGAGATAATGTAGTTTTATATAAATATTATTTAAATATTATATAAATATTATTTAAATAATATCTAAATATCTAAATATCTTGATAGATCTATATTTTAAAGTTCAAAAAAAGCTTACTCGATTCCCGACAACAAAGAATAAAACTCCTAGCTGGACTAGAGATAAAATCGATGAGCCGAGAAAGAGAGAGAGCTGGAAATTTCCATTTAAAAAGCTAAAACAATATTTTTTTTAGTAATTGAGGTAATGAAATAGGTATACGATAGCATTTACTGTACTTTACCTGCTTCTTTACCTGGCCGGTTACTTTACCTGGCCGGTTACTTTACCTGGCCGGTTACTTTACCTGGCCGGTTACTTTACCTGGCCGGTTACTTTACCTGGCCGGTTACTTTACCTGGCCTCCAATTTGTGCAAGAAGACCGAAAAAGGTGATTGTGTAGAAGCCGGTAAACTCCTCGTATTGGAGATCGTTGTAGAAGATATCCACTCGGAATGAAGCAATCGGGTTCTAGCAAGTTATAAAGTAAAGTAAGAAATGGAAAAGAAAGATTTCTGGAAAGGGGATTGAACCCTCGACCTTTTTCCTTTTTTTGCTTTCTGGGCAGATGCTCCAACCACTGAGCTATCTGGTATCTGGTTGTTAGGGAAGAAAGAGAGAATACAAAAAGGAAGAGGAAGGAAGAAAGAGAAGGAAAGGAAGAAAAAGAAAGAAAGAGAAGGAAAGAGAAGAGAAGATTAATAAGTTAAAGGTCTTGATTATTGTATTTTCCCTAATATTAGGCTGAGCTTCATCTAAATTGCTCGAAATCTCGAGAACCGCTTATCAGAACCTATCGATGTGGGGTCGAAAAATGTAGCTACGATCGAGATCTAGTGGGGGAATTAGAGTGTTGAGCTTCTGTGAAAACCAGGCAACCGTAAAATAGTCATCAACTCGGCTCGGCGCGTTGCACTACTGTTAGGAAAACTTCAATTTAAGTACTTTGCACGACTCACGAATCGACAACAACCAGTACGCAATCTCGTTTACCCATTACAAGTGATTTTTATGCACAAAAAAAACAGTTAAATTTATGTACCGTATATCTAATAGCAGTGCACCCTGAGCGTCGCCTAAATTGCTCGAAATCTCGAAAAGCGCTTATCAGAACCTATCGATGTGAGGGCGGAAAATGTAGCTGACGATGAGATCTAGTGGGGGAATTGAGTGTTGAGCTTCTGCAAAAGCTTGGGAACGGTAAAATAGGCACAACCGGGGCGTTGTATAAGAGAAAATAGGGCGTTGTTCACCGTGGACAACTCGGCACAAAATAGGCACAACTCGGCTACAAATCTACCGTAACAAATCCAACAAAGCAAAGAGCGGAACTACTGGATTTTCTTCACAAAGCTTAAAGAAGCTGGTAATAAAGGAGAAGCTGATCGCAAAGAAGCTAGTCCCTAATACTAGTCCATAAGCTTGTCTAAATTGCTCGAAATCTCGAGAACCGCTTATCAGAACCTATCGATGTGAGGGCGGAAAATGTAGCTGACGATGAGATCTAGTGGGGGATTTGAGTGTTGAGCTTCTGCAAAAGCTTGGGAACGGTAAAATCGTCATCAACTCGGCTAGGCGGAGGGAGAATACGTTGTGTCCAATTCGATTCAAACGCCGCTTCCGTCAAAGCTTTTCTCGTAATCGTTTATCCGAATCCGAACAAAAAGAGTTCTGTTCAGAGTCCTATTCGGATTTGTAACATAGATACAACAGCTAGCCATGTACAAGCTGTTTTTTGATTTCAAAACTCACTGGCATGATCACTCGTTCCATTGAGGCGCTGTACTCCCAACGATTACACGCGAGAATGCACTGAAATCAAAGGAATATTCGAAAAACGAGCAAACAACTTTGTGCAAAGCTACCTTGTGCTTATGATAGTGAATATTCTGCACAGTCTCATTGTAGTTATTGGCAACAATCGAAGGATCGCAGCTAAAAGTCTTTTTCATCAAATATTCAACGAGAATGATGCAAAATTTCATTACCTCTCCAAGCCGGTCTCTCTTAAACGATCCATATACGGATATGTGCAATTGTGAATATCTTCAAGGTAATTCTTCAGCCATGAATTGAGATAACATGTCGATTTCCCCATAGAGCTGTATTTCTCGGTGCAAACCGATTTTTCTTCAACGAGATTCATGTGAGTGGCTTTGATCTACGAAATGACAATCGTACTTTGTGCTCTATAAACGCATACTCTCTGGCACAGTCAGTTTATGATTCTTAATCAGTCGAAAAACGAAAACTGGATGTTTTGAGGCCAAGCCGCCAAGCTTGGCAAAAATCAAAGTTGAGTGGAACTACCGGAGTCGAACCCGGGTCGTGTGAGCCATAGAAATTTGGGCTCCCGACTGCGCCATAGTGACCTTGTAACCGGGCCTGATTTAGCTGGTTTTTCTTTGTCACCAAGCGGGGAGAAATTAGGCCATGGTGACAAAGAAAAACCCGCTAAATCGGGCCCGGATAGAGGGTCAGTATGGCGCAGTGGGGAGGCCAAATTTCTACGGCTCACACGACCCGGGTTCGGTCCCCGATTGTGCCAGTCAACTTCGATTTTTATTTAAATAAGTAATTTTTATTTTAAATAACACAACTCTATCATATTTTAATGATTTTTTAAAAATTTCAGCTGTATAAAATGTATTACGGTAGAATATCGAACCTGTAGCCTCATGAATGTGTTTTGATAACGGGGAATTCGATTCAGCGCAAATTTTCCACTTTTAGACAATTGCCCAATAATCCCACATATTTTACTATTTAAATTCGAGCTTTTATTGTATTTACTAAACTAATCAACGTTTTTTTTCATTTTTAAAAACTTTCAGCTGCATAGAATGTATTGGGCATAGAATGGATTGGGTTACAAAATAGTAAAAACGCGCATTCATAACTGGAAAACCCAATATTACGGTAGAATCTCGAACCTGTAGCCTCATGAATGTGTTTTGATACAAATAAAAGCGGGGAAACGGTGCATATAAAAATCTTTTCGAAAAACTGTTGTTTAGTAAAAGAAAAATGGCCGCAAAGTGAGAGCACTAGAAATGGGTTCTGTCGGTTGTTCTTTGCGCTCCAACGTACACTAAATCGACCTGGCACATCAAAATCCTCATTTTTCTCTCAGGAGCAGGCATCGCGAGAAAAATTGGGAGAAATTAGGCCATGGTGACAAACAAAAACCCGCTAAATCGGGCCCGAATAGAGGGTCAGTATGGCGCAGTGGGGAGGCCAAATTTCTACGGCTCGCATGACCCGGGTTCGATTCCGGCAGTGCCACTCAACTTTGATTTTTATTTAAATAAGTAATTTTTATTTTAAATAACACAACACTATCATATTTTAATGATTTTTAAAAATTTCAGCTGGATAGAATGCATTACGGTAGAATCTCGAACCTGTAGCCTCATGAATGTGTTTTGATACAAATAAAAGCGGGGAAACGGTGCGATTTCCGGTTTCTCATCACCAATGTAGGCGATTAATTCCTGAATTTGAGGAGTGCATGAATTTTTTTTCAAAACTTCAACTCGTTGCGTTGAATTGAGAAAATCCGTGTACTGATTGAGGCGGATTGTCACTTTTCCTTGCTCATCGAAAGTTGTCTGGACAATTCGGTTTTAATTTCAGTCTCTAGATTGAAAATTCTGGGTTTTCTAGAAGGTTCTCTATCTTTTAGGCTCGAAAACTTGTAGGTTTTTGTTTAAAATCGCTATTAAAATGTATCTAAACTAGATTTGGTACTACCCATTTACTTTAAACAACTTTAAACAATTAACTAAAGTTAAATCTATAACATTATTTTATCTACTTTAATACCAAAAGTCTCTTACTTCTGAAAAATAAGACACTTTTTTAAAGGATCTGAAAGAATATATAAAAACGGGAATTTATAACCGGATAGTGCTCTAATTTTCTAATATTTTTGCTTTAAAATTTTGAAAAGAGCTCTAAAAGAAGGGAAAAGAGTGTTTTCTGTGATATGGCCTCTCTCCTCCCCTCCCCTTTTCCCCTTTCACCCACCCTTATCCCTGTCCGTTTCCCCCTGCCCACCGTGCCGCCATAGCTCAGTTGGTTAGAGCGTGGGTCTAATAAGCCCAAGGTCGCAGGTTCGACCCCTGCTGGCGGCAAATCTTTTTGATTTTAGTTTAATTTGCAATCGGCAGGGATGCCAAACATCGTTTAGATAAGCCTCTCCGTTCCCTAGCCAACGTGCCGCCATAGCTCAGTTGGTTAGAGCGTGGGTCTAATAAGCCCAAGGTCGCAGGTTCGACCCCTGCTGGCGGCAAATTTCTTTTGATCTTGAACCAAGTGTAAGCAATCAAGTTATGGCAAAAAGGGATGTGCATCTGAAGTGAAAGTGTTACATCACTCATACTCTAGTCATTTGTATTTTGCGTGTCATGAAAAAGAAAAGCCAACCTGTTGCAGTGGTTCTTTTAGTCGAAAACATCGTCCACGCCGAATCGCGTAAGTTGGCGTGAAAAGCTGAGTTTATTTTTGTTTTGAAATTAACGATTTCTTGAAATTAACAAATTAACTTTAGTAATTGTAAGGTTTCACAAAGCAATATTTTTTTGAAAAAAAAACCTTTTAAACCTGTTTTAAAAACCCCCCCTTACTTGACAACAATTGATCGGATGAGATCTGAGGAAACACGAGTGAAACAACTCCTCACATTGAAGCCCAAAATGATCGAAAAACTAAAGTTGAGCTTTGAAAAGAATTGCTGTTTCAGACGTTTCAGCAAACGGGTTTACTTACAAAATCGAAAAACTTGTTGACACTGAAAGTCCCGCGAATCGCTTGATAATTATTAATTGTTTCGTTCAAATTCTCAATGGATTGGATATCGATTTTCTTAAAAATTAGAATAAAACTAAAAGTTTAAAATTAAATTTAAAGTTTTAAATAAAATTTAAAGTTTTTAAATTAAATAAAAGTTTTAAATAAAATTCAAAATTTTACTTGAAAACCACTGCCAGCGATCATAAATTTTGCAAAGTCAGCGGAAAAAAAGTTGAAAATTTGAAAGTTTTCCACAACATAGTCGTTCAATTTCGTCAAATTGACGCTGCTGGGAGAGGTGGGACAAATCGTGATAAACGGCAGGGGAAAACTCTCAACCTGCAGATCATTTTAAGAACAAAAACCTGAGAGATTTTGAAAATAGATTATAAATTGAGTATAGTAAAGCTTCTTCTTACGAGGTAGCTATAACTATTTACCATCTCTGATCGACTTGAAAATTCAAATCGGAGATGTACAGTTGACGATTACGCAATCCGATAGAGAACGGAGATTTTTGTTTTACCAGGTTTACTCGTTTTTTGGTTGTACCTGTTTTCGGCTTTACCGGTTTTTGATTTAAAAGCAAAAAATGTCGTGGAAGGAGTTGAACTGGCGATTGTTGGGATACTAGCCCAGGCCCTAACCACTCGGCCACTGGGTCACGTTGATTGGGCGTTTGAGAGCCTCCTTTAAAGAGTCCCATCCCCACCCCCCCTCAAAAAATTAATTTTAAGCGAAAAACTTTGAAACCTTTTACAGTCAAATCTCGATTTAACGATTCTCTCGATTTAACGATGTCAATTTTTGGTCTCTTGAAAGCTATTTACCTTATAAAGACGTTCGATTTAATGATGGAGAATCCCGGTCTCTTGAGAATCGTTAAATTATGGTTTAACTGTATTTCAGTTATTTTTAGCATTTAGAAGCTAAAAAAGCTAAAAACTTTAGAAAATACTTATTTTGTGATGTTTTTTAATCCAGTGTAACTTTAAAATCAATCTAAAATAATGAATAGTTATAATCCCCTCGTTAGTTCTTGATAATAAGTTCTTGATAATAATACATTAAGCCAGAAGTAGAATCATTTCAATTCTAATCAATACGAACGAAATCTAGCCGGCTTTTTAACTTATTAGAGTGGCTAGTTGTTTGAAAGTACGATAATTATTGCGTTCACTGTGAAACGTGCTTTTAAAACCCACCAACCGACTTCACTTCGACCCGGGTCACCGTTGGATGATTCGTGTACTCTTCGATCACTCTAAGAAAAGTTAAAACAGAAAAAAAACAACGCACATCGGCGCGAAAATGCGTTTTCTATCGGATTTTTCTGGGAGTACCTTTTTGAGATGCGGAAACTTGTGCTGACTCCGAATCTGAAACAATTGGTTCGGCTCTCCCGCGCACTTGAGCTATTATTTTGCATATTCCTTAATTGTTTTGAGTGAATAGCTACATTGTTCTTTTGAACAAAACAATTGTGCAATCGAGAATTTTTTAAATTTTCTCATTTCTTTTTCAAAAAATGTTATAACTTTTTGTAGAGTTGAGCAAATTTTATGATTTTTGCATCAAAATGTTCGTAAGAGCCTTTAGAATAAAAATTATCCCTTCGTTTCTGGTTCTAAACCCTCGTTGTCGAATTACGAGCTCCAAACTGCAGGGTACCACAAAATTTCCCATACAAAATGACCAAAAAATGGCTCAAACTCAATTTTAAAAATTTCTGTCAGAGGGATTTGAAAAATTCCTTCAGATTCGGAATCAGCACAATTTTCCGCATCTAAAAAAGGTACTCCCAGAAAAATACGATAGAAAACGCATTTTTGCCTTATTTCGCGCCGATGTGCAACGAATCAACTCACTTGACTACTGTAAAAAGTCCACCAAATAGACAAATGAATAATAAGAAAAACCAGCTAACACAGTACCATCGTTTTTTAGCCTAAACTTAAGTCTAAATCAAGTTTGTTAAGTTTGTTAGTCGTTGATAGTCGTTGTTAGTCGTTGTTAGCCGTTGTTAGTCGTTCTTAGTCGTTGTTAATCGTTGTTAATCGTTGTTAGTCGTTCTTAGTCGTTGTTAGCCATTCTAGTCCATGTTAACAAACTGATCCATACCGGTAAATCATAGATTTTATTGATCCTGCCTTTCTCTACAGAAGAATAACCTGTTCTAGCCTATTCTATCAAACTTTAGAAATCAGTTTAGAGAAGTACCTATGATAGATATGCCTTTGAACTGGTCTGGAATGGATACCCAGCTCACGAGTATAACCTCCACAGCAAAAAAGATTTTGTTGAAAATCGAAAATCTAAATCATAAAAATTATAGGGTGATATCCAGATAAAATGAAAAAAACAAAATAAAGAAAATTGCTCTCGTCAATTTTTCAGAATAATCGCGAACTCTCCACCACCACTGCAGTTCAAAATTGAAAAGAGCAATTTTATTTCAATTGCTTTTTTTTCTTTTATCTGGATATCACTCTATAATTTTTATGATTTAGATTTTCGATTTTTCAACAACAAATTTGTCCTCGATGTGCTGATCTAGAAATTTGGCCCGGGATCAGTTCGCTGTCATTTTTGACAAGTTCATCTTCATCTATTCATTGAAATCTTAGACAATAGACTTTGTTAAGCATGTTAATATTAGAAAGAAACCAACCACGAGAACGTTGTGAAATCCGAGATAATCCAACCCGGGATAGTCCTCATCCAAGGTCTTGCTCACCAGCTCTCTTCTTCCTTTCTTCACGATTTTTCTACTTTTCCTTAGAATTCCAATTTTTAGAGCCATTTAGAGCTAAAAAAAAGGAATATTCGATAATCGAAATGAAAATAGAGAAAATAGAGAAAATAGAGAAAAACAATGTCAACAAACAATATTTTTTACAATGTCAGTCAACAAAAGCCACCTCGTTAAGCCGATAAACTTTCCCCAATCTCTCTTTTTTTCATTTTTAGTCATGGTTTTACTTTTTTCTCAGTCAAATTTACATAAAGTTTATTTTCAAACACATCAATTAATTGAAAACAATGAATACAATGAGAAAGGCTAGCATTTTAGAGAAATTTAACGTTTCGCTGGCTTTCGTCGTCGCTCTAGCCTAAAAAATGTTTAGTTGATTACAGCTGGAATTGAAATTGTTCTTTTGAAAGACTTTTGAAAGACTTTGAAAGATTTTGAAAGATTTTGAAAGACTTTTGAATAAGGCACACTTTTAGAGTTCATAACTTTCTTTATAGCTAATACTAATAGCTAATATTAATAGCTAATATAATAGCTAATACTAATAGCTAATATTAATAGCTAATATAATAGCTCCAATCAATTTCTCGACCCCGGAAACCTGCTAGTCCCAGCTAAATATCTTTTTCCATGACCAAGAACAAAAAATAAATCTCAATGTAAATGACTGGTGAGGTGATCTTTGTGCAGCCGCGTTATCGCTCGCGATCTGGAAACCCTCGGGCATGCGGTGGTTTTCGTTTGGCCATATAAAGGATTCGTAAATTTGTCAAGTAAATTCCGTAAAGCCAAAGCCAAAGGCCATTAAGCCAAAGTCAAAGCCGTCAAGCCAAAGCCGTCAAGACAAAGCCATCAAGCCAAAGCCATCAAGCCAGAGCCGTAAAACCAAAGCCGTCAAGCCAAATCCGTAAATCCAAAGCCATAAATCCAAAGCCATAAATCCAAAGCCGTCAAGCCAAAGCCATCAAGTCAAAGCGGTCAAGCCAAAGCCATAAATCCAAAGCTGTCAAACCATTTTGTTATCAGTTAAACTGAACAGTGTTTTTCTTTTGTTTTTTGTATTCAAAGTCACCGTTGTTGTGGTTGTTGTGGTTGTTGTCGTTGTCGTTGTCGTTGTGGTCGTTGTTGTCGTTGTCGTTGTTGTCGTTGTCGTCGTTGTCGTCGTTGTCGTCGTTGTCGTCTCTTCCATCGGATTCTCACATTGCCCACTCACACTTCTTACATTGTCATTTGGACACACAACAACTGAAAATAAAAACAATTTATTCGAAAACATAAATAATTGATCAAATTAAGGTGATTTTCTCGGGGTTTGTAGTCTCTCGAAATAAGGTGAATCTGAAAAAGAAAAAGCGCCTTTTTTCGAGGATTAATAGACTAATAGACTATTTTCTTCTAATCTATGACTAATCAACTTTAATCTAAGTATTTTACAGTAATCTTTAACATCAACTTACATCTTTCTATTCTCATCATCGGGCCTCGACTCGGCAATGGATTTGTGCCATTGTTGTAGTCGGGTTTATCAGGTGGATAGTCACCGGCGAGTGCTGGGACAACCTGAAATAGGAAAAAAAGAAATGACGAATTCAAAATCCTCATCCTCGAAAACCCCTTGATTTTCAGCCGAAAATTCTCAGCCGAAATCGTTTTCAAAAGCTTTAAATCAAGTGCTACCAATAATCAACAAGGCCGTCTTGTTTTGTTAATTTGTTAAGTCTACTTTTTACAATACAATCGAAAAACTTTAAATAATTGACCCTTGTCCACGCGATATCATCCGTATATCGATAGACACTGTCCGCCATTTTCAGTCCGCCCATCGTTGGGTCATCCAAAATGTAATAGTTATTCACTCCCCTTTGTTGCACCGGTTTCCACTCATCCGTCAATGTGGGCTTTCTGTAAAGTTAACCTTTTGGAAATTGGAAATGGAAATTGGAAATGGAGATTGGAAATGGAGATTGGAAATGGAAATTGAAAATTGAAAATTGAAAATTGGAAAACTTTCAATATTCACATGAATATACAAAAGAAAATCTCTGGAAACTGACGCAAATCTCGCGAAATTCGTCCACTTCTCTCCATACCAATCGGCGAGTTTGTAATCAAAGGCAGTGACCTGGAAAAAAGATTTTTATTTAAAAAAGAAGACTTTAAAAAGATTTCTTAAATAGATTACAATAATATTACAAGAATATTAAAATAATATTAAAATAATATTACATTTAAATGAAAGTATCTAGTTTTGTTAAAAGTATTTTAGGCTTTAAGCGAAATGAAATATTGACCATATTTGCAGCAATAGCCGGTTTCCAGAGGGTTTCTTGCACCCAGATGAAACCCAATTCGGCCGTGTGAGGAACAGCTGAAATATTTTTCGATTTTCGAAAAACTCGATAACCTATAAGCTATATGACTTATAAATTATGAATTCTAGATTCTCTATCTTGTAAAGATGTCTATCTTGTAAAGATGTCTATCTTGTAAAGATGTCTATCTTGTAAAGGTGTCTATCTTGTAAAGATGTCTATCTTGTAAAGATGTCTATCTTGTAAAGATGTCTATCTTGTAAAGGTGTCTATCTTGTAAAGATGTCTATCTTGTAAAGATCTCTATCTTATAAAGATCTCTATCTTATAAACATCTCTATCTTATAAACATCTCTATCTTATAAACATCTCTATCTTATAAACATCTCTATCTTATAAACATCTCTATCTTATACGTTTGTAAGTGAGTTGATCAACGGTTGTGTCATTCCAATCGCGGCCAATTTTTGACGCGTAGGTTTGCTCAAATAGGTAGACCTAAAGAAAATTTGCATAAATTTGCATAAATTTGCATAATCTAAATCTTATTCTTATGCCTTTTTAGTTAAAGGAGAGATTCCTAGCTTAAAGTTTAAAGCAGTAAGCTTTAAGTACTGGAACCAGTACTTAAAGCCAGGACCCTAATGTCTTCTAGAACCATAGCTTTGGATTAGGGTAGAGGAAAGTTGAGAAATTTCTCACGAAATGCTAGTAAAGGTTTTTATGATAATTTTCATTAATCCAATAGCTTTTTACACCTCTTTATTCCCATTGACAAGCCAATTATCCAACTCGCGAACGATAAAACCGGTAAAACCGGCGGCAGTGAAAATCTAAAAGAAAAGAATGTAGAGAGCTTTGAGAAATTTCGAATATTAATATTAATATTCGATCTATATTAATTACATTTATATAGCTACTATTATAATATTATAAATAATTTACAAGTAACTTTACAGGTTTTCTCGTGGCTAAAGATCTCTTGACTTACATCACTGGACATCTTGAACCACGCCGCGTTGTCCGTCTCAGTGAGTCCTGGTGGGGCGTAGATCTAGAAAAAAGCTTTCTCTAAACGAATCTTTTCCAATTTCGTAAGCTTTTTAAGCTCTGTAAACAGTTTTGTAGGCTTGTAAACAGTTTTGTAGGCTTGTAAACAGCTTTGTAAGCTTTGTAAACAGCTTTGTAAGCTTTGTAAACAGCTTTGTAAGCTTGTAGACAGTTTTTTAAGCTTTATAAACAGCGTTGTAAGCTTTGCAAGCTTGTAAACAGCTTTGTAAGCTTGTAAGAAATAATTTTTGTCACTTTATCTAAAAAAAACCTTTTCCAGTACACCCATCACATCGTTTTGTCGATCGCCCAAGAAAGCCGCTTGATCACCGAATAAATTCTCAAAGAATTCGCGATCAAAAAACTTCAATGGAATCAATTTTGCTATTTCGAGAACTAAAAAGGCTTTTGATTACTTTTGTTTACTTTTGATTACTTTTGATTACTTTTGAACCGAAACTACCGAAACTAGCGAGTACCGAAAACTATTTTGATGCTGAAAGAGTCGAAATTTCGACACTTTCTTCAATACAAACCTATTTTTGTGTTTAAAGAAAAAAGATAGAGCTTATTTGATTCTATAAGTCTGTAAAATTTGAAAAAAATCTGTTCAGCTGTTTTCTTGAAAAAAGCAATTGAAAATTTGACAGAAAAACGAGTTTTGTTTAAAAAGGAACCGTATTGGAACCGTCCTGGATCTAAAAAGAACCGTATCGGAACCGTATTGGATCTAAAAAGAACCGTATTGGAACCGTATTGGAACCGTATTGGATCTAAAAGGAAACGTATTGGAACCGTATTGGATCTAAAAGGAAACGTATTGGAACCGTATTGGATCTAAAAAGAACCGTATCGGAACCGTATTGGAGCCGTATTGAAACCGTTATGGAACCGTATTGGATCTAAAAGGAACCGTATTGAAACCGTTATGGAACCGTATTGGAACCGTATTGGATCTAAAAGGAACCGTATTGGAACCGTATTGGATCTAAAAGGAAACTTATTGGAACCGTATTGGATCTAAAAGGAAACTTATTGGAACCGTATTGGAATCGTATCGGAACCGTATCGGAACCCTATTGGAGCCGTATTGGAACCGTATTGAAACCGTTATGGAACCGTATTGGAACCGTATTGGAACCGTATTGGATCTAAAAAGAACCGTATTGGAACCGTATTGAAGCTGAGACGAGCTTAGCTTTCTTTTTAATGATCGTTTTAAATAGTTTAGATCACAATTTGGTAAAGAATTCTTTTCTATGAAAAGGAAAATTATAATATAGCAATAAAAGAACTGACGATAGAAAGCGAACTCATCTCTCATCGAGCCGATAATTGTTGGAATGTTGGGGCGACTCCAGGCAAGATCTTTCGGAATTCCCGGGAAGAAATAATCATCTTGACAAATGTGCCAACCCAAAAGGTTTGTCTAAAAAGTTTTTACTGTTGTGTGAGTACTTTCAGTCACTCAACTTCGACTACTTAACTACTCAACTAGTAAATTCTATAACGTACCCCTTCGAGAACAGTGAAATCTTCAGGTTTCTTCCCAAGCATGCACTCCTTCAATCCAGTCCAATCGTTTGCCTGCCAGCGGTCATCAGTGAAGTTGCAGAGCTAAACTTTCTTTAGTTTTTCCTAGATTTCCTAGAATTGTTTACTTTGTCAGCTCGAAGCTGGCTCAAGTTCGAGAAGCCGAGAGCGCCTTCGAATGAGGTGAGAACAACGCCTGATTCCATGATTGCCTGTTGGAAGAGGCCTGGGAATTGATAAGATTAGATAATTAGATAAGAGAAAGAAAGACTTGAATAAATAGCTTAAGATATTTAAAATTGGATAGCTTAGGCTTAAGTTCTGCTTCTCCAATTTGATCTACATTCTGCTTAGACAAAACTTAAGCTATTTATCAAATCTTAAAGCTTATGTATCAAAATCTTTTCTTAAATCATCACTCTAAGATCTTAAGACAATAACTATTTATCAACATATGAGCTAACAAAAAACTCTATCTCGAAACAAACCTTGTGTAAGTGGTGAGTAAGTGTGCGCAGAAACGGACACTCCGCCAGCCGACTCTCCGAAAAGGGTGACTCTAAAAGAATAAGGTTAATATAAATAGGATATTATTATTAGATAAATCAATGTTTCGAAGAGCCATACTTGTAGGGATTTCCGCCAAAGTATTGAATGTTGTCGCTGACCCAGCGGATAGCTTCGAGCTAAAGTGGGGTGAGTGATTGGTAAGCCAAGTGGATGGCTCAGAAGCCAAGTGGATGGCTCAGAAGCCAAGTGGATGGCTCAGAAGCCAAGTGGATGGCTCAGAAGCCAAGTGATGGCTCAGAAGCCAAGTGATGGCTCAGAAGCCAAGTGGATGGCTCAGAAGCCAAGTGGATGGCTCAGAAGCCAAGTGGATGGCTCAGAAGCCAAGTGGATGGCTCAGAAGCCAAGTGGATGGCTCAGAAGCCAAGTGGATGGCTCAGAAGCCAAGTGGATGGCTCAGAAGCCAAGTGGATGGCTCAGAAGCCAAGTGGATGGCTCAGAAGCCAAGTGGATGGCTCAGAAGCCAAGTGGATGGCTCAGAAGCCAAGTGGATGGCTCAGAAGCCAAGTGGATGGCTCAGAAGCCAAGTGGATGGCTCAGAAGCCAAGTGGATGGCTCAGAAGCCAAGTGGATGGCTCAGAAGCCAAGTGGATGGCTCAGAAGCCAAGTGGATGGCTCAGAAGCCAAGTGGATGGCTCAGAAGCCAAGTGGATGGCTCAGAAGCCAAGTGGATGGCTCAGAAGCCAAGTGGATGGCTCAGAAGTCTCAGGCTCAGCTCTTCTTTCTTTACCTGATCAAGCAGTCCACGATTTGGCGGAAAATCATCAGTGAATGTTGTGAAAAAGCCTATAGTTTGAATTTGAATTTAAAATTGTTAGCTTTGTTCTCACCAATGGCTCCGATTCTGTACTGAACGGTGACAACGACGACACCCCGAGAGACGAGGTTTCGGATTGCACCCTGGGATTTGAGTTTAATAACTCTACTACAAGCTACAGTAAGCTATATTAAGCTACAGTAATCCTAGCTCACAGTAATCTACAACAATCTTAGCTACCTTATAGCCAAATTGTTGTGCACATCCGTTTTTGAAGCCACCCCCGTGAATCCACACCATCACCGGGTACTTGAAGACGGATTTCACCTAGAATTGTTGCATCTAGAGCATATTTCTTTTTGATTTAGGAAAACGATCAAATTGCCTAAGTAGATTAAATTCAAATTAATAGGATTACATTTGGTGAGAAGACATTTAAATAGAGACAATCCTCGCTTTGTTCCGATAGAGCACACGAGCCGCCGGCTAGCTGCGGGCAAACGTCTCTAGAAATTGGATGTAGTTTTTTGATTTTAAAACTGTATATGTTTAGAATTTGATCTCCAAAGATGTTTTAATCTAGGGATTTAATCTAGGGCTTTTATGGCCAAGGCAGCCAAGACAAGATCAGAATTTAGGCCAGAACTGGATCTGGTCTTGCCTAGCATTGCCTAGCAATGCCTAGCCTTGCCTAGCCTTGTCTAGCCTTGCCTAGCCTTGTCTAGCCTTGTCTAGTCCAAAATTCTTTTTAAAGTACCTTTCCTACTTCTTACTTCTCACTTTTAAATTCTTAAGCTGTTACCTGTAATATGTGGCATTCCACGGGTCCTGGGGATACGCACACATCGGAGTCGGCTTCTAAAGCTTTTGTTTTAGAGCTTTTGCTAAAGCTTTGGAGCTTTTTTCAAAACTTTAGAGCTTTTGTTAAAGCTTTAGAACTTTTTTCAAAGCTTTGGAGCTTTTTTCAAAGCTTTAGAGCTTTTTTCAAAGCTTTGGGGCTTTTTTCAAAGCTTTGGAGCTTTTGTTAAAACTATAAAGCTACTGCTAACGCTTTAGAGCCTTTGTTAAAGCTAATAGTGACAGGTTTTTGAAATCTAGGTTCAATGAGAAGTAGGCTAGCTATTCGACGGCTTATTTGTTTAAATTAACAGCTTTAGAATAATCTTTTTTTGCATAGAAATCTAGAATTCTTTACCTGAAACCTCTTGTCACCGAGTGGCGGCTCAACAAAGGGGATCCCAAGGAAAACATCGCCTTGTCCATAGTAGAGTTGACTCTGATCGTTACCGTAATCCGCGCGAAAACCCTAAAGTTTTCAAGATTTAGAAAAAGATTTAGAAAAAGATTATAATTTGATTAAATCCTTACATTCAATGTGCCTCTAGGCGTCTTCACCGAGATCGGCGATCCGTCAGCATCTGCAAGAATTTTGCCCAAGTTTAGAAAGATCAATAGTGATATTCGGAGCACCATTTTTAAGATCTAAAGCTAAATGCTTGAATGCTGAATGTTTAATAAAGTTGAAAAGAAAAAAAAAGCTAAAAACAGAAGATAAACGGTTGAAATTTTGGTCTAATCTGAAGCTTGACTAGATGAGTGCTGAGCTCTTGAGTCAGCTTACAGTCAGCTTACAGTTTGGAGTGAGTGAGTCTGAAGCTCAATAGCTCTTGAGTCAGCTTACAGTTAGGCTAAATGAACTAAGCAAAAGTCGATTTAAAAAGGTCTAGATGAGCTTTATCTTGTATCAAAGTCTCATTTAATATTCTAAGATTCTATAATGAGAATTGAAGACCCTGAAGGCTCTGAAGCCTTAGAGTCTGAAGGCTCTGAAGCAGGAATCAAAAGCTGAGATGAATTCCAAAGTGCTTGTTTGTAGAGTAATCTGTCGACAGGTCATTAAAATTCAAAAAAATTTGAAAGACATGATTTTAATGGTCTTTTTCAAAGGGTTGACACCCATTTTTTCAGTTTTTTTTTCTTTTTGATCTTTTCTTCTTTTAATCACTTCTTCCTGCTTTCTTCCACTAAAAAAATGCTTTTGGTGTGAAATTGTGGAGAAAACTCATAATTTCACGCTATAAATAGGTGAAAAGGTCTTTTGAGTTCTTTTTGATCAAACCGCCTTCTTTGTTTTAGAATGATTTTCGAGTGAATCGGCTGATGAAATTTGAGATCAGTGTTGAAAAGCCGAATTTCAATGGGTTTTTAGGGTCAAAGGGCTTACCGGAAAACGGTTTTGGCTGATGAAACTAAAGCTGTTTCAAGTGGTGCACCAACCGGAATTGATAAACCGGAATGGATAAACCGGAATGGATAAACCGGAATGAATAAACCGGAGTTGATAAACCGGAATGGATAAACTGGAATGGAAAAACCGGAATTGATAAACCGGTGTTGACAAACTGGAGTTGGCAAACCGAAGTTGACAAAACGAAGTTGATAAACCGGTGTTGCCAAAACGAAGTTGATAAACCGGAGTTGACAAACCGGAGTTGACAAAACGAAGTTGATAAACCGGAGTTGACAAACTGGAGTTGACAAATCGAAGTTGACAAATCGAAGTTGACAAATCGGAGTTGACAAACCGGAGTTGACTAGTTTTACTCCAAAAAAATAGTTTGTAAGCCAAGTTTTTCCATCGTTCATCCATTTAAAAAAAGCCCTTCTAAGAAACAGAGAAAGTTTCTGAGAAAATTTCGGGGAATTTAGAGGGTAAAGGTTTTCAAGGCCTTAGCCATTATCCACGAAACTTCTAATCATCGCCAATCAATTCTCCGGATCAATTTACATGGGAAATGTGAGCTAAAAAGATTTAAAACAGGATTTAAAGCGGGATTTAAAGCGGATTTAAAGCGCTTGTGAAGCTAGAGCCAGAAGGGTTTAAAGTTGGGCAAAGTCGTAACAATTTAAAATGTAAATGAATTTCCCAAATGTTTCCCAAATGAATTTCATTTTATTTGCATTTTCATTCTATTAGGTTGATGCATAAGTGTTTTTGTTCCTTTTCGTCTGCCGTTTCAAGCCAACAAATGCACCAATTAAACTACGGTTGATTTCATTAGAAAAGCCAATTATTTTTCTGCAAAATAACATTAAAACGGGTTTAAAAATATTTGATGCCTGGATTTTCTTGAGAGTATGAAGTCGGGTAGTCAAAAAGGGCTAACTCGATGATGCGGTTTAGACACCTTAGCTAAAGAAAACCTATCTTCGTGTCAATAGATAAAAGATAGAGAAAAAAAACGTTTGATATTTCGCCAAAATTTCAGAGAAATTCATTCAGCCAATTTTTCCGTAGAGTTTTTTTATAGATTTTTACGAAAAAGGCGTTTTTCACTCTCGAATTTGCTTGAAAGTGAACCGAAATTCATTTAAAAAGATGCAAATTGAACAAAAAAACACTTTTTTTATAGAGCAAACTATAGATTAATTGGTGAATTTGTTACTTTTTAACAGAAGTACGAAAAAAACGAAAAGACTTATGCATCAACCTATTATGATCGTGATGTAGCCTGAAGATTTGGCTAAATTTTCTTCTTTTGAGTGTAAATTGTAATGATTGAGCGTCTTGAGGCACGCAAAAGCACCAAATTTCCCAAAAGCACCAAATTCTAGCTATGGATTTGGCTACAATTTTTTGACTCAAAATTTTCAAGCTAGACTGATTTTTTCTTAACTCTCTAGTCCTCCGAGAGTCAATCTCAATCCTTTCTATTGCTGAAATGAGTTCTATTATTTGTGGAACTCTTTACAGATCATGAAAACCGATTTTTCCGACGACGATTTTCCGACGAGAAATTTTTTGACGTAGATTTCAACTCGTGTTTGTTAAAGGACAATATTTAGAGTTAGCTTTATTGTTAACGAAGTTGACTATTGAAAGAATCAAAGAATGTAAATGAAAATGACTTTTCCTGTTCTTGTCGTTCTTGTATCTTCTTCTTGTTTATTTTCTTGTCGTTCTTGTATCTTCTTCTTGTTTATGTTCTTGTCGTTCTTGTATCTTCTTCTTGTTTATGTTCTTGTCGTTCTTGTATCTTCTTCTTGTTTATGTTCTTGTCGTTCTTGTATCTTCTTCTTGTTTATGTTCTTGTCGTTCTTGTATCTTCTTCTTGTTTATGTTCTTGTCGTTCTTGTATCTTCTTCTTGTTTATGTTCTTGTCGTTTTGTTTTGCATACTTTTGTTGAAAATTCATCAATTAAACTATGATTTTCTCTAAATAAAAAGTATTTCTTGTTCAATTTCCATCTTTTTACGTCAATTTTGGTTGATTTTCAATCAAAATCAATGGATTTTTTCACAAAAAAATCTATTAAAACTCTCTACGAAGAGATTAACTGAAGCAATTCCTCTGAGAATTTGGCGATACTGGTACTTGTACACAAAACTTGGTACCTATCGGTCCACAGAGACAGAGACACAACTCGGTTAAGCGAGAAGCCGACAACTTGTGAGTGGTGATGTTCAGTGGAGTAGAGTGCACGTTTGAAGTGATCACGTGGAACGAAAATCGATAACCGAGAAGAACTCGAATTGGGATGCTTCGATTGATACCGAGATGAGTCTTTGTGGATGTATAACCGGCAAGCACCCAAAACATTTTCTGGTCTATCTTTTATCTATTGACACCATCTATTAAATTCTTTGTATCCTGAATTCTTTTTAAAATTATTATTTACACTGAGCCGAAAATGATTCACAAGTTTTGACAGTCGAACTTGAATATAACTTGAATATAACGAACTTGAATACAACGAATTTAAAATTCTAAAATGTGCCCAAAGTTTTTGCGTGGCTGCCCAGGCTGAATGCAATCAGTGGTCATCCAGGGTAGTTAGGCAGAAAATTTAACGCACGTTTTAGGTTCATTATATCATAGTTTTCGATCGCGAGCGATTCGCTATATCAAATTTCGACTGTATCTCCGTTTTTACTTATAAATTTTCCCTTGTTTACAATTTGTTTACAATTTTCTGTATTCCTTGCTAAAAAAAGCAATAATTTTTATTAAATTTTCGCTAAATCTTGAAGAAAAGGTGGAAAGAGGAAAGGAAAAAAGAAAGAAAAGAAAGAAAAGAAAGAAAAGAAAGAAAAGAAAGAAAAGAAAGAAAAGAAAAGAAAGAAATGAAAAGAAAGAAATGAAAAGAAAAGAAATGAAAGGAAATGAAATGAAAAGAAATAAAAGAAAGATAAGAAATGAAAGGAAATGAAAGAAAATGAAAAGAAATAAAGAAAACAACAACAAAATATACAATAATCAAAGAGCAAATAGAAAAGAGAAAAGTTTTGGGAAAAAAATCAGAGAAATCAGAAATTCGGTCACACAAGAAATCAAGAAAAAATGAAAATTGAAAATTGAAATTCAAAATTCAAAATTTGAAACAAAGAGATCATTCGAATGGGAATTTGTATCGGAAAAAAAATCATAGAATTAAAAGAAAACAAGAGAAAAATAGGGTAAAATTGAAATTTTTTTTTAAGAAAACGTTGGGATATTCCGGAACCCTAGATGAAATTTTCACAAAATTTAACACGTTGACGACATTGTCACCTGATGCTGTCTGACACATATTCGTACAATGATATTCGTACAATGATATTCGTACAATGATACTCGTACAATGATATTCGTACAATGATATTCGTACAATGAAAATCATTGTACATTGTATAAAATCATTGTACAATTCGCCTGGGACATTGTCACTTGATGTCAGGTGACATTTTTTGTCGAAACAAAAACAAACGTTGTCCCATGCGATTGTTTGTGCAAAAACGCCATTGTCGTCAACGTGTTAACCAAAATATTACCTGTATCAATGATGATTTTATCTTTTTTTAAGCTAAAAAACTAAAGAATTTCATTGGAAAATGGGAATAGATGGGAATAGATGGGAATAGAAATGAATAGAAATGAATTTGAGTTTTTAAATGACAGTTTTTAAACGATAATGAGAGTTTTTTAAATGACAATGACAAAATCAATGAGCCAAGCCAGCTTTGGACAGCTTTTTGACAGTTTTTAAATGACAATGACAAAATCAATGAGCCAAGCCAGCTTTGGACAGCTTTTTGACAGTTTTTAAATGACAATGACAAAATCAATGAGCCAAGCCAGCTTTGGACAGCTTTTTGACAGTTTTTAAATGACAATGACAAAATCAATGAGCCAAGCCAGCTTTGGACTTCATTTTGAAAGATTTTTGTGATTTTCTATCAAAATCCTTATTTTCTATCAAAATCGTTATTTTCTAAATCGTTTTTTTCGTTTAAATCTTTTTCTTTTTCTTGTTAATCAAAGCTTTCTTAAGATCATATGAACTATCTTCAATCTTTTCGATCAATCGCTGAGTCATTAGCTGACTTGTCTTCTGATTAGCTGAGTGATTAGCTGACTTGACTTCTAGGCAATAGTTGAAGCTCGATTGTAGCTTTGGCTTGATCGTAGATGGCTCGAAATTGATCGAATACCTGTTTAGTGACATAGGTGACTCGTGTTTGATGAGAATTTAAGCATTCAGTCGCTTTTCAACTTGGTTAAACTAAAGATTGCAATTGGAGCGCAACTGAAGCACAACTGGAGCACAATTAGAGCGCAACGGGAGCGCAAATGGAGCGCAACTGGAATGCAATTGGAGCCCAACTGGAGCGTAACTGGAGCACAACTAGAGCACAACTAGAGCACAACTGGAGAGCAACTGGAATGCAATTGAAGCGCAACTGGAATCCAATTGGAGTGCAATTAGAGCGCAAATGGAGCGCAAATGGAGCGCAACTGGGACACGTTTTTATCACAAAGAAAAGTTCATTTTTTGATGTAAAATCCTACAATACTCGAGTTGAAAAATTGTAATTTAATAATTTAGTTGCCCAATAGCCAGCAGATGATAAAAAGAGAGAAAAAAAATGATAGAAAAAGAGCTGATAGAAGTAGAGGATCGGACCAATGACCGGGTGACACTATTCGGTGGCTCATACGGTGGATACAATGGCGTTGTCGTTCGATACTGCAATTTCATTCTTAAAGAAGAAAAAAATCATTTAGCATAAGCTACAAAAGCTTTAAAAACGTTTTAGAGCTTTAGTTTTGCTTAAGATTGCTTAAGAACGAGAATTGCTTAAGATTTTTTTGTTTCATTCATGGCTATTCATTGATCCGCTTAACTAAAACGTTTTCCAAGCCAACTTTTACCGTACTCCCGACTACAGTAATCCCGATTACCGTAACCAACTTGGCTGTGAAGCTATCGTAATCTTTTCTACAATAATCGTAGCCAACTTAGCTGTCAAACTACCGTAATCTTGTCTACAATAATCGTAGCCAACTTAGCTGTGAAGCTATCGTAATCTTTGAAAGGTTAGTTAGCTAATGATTGTGGTTAATCAACTAATGACTAAACTAAACAACTCTCACCTCATGATCGTTCTGAGCATCGAGGCGATTCTTCGGAATTCGAGCTCTTCCTGAAAATTCTCAATGGTTTAAAAAAGGTTTTGAAAGTAAATAAATGCTATTTTAGTAAAATTTGTTATTCAAGTTATTTAATTTGCTATTTGATATCTTTAAAACTCACTTGTCGTCTGTCGGACATCTGTGTTACAGTAATCACCGCGGCAAATCGAGAGTTCGACCTGAAGTTTATGAAATCGGGATTAAGTCTGGTTGTTTCAAAGTTTCTTTAATAGTACTTAGTTCAATAGTGTACTTTATTTAACAATTATCTAGAACTCACATAAATATCTTGCCCAAGACCAATCACTTGCGGGGCCGGTTGAGGGAATTGGCTGAGTTGTTGCTCGGAGAAAGCTTTGAACGCTGCTGCCGACGCACAATCGCGAAGATAGCCTGGAATTGTTGAGAAATTAATACGAGCCAGGTTTATAATTAATGAGATTTTCAGTTTTTTATTTATAATGAAGCTAAAGGACTAAATAATTGCCTTTAGAGCTATCTTGTAATTGAGTAGGAAACGAATGGGAAACGAATGGGAAACGAATGGGAACCGAATAGAGACCGGATGGGAATCGAATAGGAACCAAATAGGGATGAAATTAGAACCTAAAAGGAACCAAATGGTAAACAAATGAAAAATGAATGGAAACCGAATGGGAACCAAATGAGAACCGAATGGGAACCAAATAGGAACCAAATGGGAACCAAATGGAAAATGAATGGAAACCGAATGAGAACCGAATGGGAACCAAATAGGAACCAAATAGGAACCAAATGGGAACCAAATGGAAAATGAATGGAAACCGAATGAGAACCGAATGGGAACCAAATAGGAACCAAATAGGAACCAAATGGGAACCGAGGGAACCAAATAGGAACCAAATGGGAACCAAATGGGAGCCAAATGAGACCCGAATGGGAACCGAAAAGGAATCGTATGGTACGTACGGCTGTCCAGAGTCTTTTCATTCTTTTTCGTACTTCCGAGTATATCAAAATTCGGTTTGGCAATGACAGTTATCATTGTTTTTAGATTTTCTTAAATCTTTCAATCATGGATCAGCTGTTAGCAATAGTATATTATTTGTCTTGAAACACTCATCATTGTTCACTCACCGAGAAACTCTCTTCCCCTCGTGTACATCGCGACCACGCACGGCCCCTTGCACATGATTTGATAGCTGAAAATGAGAAATTTGATAAATAAAACTATTTGCAAGTCTAGATAACAAATCTTTAACTATTATTTACGTTTTAGATACCCGTAGTAGTTATACCTGTAGCTTGGAAATAGCAATAGAAAAGCCAGTGAAGAATAGAATGTTTCTTAAAAGTTGAACTGACTAATATCGAGTTTTTACAGCTTTTAAATGAGCTTTAAATAATTAGATACTGTAGAGCTTTAAAGGAGCTTTAAAGGAGCTTTAAAGGAGCTTTAAAGGAGCTTTAAAGGAGCTAAAGGAGCTTTAAAGGAGCTTTAAAGAGCTTTAAAGGAACTAAATAGGAACTATAAAGGAGCTTTAAAGGAGCCTTAAAGGAGCTTTAAAGGAGCTTTGTTATCAAATTTACATATAAAGATTAATTTTTTTGGTTAAAAACTCACGCGTATCGATCGAGAGAGCAACTCGGAGCCAACGGGACGCGCATTTGTTTCTGAAGAAGGTGAGCCAAGAGTGCTGGTGATGACTAAAAGTGCAAATTTACATTTACAAAGCATAGCAAATTTCAACTTGAATATAAGCATAAGAGTTTTAGAAATAAAGTAGAAAATAAAGTACTTACCGAGTGTCCATTTTGATCGATACAAATGTAGCACCAATAAGAGTCCTCTTCGCTTGATGGAACTGGATCACCCCATGGATCAGCTAGAAGAGAAGCTTTATTATGTGAAGCTTAATGAGAAGCTTTATTATGATAAACTTTATTATAATAAGATTGATTAAGATAAGATTTATTATAATAAAGCTTTATTATGATATGATGATATTATTATGATTCCTCTTCGTCTGTGTGCTGTTGAAGTTATTATGATAAAGTTTTATTATAATAAGCTTTATTATAATAAGCTTTATTATAATAAGATTTATTATAATAAGCTTCTTTTACATAACAAAATTACAATTTTTAAAGTTTAAATGCAAATTTACCGGTTTTCCTCTTCGTCTGTGTGCTGTTGAAGTTTTTGAGCGGCCGATTCTCGTAATTCGGATCGATCTGCAAATTCCTTCTTTTCAACATCTTCTATTTCTTTTTCTTCTATTATAAATTTAAAAATTTCTTTTATAATCTAAGCACAAGCACGGTTCTCTAGTGCCTGCGTGTTAGTTGGATCATTTTATGGCGTTTCATTGATAAACTCAATAAAATTAATATCTCTAATCGATTCCCCGACCCCGAAAACCCCCGGGTACAAATTTATAGCTGAATAGCTTTTGGATTCACAAAGTAAAGAAGAATCTGAAAATGACTGGAGAGATGCGCTTTGTGCAGCCGCGTAATCGCTCGCGATCTGGCAAACGCTCGGGTATGCGGTGCTTTTCTTTTGAGTAAAGGGTCTAGAAATCCGTCAAACCAAATGCCTCAAGCTAAAGCCATAAAGGCTAAGCCATAAAGCCAAAGCCGTCAAGCGAAAGCGATAAAGCCAAAGCCATAAAGCCAAAGCCATAAAGCCAAAGCCGTCAAGCCAAAGCCGTCAAGCCAAAGCCATAAAGCCAAAGCCGTCAAGCCAAATCCATCAAGCCAAAGCCATAAAGCCAAAGCCATAAAGCCAAAGCCGTAAAGCCAAAGCTGTAAATCCAAAGCTGTGAAGCCAAAGCTGTGAAGCCAAAGTCGTAAAGCCAAAACCATTGTGTTAGTTAAACAGCAGCTAAACCGAGCCAAATCGATCTTGATTAATCAAACGCAATAACAAAAGCAAAAGTTCAATCAAAAAACTACCAAAACTTGTATCGACCCAGGCTGTCGTATCCAAAAAGAGAATATGAAAAAATAGAGAAACGATCGACGAATGAAGATGATCATTTGTAATTGTAAAACAAAAAAAAAGGAGGAAGAAGAATTGAGGAATGAAATAATCGAGAGAATCCTTGATTTGCAAGAGATTTCCTCCCAGGAAAACGATTGTTTTTGCTTTGTGATATGGAAATGTTTTTTGTTTTCGATTGACGGAACGATTTGTGGAAAAGTGGGGGGGAAATGAGTGTGTGTTAGAGATCTTTTTCTCCTACATATCCATTATTTCTCCTTTATCAAGATCAGCTTTTGTTTGAAATTCAATTGCCTAATGTTCGCAAAATATTTTCAAAGCTTTTTTTTTTTTTCAATTTGTAGCTCAGGAATTTGTGGTTTATGCTCAAAATATATTAATATTAATAAAAAAATAATATCAATGCACACATTTCTTAGAGTCAAACTATTTAAGTTAAGTGAGTGAGTGATCAACAGAAAGAGTGAGTTTCTATTACCGTAAATACTGGTATAAGTAACCCATCCCCATAATGACGGTGCGGAGTGTTGCGTAGTCTAGCTTTGAACGAGTTTTTCTCGACACTGGCTTATGCTACAATGCGCGTTTAGGTATCAAAAAATAGCTGAAATTCAGGGCTATTTTTTGATACCTAAGCGCGCATTGTAGCATAAACCAGTGTCGAGAAAAACTCGTTCAAAGCTAGACTACGCAACACTCCGCACCGTCATTATCTTTAGTGTTAAAAAATAGCCCTGAATTTCAGCTATTTTTTGATACCAAAGACGCATTTTTTGAAAGTACGGGCGCTTTGAAAAAAATGAAATACTAAAAAACTTTTGCGACTACGTGACTGTACGAGGCGGGGTGGGGTAATATTACAGTATTTACGGTAGGTTCTTTTTAACCTATTTTTGCGCCGTACACGAGAATTCTCATGCTAAAGTTTGACTTTAAAGAAGTAACGCTATAACTTTCTTTAAAGAAGTAACTTTCTTCTTCTATAACTTTCTTCTTTCTTCTTCTTTCTTCTAAAAAAAGTTTTCGCAACTTTTTTTGCCCAAACCGGGTCCTTTGCGCAACTCGCCATAACTTTATTCTAAGTGGACCAATCTTTATGATTTTTGGTTTCATTTTGTTGCACTTATTGAGATCTATAAAATGAAACCAAAATCATAAAGATTGGTCGACTTAGAATAAAGTTATGGCGAGTTGCGCAAAGGACCCGGTTGGGCAAGTTGGGCATTTACCTAATATTTTTGAGTACAACTTTAAAGCCAAATTTGTTTCCCAACCTGTAATTTTGGTTCTTGTGCCTTCGATTCGGAGATTGTTGGTCGTGTGAAGCCAAACTGTGAATGAGAATTTTTATCACCGATTTGAGTAATTAAATCAAATCAAATACCCCAAAAAAAAGTCGAGCAATTTTATAATCGAAAAAAAAAGATTAGGTTGAGATTAGAGTTGAGATTAGAGTTGAGATTAGTCTGAGACTTTCTCTAGCTCATCCTCAAAAGATTACCATAGCTTTATTGTAGCTTTGTTAGAAAACGCTTACACTCATTTAAAGTCAATTTTGTGTTTGGAAAGCTTTTAAAAGTGATGATTTGACTTTTTCTTTGCTAAATAATACGCTCCTTGCAAATAATAATAATAATATGCTTGCTAAATAGTTTTTATTATTTCTAATCTTAGAAATCGCTTTCTTTCTAGATTGAATGAAAGCTATGAATAGATTTTCTGAATCTTTCAATCATTTATTTCTATTTCTCAAAAAAGAACTCACCCATTCAAGAATGTCGAAAGAGTGAATGGTTGGGAAAAGAAGAAATATCCCGAGATAGATCAGCTCTCTTAACCGCATTGTCTTTTTCAGTTTTATAAGAAAATCTTCTGAATGAGTCGTTGTGGAGTTTCTGAAAGAAATTTTGAGAAAACTTCTTTAAACAGAACTTTAATCAGATACGATTGAGAATGAGAATGAAAAGGGAGAATGTTTTGGAGAGATTTCGAGAATTTGGAGAGGTTTGGAGAGGTTTGGAGAATTTGGAGAGGCTTTGGAGAGAATTGGAGAGCTAGAAATGATCTAGAAATGATCTAGAAAAGAAAAAAAAATAAGATCACTAAGAATTGATTAAACTGATTAATGGTTTAGTTAAAGGGAAATTAACGATTTGTGAGCGGTTGGCAGGGGAAATTATTGCTGGTATTTGCCTGTTCAGAAACTCTTTTCATACTTTCATTAATTGTTTTTCTTTAAATAAAAATGTTTTTTTTGTTTAATTTTCCATCTTGAATCAATTTCGATCAATTTATTGATCTTTCTGGATAGCGAAATCATTTGGAAAGATCTGTTAGTTCTGTCAGATGTCAGATTTGTGCTCTGACAGGCTTAGTTTTAGGGTTAGACTGTTCTGACAGATTTGAAAGCAATGAGTTACTCGGTAAAGCACAGGAAGAGTAGATTAAGACTCTTGAGAGCTTAAAGAATGGCTGCTCTGACAGATTTTCCAGGTTAAATCAAGCCAAGCGAAAGCAATGCTGACTAGAGTATGCTCCTTGTTGACAGACATATTGTCAGACAAATTTTCATTGACAACTTTTTGTCAGACAATTGACGACAAACTTCCGACAACGCGTTCTAAAAGGGCGCAAGCAAAGCTATAAAGGTCGCGCGAAAAATTTGCAAAAACTTCTAAAATATAGTAATGGATAGTTTTATTTAAGGATTTAGGTTTTTTAGGGCGTGGAATTTTTTTTGGAATGGTTCTAGTGCAAATGTAGACAATAGGCCTGGTAAATTCGTAAATAATATAATTTTTTGATAGTGTTTCTTAACTTTTCCCGTTTTAAATGTTTTCTTTAATTTTACATAGCATTTAAAAATGTTTAAGTTTTAGCGAAAGAGTAATAGAGTTAGGGAATGAGTAATAGAAAAAAAGAGCGCAAGATTTTAATGTACATTTGCATTTTGAAAAATTTGCTGATGCAAAGCATAGGGTTACGGTAGCTTATCCTTGGCGCGCGCTTTTTAGAAAACGCGTTGTCTGCAAGGAACACACTCTAATGCTGACTTTTCCAGGTCAAAGCAAGCCAAAGCTGACTTTTCCAGGTCAAAGCAAGCCAAAGCTGACTTGTCCAGGTCAAAGCAAGCCAAAGCTGACTTGTCCAGGTCAAAGCAAGCCAAAGCTGACTTGTCCAGGTCAAAGCAAGCCAAGCAAAAGCAATGCTGACTTTTCCAGATCAAGACAAGCCAATGCTGACTTGTCCAGGTCAAAGCGGCCAAGATAAAGCAATGCTGACTTGTCCAGATCAAGACAAGCCAAGCGAAAGCAATGCTGACTTGTCCAGGTCAAAGCAAGCCAAGCAAAAGCCAATTCAAAGTTCAATGATACAGAAGTTTGATTGGCTCTTTGGAATTTTAAAAATTTCGATTTGATCTATTAGATTGATTCAAGAAATGACTCCATAAAAGGTCTCATTTCATTGAAATGTTGTATTTGAAATTTCATTTCAAATTGATTGATTGAATTGAATTGAATTTTTTGAATTGAATTGAATTGAATTTTGAATTGAATTGAATTAAAATTTCATTTCATTTCATTGAAAAAGTGCCCAATTTTAGTAAATCTTAACAAAAAAGAAAGTGAGTCTAGACATTTGGAATCAAATTTTGCAAAGGAAAAAAAAGCTAAAGCAGATCTCAGACTACAGTAATCTCTTGGTGACAAAGTTCTCCCAGAAATGTTTATGAAAGACGTCTCATTTCTTTTGGGGAATCAGTGCAAAAAAATCTTCTTCAAAAAGAGTAAAAGAAGAGTTTTTGCTGGTGGAAATGTTGAAATTTTTGGGCTTTTCAGCCCTCAGCTGCCCAGATGGACAAAAAAAACTGTTTTCATTAGAATTTCTCTCGCTTTTCAAAAGATTTCTTAATTCAAAAGAATTTGAAGGGAACACTTAGCTCAATAACAAGCAAAAAAAAGTCTTTTTTCTCTCAAGTTTTGCGAAAAGAACTTACAAATTTAGAAATACTCTAAGAAGAGTATTGTAGGGTTGTTAAAGTCTTGTCTGGTTACAGGCTTGTTACAGGCTTGTTACAGACTTGTGAAAGTCTTGGCAGGCTTGTTACAGTCTTGGCAGGCTTGTTACAGTCTTGGTAGGCTTGTTACAGTCTTGGCAGGCTTGTTACAGTCTTGGCAGGCTTGTTACAGTCTTGGCAGGCTTGTTACAGTCTTGTTAAAGTCGAGATTATCGTTCGACGTTCTATCTCGAAATCTACGCCGTTAAAGTTGACCGGCTTCTGCAGGTGAGCCGATCAACTTCGACGCTCATTTTCTCCATGTTCTTGCTTTCTAAAAGACGCATCTTAACAGAAAAAAAGATATTAGGTTAGCCAATAAGTGAAAGAAAGGAAATTTTGCAGGGAATTTTTGCTCGCAGTGTTTACCACTAAAAGAGACAAGAAATTTCCTTTATTTCGAAACAATTTCATTGATTGAATATTCTTTCTTATTTCTTTATTAACTACTTTTTTTGATTAGTGTAAATTTAAAATGTAAAATGAACCAAATGATCATGTTATTTTGGTTTGCTAGATGCTAAGCCTAGCTCTAGACCCTATAGGGAACCTACAAAAGTATAGAAAGATTATGAGAAAAGTAAAGAAAGGTTATGAATCCCTTTCCAAGATTACATGTCGTTCCACAATTTTAAAAATCGGGACAAATTGAAAGCGACTGCTCCGGGAGATCGATTGAGGTTATTGGGAGTTATTGGATACTGGGAGTGGCTCGAAGTTAGCAAGTAAACACTTAACTTTACACTATACAGTAATCAATTTGCAGAATCAGAGCTAAAGCCCATGAGGTAAAAAGACCAAATTTGAAAAAGGCCAAAATCGATGCTCACCATCTAGCCGCTCGCCACAAACTGCTAAACTGACTCGCTCTACAACCTAGGCTCTACAACCTACAACCGCTCTACAACCTACAACCCCTCTACAACCTACAACCGCTCACAACCTACAACCCCTCTACAACCTACAACCGCTCTACAACCTACAACCGCTCACAACCTACAACCCCTCTACAACCTACAACCGCTCTACAACCTACAACCGCTCACAACCTACAACCCCTCTACAACCTACAACCCCTCTACAACCTACAACCCCTCTACAACCAAGAACCTCGACTTGAAACCCGGCTACGAAACCTGGCTACGAAACTATAATGCAGGGTGACCAAGAATTACCGCAACAACATGCAATTTCGTAATGCAAAAGCAAAAGCTGAACTAAAGAACTAAAGTATTATAAATGTTCGAAAAGAAAGGTAGCTTTTTACAAATGTCGATTTAAAGTGATTGCTGTGTATTTGAAACATTAAAAATCCAAAATGTCAGATGAAAAGTGCAATAAACAATAAAAAATCAACAATAAAAAGGGCCAAAAGCTGGAAAGATTCAGAATTCGTAGTTACCGTAGTTTACGATAAGATTCAGATAAGATTCCGATAAGATTCCGATAAGATTCCAACAGTCATGGTTACAGTAAGCTTTTCCTAGCAGCACAACATCAAATCCAACTACAATATCCAACTACAATAGATCGATAAAATGAAAAGATTACAATAAGATTACGATCAAATTTGGCACGATTTCTAGAAAACAGAAAGAAAACAAAGAAGCAGTAAGGGAAATATCAAAATATCGTCTGTTCGTCAAGCAAAAAAAAGGTGCTTTGAACAGGTGACACCTACACTCTATCCTGTCAACAAAAAGAATCCAAAAAATGTTCTTATCCAGATGTTTTCTTTTGTTGATCTTTTTCACTTAAAGCCAATATCGGAAATTTTTATTTGATGGATGGGAAAATCGCCGGAAACCCATTGTCCCAAATAAAAAAAAGTACCCGGAAAAATAGGAGACATGGAGGATTCATATGATTTGATCAGTGACAGAAAAAAAAAATCGATCGAAACAAAAGGCACTCTAAACAAAAAAAATCTTGCATCTGTGTCATTTCTTTGTTTTTATTTTGATCTCTAGACCTTGGATTGGAAAGAGATCGAATCGAAATCGTTTCTCACGGTCACTTTGGCCAAAAAGCTGATCGTCATCCTGATTTTATGAAACTTAAGAAGTGAAAAAGGTTTAAAGAAAATTATCTGCTATATATTGAGGGTTGTCTGTTCGCCTGTCTGTTTGTCTGTCTGTCCGTTTGGCCGTCTGTCCGTTTGTCTGTCCGTTTGTCTGTCTGTTCGTCTGTCCGTTTGTCTGTCTGTCCGACTGTCCGTTTGGCCGACTGTCCGTTTGGCCGACTGTCCGTTTGTCTGTTCGTCTGTCCGTTTGGCCGACCGTCCGTTTGTCTGTCCGTCTGTCCGTTTGTCTGTCGGTCCGTCTGTCCGTTTGTCTGTCGGTCCGTCTGTCCGTTTGTCTGTCTGTCCGTCTGTCCGTCTGTCTGTCTGTCCGTTTGGCCGTCTGTCTGTCTGTCTGTCTGTCCGTCTGTCTGTCCGTCTGTCTGTCTGTCTGTCTGTCCGTCTGTCCGTCTGTCCGTCTGTGCGCAGGCATTGGTGAGGCTTAGATTGCAGGGAAAACGTGGACCTCTCCAATGAAAAAACGCGAACGAAAAGCTCACTAACGCGAACGTTAGTGAGCTTTTTCGGCTGGTAAAGCTTATTAATGCTAGGATTAGCTTAGCTTAGCTTAGCGAATAACTTAGCTTTGATTATTTGATTTTATACAGCAATTTTTTGGCTTAAATCTTAAACGACCCGAAGTTTATTTAAGATTTCCATCAAATTGTCATCAAAATCGAGACAAAGAGTAGAAAGAGTACATTTCGCTGATTTCTCTGCATACAATTTCCAATTTACCTGTGTACTTTGTAAGTTAGTGTATATAAGTTCAAAGTTAGTGCACTTTTATACTCTAAAATTTATTCGAACTACGAGAAGTAAACACAAAAAAATCACTCTCCATGTACCTATACAAATCGAAATAAATTATATTTAAGAAATCTGTGTACTTTGTGCAAAACGCACCTTTTCTAGCATTCTTAACTTTTTTTTTGCAAAACCTTTTAGCAAAATGAAAATTCTGTACACTAGGAATGGTGTGTTTTGATCGAGCACAAAGTATAAGAAAAAAATGAGACACAAATGAGTCACATTTTCTACGGAATGTCGAATGGCACTAGCTAGAGAAGTCAAAAATTCTAGTTTTTGAAATGAAAAGAAAAATTTGGAAACAATAAGCTTTAGATCTGATGGAAGATTTCTTTTTGCGCAATCATTTAATGTGTGAAAGGAATTTGAGAGATTCCATGAAAATTTTGAAAAGAATCAATTATCTATTTGATTTCATATCGATAAAATCATCAAAGATCAATTTATTGATGAGAAAAAGCTAGTAAAGAGAAAGCTTTTCTATTAAAGCTTTTTTTTGGCTAAAGCTCTTTTGATAAAGCTTTTTGGCTAAAGATCTTTTGATAAAGCTTTTGTTGATAAAGCCTTTTTTGCTAAAGCTCTTTTGATAAAGCTCTTTTGCTTAGCTTTTCTATTAAAGCTTTTTTTGCTAAAGCTCTTTTGCTAAAGCTTTTTTGCTAAAGCTTTTTTGGCTAAAGATCTTTTGATAAAGATCTTTTGATAAAGCTTTTGTTAATAAAGCTTTTTTGCTTAGCTTTTCTATTAAAGCTTTTTTTGCTAAAGCTTTTTTTGCTTAGCTTTTCTATTAAAGCTTTTTTTGCTAAAGCTTTTTGCTTAGCTTTTCTATATAACTTCTTCTATAGCATGTTTTTGGCCAACCCCCACCAGTCAGAAATCAAAATTTAACCTAGCTTACAGACCTAGATTTATCCAAAAGTTCCCGCACAACTTTTTACTCAAATTTGATTTTAAAACAACTATTGAACTAAACATTTAAACTAAAAACCTTAAAAAAGATACTTAAAACTAATAAGGAGCCCAAAGCTCAGCTTTTTTTTGTTTGGTTGGCGGTATACATTCCGAGTGTCCCCCCACTGCCCCCCTGAGTATCCCTAAGTGTACAGTACTAGAGCGTGGTTTTTTTTTGTCTAAACTTTTCAGACCAGTTTCTAACTTTACTAGTCTTTGTAGACTAACTACCGTAAGTACTGTAATAGTACCCCACCCCCCACGTACAGTCGCGTAGTCGCAAAGTTTTTTAGTATTTCATTTTTTTTAAAGCGCTCGTACTTTCAAAAAATGCGTCTTTGGTATCAAAAAATAGCCCTGAATCTCAGCTATTTTTTGATACCTAAACGCGCGTTGTAGCATAAACCAGTGTCGAGAAAAACGCGTTCAAAGCTAGACTACGCAACACTCCGCACCGTCATTATGGGAGTGGGGTACTATTACAGTATTTGCGGTAGTAAATCAAAGAGTTATATAAATTATCTCTAAACATTAATATCTTTACTTATTGTTTCCAATTTTCATCTAGAAAAAGTAAAATTTAAATATTATTATTAGTTTTATTAGATTATTAGATTTACCGTATTTGTTCGAATAGAAGACCGGGTAAAGAGTATGATCGCGTACTCCTGCGTAGCAGCCCTTTTTAAAATTTCTTTTCTTCATAAAAGCTTTCAATGAAGTGCTATAGGGCTGGAAAATGGCTCAAAAATCTGTTAGCTCATGTGGTATTTTTGAGCCATTTTCCAGCTCTATAGCACTTGATTGAAAGCTTTTATGAAGAAAAGAGATTTTAAAAAGGGCTGCTACGCAAGAGTACGCGATCATACTCTTTACCCGGTCTTCTATTCTAAACAAATACGGTATTAGCTTTTTGACAAAAGAAAAGGGCTAATTTTGGGCTTTTTTTTGGCTAATTTTAACAAAAAAACAAAGCTCTATCACAATCTCTAAAGATGAAATTTGTATAAAACTTTTAAAATAAATAAAAAATCTACAAATAAATAAATAAATATTATTGCTTTTTTGTTTGTTTGAGGGTAGCGACCAAATAAGGGAAAAGTTTTACCAAAAATCGGCAAAAGGGTCAAAGCTTTAAATTGAGGTTTTTTTTTTTTTGGCAATCTTCTGGCAATAAATTAGGATAGATTTTTGACAAATATTTGACAAATTGGGTAACTAATCAAAGATAAAATCTATCGATAAACTAAAAGACATCAGTTGAAGTTGGAGAAATCGGCGAAACCAGCACCACCAGCGGCGTGTTGCGCTCCGCCGAATGGATCCCTGGAAATGTTGGATTGAAGAGCTTTAGAGCTTTTAGAGTGAATGAATTTCATCCAAAATTTAGTCAATAAAGCAGTCAATAAAGCAGTCAGTAAAGCAGTCAATAAAGCAGTTTTGTTTTTTTTTAAACTAGAAACTCCTATTATATTCACTTTATATGCTTTTGAATGACTTGAAATCACTGTAAAACAAGCGTGACTTTCTCCAGAATCAAGTACAGTCAAAAAATCGGCACTCGAAATGCTCAAATTTTCATTTAAAAGCCTCATTTGGTGTAACGTTTTCATTCTGGCTGATTGGTTAACAGTTTTGACTCAAGCAAACAAAAATTTTCGAGTAAAAAAAGCAAAAGAATTGGCGGCAAGAGGAGGCACGCGTTCGTTTGAGAGACTCCCGTTCGTTTGAGAGACGACGCGTTAACCACTCGGCCAGTAGATGGCGCGGTGCGAGCGCAATTGTCTCTAGCACACACGACCCGGGTTCGATTCCCGTCCGCATCGGCACTTTTGGTTTTTAAAAAATTTTAAAACATTTTACACAACTACATGAAATTCTAAGCCAAACTAACTATAAATCATTTGAAACGGTCCTCTGGGGGCTGAGGTGTGTACTGACGTTCTGTACTGGTACGTACTGACGCTCTGTACTGGTACGTACTGACGTTCTGTACTTGTACGTACTGACGCTCTGTACTGGTACGTACTGACGTTCTGTACTGGTACCTACTGACGTTCTGTACTGGTACGTACTGACGTTCTGTACATAGTACTGGTAGTTAGTACATAGTTACTGCTATTAGCCACTTACTGTCCAGCGAAAGGATCAGCGGCAAAGCCGTGTTGCGAGGCGGGTGCAGGGCTAGCTCGGGGTGGAGCAGGCCGAGGTGGTGCCGGGCGACCAGGGGCTCCACCGGGGGCTAAAGAATCATGAAAATTATAGAATATTTCGATATTCGAATATAGATATTTGATTTCTTTTATTAGCTATTTCACTACCGGCTCCAAACGGATCACTCCCAAAGCCGGTCATCGATTGAGCGGCTCCAGCCGACGCGAACGGGTCTCTTCCCGCGAATGGATCGTTTCCTAGAGAAATCAAGAGTTAAAGATTACTGTAATTGAATCATTAGCTGTATATCTATAAATACTTATTGATAGAATTTCAAATTTTAACCATTTGGCATTGCAGGTCGTGGTGGGACAACTGAAGTGGACGGGGTGGTAAATGCAGCCTCGTTGAACTAAAGATATTCAGTTAACGTTTATTAATGTTAATCATTTCAATTACAATAAGCTTTTTATCATTTACTTTAATCACTGAAATTCTTTACCATGTCTGGCGTTTTGAAGTTAGCAAAGAGCTCGGGTTGAGTGGCCAGCGATTCCTCCGGATTCTCGCTCTCGAGAACTTTCTGTAAATAAAGATTACAGTAATCAATCTTCTACAGTAACAGTAACTTATTGTGCTAATTCTTGTATATAAACCTTAAGTTTTTCTGTGGCTTCGATAATTTTCTGCTTCTCGTCCTCCATCTGCGCTTGGATGCGTCCGGACGAGTCGCTCTCGCGTTCAAGCTGGAATTTTCTGCATATCATCAGATAACAGACTTTAGCATCTTTTAAGTAGCATGCTAATGCTTTTTCAGGAAAAGGATCCTTGGCTAATATTGCTTTTATATGCTATAGTTTAAGTAGCCAAGTGCCTAGTGTCAAAGGTTTTAATCGAGAGCCACCATGCACTTATTGCCCGTTAAAAGGGTTCACTCCTAGTACATTTTCCATTTCCAACTTTACAGCTACAAAAAATTGTGTTTTAAATGCAGTAGTTCTTACCGTAGTAATCTGCGTGACAGCCCTCTCCATGGTCGCTTTCTCCGATTGAAGCTGTCCGGCTAGAGCGCGCGCCTCGTTCTCCAATTGGATGACTTCGGCTCGAGCCTGGGCCAGCGTTTCCGTGTTTCTCTACAATATTTCATTTTCAATATTTTATAGATATGTTAATTTCAATATCAATATCAATATCAATTTATAATCTAAAAGTACCTAGAATTTCCCCCAACAAACCTGCGCATTCGCGGCTCCATTCTCCGTCTCTTCTTTCAGCTTCTCGAGTCGGTTTTGGCCCTCATCAACCTAGAAATTAATAAAACATCTACAAATAAAAATCTACAAATATCTAGAGATTATATATTTCTAAAATTTCACCCACTTTCTCCTTCTGCACCCGACATTGCTCGTCAAGCTGCTGAATTTGCGTGTCAAGATCACCAAGCCTTTTCCCAGCCTCGATCTTTTGACGTTCCAATTGTTTAACCGTATTCTCCAAAGTGGTCAGCTCAATCTAGAAGTTGATTTGCATAGAAATTTGATTTCATTTTCAGCTTTTTTTACCTGTAAATTCCGAATCTCACTGTTCTTTACGGTCATATCAGCCTCGAGTTGGGTGATTTTCGCCTCAGCCTCGCGTTTCTCGCCGACAAGCGCCTCCATTTCTTCAGCCAGCTTTTTTACCTAGAATTTTAAATGAAATTCTAATTTTTAGTTTCTATTTTTACCTCAGGGTTATCAGATTGAGCGGCAAAGGCGAGATGCTGCGAGGTTGAGGTGGGAAGAGTTGGCGCCGGTTCGGTGTCATTCTGAAACTCTCTTAATAGCTAAAAATAGATAATAAACGATTCTATAAGTACTTATTTATAGGTATACAATGATAATCTGATATCACGGTCTATCTACTTACTGGAAGATGCAATTGTCTCATCGATGGCGGCATGAGATGCGGGGGCAAAGTGGACGGCAAGTCTTGTCCCGAACGAGCCATCGACACCAGATGCATGCTAAAGTTTGAATCTTCTTTATTCTGAAAGCTTTCATACGCTAATGGATACTTTATAGCTTTTATGCATTTTAAAACCTCTTTAAAATTGTGACTCAGCAAACTTGGATTGGTAGCTGCTGTTCTTGTGGAAAAAGTTGGTTTTGATCTAGTTTTGAAGTTCTAAAGAGGTTACTATTGTACTTTTATGCCACAAGACTCACGCTAGGGCAAACTGCTCAGGATTGAGCATTCCATTAGCATGCGTGTCGGCAAGACCCCAAATATGGGCAAGGGTCGGCTGTGAGAGGCCGGATCGAAGGAATTCGCCCATTACATCAACACCGGACACCTGGAATGCTCAGGATTTTTTCCAATTGCCAATTGCAGCTCAAAAGTAATCTTTATCGTATCAGATTTGAAACTACTCATGACAATTTAGTACTCGGAAATTCGCATATAAATAGTAGACCACGACAAAGCCCATTGTCTTGGTTGCCGTTTTGGACGTTTTTGTAATCGCGCCCCTTCTGACCCTGGATTTTTAGTCGCACTTGGGTAATTAAACCGGATAAAATACCGAAAAATAGAGCAGTTTTCTTTAAAAACTAATAACGGATTCAAATTTTGCGAAAATCTACTCACCAATCCATCCTTATTCGTGTCACATCGATGGAAAATCGCCGTTGCTTCGGCCACGTCGACGGGCCATTCCTGTGAAGGGATCGGAGTACCGCTCTAAAATAAATGGAGATGAAGATGAATCGAGTCACATGTAGTCAAGTGCAATATAATACTGCAGTAAGCTGATTTTGGCTCCATATTATATTTTAAAATCTCTTTTACCAACCACTGATCCATGTCTTCCATATGGTGGTTGAACGGAAAAGCTTCTTTGTGGATCTTGAACTCCATGAGCTCCCGGGAAGCCGACCTCGTCCAATGAAGCCAAAGAAGCCGTTCGATTGCGACCTAAAATTCAACTTTAGATCCAAAAGCCATAAATACTAGTGTTCGCTTAAACTTACAAGTCTTAAACTAAGTCTAGATTTTAAATAGATTTTAGATTAGAATAGATTTTAGTCTTTAAGCTTTGAGCGAGTTCAAAAAGATTCAATTCAATGTTCAGTTAGATAGATGAGTAGATTTAGATAAAATTCTAGAATAAATCTCACCAATCATTTGTGTCGAATATTGATCTTGTGCCGAGTGATGCGATGCGACAGAGGTTCGTCTCGAGAGAGCCGCTTTTGTCGGATGGATGAGAGAATTCGGGAGCATATTTGGGACGGACTCGTTTTGAAGGGCTCTAAAAAAGAATTCAAAAGTTTTCTTGCAAAAAGCTGATTGTTCTTTATTATTTACAGTTGAAACTTTTAGAGTATTCTTATATTAAATTACATATTTTTTCTGTTGCTTACAATTGCTAGAAGATTTCTCCCACCTGTAAACGAGATGCAGGGCGACACTCATCTCCACCCGATCCAGTTGTCCTGTAAATTCACTGATGATTCACTGATGAATTTTTCTATTATAAGATGATTATAAAATGATTTTCTATGCAAATCAAGTAGAGTAAATAGGAAAAAAAACTTGAATCTTCCAATCCTTTCCAACCAACCGTCTTTATCCTGGTCAGCCAGCTCCCAAATTTTCGCGAGCACATTCGGAGCTAGACCAGAGTTCAACAAAACGGGTCGAACCTAAGGAAAATGTAAAAATATTATAGTTTTTAGTAAACAACTTTGTTTCCCGACAATTTCCCATTTTCTGGTCCAAGCGACTCAAAGATTGAGTCGTATTTGGATTGATCGTTCGGCTGAATTCCCCAAGTCTCGGTTTGTCCACCTCCGGACGGGGATCGGGGCAGGGTTCCTAGATTTTTCGTTAATCTAGATCTATCTAAAGCACAATACTTCTTAACTAGTAAATCTAGATCTAAAATTTAAAGTTCTTTACCACTCGGTCTTGATGGAGAAGCCTGCAGACTGCCGGGGTCAGCGGATAGCGCAGGAGTATTCGTCCTTGAGCCAAGCATTGGTGCATTTAAGCCTAAAGAAAACTCAAGAATAAATAATAAGTAAACTTTTATAACTTATTAGCTACATAAATAAAGATATTCAACTATTTAGGAGTACCTGGGATTCCCACAGAAGCCGGCACGATAGGATGGCCTTGTTGCGCAGCGGCGACCAATTTAAAAGCGATGAAAGCTCCCTAAAACTTTGAAATCAATTTTCATTTAACTATAATTATTTATAACTATTTATAACTAACTATTTATAACTGAAATCAATTTTTATTTAACTATAACTATAACTATAACTATTTAACTATAACTATAACCAACTAACTATAATTTTAAAGTTATTTTAGCTAAAATCTGTTTAAAATTTCGAAATCTCAATTGTAATAGTGCATTTAAACTGAAGTATGCAGATCCTGAAGACATTTGACCACTTTGGCCAATGCTTAATTGAATATCAATTTGTATTTAAAGCTAAATATAATATAATATACTATAATATAATATAATATAATATAATATAATATAATATAATATAATATAATATAATATATTTTCATATAATATCATTTAATACAATATAATACAATTAAACTACGGTTAATATACATTATAAAACAATATATTATAATATAATATAATATAATATAATATAATATAATATGAATATATTATAATATGAAGTAGTAGTAAAAGTATACTATAATATAGTATAATACCTAATATAATATAATATACTATAATATAATATAATATAATATAATATAATATAATCGCCAAAATATAATATAAAATAATTCATAATTATACTATATTTTATAATTTATAATAAAAGGGTATTTAATATAATATAATATAATATAATATAAAATAATATAAAATACTATAAATAAAAATATAATATAATAAACTATAATATAATTGGTAATTTGTAATTTATAACATAAGTATAAAAAACTAAAGACTTATATCAACTAATAATATAATATAATATAATATAATAGAAATATACCCTCTTATCCAACGCTCCTCGCTTTGCATAATCAGCAATTTCCCAAATTTGTCCGAGTGATTGCACGGGTAAGCTCGATCCCCGGAGATATGAAGCTGCATCACCAGCGGCTACTGTCGGATGACCATGTACATTCATCTAAAATAAAACATAAATCTATAAATCGCAAACAAGTCTAAAAAATAGATCTACTACTTAAAAATATATTATATATCAATGTGTAGATGGTTTGGGTTTTTAAAAAACAATCAACTCTCAAAAATTTTCCCCAGCAAAACTCAATAAACAGCTTCACTGCAGTTTTCAACTCAATAGATATAAATCTATATAAATAATATTCTATATAAATAATATTCTATAAAAATTATCTTTTTTGTTAAATCTTTCAAAATCTATAAAAAATTTGGGGGCTAGAGTAGTTGAGCCAGTCTGGAACCAAAGCCAATATTTTTCCACGAAAACTTGCACGCAGGGTTTTTTGACTATGCTGAATCGATTATTGGTGCTCGCGGAAACCACGGGATGCGCCATCCCCAAGCCACATTCTTACATCTGGGGGAACGTAAGCTACTAAGGGTTAGAAGTTTTTCCGAATGTGTTTAGCAAACCATTCAAACAGTTTATATACAAATTTTCAAAATCATGCAATCGTGCGTGCAACAGATTCACAAGTACCAAAAAAATTTATTAAAGTATTAATAATCGATTCAGCATAGTCAAAACCCCTGTTTTCGTGGAAAAATATTGATTTTGGGTGAAGTGCCAGACTGCCAGACCAGACAACGCTCAAATTTGCAAGAAACTTTTGACTGGGTTTAAATTTTTTTGCCCGAAAACCCCTGGTTTATTTCATTTAGTTTAAAAGCTTATTATGCTTATAATTGGAATGATTGGTATGTCTTTTTTAAAAACGAATCTATTCTTTAATTTGTTTAAAAAAACGTAAACCGACCTCTCTGTAAAGTCCCTCATAGATGGGCATCAGATGAGGGGCGATCCCCAAATCCTCGACACTCATTTGAAAGGCTCTAAAATAGAAAATTGTTGAAAATCGAATCTGATTTTGAAATAGAACAAATAGAACAAAAAGAATGAGTCACGATTGAAAAATCGAACAGCTAAGTGGCTCTCTAAACAGATGGGGGGAATGGGTTGTGTATATTCTGAAAGATGTGCAGATCGAAGACGGATCCCGGCTACCGTAGTCGAATCGTGGCGGGATTACGGCGGAAAAGGGGGAAAGAGAATGATTGAGTGGGAGAAGAGGATAAGATCTTTATGGATTCGAAAGCCGACTTGTACTAACATTTCGATGATTGAAAAGACATAAGCCTAAGATGAATGGACGAAGTTGAATTTCTAATTGTAAATAAGCAGATTTCTTCTGTGATACTCTGCTAAATCTAGCATTCTGGTGAATTCAATTTGTATAGCTTTTCAATCGTCCACTAGATCTAACCAGGTCCACTAGATCTAACCAGGTCCACTAGATCTAACCAGGTCCACTAACCAGGTCCACTAGATTAAGCAAAATTTTGCTAGTAATCTACCGCCACCCCCCATAATGACGGGCGTACAGTCGTGTAGTCTAACTTTGAACGTCTCATTCTCTGAGTTGCTTTAAGCTATAGTGTTCGCTTGGGTGTCAAATGATAGCCCTTGAAATCTAGTAAAACATTTAAAAACGGGGAATTTCTAATGCTATTTGGTAGGGAATTTGAACAGCAACAAGATTTTGAAAGCAATTAAAAGTAACATTAGAAAGCGATCCGGGATAATTAAAAGATCTGCCTCTTCTGGAGCTTGAGGGGACAGAGGAAGAAAAAAATTCGCATAAAAGGGATCAGAATGTTTGCACTTCAGGATTTTAAAGCATTCTAATAAGTCAATGACTAGTGTTGCAGAGTATCGAATTGGAAAAATTTAAGCCTTTGTTCATAGCTATAGTTATGATACTTCAATTTTTAGATGGGCAGTTTTATTGGGTTGGTGCATTGAAATGTGTGGACTATTTCGCGGGAGTCGCAGACAAAGAAAAGAAAAGTTGTAGAGAATCAAAAATGAAGCTTATATCCAAATTTTCAGAACGATTCAAAAACTGGTTTTCAAGAAATGCCAAATGTTACGAATTTTCACAAAACTTGCATTTTAAGCGAAACTACTAAGTGTACCTTTTTGGAAATTTGGCTATAAGCCTAATTTTTGATTCTCTACAACTTTTCTATTGACACCAAAATGGGTTTCTTTTGAAGAAAGTGCTCAAACTGTGACATCTCCAGTCCTCGATTTTTGAGTCTCACACTTGTCTCAAACACAAACCAAAATCCTACTATGAAAGAGGAATCCGCAAATTGCTTGTAAAAATGAGCAGAAGTCGTCAATAATAATGGAAATTATTTCGAATGAATTTATGGTTTTACGTTGAATAAATTTTAGTTCGAAGTCCCACAGTTTTCAATGCACCAACCCAATAGTAAAGCGCTTTTGGATTGATTCGATTCTGTTAATCAGACAAATTTTAGAGGTGGACCATACGGAAGTGTATTCTAAAATGAGCTTAAGAGATAAAACAGCTCATAAGAGATAAAACAGTGTCTATGTTTTAAGATTAGGGTTAATAGATTTAGGAATTCTACTTGTAGAGTAAGAAGCCTTTAGAGATAGGTACAGAATAGAAAGTATTGCTAGACTGCTAGTCAAGAATTTAGACCGAAGCTATAACTTTTTCCGAAGCAAATTTCCCTAGAGCCTGGCATGACCTGGCCTGGAGCTTCAGATCCTGGAGCTTCAGATCCTGGAGCTTCAGATCCTGGAGCTTCAGATCCTGGAGCTTCAGATCCTGGAGCTTCAGATCCTGGAGCTTCAGATCCTGGAGCTTCAGATCCTGGAGCTTCAGATCCTGGAGCTTCAGATCCTGGAGCTTCAGATCCTGGAGCTTCAGATCCTGGAGCTTCAGATCCTGGAGCTTCAGATCCTGGAGCTTCAGATCCTGGAGCTTCAGATCCTGGAGCTTCAGATCCTGGAGCTTCAGATCCTGGAGCTTCAGATCCTGAGGATTTGTCTAAATTGCTAAAACGATAAGCTCTTAACACTAAAAATTAGATTGAAGTAGTTATTAGGGTTCTATAAACTTCAAATATGATATTTGTAGTCACTTTTCAGCTCAATATGCTATCAATATTATTTTTTTAGGCAAATTCTATTTGTTATTTGTATTTCTTCTAGTAGATATCTAGTAGACTTGCTAAGTAGACTCAGTAAATGTTTTCGAATTTTTCAAAATAGTTAACATTGACTCATTTGTCAGCTGTGTTATTTTCTAGGGTAGGTTTTTTGACGAAAACCGGTCTGATTTTAAAGAAAGGAATCGAGTTTCCCGAAAAGAGATTGATAGAGCTGAAAGGGGGGAAATGGATGAATGACCCCATTCTCTGGTTCTTAACTGAGGAAAAAAACATGAAATGGGTTTTTAGTGGAAAGAAAAAGCATCAAATTTGAATTTAAAATGGGGAAAAGTAAGATGAGCACAAGCTTTTGGTGATAGGTTTTTGTAGACTTTGTTTTCTTTGTGTTTTCTCTATTTTCTATTTTCTATTTTGTGATTAAGCTAAACCTGAATCGCTTTGGTTTAGATTTTTTTGGGTATTTTGTTTATTATTTATATTTTGATACATTTTATTTTAGGTTATTGTATTCTGTGAGTAGAAAAATTGAATTTTTTTAAACAAAAATCATTCTGCTCAGTTTTTAGTAAAAGCTGCTACCAATAAAACCCATTTCTTTTCTGAAAAAGTCTCCAAAATGAGATTTTGTGATGATTCGAACGAAGAAACGTTGAAGGAATTGAAAGTTTTTTGAGTGAGAAGAGGAAATTGTACATTATCGAAAAGTTCAAATAACTGGGGATAGGGGAAGAGAGAGAAAGATCTTCGATGGACTTTCCCTTCTCTTTTTCTCTATTTCTTGTCTACCGCAAATCCGGCTTTCAAATTTCGATTCACACCCATTTCGCCTCTATCGAGCTGCTTTCATTTCTCACCCAAACTATATCTGAACACCATCAACATTTTCGGTCGATCAGTTGCAAGTGTTTGTGCTTATCTTTGTCTTATTGTGCTTATCTTTGTCTTATTGTACTGATCTTTGTCCTATTGTATTGATCTTTGTCTTATTGTACTGATCTTTGTCTTATTGTACTTATCTTTGTCTGATTGTAATTATCTTTATCTGATTGTAATTATCTTTGTCTGATTGTAATTATCCTTGTCTTGTTGTACTTATCTTTGTCTTATTGTATTGGGTTGGGGACTATGACTCGGCGCCGAAAATCAAAAAAATGTCTAAAACTTCTATTCGACTTCGTCAAATAATATGCGTTTGATATGAGTAGAATGGTTAACTAATTCTCTACAAAATGACATTTAAAAGAAAATTCAAACAGCGCCTCCGCTCAAGAAAAAGCCATTTTTTCACAAAAACTACAAACTGTCATCTAGAAAAAACCATTGGTGGGATCTTCCTGCAAATTTGGCAACTTATGTAATTCAATGTGCTCTATCTTTTTTATATAAACACCAAAGAAGGTTTATGTGAAAGAAACTGTTCAAATGATGAGTCGGGCTCTTTGCCATTTTGACTAGCTGTGTTTGGGAGTCCATAAACTCCACGAAAGAAAAGCTTTGTGGAATCTCTCAAAAGTCATTTTGTAGAGAAATAGTGGATCCTTTTGATGAAACCAAAGGTATATTTAAAGAAGGCTTTATGTGTGCACAAAATCCCTTTAAAGTTTGGCGCCGAGTCATAGTCCCCAACCCAATACTTGTCTTTGTCTTATTGTACTGATATTTGTCTGATTGTTATTATCATGTGTATTCATCCTTAAATCTAGCGTACTTTATTTCAGATCCTGAATAAAGTATTCATATACCGTATTTTCTCTAATAGTAGTGCACCTTGAGCGTCACCTAAATTGCTTGAAATCTCGAGAACCGAATCTCGAGAACCGCAGAACCTATCGATGTGGGGTCGGAAAATGTAGCTGACGATGAGATCTTGACGATGATTAGAGTGTTGAGCTTCTGTGAAAACTTTGAAAGCCGTAAAATAGTCACCAACTCGGCTCTCAGGGGTGCACTACTATTAGAGAATTAAGGTAATTCTATTGGTTCATTTGTTGGTTTTAAATAGAAGTACGAAAAAGAAAGAAAAGACTTATTCATCAACCAACCGTAAATACTGTAATAGTATCCCACCCTCTTCGTACAGTCGCGTTTTTTAGTATTTCATTTTTTTCAAAGCGCCCGTACTTTCAAAAAATGCGTCTTTGGTATCAAAAAATAGCTGAAATTCAGGGCTATTTTTTGATACCAAAGATAATGACGGTGCGGAGTGTTGCGTAGTCTAGCTTTGAACGAGTTTTTCTCGACACTGGTTTAAGCTACAATGCGCGCTTAGGTATCAAAAAATAGCCCTGAATTTCAGCTATTTTTTTGATTCCTAAGCGCGCATTGTAGCATAAACGAGTGTCGAGAAAAACGCGTTCAAAGCTAGACTACGCAACACTCCGCACCGTCATTATGGGGATGGGGTACTATTACAGTATTTACGGTAATACCTTTGCCATTCCTAGAGTCACTTTCTACTGGTTAGAGATACTCCTTTATTGAAGTGTCTTTATGTAGGAGAGTGAAGAGTTACAAGAATCCTTGAACCCGGTTCTCTTTTTTTTTCTTTTTCTCGATTCTCGAGGCCAGACTCCTCTTTTCCTCGAGAACCAGCTCTCTTCACTTTCTTTCTCTTCTCGGAAGTGCTTTAGAATCCAAAAAAGTACAGAAGGGTGAGTCGGTGAAGCAGGGGTGAGTCGTCTTCCAAGCATACAGCTATATAAGGTTTTAAAAGTCATATGATTTCCTCCGGTGAAGGTGAAGATTTTTTGTCGTCGTAGCAGTCGGGAGCCCTACAGCCTACAATCCGGGTTCGATCCCCGTAATGCTACTAGATAAAAATCAGATGGTTGTTTTAAAAGGATTGGAAGATGCAATTTTGTTTGTCTGGCTTTGTTAATTTGCTATAAACATTAATTTGTTATAAACATTAATTCGTTATAAACTTATCTATTCCAACATGCAAACTCTTTACATTCTTCTACCAATATTTCCTAATCTTTCGAAAGTTTCAGAAATCGAATGAGTCTTTTCAAAAGCTCTCCTCTTTCCCATTAAAAAGTTCACCTAGGAAACGAGTTTCTTTCTTTTCAATAATCTCTCTCAATTCCTTTTTTTACCTCAAAAAAAAATCTTTAGATCTTTAGGATGTAAATTTTCTTCCACCCAACAAAGATGAAGAGACACAAAGTGGAGATTTTTTTCGTTTTAACTTTGCTTCTATTGCTGGGATTGACGAAATGGGCACGGATTGGATTGGTGAGGATTTATATGTAAAATTTAGACTAATTAAGTCTTTCTCATCATTTTCCAAAGATGATTTTGTTTTTACACTTTAAAGCAAGCTCTGACTATCGTATGTTGGCTTTGGAAAATGGTTTCTCCAAATTTTGTTCTCACTTGCAGTGATCTCTTTGATCATTCATGATAATTTATTGGAAAAGACGGAAACTCCCAAATGGGATTACTCCATGGGCTTTATGGAATAGGCCTGACTTTAGGCAATATGACAACACTACCCATATTGCCTAAAGGTATATAAAAAGTATATAAAACGTATATATGTCGTAGCCGATTATGAATGAAATTTTTTGGTAAATCTTTCTAGTAGATCAACCCTTTAATGTATGAGGGCAATATTATAGCATCTTGTAGCGAATTGAATTCTCCGTCGATTGGTACCAAATTTGTGAGTTTAGGTTAAAAATTGCCGGCGCTACAACGTTTCATTCAAAATCGGCGGGACCCCCGTAGCCGATTATGAATGAGTGGGTCTAGGAGCGTCCAACCATCAAGTATTTAGTATCATTCAACGCAGAATCATTAACAATTATGTTAAATTTTTTAAATTAGAAAGATTGGATGAAAAGAAAAAAAATTAGAGCAAAAAAACTGTTTGTTCAAGAGGAAACTTTGAAGCCCCATAATTTTTTTTCTTTTTATCCAATCTTTCTAATTTAAAAAATTTAACATAATTATCAATGATTCTGCGTTGAATGATACCAAATACTTGATGGTTGGACGCTCCTAGACCCACTCATTCATAATCGGCTGAAATTCATAATCGGCTACGACATATAAAACGTTTCCCTAATTAGTTCAATCTTAAATGCTTATGAAGAATTTTAAAAATCGGCTTTTCATTCATCTTGTTAACTGTTTAACTTGTTTTGTTTTGTTCTCAGTGTTTTGTGCTTTGTTTAAACATCAAAAAAACTATAGCATTAGTAAAATAATGTTTAAAAAATGACTTAACACTTTGAATTTGAAACAATTTTAAATTAAAATAGAAAATCGATCCAAATTTTGATCCAATTTTGATAAAAATCTTGATTTTCTCATTCATAAACTCAACAAATTTTCAGAGTTCTCTCCAAATTTTGTTCTCACTCGCCGTGATCTCTTTGATCATTCATGAGATTTATTGGAAAAGACGGAAACTCCCGAATGGGCCTATTCCATGGCTGACTTTAGGCAATATGGCAACACTAGCTACAGGTAAAACGATGAAAATCTTGATTGTTTTTATATAATTTTTTGTTATACTTTTATTACAGCCAATTTCGATGATCTAATGTCAAAATGGAGGCGAAAATATGGCGGAATTTTCACCGTTTGGATTGGTCCATTCCCTTTAGTAATGGTCAATGACGTGGGCACGATGAAAAAGTAGGGGAAGTTGGGAATGGGATACAGGAAATTCTCTTTAGTAATGGTAATTCATTACTTAGTAATTTATTGGTCCATTTCCTTCAGTAATGGTAATTCATTACTTAGTAATTTATTGACCATTTCCTTTAGTAATGGTCAATGAAGTGGGCACGATGAAAAAGTAGGGGAAATTGAGAATAAGATACAGAAAATTACAGGAATCGTTTCTAAAATTAGGCTTTGGTATTTAGGCATTTAGTTAAATGCTTAAATGCTTCTATGATTAGTCTATTAGCCGCTTTTTTAGATTAGAATTTGGTCAATTTGGTGAATTTGATCAATTTGATCAATTTGGTCAGTTTGATCAATTTAATCAATTTGATCAATTTAATCAATTTGGTCAATTTGGTCAATTTAATCAATTTGGTGTCAAATAGAAAACAACGACGATGTATATTGTAGTTATTGTAGTTATTGTAGTATTGTAGTTATATTATTGTAGTTTGCGCATTCTCGTAATCCGATTCTCCTAATTGCACTAATTTTGACCAATAAACTAAATGGAAGGAATTTTTTTTGATATAAAACTTGAATCGGCTTCGTTTTGTGGATTGTGAGAAATTTGACGGCGTTGTTTTGAACATTTTCTATTTCGATGCTGTTTTAATTATATTCTAATATTTCAGATACTTTGTGCAAAACGGTGAGCTCTTCAGCAATCGCTGGCGCAACTTTGTCACTGATTCGTTTATGAATGGAGCGAATGGATTGATACAAATTGATGGGGAGAAGTGGAGAGAACAAAGAAGGTTTGGATAAGAGAAAGGAATAACCAGTTAGCCAACAAAAGTTAGCCAACAAACGTTAGCCAACAAATTGTAAAATACGAAAATTCAATTATTCAAGCAACTTTCTCTTTTTGTCAACAATAAAATAAACAAAAAAAATGACAGAAGGGGGCCTTTTCTCATACGCCAACCTTCCGTTTCCTCTAAAAGCCCCCACAGTTTCTTTTTTAATCGAGTTATTAAATTCTGAAACATTTAACCATTTCAGAATTAAATTCTGGAACATTTTACCCCCACATGTTCGTGATATTCTTGGCTAGATTTAAAGTCGCAGTTTCGGCAATTGATTTGACTGCTCTGTAATTCTTTCTTGAGGTATCTATTTATCTTTTGGTGTGTTTTGAGTGGTGTCCCGGGTAATTATTGTGATTTTGTTTTGTCGCTATTCAACTGAAGCATATATATGTTGTGTCCGATTTAGATTTCCGTCCGATTTAGATTACAGTCTATATCGGACGTCCGATTTAGATTCAATCTAAATCTTATATGGATTGAACAATAATATAAACATGCTTAATATATGTTCTTAAGCGTTTTCTGTAGTTTTCTGCATTTTTCAAAGGTCTTTTATTGATTACAGTCTATATCGGACGTCCGATACAGATCGAACAATAATAAACGTGCTTAACATATGTTCTTTGAAAATTTCTTTGAAAAGCGCAGAAAATTGCAAAAAAACGCTTAAGAACATATATTAAGCACGTTTATTATTGTTCGATCTGTATCGGACGTCCGATATAGACTGTAATCTAAATCGGACGGAAATCTAAATCGGACACAACATATATATATATACAGTGCCGGACAAAAGTTTAAGAACATGACCTCAAGTTACGGAAAAAGCTCAATATCTTTTAGAAGGTGAAGAGTTTCATTTAGGTCTTAAAAGCATTTTTGTTTGCCTCAATTTCAGGAATTAAATACATCTTATAACAGGTCACAAATCTCAATACAAAAAAAGTCTTTGAGACTTTAAAGGAAATAGCCGGTATTCTAGCCGGACAAAAGTTTAAGAACAAGCATTGTTTAACAAAGTTTATTTTTAAAAAATAACAATTAAAGCAACAAAAGTGATTAACAAGTTCAATACTTAGTCGAAGCACCATTAGCTTTGATCACTGCTTGGCAACGAGGCGGCATACTTTCGATCAACTTCTCAATAAAACTTTTTGGGATCTTGTTCCATTCTTGTTGAATAGCGTCCAAAAGAAGATCGCCGGTCGCGAATTTTTTACGTTTTAGTCCACGCTCAACTTGACTCCACATGTTTTCAATCGGATTAGGATTGAGCTGGCCACTCTAAAAGACCAACAAGATTATCGGCAAACCATTTCTTTACGCTCCTTGCTCTGTGTTTGGGATCGTTGTCTTGCATAAAGACCCATCCTCGCAGCATGTTTTGGGCTGCATGTGGAAGTATGACTCTCTCAATGATACCACGGTATTGAAATTGATCTATTAACCTCTGAACACGCTCCAAAGGTCCATGGCAGTCAAATGAAAAACATGACCACACCATGAGATTACCATCTCTATGCTTAACTGTACCAACAGTGTATCGTGGGTCATTTCGGGTGTTCGGCGGGCAACGAACATGTTTTATTCCGTCCGTATTGCTCATGTTGAACTTGGATTCATCTGACCAAAGCACGTTCTTCCATTCGGCAACCGTCCAATGCTCGTGTGTGTAGCAAAATTCAACCTGACTTTCTTGTTCTTGACAGAGACGAACGGTTTATGAGCAGCAGTTCGACCAAAGAGGTGACTCTCGTTCAAACGTCTTTGTATTGTTCTCCGATCAACATTTGACGCACCAATAGCTTCACGAACCTCAGGAGGCGTCAAAAACGGGTTCTTCTTGGACGCTAGTATGATGCGTTGATTCATCCTGAGCAATATTTTGCACATTTAAAAACGAAATCTCAAAAAAACTTACTTGTCACTGGTTTTTCGAGGTCTTCCCATTTTCTTTGTCGGCTTCGGGTTCTTTCTACGTTGATAGGCTTGCCAAACAGAGTGCCTTTTTCATCCAATTGCCGTAGCGATCTCCTCAAATGTTTTGCTTTTTAGATCCCTCATTCGGACAATGGTATCCACATCAAAAGGTGAAATTCGTTGAGTTTTGGTCATTTTTTCTAAAAATTAATATAAAAATGTCCAAAAAAAATCAATGATCAATCAATGAAAAATGAAATATTGAATTAAAACAATGCTTGTTCTTAAACTTTTGTCCGGCTAGAATACCGGCTATTTCCTTTAAAGTCTCAAAGACTTTTTTTTGTATTGAGATTTGTGACCTGTTATAAGATGTATTTAATTCCTCAAATTGAGGCAAACAAAAATGCTTTTAAGACCTAAATGAAACTCTTCACCTTCTAAAAGATATTGAGCTTTTTCCGTAACTTGAGGTCATGTTCTTAAACTTTTGTCCGGCACTGTATGTCGTAGCCGATTATGAATTTCAGCCGATTATGAATGAGCGGGTCTAGGAGCGTCCAACCATCAAGTATTTGGTATCATTCAACGCAGAATCATTAATAATTATGTTAAATTTTTTAAATTAGAAAGATTGGATGAAAAGAAAAAAAATTATGGGGCTTCAAAGTTTCCTCTTGAACAAACAGTTTTTTTGCTCTAATTTTTTTTCTTTTTATCAAATCTTTCTAATTTTAAAAATTTAACATAATTATTAATGATTCTGCGTTGAATGATACCAAATACTTGATGGTTGGACGCTCCTAGACCCACTCATTCTCCTCCTTCATCGTCATCTTCCCTTCACCACCAAAAAAGCTATTTAGTTCCCCATTGAGCTTAGGGTTAGGGAGCCGTCTGTCATGACGTGGGTTAAGTTAAGATATAGCCTAGTATTGTGTGTGTCGTTGTATTGTGATTGATATATTTCGTGTATGCGATAAATTCACCACTGGTAGCCCCAGTCGGTATTTTTTTTTTAAACAAACAGTTTTTTTGCTCGAATTTTTTTTCTTTTTATCAAATCTTTCTAATTTAAAAAATTTAACATAATTATCAATGATTCTGCGTTGAATGATACCAAATACTTGATGGTTGGACGCTCCTAGACCCACTCATTCATAATCGGCTACGGGGGTCCCGCCGATTTTGAATGAAACGTTGTAGCGCCGGCAATTTTTAACCTAAACTCACAAATTTCGTACCAATCGACGGAGAATTCAATTCGCTACAAGATGCTATAATATTGTCCTCATACATTAAAGGGTTGCTCTACTAGAAAGATTTGCCAAAAAATTTCATTCATAATCGGCTACGACATATATATCTTTTTAAACTTTATAATCTCTAAGATTCATTTTAAAGAATTGTACTTTAGGTTCAATCTAAATCGGACACAACATATATATATATATATATTATTTCAGATTCTCTCTGCACGTTCTCCGAAATTTTGGCGTTGGTCAACATCGAATGGAGAGAAAAATCCTGTCAGAGGTTTTTATTTTTCTTAAAGCTATTTAAATCTTGATCTATTGGGTTGGGGAGAATGAGTCGGCGCCGAAAATGAAAAAAATGTCTAAAACTTCTATTCGACTTCGTCAAATAATATGCGTTTGATATGAGTAGAATGGTTAACTAATTCTCTACAAAATCACATTTAAAAGAAAATTCAAACAGCGCCTCCGCTCAAGAAAAAGCCATTTTTTCACAAAAACTACAAACTGTGATCTAGAAAAAACCATTGGTGGGATCTTCCTGCAAATTTGGCAACTTAAGTAATTGAATGTGCTCTATCTTTTTTATATAAACACCAAAGAAGGTTTATGTGAAAGAAACTGTTCAAATGATGAGTCGGACTCTTTGCCATTTTAACCAGCTGCGTTTGGAAATTCATAAACTCCACGAAAGAAAAGCTTTGTGGAATCTCTCAAAAGTCATTTTGTAGAGAAATAGTGGATCCTTTTGATGAAACCAAACGTATGTTTAAAGAAGGCTTTATGTGTGCAAAACGTCCCTTTAAAGTTTGGCGCCGACTCATTCTCCCCAACCCAATAGTTATATTTAGATCTAGTTATATTTAGATCTAGTTATATTTAGATCTAGTTATATTTAGATCTACTTCTATTTGGCTCTAGTTCTATTGTTTTCTAATATTTTATTTCTACAATTCTATGCTTAGGTCCGTCACTTAACCTCCTATCTCCAAAAGAATGGTGAGATCGATTTGTGCACTCCTTTGGCTGTCTGTGTTGGCAATATCATTAACGATATGCTTTTTGGAATCACTTTTCCACAGGTTTGACTTACAAATTGTTTACGAATCAAATTTCAAATCAAATTTACGAATTATGCTTGAAATTTTCAAACTACAGGGTTCCATTGAAATGAAACGTCTTCACTCTTTACTCGACGCTCAATCGAAACTCGTTGTCAACCCATTGATGGGTGAGAGTTTTTGTGATACTTTTGTTGATTTATAATAATATTCTACAATAACAGACCAATGGATGGCTTTAGATCATTTGCTTGTTTAAAATAAAGCCATAAATCAACAATTCACTTGTTTTTTTTTGAATTTGTAAAGCCATAACTGTTATTTCCGCTGAAAAATCCAGGAAATAAGAGATTTAAAATCTTTTTTAATGTTATTTTGAAGGAAAATAATTGAGCTTTCTAATGAAATAAGCCATAATTTAATTGGTGCATTTGTTGGTTGTAAATATTAGCGTAAATACTGTAATAGTGGGGGTGGGACAAATGCGACCTTTTTTTTGCGCACCTGGACATTTGCGCACCTTTTTTTTGCTGGAAAAGGCCTTAGGAAAGGTCGTAGAGCTTCAAAAATGTTTTCATAGAAGGGAATCGTATGCGTAGATTCCGAATTTCGACAAATCAGACCTCGCTGACACGTCAAATTTGGGCTAAAAGGCAAAAACTACGCAACTTAACGCTTTTCCGCAGTTTTTGCCTTTTAGCTCACATTTGACGTGTCAGCGAGGTCTGATTTGTCGAAATTCGGAATCTACGCATTTTTGGAACTCTACGGCCTTGCCTAAGGCCTTTTCCAGCAAAAAAAAAAGTGCGCAAATGTCCAGGTGCGCAAAAAAAGGTCGCATTTGTCCCACCCCCGACTTTCTCGACTAATACTGTTTTTATGTAAATTGACAAGTCATGATCGTTTTCTATAATGTAAAACTTTTTTACTAACTTCAAAATTCAAATAAACCTTTGCTCTTTAGGTCTCTACATAGCGGCTCCTTTCGCCACAAAAATCCCTTTCTTGAATAAGCCGTGGTTGGAGTTGATCAAGCATCGAGATCATTTATGGGATTTTCTAGGGAAACAAGTACAAGTAAAATAAAATCGAAAACATTTCAGCTATAGAAATCATTCTAGAGTCACATTGAAATGTTTAACAATGGTCATTCCACCATTGACGATTTTACCTTTGCTTATTTGGAAGAAATGGATCGAAGAAAAGAGATTGGAGAAACGGGATATTTCAAGTAAAGAAAAAAAAGCTGTTGTTGTTTAAACAATCGTTTAAAAAGCTTTTCAGCGAATGGCAACTTCAAATGTTGTTATTGGATTTGTTCTTTGCTGGAATGGAGACAACGGTGACCACTCTAAAATGGGCTTTTCTACTTATGATTACCCATCCGGTAGTGATGAAAAATGTGCAGGTGAGATGGAAATTAAATTAAATAAATGAAAAGATGAAAATCTATTATCTATCAATGTAAAAATATGTTAACAAACAAAACAAACAAAACAAACAAAGCAAACAAAACAAAACAAACAAAGCAAACAAAACAAACAAAACAAACAAAGCAAACAAAACAAAACAAACAAAGCAAACAAAACAAACAAAACAAACAAAGCAAACAAAACAAAACAAACAAAGCAAACAAAACAAACAAAACAAACAAAGCAAACAAAACAAAACAAACAAAGCAAACAAAACAAACAAAACAAACAAAGCAAACAAAAACAAAACAAACAAAGCAAACAAAACAAAACAAAACAAACAAAGCAAACAAAACAAAACAAACAAAGCAAACAAAACAAAACAAAACAAAACAAAACAAACAAAGCAAACAAAACAAAACAAAACAAACAAAGCAAACAAAACAAAACAAACAAAGCAAACAAAACAAACAAAACAAACAAAGCAAACAAAACAAAACAAACAAAGCAAACAAAACAAACAAAACAAACAAAGCAAACAAAACAAAACAAACAAAGCAAACAAAACAAACAAAGCAAACAAAACAAAACAAACAAAGCAAACAAAACAAACAAAACAAACAAAGCAAACAAAACAAAACAAACAAAAGCAAAACAAAACAAAACAAAGCAAACAAAACAAAACAAACAAAAAAGCAAACAAACAAAACAAACAAAACAAAACAAAACAAACAAAGCAAACAAAACAAAACAAAACAAACAAAGCAAACAAAACAAAACAAACAAAGCAAACAAAACAAACAAAACAAACAAAGCAAACAAAACAAAACAAACAAAGCAAACAAAACAAACAAAACAAACAAAGCAAAACAAAACAAAACAAACAAAGCAAAACAAAACAAACAAAGCAAACAAAAACAAAACAAACAAAGCAAACAAAACAAAACAAAAACAAACAAAGCAAACAAAACAAAACAAACAAAGCAAACAAAACAAACAAAACAAACAAAACAAACAAAACAAAACAAACAAAGCAAACAAAACAAACAAAGCAAACAAAACAAAACAAACAAAGCAAACAAAACAAAACAAAACAAACAAAGCAAACAAAACAAAGCAAACAAAACAAAACAAAACAAACAAAGCAAACAAAACAAAACAAACAAAGCAAACAAAACAAACAAAACAAACAAAGCAAACAAAACAAAACAAACAAAGCAAACAAAACAAACAAAACAAACAAAGCAAACAAAACAAAACAAACAAAGCAAACAAAACAAACAAAGCAAACAAAACAAAACAAACAAAGCAAACAAAACAAAACAAAACAAACAAAGCAAACAAAACAAAACAAACAAAGCAAAACAAAACAAAACAAAACAAACAAAGCAAACAAAACAAAACAAACAAAGCAAACAAAACAAAACAAACAAAGCAAACAAAACAAAACAAACAAAGCAAACAAAACAAAACAAACAAAGCAAACAAAACAAAACAAAACAAAACAAACAAAGCAAACAAAACAAAACAAACAAAGCAAACAAAACAAAACAATTAAGGTACTTTCCAAAATCATATGTAAATCCAAAATTTTTGATCATTTTAATCAATCCTATCAAATTTTTCCTTAATTTGAAAGTGATCACAAATTTTTCATTGCAATTTGTCGCCATTACTCTTCCAAAACCATTTAAAACCATTTGAAATGTGAAAAGCTCGAAATTTCCATTTAAAAAGGAAAAGTTGGAGTGGGAAAGATTGAAAAGCAACAAAATAAGGTCAAAGATAAGCTCAAAGATAAAGACTAGACATGCCCATTTTCGAGTTTTGGCGGCCGGGTCGGATCAGCGGGTCGGATCAGCGGGTCGGATCAGCGGGTCGGATCAGCGGGTCGGGTCAGCGGGTCGGGTCAGCGGGTCGGGTCAGCGGGTCGGGTCAGCGGGTCGGGTCAGCGGGTCGGGTCAGCGGGTCGGGTCAGCGGGTCGGGTCAGATTGAAGAAAGTTGAAATTTACAGTTAACGGCTTGGCTTTTCTGGCGTATATGCCATTTCGCAGCTAATTAGTCTAGTAAACTTATTTAAAACCCTAAAAATAGTTTTTACTAATTAAACAAAAAGCAATGGTCAGTGAATGGATCCGAACCTGGGCCAAGACCTGCCATTAGCCTTGAACCCGGCCACACTAATCATTAGGCCATCAGAGCACGTTTGAAGTATCATGAGAAAAGCTTGTAAACAACCGAAAAAAGGCCAGATCTGCCAAATTTGTATTCCAAATATCTCGTGTTACAAAAGCGTTCTGGAAAAACTAAAAACAGAGTCAGAATCCCCGAAGAAAACTTTATCAAATGAGCCAGAGATCATGTGAAAACTCGATCTTTACTTGATTGATCTTTACTTGATAAAATTCCCTAGCCAAATTGTTTCCTAGAAAGCACAGCTTTTTGAAAACTTGTAAACTAGTACAAGTTTAGCTTAGCCAAGGCTTACAGGCTTAAAAGTCCATATTCTAAAATTTTAGAAAGAACTGGATTGCTTGAATGTGAGTGAGGTGGGGCTACGTGAGCGATCACTCACCCCGTATACACAAGCTGTCATTTGTGTGAGTTTAAAATTGAAATTTTCATTGACAAGATTGATAAGTTGAGCTTTATTTAACTAGAGAAAACGTTAAAATTGGCTCTTGAAAGAATCCGGGTCTTTTGGAAAAATCCAGGTATTTTGAAGGGGTCATCACACTTGGAAAGCCTATAACTTCATCTAGAGACAATATTATTGCTAACTTTTTATATCATTGTACCAAGGACATTTCAGGCTTTCAAATGATACCAAATAGAGCTTGACTGGATTTTTCATTCCCATGCAAACAAAGCAAACAAGGCGACACAACACCCCGAGTTGAATAGGCCTCAATTGCTCAGAGTTTGCTCTGATTTTCTTGAACTAGTTTATCCAATCAAGCTCTATTTGGTATCATTTGAAAGCCTGAAATGTCCTTTGTACAATGATATAAAAAGTTAGCAATAATATTGTCTCTAGATGAAGTTATAGGCTTTCAAAGTGTGACGACCCGTTAAAAATACCTGGATTTTTCCAAAAGACCCGGATTCTTTTAAAATACCTGGATTTTTTTCAAGAGCCTTAAAATTTAAGGAGATTCAACGAATAGCCAATATACTACCGATTAACTTATTGCGTACGGTGTGCGATGATGTGGAAATTGACGGGTACACATTTCCAAAGGGTGAGTGGTAAGGTAGATATAAAATAGCTCAAGATATTTTATCGAACAAAGGAATAGTACCTTTTGTACTGTTTTGTACTTTTGTACTGCTTTGTACTTTTGTACTGTTTTGTACTTTTGTACTACTTTTTACTGACTATAAAATACCGATTTTTCTAGGAACGATGGTGATTCCACAGATCTCAATAATGCTCAACGATGAGACGGTTTTCGAGGAGCCGAAAGAGTTTCGGTTAGCTTTACAGTCAAGTTATTGAAATTACGATTAGAAAAGAATCTTATAAACCATTTAAACTTTTCAAATGTAAAAGTTGAACTTACATTTTCAAGAAAAATTTCAGCCCAGAACGTTTCCTGGATGATGAAGGGAAACTCAAGCGAATCGATCAATTTATGCCATTTTCTCTGGGTTTGATTTTGATTTTTATATTGATGTTGATATTAATGTTGATATTGATGTTGATATTGATGTTGATATTGATGTTAATATTGATGTTGATATTGATGTTGATATTGATATTGATATTGATGTTGATATTGATGTTGATATTAATGTTGATATTAATGTTGATATTGATGTTAATATTGATTTTTATATTGATATTGATAAAACATTGTCTACACAAAAGTCCTTTCTATTCTAAAGTTGATCTAGTAATCAGAAATCAACTCCACAATTTCCAGGTCGTCGCCAATGTTTGGGCGAGTCGCTCGCGCGGGCTGAGCTCTTTCTAATCTTCTCAAATGTTATCAAAGAATTCGATATTTTGCCCGTTCCAGGCGAGATCTATTCAAGAAAAAGAGCGCTCGGGTGAGTGTTTTTTGAAAGATTTGATAATTGGTGAAACAATCAAAGTTAACTCAAAGGAGTGTTGTGATTTTGACAGAAAATGGCTGTTGTCTAGGGTTTCCCAAAAAAAACAGCATAGACAGATGGCAGAAAATTGTCTAAATTATGTCAACTTTTAAAAGCTACCGTAATCTTGTCTCTTTTATTTAATCTATCTATTGGGTTGATGGAAAAGTCCTTTCCGATTTTTTGGGAGAGTACCTTAAATTTGTCGAATTTTGACGTTTTATAGCTCATCCTAAAGCTGAATTCAAGACGGATCGATTGGTAAAAACCGTTTTGAGATATCTCTTTTCTAAAAGTTTTTACAGCTATTTTAGTAAAGGGCGGCAGAGCCAAAAAAAATGGCTGTTTTCACGTTTCGTTAGTTTTCCGTGCAGAAATCTAGGCTAAAACCATGTGTTTCGTGATCAGCGTCAAAAATAACCCCTAGACACGCATTTTCAGAATCTTAGCAAGAAATTTTTTGATACTTTTAACCTGATTCTTGGTTCACAAAGGATAACAAAAGATACGAAAAGTATAGATTAGATTAGATTAGCTCTGGAGTAAGATTAGCTCTGGAGTAAGATTAGCTTTGGAGTAAGATTAGCTCTGGAGTAAGATTAGCTCTGGGTAAAATTAGCCTGGGTAAGTTAGCTCGGGAGATTAGCCTGGGTAGATTAGCTCTGGAGTAAGATTAGCTCTGGAGTAAGATTAGCTCTGGAGTAAGATTAGCTTTGGAGTAAGATTAGCTCTGGAGTAAGATTAGCTCTGGAGTAAGATTAGCTCTCTCTTGAGTAAGAGAGATCAAGTGAGTCGTGGTGTAATGGTTAGCACAGTGGTCCGGTAAGGCGTGGCTCTTTTATCTTGCATCCCGAATCTGCTTTCTCTAAATCCTCTAGAGCTTTTTTCATAAATCGTGTGACTAAAGTTTGGAATGAAACCTCTCACAGTGGAAACCTCTCACAAAGCATTAAATTCTATATTTCTTTTGCCTTAATTTGAATGAAAATCGAAACGCCTTTCGGTTTCACTTTCTCTTTTTTTCTCAGGATTAAAATGAGAAATCAATGGCAAAAGTGTTTGTCCGGTCGCGGGTTCGACCCCGGCGGCGCACAAATTTTTGCTTTACCCTAGTTTCAACTAATTGATTGAAGGCTAAAGACAAGGTTAGCATAGATTTTGAAACAGCCTTTTTCCAAACGGTTAGAATGGTTAAAACAATTTACTTTAAAGCTTTAAAGATGATTATTTCAGTTTAACTGTTTCCCCTCAAAAGTACCGTGTCCATTTGGTGCCCCGGAAGCTCGACACCAACATGAATCCAGTCTAAAAGAGTTTGATTTCTCTCCCCGTTTTCTCTTTTCTCTCATCCATGATCCTTTCACTGATAATTGTTGTGATCAATGTAGTTTGATTGATTTTTTGATAATGATATTTGATAATGTTTCTCTCATTTTTTGATCCATTTCTGATCATTCCAACTTTTTGGCTTTATTTGACAGTTATTTCTCTATTGAATCTCTTTATATTTAAAGTTTTACCTGTGATAGTTAGGCTTGAAAGTGATAAAGATAAAACTTTTCGCAATCTTACGTTTATAAGATTAATTTTTGGATTATTAATTACGATTTAAAGCTGAAGAAATGAATAGTTAAGGTTAAGAGTTACAGTTAAGTTACAGTTACAGTTACGGTTAAGTTACAGTTAAGTTAAGCTACAGTTAAGTTACAGTTACAGTTAAGTTACAGTTACAGTTACAGTTAAGTTACAGTTACAGTTACAGTTAAGTTACAGTTAAGTTACAGTTACAGTTACAGTTAAGTTACAGTTACAGTTAAGTTAAGCTACAGTTAAGTTACAGTTACAGCTAAGTTACAGTTACAGTTACGGTTAAGTTACAGTTACAGTTAAGTTACAGTCGGCGGTGCGTTACGTAAGGTTACGTTAAGTAAGTACAGTTAAGTTACAGTAGTTACAGTTACAGTTACGGTTAAGTTACTAAGTTACAGAAGTTAAGTTACGTTAAGTTCAGTTAGGTTAAGCCCGTTAGGTTAAGTTACAGTTAGTTAAGCTACGTTAAGTTAAGCTCGTTAAGTTAAGTTACAGTTAAGTTAAGCTACAGTTAAGTTACAGTTACAGTTAAGTTACAGTTACAGTTAATCAAGTAATCGCTAGTAGTCAAGTAATCAATTACAGTAATCGCTTTAAACCTAAAGAAATAAACGATTATGGTTAAAAGCTCCGATAGCCAAATCATGCTTTAAAGCTGAAGAAATAAACGATTACGGTTATAAAGCTAAGTCACGCTTTAGATCAACTAAAAATCTAAAATTTGTCCTGATTACCGTAACCGTAGATCTTTATATTTACCGTATCAATTGCCTAGAAACTTGGTGGGGTCACGGTACAGTTTAGAATGGTTACAAGTTGGGGTTTTGCCTAGTTCACAAGGGGGACTTGGGCTTGTCTAAAGCTTGTCCTGACTATCATAACTGTGCGTTAAATCTAGATCTTTATCTTTACCGTATTAACTATTTCTCTACCATTACGGGTTACGGTAGACGGGTTACGGTATCTATTAACTGACGAGATTACGGTAGTCTGGAGATTGATTCTAGACGGGTTACGGTATCTATTAACTGACGGGATTACGGTAGTCTGGAGATTGATTCTAGATTGATTCAAGCTCCAGTCATGGTAACCAAATCACCAAGCTAGTTCTTTCACCGGTAAAAGATCACCGGTAAAGGAGTTCTTTTGAGCAATTGTATAACTTAAAGGCATCTAAAGCTAAGTTTAAATCAAACTAGCCATCTCTAAACTGAAATCTTCAAGTTTTAACCACTCTTTTCGCTCATTATGATCTCTAGGGATTAAAACTCGTACTCTTTGTTTTTCCCCAAACCACGTTTTGCCTTCATCCCCCGTTCTTTCCCCCGTTCTCTTATCAAATCAATTTGTTTGAGAATGTTTGAGATACAGAGATATGGAAAAAGTTTTCACATTTTTCGGAGATTATTCTCTAATTTCAAAGCCAATTTTGAAAAGATCATCTCGATTTTTTTTGTTTATTTGCCTTGAAAGCTTTTTGATTAATATTTTTTGTAATTATTTTATAATTATTTATAATTATAATTATTATAATTATTTATAATACCAATTAGTTCTTGATTTGAGCGGAATCAATCCAACTTTTCTTCAGCAATGCCAGTGAAATCCGAGTTCTCAGACGTGTCTATTTCAACAAGTCCGTATTATGCAAAAGTTCTCGCGAAAATCCTCGAGCATCACCTTGAGACTCCTGGACGAGCAGCATTTGTGAGAGCTTTAGCTTTAAAGCTTTAAATTTTAAAGTCAATTGCTAATAGATATCAGCTGAGAATCCAAATGAAAGCGTGACATGGCTTGAGCTTTTCGATTACTCCCACTCGTTGGCTAATTTCTTCAAGGAGCATCGTTTTGAGCGCGGCGAAGTTTGCTGTTTGGTGAGTTACAATTTTACAGCTTTTCTAAAAGACATATTTCTGAAAACTACCCTAATCAAGCTGCCAATTTACTCGACTATTTCGATTTTTGTATCATTGCCTGGGTCTCTTATCAAAATCAAAATTTGATTGATAGAATAAAATTAAAACAGATTGTTTACAGTAGTTTTATGTGTGAAAACGTATTACTTAAGAACATTAGTTAAGAAAGTATTCAGTTAAAGTTAAACTTTGGTAAAGCTAAACTTAGTCAAAGCTGACATGATGACATGATGATTTTAGAACTTTTCTTTATTTACAATTAAATATTGGGTTGATGAATTGAAAACTGCCGGCTATTGTCTTATGTGACAGTTTGAGCACTTTCTTCAAAAGAAACCCATTTTGGTGTTAATGGAAAACTTGTAGAGAACCAAAAAGATACACTTAGTAGTTCCGCTTAAAATTTGTCTGTTCTGTGTGTTCTTTGTGCGGCCGCGTAATCGCTCGTCGTCTGGCGCAGGGTCTTTAGATAACCCCCTTCCCTCCCTATTCTCCAATTTCTTCTGGCCGGCTCCGAATCCTCAAATTCGACATTGACTTCTCCGCAAATCAAGGCTAATCTCAATCCATTGGGTTGGTAAATTGAAAACTGCCGGCTATTTTCATATTTGACAGTTTGAGCACTTTCTTCAAAAGAAACCCATTTTGGCTTCAATGGAAAAAGAAGACTGAAAAATTCTTTTTGGCGGGGTCGTTTTATTGGGTCGGGTTACGGTAGTTTCCGACGTTTGGCGCGGAAACGTCTGAAAGGCAAAGTGTACGGTGGACGGTCCGAAAGGCATCTGTCGTCAGAATTTTATTATTTCAAGAGAGAATTCCTTTAAATGGATTTAAAGTAAAATGAAATTAAACCCAATTTGTTTAATTACTTTTTTAATTATTATTTTTAATTTATTGGGTTGGTGAATTGAAAACTGCGGGCTATTGTCATATGTGACAGTTTGAGCACTTTCTTCAAAAGAAACCCATTTTGGTGTCAATGGAAAAGTTGTAGAGAATCAAAAATGAAGGTTATATCCAAATTTTCAGAACGATTCAAAAACTGGTTTTCAAGAAATGCCAAATTTACGAATTTTCACAAAACTTGCATTTTACGAAACTACTAAGTGTATCTTTTTGGAAATTTGGCTATAAGCCTCATTTTTGATTCTCTACAACTTTTCTATTGACACCAAAATGGGTTTCTTTTGAAGAAAATGCTCAAACTGTGACATCTCCAGTCCTCGATTTTTGAGTCTCACACTTGTCTCACACACAAACCAAAATCCTACCACGAAAGAGGAATCCGCAAATTGCCTGTAAAATGGGCAGAAGTTGTCAATAATAATGGAAATTATTTGGAATGAATTGATGGTTTTATGTTGGATAAATTTTAGTTCAAAGTCCCACAGTTTTCAATTCACCAATCCAATAGATACAACTTAGAATCTTTTATCGATCTATAAAGAAATTATAGCTTAACTTTTCTTTAAAGATTCTTTTATTAGTTCTTTTCTTTTATTAGTTTTTTTATTAGTTCTTTTATTGCACAGGTATTGCCGAATTGTTGGCAGTACGCGGTCGGATTTCTGGGAGTGACGCTGGCTGGTGGGGCAGCTTCGGGAGCGAGTGCCATGTTCACCGATTGTTTGTTTTTTAAATAAAAATCTTTTAAATGAAAATTATTTCACATTTTGTCAAGCCATCAACTTTTAGATGAACTAGAGCGTCAATTCATTGACTCACAAGCGACAGCGATTCTCACCGATGAGACGCATCTTGAGCGCGTTCGAACGGCTGTCACCAGAGCTTCACTAGTGAAAGTGAGATCTAAAATGGAAATATTGAGAAATTTTCGAAAGCATATCTTAAGATTATATCTAGATTTGAACTTTATGACTATTTTAAGGCACATTTTGCTTTTTTTTAGTGAAGAAAAAGCATGATGATGACTATTAGGGTGGTGCAAAAGAAACTGCCGATGGGTATCAGCTCTCATTTATCAGAAACGAGCGATGCTAACGGCATTATTTTTTTTATGTTTTGTTCGCATATTTGTTTGCTATTTATTTCGACATTTGAATTTTTTGGTTGTTGTTTATTTTATTTTAAAATGCTTATATTTTTTATTTAGATCATGGTCGAGCAAAAGTTTCTGCTACGAGCAGCATTACTGTTTAACTTCAAAATTGGAAAGTCTGCTGCCGAATCGCATCGTTCTCTCTGTGCTGCTTTCGGAGATAGCACTTTGTCTCTCAGGCAGTGTCAGACTTGGTTTCAACGATTCCGAGAGGAAGACGAGACTTTGGAAGATTACGAGCACGGTTCGAGGCCAGAAGTCGCGAACGAAGCCAAGCTGAGGGACGTTATTCAGGCCGATCCATGCCAATCTGCTCGAGATCTTGCGAAAATATTCCATTGCGATCATGTCACCATCGAACGCCATCTTTTGTTTTGAATTTACCGTCAAATCGGCAGTTTCTTTTGCACCACCCTAATAGAAGGAAAGTTGTGCGACATTAGTCATTCTAACAATCGTAGCAATAGCTGGTAGCGAAAAATGAAGCAAATAAAGTTTAAATAGTCAGTTTCAACAATAGAAAATCTGTTAAACTTGTAATTTTTCATGTTTTCCAGACAATCTTGTGCATTCGGCACTCTAGCAACCCGTTACCGCAAGGTGTCTACGATTTTGCTCAAGCCGTCTCCTCTAGCGCCCGTTTCGAGCCGGATAACAAAAATTTCAGGTAATACTTGGAAAAAATTGTTTTTAACCTTTATTGTTAATTAATTGTTGTTAATACAATAAAATAGTTAGATGTGTATTTTTGAAAACGATTCAGCCCCGACGATTTACTTTTGTTGCCATACTCAAGTGGAACCACTGGATCACCAAAAGGAGTCATGTTGACACACAAAAATTTTGGCACAATGACCGATGTGGTTTTGAAGTGAGAGAGTAGCTTTTCGTGAATTGATGAATTGATGAATTTCAGCCATTTCCACAAGGTGATGTACCCTGAAGTGATGCCAGGATATGAGCCGTTAAAGGTTTGAAAGTTTCTAGTGAATAAATAGCCTATGCATTTTTAACCAGAGCTGTTCACTGTTCATTTTTTAATCATTTTTAATCAGGGCTGTTCATTGACCAATTTTTTCCCAAGCCAAGTTTGGCTTCTTGACTGCCTTTGGCTAGCTATAGTTTTGGCTAGCTATAGCTTTGGCTAGCTATAGCTTTGGCTAGCTATAGCTTTGGCTAGCTATAACTTTGGCTAGCTATAACTTTGGCTAGCTATAGCTTTTGGATTCTTGAATAACCTCTGCTTTTAGCAATGTTACAGTATTCTTACTACGGTTCCAGGTTACAGTATTCTTACTACGGTTCCAGTATTCTTACTTACTAGTTAAAATCTATAGCTCAACGGATTAAATTATTCCAGGAAAGCGTTCTTCTTCTACTCCCTTTCTACCACATTTACGGTTTTGGTCTCTTGATGAAAAACATCTTTGAGGGGACTACTGGAGTGATATTCTCGAAATTCGATCCAGTACTTCTTTGCCAGAAGATACAGGATTATAAGGTATGATAGAACTTGTTGGAAACGTTTGAATCGCCTCTTTAGGTTCAACAACTCTTCGTCGTCCCTCCCATTGTCATCTTTCTCGCAAAACATCCAGCTGTCTCTAAATTCAACTTGAGTTCCGTAAAGATGGTGAGTCAAAACTCTCCACAACATCGATTTTATCAATTGCAGATGTTCTCCGGGGCGGCACCCTGTGGGAAAGACATCATCGACGAGTTGCTCAATAAGCACAAGACGATCAGATTTTTTGGGCAAGGTGAAATCTCTCAAAGATCGGCTAATAGGTTTCCAAATTCATCTAAAAGTTTAGACCAATTAAATCCGAGTTTGTTAAACTAAAACTAGCCGAGATACTGCAAGTCAGCCAACAAGTCTCAAGCTAAACTAAAAACCCACTCAATTTCAGGTTATGGAATGACCGAGTGTGGAATGGTCTCTCATCTACCAGCTCCAAAAGCCAAGTCGACCATCTCGGCCGGGCGACTCACTTCAAACTTTGTGCAGAAGGTACCAAAAATGTAAGCTTAACTTTTTATCTATTCCAAATTTCCAGATCGTTGATCTAAAAACGGGCAAAGAGTGCAAAACGGGTGATCGAGGAGAGGTTTGGGTGGCTGGACCGACGATCATGAAGGGGTAAGCCGGGGTGATTGTAAGCTGTAAGCTGTAAGCTGTAAACTCTTATAGATATTTGAATCGACCCGAGGCGACAGCGGAAACGATCGATAAGGATGGCTGGTTGCATACAGGTGAAAAGAATGAAAAATTTTATCTTGTAAATTGAAAGATCTCTAGGCGACATTGGCTATTTGGACAAAGATGGGAATCTCTTCGTTGTCGATCGATTGAAAGAGTTGATAAAAGTGAAGGGGTTGCAGGTAGGATTCATTTTGAGTGCCGCCCAAATCAAAATTTGCATTTAAACTTTCACCTAAAGCCAATTCTCAGGTACCCCCGGCTGAACTCGAAGATCTCCTGTTATCACATCCGAAAATCCGAGACGCAGCCGTGATTGGGATTCCCGATTCAAGAAGTGGTTAGTCAAAATTGCCTAACTGAATACTTTCTATGACTAAATTTTGATTTGCTTGCTGATTACTCAATTCTACGTCCAACGAAACCCCCCAAAATTCAGGCGAAGCCCCAAAAGCTTTCGTTGTTCGTGCAGACGATCATTTGTCAGCCGATGATGTGATCAATTTTGTCAAAAGCAAGTGAATCCTTTACTTTGAAACGATTGAAATTTGCAGGCAAGGTCTCATCGTATAAACAGTTGACGGGTGGGGTCGAGTTTTTGAGCGAGATCCCAAAGGCTCCGTCGGGGAAAATTCTTCGTCGACTCTTGCGGGATCAAGAAAACGCCAAAAAGAGCAAGATTTGATCTCTTTTAAATTGACGAATAAATCTTTTGAATCCTTATTTTATGTTGGACATGTTTAGGTGGATTTGAAAACTTTTCGAAAAACTATTTCATTAAGATATTCAAAAAAACTTTAAATCATTCAAATCACTCAAATGTCTTTTTCTTTCTCTCCTCTACAGTCATGCACAAAAGTCTTGTAACATCCAGTTTAGCAAATTTCAAAGTGTAATAACTTTTTTGCAAAGAGGCCGATTCCCAAACAGTTTTTGGTTTTTAGTTGTCAAAAATTTCTATTTTTATATGCAAGAAAAACTTTATTGAAACGATTAACAAAAATTAAGAAAAACAAATAAAAACAAAAAACGGGCGTATTTTTGATGCTCAAAAGTCTTGTAACATTTGAAAACAAACATAGAAATTATCAAATTTTTAATACTTCATTGGTCCACCTTTAGCTTTGTTAACTTCCTGGATCCGCTTTGGCATTGAATAAACTAAATCGCGTAGAATTTGGGCTCCCAGGGATGACTGGGTACGGCGAATGAAGAACCAAATCTCTATCTTCGAGTTGAATCGCTTTCCCTCCAGCTTCGACTTCAAAAAAGCCCAAAGATGCTCAAATCTGGGCTGTATGGAGGAGCTGAGATAATTTGAACACGATTTGCTTTGAACCATCCTGGAAAACGAGCTTTTCCACCATTTGCAAGAGTGACGACCCGGCCCATTAGCAATTGACTCTTGTGGCAAGGCGCATTATCCTGATAAAGCAGCCATCCAAGGCCCATTTTTGCAATTGAAAATGGCAGAAGATGATTCTGGAGAACTGATTTGTAGCCTTCAGCGTTGAGCGTTGAGTTTTCTAGCACTAGCGGACCTGGTGAATTTCTCGGCATTGCACCTGAAAGACAGAGTTGAGAGTGTGCACCACGAAAGTAGCCCTTACCCCAAAGCATGATTGATCCGTGGCCAAATTTCACGGTTGGTCGCACATATCTGATGTTGTACCGCTTTCCTATTGGTCTTCTGATCAAGTGGTTGCCATCCGGGCGAAAAAGATTGACTTTTGACTCATCAGTATAAATCACATTTGCTCAATCATTTTTTCATACTTCTTTGCAAACTCCAAATGAATCTTCCGATGCTTGGCATTCATCAAGGGCTTCTTGGCTGCTCTTCTTGTCACCAACCCACCACGAATCAAGCGTCGGCTCACTGTCATTCGTGATACATCCTTGCCGAATTGACTCTTCATCATGACGACTCCGTCGCTCGCATTGAGATCCTTGTTATTTTTGTGAGCTTTGACGAGCGCTTTATCCTCTCTGGGTGTTGTAATTGGTGGACGGTTTGATTTTGAAGCTCGGTGAACAGATCCAGTCGTTTTGAACGTCCGGACAATTATAGATACCATTTTTTCACTGCATTTGAAGAGAGCTGCCACATCTTTTCTCTGAATTCTTTTCTCTCGCGCTTCCACAATTTTTTCTATGTCCCGAGTTGACAAATATTGTCCAGGCATCTAAAAAAATAATTTTTTGTTATATAAAAAGAAAATAAAAAGAAAAACAAAACAAAAAAAGCAAAATACTTCAAATGTTACAAGACTTTTGAGCATCAAAAATACGCTCGTTTTTTGTTTTTATTTGTTTTTCTTAATTTTTGTTAATCGTTTCAATAAAGTTTTTCTTGCATATAAAAATAGAATTTTTTGACAACTGAAAACCAAAAACTGTTTGGGAATCGGCCTCTTTGCAAAAAAGTTATTACACTTTGAAATTTGCTAAACTGGATGTTACAAGACTTTTGTGCATGACTGTACTTTATATATTTCTCATAAGATTATGAAAAATTGAGTACAAAATTGAGTACAGCCCAGATTTGAGCATCTTTGGGCTTTTTTGAAGTCGAAGCTGGAGGGAAAGCGATTCAACTCGAAGATAGAGATTTGGTTCTTCATTCGCCGTACCCAGTCATCCCTGGGAGCCCAAATTCTACGCGATTTAGTTTATTCAATGCCAAAGCGGATCCAGGAAGTTAACAAAGCTAAAGGTGGACCAATGAAGTATTAAAAATTTGATAATTTCTATGTTTGTTTTCAAATGTTACAAGACTTTTGAGCATCAAAAATACGCCCGCTTTTTGTTTTTATTTATTTTTCTTAATTTTTGTTAATCGTTTCATGAAAGTTTTTCTTGCATATAAAAATAGAAATTTTTGACAACTAAAAACCAAAAACTGTTTGGGAATTCGCCTCTTTGCAAAAAAGTTATTACACTTTGAAATTTGCTAAACTGGATGTTACAAGACTTTTGTGCATGACTGTATTTCTTGCTTCTACAATTGCTTTTTTTGTCTGGTGTTGATAAATCTGAAAAATCAGGCATCTGAAAAAAATTAAAACTACAAAAATATAGGCAAGCTACGGGAGTGGGACAAATGCGACCTTTTTTGCGCACCCGGGACATTTGCCCACTTTTTTTTGCGCACCCGGGACATTTGCGCACCTTTTCGCCCATTATAACAAGGACTGCCCTAGACCCAGATAATCGTTTTGTTAGATTCCTATTAACGTGTAGTTTTAAGGGATTGGCGCGAAAGCGGCGTAGATGCGCTACCGTACCCCCCGCCCAAAAATTTTCCTTTTGCCATTTTTTTCATTTTTTCATTCCATGATGGAATCGGAAACTTTCTGTTTGTTCAGATTTATGCCGAGTTTTCTTCCCTCCGTGAAATCTATTATGTTTTTGTGGCGCTTTTTTAAAGTGCTCTCTCCCCTCGTTCGTTCTCTCCTTTGTATATTGTTTGCCCATATTTGCTGTTTAAGTGTGCTGTGTTAGGTAAGGGATTTGGTTTCTTTAGGGTTTTTTTAGAATTTTACAAATTCCTTGCAAAAAACTACATTGGAAAAGCTGTCAATGGGAACTTTCGCCGGCCACCCACGTATCCTGTTGATAAATGGAATGTTTACAGTCGTGTTATCCAATCTCAGCAACTTGGTAATGCAACACACGAGGCGTTTAATTCTTTATTGAAGGTTTGTTGGTAATTTCGGTATAATTTTTATTTATCTTTAGTCCGGACCAAAGAGTCCACATCCTGGTTACATTGTGTGTCGGCTTTATGGGGAAACGATGAATGCTTTTAATCGCTTGAAGCTTGCTACGACTCGCAACCTTTTGTTGGTATAACAGTATCCTCAGAGTAAAAAGGTTATTTTTCGCCAAGATCAACGTTTTCACGCTGTTTTAAATGGTAGAACCAATAGTGCCCATTTTTTACACTTGTCTCAATTATTGCCTCATATTGTATCACGTTAGTTGTTACTTGTCTCGCTTTGTTGCTTTTAGCTTTCCTTTCAATATATGTTATTTGTTATTTTATTATGAATAAAATGTTGTTTTGATTGATAAAACTACCATCAAAAAGACAGGAAAACAACCGATACCATCAAGAAATGAAAGCTACAGACCAATAGCAGGAAAAAAAACAAAAAGTGAAGCCAAGTGATCCTGTGGTTCTAGGGCAGTCCTTGTTATAATGGACAAAAAGGTGCGCAAATATCCCGGGTGCGCAAAAAAAATAGTGCGGAAATGTCCTAAGTGCGCTAAAAAAAGGTGCGGAAATGTCCCGGGTGCGCAGCTTTTTTTCCGCATCTTGCCCATTAGCGCACCTTTTTTCGCGTTTTAAAAAAGCTAATATTAACCAATTTCTATTCCAAAAGTTGTTTTTCTAGGTAATTTTAGGGTGTCGAATCGAAATTTTGACATATCAGAGCTTGTGGAAACAAACGGACGGAGTTATACAAAGAGAAAAATCAACAACTTTCTGTAATTTGACCTAGCCGTTTTGTCTTTCAAATTGGTTCCACACGCTCTATTATGTCAAAATTTGAATTCGATACCCTCAAATTACCTAGAAAAACAACTTTTGGAATAGAAATTGGTTAATATTAGCTTTTTAGAGCTTTTTTAAAACGCGAAAAAAGGTGCGCTGATGGGCAAGGTGCGCAAAAAAAAGGTCGCATTTGTCCCACTCCCGAAGTTACAAGTTAATTGATTAAAATGAGGCAAATTTTACAATTAGATGACTAAGTATCTTAAAGCTGTATTGTAGGTATTTTATCGCGAATTTCTTTTGAAAAGTTCATTTTCGGGTTCTCCGATTTTCGAGTCAATTGTATATTTCTTTTATCCTTACCACTCAACCAATTCTCAATGCCAATTTCCTATTCTCTGCCCCGAGCGTCTCTTTCGTTCACTCGCGTCGCGTTTCAGCATTATAAAGTTTATTCGTTCAAATCACATTTTCACCCTTACCGATTCTTTTTTTGAGCCAAATTTATAATCAAATTAAATCTTTACTTTTAGATTGATGCCGTAATCGAATGACAACCATCACCACGAACATGATGAACCCCGGTCCAAGCCTTGGATATCGGTTCCAACAGATGCCTGGGGTTGGTCCTTTTTTGGATTAGTTGCTAGGTTAAAACCTTGGTTGATTAGAGTCTGTTATTAGGTTTATTCTTACATAAACACAATCTGAACATAAAACGGTAGAATGGAATAAGCTATTCTTCTAGTTGAGCTAAAACGAAAGCCAGCAATTTCATTGTATTCAATTATGCATAAAGTAACTTTGAAAGTTTTTATTATCTTTTTCTTTTAGAGAGTTGTCGACGAAATATTAATGGGCGAGGGGCCTGGACGAAGGCTTCGAAAGAATGTGGCTAATGTGCGAAGACACGTCGACTACGTTCCATGCTGCCTAAACTTAACACAAGTATGTTTTAAATGTCTACGTTCTAGTTTATCTAGCAAACAATTTTACCTCTATCTGATTTCTTTCAGAATCGTCTGATTCAATTGGGACGTCAAGATCGCCGTGCTGCTCAGCCCGATGAACTCTACCAAAACACGCCGCTGCCACCAGCTGCCACACCTGACAAACCTGTAAGTTTATTTTTATCACGTTCAATTTGTGACTGAAAATGTTTAGATTGATTGCGTAAACACAAAGTTTGTCCGGGCCGCCATGAACAAAGTGAAATGCCCTGTATACACGTTAGCGGTTGGTAACTGTTGCTTCTTATTTTATAGTAAAGGAAAACAAAGTTTTGTTGGTTGCTTCATTTAGGTCTTATTTAACTTGATATGCAAGAGTAAGCTGTAGGATTTGTACACTTTTATGCTATTTTATTTAGTGGACACCCGAAGGAAAGCGCTTGATCACTGGTGCGTCCACTGGTGAGTTCACGTTGTGGAATGGTGTTGCATTCAACTTCGAGACGATTCTTCAGGTACAACGCGGAACTTTTGAAAAATTTCAAGCTTTTTTCGGTTTGTTTTTACCTTTTCAGCATTTTCGATGAAACGATATTCCAGTTTGTGAAATAAATAAGAGGGATATGGAATATCGTGGAGAAAATGGCTTCAGCTTTTTGCCGATGAGCACATGCCGCAAATAAATAAAGACCCTTTTAGCGGCTTGTGTGAGGCTGTCCCACTCGGAAATTCACTTTGCCCTTTTCTATTAACGTTTTCTAAAAGTATGGGCAATAAATTGTTTTTGAAGATTCAAAAGTTTTTCTCCAAAAGCAAAGTATAAAACTTTTTGATATTTGGTCACTTATAAACCTATAATATGTTTTGATTGGATACAGGGAAATAGAACCAATTTTTGTGTAAAGGTGGCGAGGGATAACAGGAAACTTGTAAAAAGGGTGTTAATCGACATCGATAGAATTTTAGCGATTGAATATTTTTCACTTCTAGACCTAGTTTAAAGCACCGTTTCCTCTTTTTCTAAACCACATAGCATTAGTTGAATCTTTTTCGTATTCACAGCTTTCAGGCGCACGATGTACCAATTCGATCAATGTCCTGGTCCCATAATGGGCATTGGTTGATCAGTGGTGATGGCGGTGGCTTCATCAAATACTGGCAGCCCAATATGAACAACGTGCACATGTTTCTTGCTCATAAAGACGAAGCGGTTCGTGGATTGAGGTAGTTGTTTTGCTCATTCAAAGATAATAGTAACAAGTTCAGATTTGGGCCAAATGACGCAAAATTTGTTTCTGGATCGGAGGATGCTACCGCAAAAATTTGGGATTTCGCGCGTTTCACAGAAGAGGCAACACTACGTGGTCATGGTTCAGAAGTGAATTAATTTTTTTGTAGCTTTTAACTATATTTTTGTGCTATTAAGATTCGATGTGTCGATTGGCATCCATCGAAAGCGTTGATTGTGAGTGGAAGCAAAGATACTCAACAACCCGTGAAGCTTTGGGATGCAATGAGTGGGAAATGCGTGAGCACACTGTACGTATACCTTAGCTAGTGAAAACCTTTATGCAACTTGAAATTGTGATTCATTTTTAGACAGCATCACAAGTCTTCGGTAATGTCTGTCGAATTCAATCAAAATGGAAATTGGTTGTTAACAGCGTCCAGAGATCAGGTTTTTATTTGCCTAATTCAGTTTTATTTTCAATTTGCAGCTGGTGAAAATGTACGATATCCGCACGATGAAAGTTATGAGAAATTTCCGCGGACACAAGAAAGAAGTGACATGTAAGTGTTTCAATTGTTCGATTTTATCTTTTGCTTCTGATTTTATTTTTTATTTTATTTTAGCTCTCGCTTGGCACCCAGTTCACGAAGGACTTTTTGTTACGGGTGGTGGTGATGGTTCGATTGCCTATTGGCTTGTGGATCATGAAAAAGAGGTTCGAGTTTTTGAATTTCATGTATCTTCTTTTTCTTTTCGACAAGCTCTTTTTCACTAGCAGCAACTAATTATTTTTTTCAGATTGCCTTATTGGAAAATGCGCACGATCAAGCAATTTGGTGTATGAAATGGCATCCACTTGGCCATATTTTGGCTACAGGATCTAACGATAATAATACAAAGTTCTGGGCTCGAAACCGACCGGGAGATACTCAAGTAAAACTTTTTTGCGATGACTTACCTAGGTTTTGTTTTCAGGAAGACATCTTTGGGCTTGCTTCATTTCAATCGTCTCTACTGGGAACGTCGGATCAAAGAGAGCAGAAAATTATGTTCAAGGATCGAGAAAAAGAGGCTTCTGCAGTTGTTATTCCTGGTTAGTTTATAATTTTTGCATTGGCTAAATTTTTTGCTCAGGAATGGGTCTTGATGAGGACGTTTATCAAAGCATGAACAAAGACGTTGGATCAGTTTCGATTCCGTTGTCTATAGATGAGATGGTTCCGGTAAGCTTTATAAAAGTGCATTAAATAAGTTTTAAATTTTAGGGACTCAACACCGGTGCTCGACGCACTTTGATTAAACAACCGCCAGCGAAAAAGGCGCAACGCCAGTTTGAAAGAATGTGGAATGTGGCCAAACCGGGAACTGGAGAAGACAACTATGACGGAGAAGATGCTATGGACGAGATTGACCCTTATGCGAGAGCGTTAGTTAATTTTGTATTTGGTTGATTTCGAAAATTTTAGTGAGAAGAAAAGCTTGTTGGGTCCACCACCGTCATCGACTAGCATGCTGGGAGGAGGAGGCTCTCAAATTACTTCAGGTATGCGGTTTATTCTTTTAATAAGCTATATTTTTTTCTAGTTCCACCACCTACAAAGCCGACGTCTATGCTTACTGGAGCAAATAGAGGATACCTTGGCCCACAAAGACCAACACTCTTGGCCAGACCACCTCAGGCGCAACCAGCAAACGATCAAGAAATGTCGCTGGGTAAAGTTTTCGCAATTTCTATACCATTCAGCTGCAAAGCATTTGCTGATTTTATACAAATTAACTTTTATTTGCAATAATCTAATTTAGGTGCAGCGAATCAACCACCACGACCTCCATTTCCGCCAAGTGGATGGCCACCAGGAATTCCGATGCCTCCCAACATTGCTGCCATGCACAGCGCACAACAACAAAGACAGCCGCTTGGAGCAGCGATCAATGATGAAGTTGGCTTGGCTTTGTATGCTTCTTTTACTTTATTTTAGGATTACCGACAACAACCAGCTGATGAGGATTATCGAGAAGTTGACGAAGATTATCGCCAAGACTACGCATCAAACGTTCCTCAAGCGACCAACGGAAGAGAAGACCCGACAAGTTGGAAGAAAAACGGATATCACGCCAATGCTCAGGTAAAATTTCTTTATTCGGGGACTTTAATCAATAATTTTTAGGCACCGCCACCTTTTCAATCGCAAACAAATCAAGCTCCTCTAAAAGATCATCAGGTATTATATATTTGTCTACCCAATGCATACCTACTTGTTTAAATTCAGAACGAGTTTTCACAGCGAATACCATTTTCTGGACACGTACCTGAGCCTCAAGTTAGTGCCCCTCTCCCAGGAATGCCTCCACAATGGCCGCCCGTAGGTGTGAACTTTGCTATGCCGCCTCCTGGCATGGGAGTTCCTCAGCCTCAACAAATGGTGAGTCTAGATAATTATAATTTGATAAGAAATGTCGGATTAGTCGCATTTATTTTAGAATGCGATACCGCAAATGGTTGTTACAGCGCCGCAGCAATTCAATGCTCCGCCTCCACAACAAATGGGAGCACTGCCGCAAAATCAGCAGGTAGATTTAAGTCGAACGCATGATTCATTTACTCTACGGTAAATCTTACTTTCTAGGGCGGACGGGGCGGCTATCAAGGTGGGCAAGGTCCAATGCGTGGACAGCGAGGACGTGGCAGAGGACGAGGTCGACCCTATTAGCTTCATTACAGAGTCTTTTAAGTGTATCCCTAGAATTTTTATACATTCCTTTTATCATTTATTTTAATCATCCGTTTCACCCTATGATTTATTTGATTTACGGGTTCATTTTTCATTCAACTTTTTATTGTGTTTGTCGATCGAGTTGTTGTATTCTTGTTAAATTAATTGTTGGTCGCTTAAGTTCGAGTTATTCATAAAGTGATTTAACCATTTAGCGTTTGGAATACATGAAACCATACAATTGACATTTCATTTGAAAACCCAAATTGAGATTTTCCATTCTATTGCGCAATTCAAAGTGAATTTTTTTACAAACCACACGAGTTCTTGCCCATTTTATTACAACCAAAAAGAATACGTGTTCAAAAATTAAAGTCAAAATATTTAAAATCCAGTTTGATCAGCGGAGATACATCCATTGCAGCGTTGTACATAAACCTCCTCGTTTTTCATGGGTTCGGTTGTCACTTTCATCTCCGTTGCAAACACAATGTATACCTAGAAGAAAGACATTAAAAGTTAAAAGCAGAAATTTACATGCGATACTTAAATTGTAAAGTATCTTTGTACTATCAATCGAATCACAAATCTCACCTCGCGAAAATTGGGGTCCTTTGAAATTAAATCCTCTCGAGAATGTGTCTTGTACTAAATATTCATTGATCCAAAAGAACAATAAAAACATACATCTGATTCAATTATGGGTTGCAGAGTCACGCCAAGCCATTTTCCCAAATCGAGCACCTTTTCGTGAGGCTTAAAAAGAAAATTCAATGATCGTTACGTGATCTAATCCTAGCTTATTGTAATCCAGTTGAATATTTTAATCAACAAAAGAAGGAAATCAAACCGTTGTTTTGTCAATGACCCAACGCGGTTCACCGGTCACATTGTAGATCGGAAAAATGACTTCAGTCTAAAATTAAAGCAAAATTGACTACAGAAAAACTGCAACTTACATTGATATTCTCGCTGTAAAGTCGTGTAACGAGCACCGCCGCTGTTCCGGCAACCGTTTGAAAGCCTCCTGACTAAAAGAATCTTTGAAATGTCGGCTTTAGCAGCACTTACAGCAGTTGTGGCCACAATACATTGCCTAGCACTGAAGAGAAAGATTGGTGACGCGTAGGTGTAGTTGAATTGTTCCTTTATCCTAAACATGGGCAAAGAGGTTTTCACTTCGAAGTGGTAAATTCACTCCACGTGCATGCACGCAGCTGCCATTCGTCTGAAAATCGCTCCGAACGTGTTCTCAGCTTTTTGCATTGCGCTGACCAGTGTACACATTGATGGTTGAGCGTTCTAAAGGAGAGGTGATTAGAGGCAATAATTTTCAAGCAGTTTGATTAACTTTACGGCAAAACAAAGCAAACTAACAAAGGTGGGCAGCTCTCGCGTGTCGGATACCCCATAAAAGTGCTTTTGTTCGACAATCTGCAAGAATGGCGCTAAAGTTTTGTCACTAAAAGTCCACCAACCTTTGCGTCTACCTTTGCCATTTTTGTCATCTCATCCACCGAAGTCGCATCCTTTATTGAGCCGTCTTTGGCACGAATCCAGGCTGATCTAAAAAAACAAGAAACATTTTCACTCCCATCAAAAAGAACCTACTTTTGCGCTTCGGCAAAACACACAGGCACAACGTATCGATAATCAATGTGAGGTCGTGTGACAGTGACGCATTCTAAATAAAAGAATGCACTAATTTGTTAAGGGTCGCACCTATTGTGAGTCGTACAATGTACTCAGCGACAAAGGCAAGCGATGGGGCGGGTGGACGAACGATTGAAAGCTGCACTTCTTGGAACTGCAACAGACGAATGGTAGCATCTAAACTTGGTGAAATGTTGGAAAACAGAAAAAGAAGCAAACTTGAATTACTCTCAACGTCGAATTGTTCCTTTTGTTCTTTAGTGAGTACCGTGTCAAGCCAGACGTTTTTTGATGTATCATTGATCTTCACTTGATAGAGTCTAAAGAATTTTCTAAAAAGTCCTGCAAACAAAACTTACTCTAAAATTTCATCCAGGCGTGTTTTACGTGTCGTCATATTTGTGTGGGTAGCAATTGTGGCTCTAAAAAGACATTTTCGCTTCATTGCTTTATGAAAGGGAAAGCTCACCGATGAAATTCACATAAACGGTCCATTTTCACCCACACTGCGCCCTTCTTCCCTTTCGTCTCTTCCCATTTTGCGCATTGCTCGGTCCTCTAAATATAAAAATGGGGGTTTTATTTATTGTTGAATATCAAAAACTGGCCTGTTCTATGGTCGCAGTGCTGTAACGGTATGTATCTTCCGGTACAAGACGAGCAGCGGTGCGAAGCTTTTGCATCGCTTCTTCCGCCGAGCTTCCGCTCGAAAAAGCACTAGCGATCACACTGTAAGAAAATATATGTTTAATTGCTAAAAAATAAAACTAACTCTGTCTTGATATCATTTTCAACTCCGATTAGAGTGTATCCATTGACTTTTCCCTTCAGCTCTTCTTTGCCACAATACATCGACAGCTCGGCGGCTCGCGTCACCACCGAAGTTAATTGAGTCCATATGATCGTTCTGTAAATATAATTTATAAACATGATAATTTATGAACGTCTAGCAAAAGCAGTATCTAGACCTAACATTCGAAGGTACTAAAAGTCTAAAAGACCGAATATCTTTATAGGCTTTGATCAAAGATCAATGCTTAAAAATATAGTTGTATCCATTACCCAATATACTGTTAAATCTCTCACTTCGCCACTTTGTTACACCGGCGGAATGGGCCCATGACACTCACTCGGGCAGGCGATTGACGAAACTCAAGCGTCTTCGTTAGCATCGGGTAACTGAAGAGAAAAATATATCTATCTATCCAGCAAAATCTCCAAACTGTTAAAAAAACTAACGGCATTTTGAAGTCATCCTTTCGCCAAACAACTTTCTCGAGTGATTCCTGATACGCCGATCCATATGCATTTTCGTGGTTTCCTAGAAAAAAGCAATAATGCTACAAAATAACAAACTTACTGGTTGAATAGATGATAAAGACGGCAGCAGCGATCGACAAGAAAACACCACCCGTTAGCATGTATCTGTAAAAAAGACATATCATAATCTAAGTCTCGATTTCAAAAATAAACACTATATGCGAGAAGTGGCTGTTTCTGATCTTCCTTTTGCGTTCAATTTTTTGCTGTTCTTCTGCTTCCTTGCGAGAAGCTGAAAACAAATTGGCATTATTGGCAAAATAATGAAGCTATTAACAATACCGGGTTTGTTAGCTGTGCAAAAACAGCAAACCAAATTTAGTGCCGATATTTTTAAAGACAAAAACAGTACTTGCCGATGCCGATCCCGTCCTTCCTTTGCTATCTAAAACCAAAACTAATTATAACCAAATACAATATGTTTAACTATAATCATTATATAACAAACGTACGTGGATATCCCGTTTTTCCATAAGATCCACTTTTTCCTTTACTCGGATAGTGCTTTCCGTCGCTTTTCTCTAAAAGATTGCATTTGGTAAATGGATTGATTAGTAAAAACAAACGTGGATATCCACTATTTCGTTGTTTCAATCTGGTTTCATCCTGGGAGCTCTTTGGGGCTAAAAATAAAACAATGAATGCTATAAAATAACTATTGAGGCACTTCATACTGCAGTACACTTTTTTTGCATAAATTTTTGCGGCAAAACTCTTTCAAGCCGTATATAGGCTTAAGAGAGTATTGACATTATATTTAAAATGTAAAATATAGAGCATGAATAGGTATTATATTTAAAATTTCGTATCTATTCATGCCCTAGAACTATTTCTTTACATCTTGGACCAATGGTAATGATTCACAAGCAATCAAAACTTCTCGGACTAACATAAAACTTATTTTGAAAGGCTTGGAAACGTTTCAGCGTATCTAATTGTCACAAAAGTTTACACAACTCAAAAGTTACACAAATTGTCTTTCATAAAGTATTCCCAACTACTATAACACTGAATCCAAAAAAACACTTACTTGGATATCCCTTTGGATTCCTTTGGCCCGATTTCTCACCGCTTTCTTCATTCGCTTTCACTAAAGAAAATGCCATCAAATGCAATCAATCTAGAGCTAAGGGAGTTTTAAGAAAAAAATGAATGAATTCTTTGCCTAACTTACTCAATCAGTAGATCTCAAGCTCTAATTCAAAATTCTCAAGAGAAAATCTTTTATAACATAAAAATAAAGGATCAACTGAAACTCACCGCGTTGCATGATGATCGGAGAATGAAATGTGAGAAATCAATTTTTATTTCGCGACGTAAAAATTGAAAATTTACAAATATTCGTGCTAATTTTGTATTCATACACAAATTTACTTTGGGCACTTCTTCAATTTTTATATTTTAAGCTTTCAATGCAACTTTCCACATAAAAACAGTAAGCCTAGCAGTAGGCTTTAGGCCTTAAGCACTAGGCCTTAAGCCTAAGCTTAAGCCAGTTTATTGAATCACGGGTAAACAAATGATATTTACTGCTTTAGAGTGGTTCCTGATCTTTGAAAATGACACTAGAACAACTACAAAATGACCTTTTGGGGAAGAAGGAGTCAACGAAACCGGAAACGCCCAAAAATTTGCCATTTCCTTTTCCTGTATGGACGGGGAGAACGCTTTTCGCTGACGAGTCATTGCTTACACTAATTTTTTTGTTGCTGATAAGCTTGCAGAGAGGAGTCAGTGAAGAAAATGATTTGAAAGTTTAGTTTTTTTGGTGATAGATTGACAATGCACAAAGATTCAAGGAAATTGATTTGGTTTTCAATTTGCGGATTGTTTTTTTTTGCTTATTTGTTGATTGTTGATTGTTTTTGTTTTGAAACCAAGCTTGGCTTACTGACTAAAGTAAACTTCTAAGACTACAATTGGTTATGGATAAGTTTATTTCCAATTGAATGTCAGATTTGAGGCACTTGGTCTCCAAGGACGAATACGTTCCAATATTGCATACATTTTCTTCATAAACAAGTCTACAGCTACATTCTGCACGCAATATTTGATGTTTTCTCTTGCTATCTCCATCCCATTTTACCCTGTTTTTCCATTACTTGCCAAAAATTTTGTTGTTTTTTTGCGTCTGATCGCTTTCCGCTCGAAAGCATCACGCCAAAAAGGAGAAAAATCTGGGCATGACAATATTTTTCGGGAATCCGGCCATTTAATCCATTTGCTTCTCCTTATTTGTTTGATTGGTGGGGCGATCACAAATTGAGAGTGATGTGCCCACGAAAACATTGCACTTTTCATTTTCATTTTCATCCATTTTCCATTTTCATCCATTTTCCATTTTCCATTTGGCCATTTTCCTCTTCCAAGCCCTTGAGGGAGTAATTTCTTCAAAAAACTCTAAAACCTTTACCCCCAGTGTACTTCTCAGTGTCGTGGGTAAATATTGTCCGCTCGACGTTCTTCTTGGGGGTTCTTTAGCAGAATGTGTGCACGCGCCGGCTCCCGGTTCTCTCTTCTACGAAACAGGCGAAGAGAGGGATGGACTGGTCCTCTAGATGGACACACACTTCTCCATCTTCCTGTTGATGAAAATCCCATCACACCCTAGTGAGTTCTTCAGTTCTCGCAGGATCCACCCCACTTCCGCTATCCACTTTGGTTATCATAGTTTTCTCAGATAACTTATAGAGTTGACCACTGGCTAATATTCTGTCTCAACTACTTAGTTTCTCATACTGTCTGTCTACAAAAAGCTAACTCTGTCTTGCGATAACTAACACGTGAATGGCCCCAACTCGAAGTTCAAAATCAACTCGGGATCAAGATAAACTTTGAAATGATAATCCCAATCTGCACTTGGCGACTTTTTTTCTGGGTTGGCGCTTTAAAACGTGGTAAAACTAGTTTGAAAGGTATAAAAGAAAGCGCGCAATTTCATTCTTTCATCCTTTTTCTTCATTTCATTATTTTTGCGTACTTCTGCACTCAACCTTCCTCACACTACCCATTCTGTTTTCCAGTAATTATTCTAAAAAAAACTGTTTTTTCAACTGAACTGAATCAGCAACCTCTAGGTATGTAAGGAAAGATGTATTTGTATGAAAGATGAACCGTATTTGGAACCGTATTAGATCAAAATGGGAAGCGTATTGGAACCGTATTGGAACCGTATTAGATCAAAATAGTGTTGGAACCGTATTGGAACCGTATTAGATCAAAAAAATCATTTTTCTAAGCGCTGGTTAATGTTAAAAGTATGTGTTATATCTCAAAAAATCACCCATCCTCTCTACTTTAATTTGACACCCAAGCGCGCAGAAACAAACATACTCGTGCTGAGATATGAGCGTTTGTTTGAGTGTAAACTTAGACTACGCGATGCTCCTATAGAGGGTGCTTCTATTAGAGCTTTTACGGTAATTTTTAAGATCCATATTTAAGATAATCCATCTGTACGTATCCAATTTGAATATCAGACTTAAAGGAAAATTTGATCATTCACAATTGAGTGACCTTCCTTATTATCAAGTGACATAAGCTTTACCGTGGTAAGTGACATAATTACCTTAAAAGCCCTAATAGAAGCACCCTCTATAGGAGCATCGCGTAGTCTAAGTTTACACTAAAAAAAAACGCTCATATCTCAGCACCAGTACATTTGTTTCTGCGTGCTTGGGTGTCAAATTAAAGTGTTACTGTGTAGCTTTATTGTGTAGCTTTAGTGTGTAGCTTTAGTGTGTAGCTTTACTGTGTAGCTTTAGTGGGTAGCTTTAGTGGGTAGCTTTAGTGTGTAGCTTTATTGTGTTATAGAAGCTTTACTCTGCACCCAGATTCATTCGTAGAATTACTTTCTTTAATGAATCTATACCTATGCGAGCTGTTTATTGCAATATTCCAACAAATCTCTCTAAATACTAGGCGTTGAAATGTTTGCCCTTGATGGTCACACGGCACATTCCCATTTCACCCGTTGAGCACACATTTGGCCAAAACCCCCCAATGAGATCTCAGAAAAAAAAAACTATATTGGCTTTTGCTAATAATTTACTGAAACATTTAATTTCAATTCAATTTCAATTCAATTTCAATTTAATTTAATTTCAATTTCAATTTTAGAGCCCCATTTTAGCCTAGAATATTGATGATGATATTCTAATATTCTTAAGAACCGTGGGATTCATAGAATTTCCCTTTCTAATCGAAATTCGTCATATTTTCAAAAAAAAAAATCCGAGAATTTACTTGAATTCTCGTTTTCTAAATTCTTTTCTTGTTTTGCAAAGATTTTTTGGATCTTATCATTGTTTTGGAGTCTTTCCGAGAGGAATTCGACTAAAATTCATGCCTGAAATACCAAAATTTAGGCTAAAAATTGACCATCAAATCGACCATCAATAGAAAGCAAAATATTTGACATTTGCTTTATTTGGTGTATTCGTTTTGAAAAAAATCGTTATTTTTCTTTCCTTGAGATGCAAGAAAAGCTAAAGCTTAGCTTTTCTGGGCGAGTACAATTTCTTCTTTTGTCTAGGGGTACTGGCTTGAGCACTGTCTAGGGGTACTGGCTACTGGCAAGTACCGAGGGTCAGTCAGGCTTGGGCCTAACTTCTGATCTGGCTTACAGGGCTTACCTTGAAACACCATTGGGTTATCTAAAGAAGTAAAACCAACCAAAAGCCAAAAATCCTGGCTTAGCTTCCAGTCTAGTCTAAGCCTGGTTTAACAAAATTTAGTGAAATTTTGCTAAACAGCCAATAGGAACAGCCAATATCTTGCAAAAGTTGCTGAATCGTTTTGGCTAAAACTGCGTTGTCTTTTTATTAAACCCTAAACAGATTTAGGTTCAAAAATACTCAAAACTTCTAACAAAAGTGGTAGGGTAAAATTATAAGTCTGAAGCTAAAAATTGAACTTTGTTAAAAGCTAAATTGGGGTTTTGGTGAAAACGGGTCCTAGCCAAGCATGCAAATCCTAGAGCAGATAAATATTCCACCGGGGTGTTTACTAGAAATCTGGGAGAAAGGAGAAGAGCACTCTTTCTTTCCTCTTGTGTCTGGAAGTGGAGATCTTGAATTTTAGAAAATCCTAAACTTTCCTTTCCTCTCTTCTGGAAGCTGTTTTTATTTTCTTTGACTGATGAATGTATTTACCGATCTGAAATCTGTTTTCATCTTCTGGGAGCCGATGTGAGAGGGTTTCTTGTTGTTGTTGTTGTTTTGTTGATTTGTTGTTGTTGTTTTGTTGATTTGTTGTGTTGAGTACTTGATTTGTTGTGTTGAGTACTTGATTTGTTGTGTTGAGTACTTGATTTGTTGTGTTGAGTACTTGATTTGTTGTACTTAGATTGAGTACTTAGATTCGTTGAGTACTTGACGTGGTTTTACTTTTAATTTCTTGTGTCTTTTGCTTTCTTGCTTATGACATCTTGCGATTTGAAATTCTGTAAGTCTCATCGAAAATGTCAATACTAGAAATATCATTTATTTCATTTCACCATTTAACTGAATATCCCAAAAATTGGCTTAACTTTGAACGAATTCGGAAAGAATTTGAGGATTTTGAGAGGAAAAGAATGGGATTTTCGTTTTCGGCATTTCATCCAATGATCCAAAGCTCGAGATCTGATTCCAGGCATTTTGGGGAATTGTTTTTCATTCTTGGAAAGCTTAGAATCTAATCTAAAGAAGCCTAGAGTTCTTTTTAAACTTACTTCAAGTTTAAAAATATCTGTAAGATCCCGATAAGCAAATTTCAAAAAAAGCAAAAATTTTATTTGTTCTCTAGCACTCGTAAAATTTTATAGAGTGATAGAGAAAAATTCAGAGAATCTGAGTCATTTAAAGCTTATCAAAAATTGGGTAACCAATTCTTTCAAAACTAAATAACTTTTCCTTGAATTCAGGTTTTTGGCTATCCAAAAAGTTATTTTTCTTAGAATCTAGCTAAAAGTTTTCTAAAAGACACTTATTTCAAAAACTATCGTAATAAAATGACTAGTTTTCATCTAATCAGCTCAATTTTTGTATCATTCGATGAGGAATCGAACTGCCAAATCCAATAAATCAACCCAATCAAATTCAAATCCAATTTCACTCAAGAACTCAGCCAAAATCTCAAATTTGAATCCCAAAATTTGGCTGACTAAATGGAAATTGGATTTGGATTTGATGGATTGATTGGTTGGATTGGATTGGTTGGATTGATTGGCTGGATTGATTGATTGGATTGATTGATTGGATTGATTGATTGGATTGATTGGTTGGATTGGATTGGTTGGATTGATTGGTTGGATTGATTGATTGGATTGATTGATTGGATTGATGATTGGATTGATGGTTGGATTGGATTGGTTGGATTGATTGGTTGGATTGATTGGCTGGATTGGATTGGTTGGATTGATTGGTTGGATTGATTGGTTGGATTGATTGGTTGGATTGATTGATTGGATTGATTGGCTGGATTGATTTGCTGGATTGATTGGTTGGATTGATTGGTTGGATTGGATTAGTTGGATTGATTGGTTGGATTGATTAATTGGTCGGATTGGTTGGATTTGCCATTTTGATTACAATAGTTTTTAAATGTCTTTTAGAAAACGTACTCTAATCTTTATCCTCTCTATTTGTTCATTGATATCATTTTTGAAGCTTCGATTTCACTTTCATGAGAAAATTCCCATCCATTCAAAATCATTGCCCTTTTCGGTGACTATTTCGCTAACTTTTCTCACATACATTTGAAAAAAAATTATCTCAGAAAAGTCTATAAAATCTCTTTTGATTTCCATTTAAATCCAAATTCTTTTCCTTTCTATTCTTATCTCAGATTACATAAGCTGAGTGTAAGAAAGCTCGTTTTGACTGAAAAATTGTTGGATTAGATTAAAATTCGATTAAAATTTGACATTTAAACTGTTATCCAAATCTTTCTTATTATTTTTATATCAAAAGATCAATAATTTAATTGTTCAATTATTCAATTATTTAATTATTCAATTGTTCAACTATAAAAATAATTTTCTAGCAAAACATTCTCGAGCAATGGTTCAATATCGGCCACTCGACGAGGCGAAACTTTCAACAGCCACTCTGGAGGTGCCGGTGATGATCGAAATTGAAAGTAAGTTGAAAAAAATGCAGAAAACTGTAAATATCTTAGGCTTATAGCTATACTGTGACTAGTAAGAATAGCTAAAATCAGCTAAACTAACTAAACTACCTAACTAAACTAACTAACTAAACTAAGTAAACTAAACTAAACAAACTAACTAAACTACCTAACTAAACTAACTAACTAAACTAACTAACTAAACTATCTAACTAAACTAAAGAACTAAACTAACTAAATTAAACTAAGCTAACTAAACTAACTACCGAAACTAACTAATTAAACTAACACTCAAACGTGTTAGTTGGCTCAACTCAAGCTGTAGCGCAATCTAAACGAAATCTCTTCTTCTAGGAAAATGCTCTCATGTGAAATGTGATGGAACTTGTGAGGGAGCGTCACGTGGAGTCTTTTCGAAACGATGTAAAGCCATTGAAGTGAGTCAAATCTTTTAGCAATCACAACAAAGCCATTTTTCTCTTTCTTTCAATAAATTTAGCTGTACTAACAATTCTAAAATCACAAATCCATTTCCAGACACTTTGTGCCTTCTATTTGGTGTTGAGTATCCTGTTCTGGCTTGGCTCCGTCTTCTACTATTTATATCTTCAAATAACCGTCGTCATCGACAACAAATAGATTTGTGCTACTTTATTCTTTTCAAAGAAAAAAAAACGAGGTCTCATCTGAATAAACGGGTTTATCATTACAAATTTGGCTTATACAAGAGCTGAAAACGTAAAAAGGTAATTTTGCCATGTTGAAGTTTATTTTTTTTCACGTTTTTCAATATCTTTATGCACATCGTGAGGGTGATCGTCGTAAAATTGTAAAAACGAAACGAAACACAAAGAGCACGAGGCACAAATTGAAACCAAAAACATAAAGGATTTAAGGAAAAAGAAAAAAAAAGAAAAAAAAGTTTTCGTTGAAATCCCTCTTGACTAGAAAATGATATGGGAAAACCGGGGGAATGGAATTCGAAAATTTCGAGCGTAAAGCTTATTTTATGATTTCAAAATGAAAAAGCTCAACAATAAAAGAGAAAAAATGAGATTTGCATACAAGAAAATCGAATAATATTTGCAAAAACTTTGTAGATTTGAAAAGATTCTAGAAGAATCTCTCGTTTCGGTCAAAAGAAAACAAAAAAAAATAAAGAGCTGGGGTGAGCAAACGCGGGGATCGCTAGGGTTAGGAATATTCTAGAAGTATTATGGATATTTTATTAGAGATATTTGAATATACGATCTCCTAATAGTAGTGCGCACTACATTTTGAACCCCCCTGGACCGCAAACATTAGAGAGGCACACAAAAGGTATCATTACCAAAGAAGACGAAAAGATGTTCCAAAAATTCTGCAACTCTTTCACGTACTCCTTTGGCCCTTTCGACAACAGTTGTGGGCCGGCGGTTGACAATTTGTGTCTTGACAAACAACAAAAGATGTTTTGCCCTTCACAATAATTTTAGATTTTTGCCACTTTTCATGTGAAGAATAGAAATGAAAAAAGCCCACTTTTGATTGCGAATAGCTTAGAAGTCACATAAACAAAGCAAAGGTAGGAAAAGAAGCACGAAATCAAATTTCTGGGTGCACTACTATTTTTCCCCCTCTCGGACGCAAATATTAGGGGACTACTATTGAGTGACTATTATTAGGGAATACGGTAATTTACATATTGGCTTATTTTATTATTTTACATATCTTATTTAATGGCTTTATCTCGAAAATAAAAAGATTAAGTGGCTTTTTTGTGGATCAATGGTTGAATGGCGTCGATGTCGGCGGTGGAGTCAGTTCGATCAACGGTAGCAAAGTGCTGAATGATTCAATTTGTATAGAAAACTGTATTGAAATCAAAAAGCCTATAGTTTACATAAATTTAACCCTTTCTATGACCAATTTAGTAAGTTATAGCTCATTAGTTATAGCCTATTGGCCGGATTTAACCGTTTTCCCTCATAACTTTGCATGGGTAATAGATTTTGAGTTAATTTTGGTATCATTTGACGCGCAATTTTATTCTGCATCGAATCGTAATCAAAATAGTCAAAATTAAAAAGGTTGGTGCTGAGAAAAACGTTAAATTGCCATGGGTAAAAAACGGCCGACAGATTTTTCGTTACAAATCTACTTCCGACCCTTTGAACTTTTCCGCATCGCTTTCTTAAAATACAAAAGTTTCAAAATGTTTCTAGTGCTTAAAGATAAGCATATTTTCTCGGATGCTATCTATCGTTAAAACCGACAGATGTTACAAGTCTACCACAGAAATCTTCTACAGCCACAAACCTCATGTCTATCCTTTTCATCAGCCGGTGTATGCACATTGCTCACCCTTCTTTGCCCGCCATTCACTTCAGTGATGATAGATTGACAACTGTCGGCGATTTTTGTGCACTAAACATTTGAAATTTTGCAAGTTTCAACATTTTCCACTCACGGATCCCCGAAATTCGCGACTGTACCGCGGCGAAGCGCCCAGCTTTCGGTCGGATATTCGCGCGTACACTGGCCGGTAAAGAACTACCTAAAATTTGGATTACACATCAGAACTTTACTTAGATGATAGTTTTAATATCTAGCTATGATATAAAATGATTCTGACTCACCTCATCCTCTCCAGCGAGATTCTCCCCATCATACACTTGACCCAATCGAAACTCAGGACTCACGTATTTCCCACCCTCGACGTGGTTCACGCAAAAGTCTGAATTTGTACAATTATTATACAATTAGATTACTGTAGAAGTTCAATAGCTCAATATGGAAACTCAATATCGAAATTTAAGTTCAATAGCTATTTTGTTCGAAACTTTTCCTAAGCTAGAGACGGGAATGGAGCCCTGCTTTTTTAGTTTTGACTCCGTGTACACAAATTGAATCACAGTTTGCGTATCGATAGTGGCTAGTGAATCTAGTGTACATATGCACTAGATTATAGATTTTATATTTAATATTCTCTACCGTAATCCATGGGTGATGGGGCGGCGTTCGGGATCCGATAGGGAACGGTGGCGACGGTGAGCGGGAAATCCAAATGGAGGCACTCGTTTCCCTTTTCGTCCTCTAGACACACCTAAAGAAAAGATTCAGACGAGCTACTGGATTTGAAATACTGTAAAATAAAGTACGATGAGCTTGGATAGACAAAGAATCTAATGACATTCAACGAAAGTAATAATAAAGTAATAACAAAGTACGGCAGTTGGGGGCACTTCAATTTCCCCAAACATAGTTTTTTTAGGGTAATTGATGACGCTGATCGCGAAAAGACCCTTTTTAAGTTATGTTTTCAATTAAAAAAACGTTTATATTGCTGTTATATTTGGTAGTTTGTGGCAAAAAATAACAGAGATATTTTTTTTGTGATCAGCGCCATCAATTATCCTAGAAAAGCTATATTTGAGGAAATTTTAGGTGCCTTAGTACCGAAAAATTTTCTATTAAAGTTTTCAAAACCTTACCCGAAGAATATAGTAGATTTGTATCAATCGGCAGACTCCGATCAGAGTTGGAGGGACCATTGGGAGACGAATCGGGTGCTCGAGCGTTGAATCGTATTTTCCCGTCGAGTTTGCAGAGATTGGCGGAGATCTTAAAGGAAAGATGAAATTTAAGATCCAATCAACTAAATGGTATTCTAAAATAGGATAACTATCGTATACTCAAAAAACAAAACAAAAACTAACTTGTGCTCGAAAACAGTGCATACTTGTGATTTGCTCTCTCCCAAGACGCCTTTCTCGATGAAATACTCGACGTGCTGGAAGATTTCTTGGTCAATGTCCATAGAATAGATAATAGTATCAGTTTTACACAAAAATACTATAGAATTGTGTGCTTTTGTCATCAAGTCAACGCAAATGCATTGTCTCAATCCTAAACAAAGCTCAAACTACCGTAGACAAACATTTCAGTAAGCAAAAGTTATTCAGTTATGCGTGGCAGCAGCGTAAACCGTGTCAAGTCAACGCATTGGGGGTGGGACAAATACGACCTTTTTTTGCGCACCTAAGGCCTTAGACAAGGCCGTAGAGCTTCGAAAATTAGCTCACAGTTGTCCCAATTGTTAGTTTGTAAAGTAATCTTAAATACTACAGTTTCCTATGGACGTACGATTTTAAGAGACTGGCGCAAAAGCGGCACAGCGCGTTTTCTAAAGCGTGGGTGCGCACCGTACCCCGCACAAAAATCCTCCTTTTGCCATTCTTTTCAATTTTCTTTCATTCCATGATGAAATTTGTCCGGCTTTTATTCTGTGTTCCAGTAAGTTTCTTTGCCCCTTCGTTAAATCTATTGTTTTTTAGTGCGTTATTATGTTTTTTAAAGTACCCTCGTTCGTTTCCTCCTTTTTATATTATTTACCCATAGTTTGTTTTTTAAAATTCTAATAAGGTTATTTTTTTGCCATTCTTTTCATTTTCTTTCATTCCATGATGAAATTTGTTCGGCTTTTATTCTGTTTTCCAGTAAGTTGCTTTCCCCATTCGTTAAATCTATTGTTTTTTAGTGCGTTATTATGTTTTTTAAAGTACCCTCGTTCGTTTCCTCCTTTTTATATTATTTACCCATAGTTTGTTTTTTAAAATTCTATTAGGTTGGCAAAAAAGAAATGAGCGTCGTGTTTGTTGATTTGTATTTTATTCACAGTAAAAGATTTTTTAAAATAGTTTATTCTATTGGAAAGAGCGTGTTCTTGCGCATCGTTTGATATATAATTTGTCTATGTTTACTTTGTTTTTTTGCAAGAAAGAGTGTTTAGAAAATGTCGGACCAAAAATTTAGTTTGCGGGCCTGCTTGTGGTATGAATTTAAGCAAGGCAAATCGGCTGCTGAAGCTCATGGCACTCTATCTCAAGTGTTTGACGAAGATGCTCTATCCGAAAGTCAGTGTAAACGATGGTTTCTGCGCTTCCGAGACGGCGACGAAAGCTTGGAAGACCAAAAACACGGGAGTCGACCTCAAATCATCGACCACGACGCATTGAAGGAAGCCATTGAGTCGGATCCACGCCAAACCACTCGCGACCTGGCAGAACAGTTCGACTGCACCATGTCACCATTGAGAACCACTGCATGGCATGGGCAGGACGAATAGATGCGGAAAAGGGTACCGCATAAGCTATCCGAGGCAAACAAGGCGACACGCACGCAATCGCCGGAATTCTCACCACCGCGCCAAGAACAGTGGGTTTTCGACCCATTGTTATGTCGGATGAGAAGTGGACCAATACGGCAACACAGCAAGAAAGCGGCAGTGGCTGGACCCCGGTGAAGCTCCAAAACCGGACACCACGGAAAAAGGTGATGCTTTGTGTTTGGTGGAACAGTAAAGGCCTGGTGTACTTTGAGGTTCTGGATTCGGGTCAAACAGTTACGGCGAACCCACAAGGCCAATTTGACCGCGTGGACCGGCGCTGCGGCGTCAAGGCGTGGATACGGCGTCGACAAAATTCCTCCACGACAACGCCGGCCGCATGTCGCAAAAACACCCAGCAGAAAATTGAAGAAAGGGCTGGGAAGTTCTGCCTCATCCGCCATACAGCCCAGACTTGGCGCCTTCCGACTACCATCTGTTCCGATCAATGCACCACTTCTTGGCCGAGAAAAAGTTCAAGAACCGTGACGAGGTCCAAATTTCGGTGTCCAACTTCTTCGAGTCGCAGCCGGTCGAGTTCTTCAAGAAGGGCATCCATTCCCTGCGTGAACGTTGGCGACAAGTCATTGATGCAGATGGCGAATGCCTTTTGGATTAATGTATTGTTATCTTGTTTTTATAATAAAATAAACTTTTAACGAAAACGCGCATTTCTTTTTTGCCAACCTAATAATAAGATTATTTTGTTTTTGTTTTCTTTTCGGCTCCTTTCACTCCATTGTTTTGTATCCGTTCACACATGCCGTATAAACTCAACTTAAACAATTCCTTTTAACTAAAACGCAAATCTAAATAATATGCCAAAGCGCGATCTTTCTTTTTTCTTTTCTTTTCTTTCGATTCTTGTTACTTTGTCTTGGGTTTCGTGTCAAATCATTTTAGAAAAGGGTTGGTAAATCTAAATCTACTTAGGTAAAGGAGTTAGTTAATAACTACATTGTTTTCTCTTCTCTCTTTCATTATTTTTGTCTATATTTAATTTCATTCATTTAATCATCAAAGTTTGAGATTTGGTAAACGAATCATTCAATTGGGAGACTTTCAACTACACGCCACATTTAATTCGAGCTAGACATTGCCTTATCTGACGATATTTTCTCTTCGCAATAGTTTTTACGAAAAAAGAGCGCACCTGGGTCATCTTTATGCTGATCACTTGCTGAGAGCGCTGCCGGTTCTCCACCTAAACTCTTCGATGTAAAATTTATTTGGTCGTCAACACTTTTTAAACCTCTATGACAAACCTGTGCCCGTACCCGCACATTCTCCCCGCAAACATAGGCTGTTCGATCAAGGGTGATTCTTAATGCGAGCGCTCCCCTCTGACAACACCAACAACATGTCACTTTCCGATCTTGACCCGTTAAAGGTTGCTGAAAAAGAAAATTGTACAGTAATCGTATTTTAAATGTCGAATTCGATGATTTTATGATTTTTCCGATATTTGTTTTATTATAGAACCTGAGGCTGTAGGGTTGTGATCCTTCTATTAGGTTGTCGATAAAGTTTTTCGTTCCTTTTCGTACTTTGCGTTACTATTGACACCAAGATAGGTTTTCTTAGCTAAAGTGTCTAAACCGCATCATCGAGCAGTACTTTTTGACTACCCGACTTTATGCTCCAAAAAAATCCAGACATAAGACATTTTAAACCCTTTTAATGTCATTTTACAGAAAATAATTGGCCTTTCTAAATTCACCAATTCATCAATTCAATTTTCCGTATGCAAATTGATTCAATAAACCAATATATTCTATATATTTTGCTGAGTATTAGATATTCAGCTAAAAATTCAGTTAACCAGCTTTGTTGCTGCAGCTGAGTAGGCTGATCGATTGAAGGTCGAGTTTTCAAGCCCAAACTAGATCTACTTAGTCTTTCTAATGAAAATTTCTAAACCGTAGTTCAATTGGTGCATTTGTTGGTTTTTTTTTTTGAATAGAAGTACGAAAAGACTTTCTGGACAGCCTAATATCAGTGAGTGCTACTTGTAAGAACCCTACAAAACCCTGAAAGCTTTTCGTGACTAATTCAAATTATAAACAATCATCTTTGCAAGCTCACCAAATACTTTTCCTCCATGCAATCGATATGCGGACCGATGATCGTGAAATACTTGATTCCTTGGGGAGAGCTCGCATAGGGTACGTCAATTATCACCTGAAACAGCCTGTTCCGAAAACAAAAAAAAACTTGTACTTTTCTATTTTCTAAAAGACAGCCCAACTCACCTTAATATAGTATCGAATCGTTCCATATCGACTCTCGTAAGAACACGGGAGAGTGGTTTGTGGAAGGGAGAAATGGAAAGGGAATTGATGCATTCCTCGCGGGAGAATCGGGATTGAGTCCGAGTCATCCGATTTGTCTAAATCAAAAACAAACGATGAACCAACTTCAGTTCAGTATTTAGCTATTCCTTTTCATAGATTCTATACCACACCCCGGCTACCGTACCCTTCGCCTCTTCTATTTCATTTTGTTTCCTTCTCATTTTTGACAGAGAGTCACTAATTCCAAGTAATCTTTTCTTCTATCTAATTTTGATGTTTTGTTGACTTTTCCTTCGTTTACTCGTCTCCGACAAAGTTTCTACTAATGATTTCAAGGAAATCATATGCAATTAACACAATTGGTGTTGTAAACAGCCGCGTGAAATGATACGTGAAGAGGGATGTGTGCCCGTGAATAAAGAGGCAGTGGAGCCGTGTTGTGGTGGGATTTACCCCTCAAACCCGAGCCCACACAAACGGTGAAACCATGCTCAACTACGATCCCACCTTTTCCCCAGATCAACGTCTTCTCATCGAGTACATATTGATCATCTTTCACCGTTCGTCTCTCACCCGATTTCACCACTTTCAAAATTGCGTGCACTTTGCCGCGCAGCAAGACACGAATGCCTAAACTTGCAAATCGAATTTTTTGAAAGACTGATAGGCATAAAATTGGCTTAAAAAAGATGGGAATTTTGAATAATAAACACTTTAATTAAAAGAAAATCATAGGCTAATTGATGATTTTTTTTATTTTTCAACGGAAGCATGAAAAGAAACGAAAAGACTTTCTGGAAAGCCGAATAGTCTCCAAATCTCACCTCGAATCTTGATATTCTCTGTATTCTCGAGTAGTACAGTGCCCTGAACCTGTTCCCCAGCATAATAAACATCTTTTTGTAGTCGAATATCGAAAGAAGAGATATAATCCATGATACACCCTTCTGAAAGGGCTCCTTCGGTCGCTGCGGCGACCTTCGGCTCGACCTGGAAATAAGCTTTAAGATGATTTTTATTTTTGGATAAGACTACAGCCTGCAACTAAGTTAACTGCAACTAAGTTATTCAGAATTTTAAGTTCCCTGAAAAGTTAACAATGAAAAAAATCAGAAAACATATTGCTATGGTTATTCTGGAATCTTCCGGGAGTAAAATGGATCACGCAAAAGTCCTGTACATCTAGCTAGATCAAAATTAGATCTAACTGTACATCTAGCTAGATCAAAATTAGATCTAGCTGTACATCTAGCTAGATCAAAATTAGATCTAACTGTACATCTAGCTAGATCAAAATTAGATCTAACTGTACATCTAGCTAGATCAAAATTAGATCTAACTGTACATCTAGCTAGATCAAAATTAGATCTAACTGTACATCTAGCTAGATCAAAATTAGATCTAACTGTACATCTAGCTAGATCAAAATTAGATCTAACTGTACAGCTAGATCAAAATTTTTCTGAAGTAAAGTTGAAAATTTTGATTAAATTCATAGAAATTCTTGTTTACGATACAATTATAGAAGTCAAGGAAACAAAAAAAAACAAGCAATCAATATCTGTACCAATGGTGCGGCGATGTTCTCCAAGAGCTTTTGGCACATGCTCGACATCGCTGCCGCCATGATTTTCTCTTTTACCGGAGAAGGAAATTTTGGGATTTGGAAATGATGGCCTTATTTGGAGAGATGAATGGTTTATAATAAATTGAAGAAAAGGGAAAAGGTGAATGAAAGCGAATAGTATTTTAGGAATATTTAGGAATGGATAGTTGTTGAATAGAGAATAGAGAACAGATAATGGCTGGGTACAAGCAACTAGTTTGATGCTTGATAAGATGATTGATAAGCTGATAATCAATCAGTTTGATTGATTGATTGATTGATTGATTGATTGATTGATTGATTGATTCTTGATTTCAATCGTGATATTGTAGACCGGTAAATCGTGGCTATAGATCTTGCTATGCAGGGTATTGTAACCGGTAATTATTCAGACAAGTACTTGCCAGCGAATCTTGAAGCCCAAATGGTACTAGGAGAGTTTTATAGAACTAAAGCCAGCTGAATAACTTTTCTGGTGATGTATTAGCCAGATACTGTAGCAAAATGATAATAGAAATAGCTTATAAGCTTATAAGCTAGATATTTTTCAATATCTAGAGCCTGAGCTTATAAACAAGCTGAATATCTAGAGCCTGAGCTTATAAACAAGCTGAATATCTAGAGCCTGAGCTTATAAACAAGCTGAATATCTTTTCAATATCTCCAATAAAGTGGGGATTGTTTGAAAAATCTTTGCTTTCTTTGTTTTCTTTGCTTTCGTTTTTCTTAACGATCACTCAAGCGTGTTTTTTTGGAGTGTTTAGGTATCCGAAAATGGGGTTTGAATTGTGGAGAGAGACAAAGAGACAAAGAGGCAAAGAGAATCACAAAATTCACGGCCACCCTCAAATTTCCTGTCTTTTCCCGTTTGGCGTTAATGAATCAATGGAGAAATTCTTTGCTATAGTGAAAATCGTGAAATTTTTAATAAAACTGAATGGGTTTCAGCTTCAGAACCAGCTTTAATTCGATAGTAGATCTAAAAGTAGATCTAAAAGTTTGGAGACTAGACCTTCAATCGATTAGCTTACTCAGCTGCAGCAACAAAGCTGGTTAACTGAATTTTTAGTTGAATATCTAATAGTCGACAAAATATATAGATGGTTTATTGAATCAATTTGCATATGGAATATTGAATTGATGATTTAGATCTATTTCAGGACAACTCTGGATTCTTCAATGAAGAGTATTGAATAAATATTCAGCTAAAGTACTTGAAACTTGAGCAGTTTAGCTGAATATCTTGCTGATTTAGCTTCAATAGATCAAGATAAATGTAGCTACAATATTTGAGCAGTTTAGCTGAATATCTTGCTAATTTAGCCTCAATAGATCAAAAGGAATATAGCTACAATACTTGAGCAGTTTAGCTATAAATCTAGCTCTTGAAATATAGATAAAAGTTGTTGAACTATTAGCTCGAGTAAAGCGACAGCACACGAACAGTTTAGCTGAATATATAATATAGAATATAGTCAAATTAGAGTTACAAAGTTGATGAAGACTCGAGCCGGGAAAACGGCTCAGCTGGGGGCAATCTCTCCACGTTTTTCACCGAGTTTTCCCCAGAGAATTCGGAGAAAAGAAAAATGGACAGGATTTGTAGAGATGCATGGATGAGTGTGCTGACAGCAAGCCGACGTTTCCCCAACATTTTTTGAACACTTTTGGGGGGAAGAAATGGCCCCATTTGAGCCAAACGAGTGAAATATTGCGTCAACATTAGTGGAAAAAGTTTTCTTCGAGAAATTGAATAAAATTATGCTTTAGTTTATTGAAAAGAGCTTACAACCATACCAAGTTGAAAGCAAGGTTTCCCCTCTCAGCCAAGGTCGGTTAGTACTTGGATCGGCAACTCCGAATCGGTTAGTACTTGGATCGGCAACTCCGAATCGGTTAGTATTTGGATCGGCAACTCCGAATCAGCTGGTACTTGGATCGGCAACTCCGAATCGGTTAGTACTTGGATCGGCAACTCCGAATCGGTTAGTACTTGGATCGGCAACTCCGAATCGGTTAGTACTTGGATCGGCAACTCCGAATCAGCTGGTACTTGGATCGGCAACTCCGAATGTCATTTGGCTAGAAAAGGCTAGAACAAAGTACGATTTGGAAAAGATATAGAAAACTTGAGCTAAGCCGAATCCTGGAGTTACTCAAAGACTAGGACTGTTGGACTAGGACTGTTGGACTAGGACTGTTGGACTAGGACTGTTGGACTAGGACTGTTGGACTAGGACTGTTGGACTAGGACTGTTGGACTAGGACTGTTGGACTAGGACTGTTGGACTAGGACTGTTGGACTAGGACTGTTGGACTAGGACTGTTGGACTAGGACTGTTGGACTAGGACTGTTGGACTAGGACTGTTGGACTAGGACTGTTGGACTAGGACTGTTGGACTAGGACTGTTGGACTAGGACTGTTGGACTAGGACTGTTGGACTAGGACTGTTGGACTAGGACTGTTGGACTAGGACTGTTGGACTAGGACTGTTGGACTAGGACTGTTGGACTAGGACTAGAACTAGAACCAATTTATCAATGGTCACTGATTTTTAAAAATGAATGCATTTCACTGGTTTTAACCTTGGTTAGGCATGTTTTGTGAAAAATAAAAACGATAATTCGAGCCAGTGAAAGCAATCTAGCAAGTGTGTGCTAGGTAAGCCAAAAACAAGTACTCAAGGTTTATCTAAAGTATTTTAATTATTAAATTAAATCTATTTGTTTATAGTGGCAAGTAGTCAAAGGTGAATCAAAAAAAGAGGTAAGTGGTGAAGAAAAGAAGAAAAAAATAAGTAAAAATAAGTAAAAAGAAGCTAAAAGAAGCTAAAAGTGGATTCCGATCTCGGGGTAATGCCATGGCAACCCGGATTTTTCTTTTTTTCTACTCAGAAAAGCTTTTCGTTTCTTTTTTTTCTTTCAGTAAAATTTCCGCTGGAAAATTGAGTCGATTTTTTTGCAGATTATTTAATTTAATTTTCTAATCAACTTTTAGAAAAACTTTTAAAAGGTTTTGCAAAAAAAAGTTCATTACTTGAAGTTGATTACTGTTTACAGCAGTTTACAGGAGAAGTTGATTACTGTTTACAGCAGAAGTTCATTACTGTTTACAGCAGAGGTTCATTACTGTTTACAGCAGAGGTTCATTACTGTTTACAGCAGTTTACAGGAGAAGTTCATTACTGTTTACAGCAGTTTACAGCAGAAGTTCATTACTGTTTACAGCAGGATTTTGAATTGTTTTGGACTGAACGGGAATATGTAACTGGGGTACTTTTCGGTTAAATCCCCGCCACCCAAATAAAAGCTTTCATGCTGAAGTGGCTGAGTTAAAATCGCAATTTAGGTATTTGAATGTTTTGCAAGTTGTAGGGAAAGCCCGATCCAGGTAAAGGTTAGAGTGCTAAGACGCTCTTTGACAAGATTTTAGAATTTATCACCCAGATCGATGATTTGCAGGCTACTGACGTTAAAGATCTCTGCCCAAGTGAAATCAGGCTAGACTAAATTCACCCAGACTGTTGTGAATTTAGCCTAGCTTTATGTCACTTGGGCAGAGATCTTTCGTCAAAGATCTTTCGTCAAAGATCTTTCGTCAAAGATCTTTCGTCAACGTCAAAAACCTCTGCCAAACTGACATCAGGCTAGGCTAAATTCACAAATCACTAAAATTTTGGAGTGCCAGAGGTAGAGTACTGGACAATGAAATATCATATTTGAAAAAAGGTCGTCACTTTCACGCGTCTGTAACTCCCTTGTCTTTGAGTTTAAACTATTAGTGTTATACATTTTCTGAAAGCTCTTTTCAAGGGCTACACAATGGTAATATTAATATTTAGAAATACGGTAAAGACAAGAAAGTTACAGACGCACGAAAGTGACGATCGTTTTTCAAATATGATATTTCATTGTCCAGTAGTGTATAATCGAAATGTGGAGGTGGTGGGGGGTAACCGAAAAGTACCGTAACTGGAATATGTAAGTAAATAGTTGCTTAACTTTATACTCTCAATAGCTCTTTGATCTTTCAAAGAATGGAAGTCAATGTGCGAGAAGCTAAATTCGATTATATGAGCGAGAAAAAAAAGTCGCTCATCTCTTTCACTCTCTAATTACATTTTCATACACAACTCCAAGGGTTTTTTGCAGAATTTTGAAGCTTGGGAAGTTCATCGATGAGTTAAAATCGCAATTTACTAGGTATTTGAATGTTTTGCAAGTTTTAGGGAAAGTCCGATCCAGGTAAAGGTCAGCAGAGGTAAAGAGAATTTTTCCGGACAAATCAGGACTGAAGGCAGGTCAGAGACAAGTCTAGCGCAAAAACTATAAGCCAGCTTCACCTGGTTTGACTTGATCTAAACAAAACATTTATGTTAATTGTAAGGAGTGATATCCAAGAAGGCCTAAACCAAGCCTAGTACCAGGCCTAGCACAATGTCTTGCTTCTAGCTTGCCCGGATCGTTTTGAAGATGGGCAAGAGATGGCTTGACTCTTAAGAATCGATTCTAGATTATGAAAGTTTGATAGTACGTTTAACAACGAGTTTAGTATCAAAATCTTTAAAGAAATTTCGATCAAAGAGTTAGATCGTTTGTGTCATTTGCATGAAAGAGCTTTAGAGATGAATTTGGATTTAGTTTGGTTTCAGTAGATTGACAGTATTGTTAGATTGACAGTATTGTTAGATTGACAGTTAGATACGTGATCAAGTAAACAAAGTAGAGGTATAAGCTAAAAGAAAAAAGTGAAGAAGAAGAAGAAGAAGAAGAAGAAGACGAAGAAGAAGTCGAAGAAAGAAAGAAATGTGAAGTCAGAAGAAGTGAGAGTGATTCTCGGGAGTGACCCAAATTCAATTGAAGGGAAAGGGGAAAGGGGAAAATGTCCAAAATGAACACACGGGAGTCTCTAGGGTAACTCTTTCCTTTCACAAATTTCTGCGAATTGAAGTTTTCCTCTTTTTCCTCTTTTTTTTGATTCATAATTAGCAGAACTAAACAAAACTTTAGTGCAAATGTTTTGGAAAGAAATTATTGAGTTGAATAGGGTTAAATAGGGTTAAATAGGATTAAATTGGATTAAATTGATTTCAACTCTTTAAAGAGTTCATTGAAGAGAGTCATTGTTGAAATGGAGATGGGAATTGGGTTCACGCTTGAAAATCTCAGGGGAGTTGACGAGCTCAACACTGGAGAGTTGACGTCTACTCAACACCTCTTCTTCTATCTTCAGCCTTTCACAAATCGGCAAGAGAGAATAAAGCTAATGGGATACTGAGTTCGGCTTACTTGATTGACGTGTTTGACCGTAAATTTAATAAGGATTTGCACTTTACTGACTGTTATTTTATTGGATTGGTGAATTGAAAACTGCCGGCTATTTCGCGGGACTCGCAGATACCAGCATTGAACAACAGCATTGAACAACAGCATTGAACATTCAACAGCATTGAAAGGGGGTTTGATTACTTCAACATTTCCTCAAATTATTGCGAAAAAATTATGCTTCCAGCTTTTTATTTTTTGGTTATTTTTCTTCACTTCTTCTATTGCACTCGACAATCTGGCACCGGGACATATTCTTCATGTCATGCACCGGCAAGAGAGAATAAAACCCAGGTGCTATTTCTCTGTACAAAAATTTGAAGTTTTTGAAGTTTAAAATGCAAAAAAAAGGATCCCGGTGTGTTCCCTGTGCGCGCACATAATCCGACTCGATCTGGCATATTGTGTTAGCAGATAGCGTTCTTTTTTCATCGGTCCAATCGGAAGCGTCCATTTTGGGTCATCCGGTAGCCAATCCGTTGTCTGCCCCATATGGTCACCGCTTCCCAAAACTAACTTCGGCTGTAGAATTGGTAAACCCAGTTCCGGCTCATTTTGGCCACAATGGTGGGTTCTCCGCCGGTCGAAATGGGATCCCAAGTGCCTGTAAAAGGGCGCTAAAGGGAGCCGCTGTGAATTTTTGGATTCATCCCAAGGATTTCGGTCCGCAGGGGCAGCAAAAAACCTAAGTAACGACACTACAGGGTGTTCCAAAGAAAAAATCCACTTCGCGTCAAATTTTAAAAATATTTCTGATGGCTCAAGGTGGTGTGGTATATGGTGCGACAATGATTTTTTTGGGGTCGAGAAGTTTGAATGTTTTTTCATGATTTTTACCATATCACGACCCTATCTATGCAAGAAATTCCTGAGCCACCACCACCATCAGATTTTTGCCATAAAATTAAAACTTTTTACTGGCATCGTGGTGTCATATTAGAGTTAATATGTCGCAGCCGCTCGTGATTTTCAGCCGCTAGTGATTGAATCACCAACGGCTAGTCGATGGTGAGTTTTTTAACGAAACATTTGACCGATGGTGATTGTATCACTAGCGGCTAGCTGTTGGTGATTGTATCACTAGCGGCTAGCTGTTGGTGATTGTATCACTAGCGGCTAGCCGATGGTGATTGTATCACTAGCGGCTAGCCGATGGTGATTGTATCACTAGCGGCTAGCCGATGGTGATTGTATCACTAGCGGCTAGCCGATGGTTTTTGGATCTCTAGCGGCTAGCTGTTGGTGATTCAATCACTAGCTTTTAGTTCTATCGTTTAGGCAATCCAGAGTAAGCAGAGTAAACAATTAAAGCTTAAGCGTACACAGTTGTACATCGTAGCTTTGTATTGTTGTAAATGCGCACTTTTGAGTCATTAATTTACGATATTGGATTACCGTATTGGTTACGATAGTTTCCTCACATTTTACCTGCTTTAGTTCTTTAGATTCTATTCTACTTCAGAATTTACAACTAAAGATAAAGAAATAAAAGAAATAGAAATAAAAGAAATAGAAACAAAAGAAATAGAAATAAAAGAAATAGAAATAAATTCAGAATTTGAAAGTATTTTCAATTCCTTTCTCCAATTAGAGAAGGAAAAAAAGAATCTCGTAAAAATTCGACTTTCGACAAAAAGAGTCGCCCCTTCAACTGCGCAATTTCCGGGGTTATTTGCCGAGGAATTTCTAATTTCGACACATCAATTGCTTTAAAAAGAAAAGAGCAAAAACAAAAAGGAATTGAAACAGAAAGAATTTCATTCACAAAACGACCATTCCTTAATTAAAGTGCAAATTTTTATTGGTGGCAATAAAAGGAATGAAAAGAAAGAACAGAATTTGAGGAAATCGTATGAATTTAGGGTTTCGAATAAGAGATTCGCATTTGAGGATTTGAGCTAGAGATAGAGATTTTCATGCTTCTCGGTTATTTTCATAAATTTACATTTTACAATTAAAAACAATAAAGCTTCATTTGAATCTTAACCAATTTTTTTTCTTTGAAGTTCTTTGAAGCCTTTTTGACTTGCCTAAAGTCACATAAATGAATAGAAATTTGCATAGATAAGATGACCCTGTATGTTCTAATATTTTTTTGGACCAAGCCAAAAGCCTGGCTCACAAAAGTCTATTAGAAGCCAGCTTGAACCCGCCCAGGCTTCTGTCTTACCTGATTGGAGCTGCGCCGTTACCGGCCCAGGACTCAGGCCCAGGCCCAGGCCCAAGCTCAGACTCAGGTCCAAGCTTAGGCTCAGGACCAGGACCAGGCTTAGGCCCAGGCCCAAGCTCAGACTCAGGCTCAGGGCCCAGGCTCAGACTCAGGCCCAGGCTTAGGCTCAGGACCAGGACCAGGCCCAGGCTCAGACTCAGGCCCAGGCTTAGGCTCAGGACCAGGACCAAGCCCAGGCTTAGGCTCACCCTCAAGCAATAAGTTGAAGTAGATTGAAACCGAAACATTTCTCAATAGTTATAAGAGCTCTAGCTCTAGTGTAACTTTATTTTAGCTATCCAGCAAAGAAGCTGTCGTTTTACTTCGAGATTTAACTTAGAGTTTATCCAACTACACATAGAATTTTGAATTGATGGCTGAGTACATAAGATTACTATCTATGTTGAAAAGTTTCTAAAGAAATTTTTCGGCTTAATTGTTTTGAAAGTCTAGAATGTTCCTAAAAGCCAAGCGTCTAGCGTCGAAAATATCCACTGAATCAATACGAAAAAGTGGAATGAATAGAAGGAAAGCGAAAAGGAAGAAAAAGAAAGAAAAAGAAATTAATGGCCAACTGATGAAGGCTGGGAAGTTTGGCTAAAAATGGAAAGGAAATGGGGGAGAGGCTGGGAAGACTGAGAGACTCAAAACACACGCACATCCATTTGTAATCAACACTTTTTGTTGCAAGTGTTGGCCAATTGAATGAAAAATTGGATAAAGTCCAAGTAGTGCTTGTATTTTTGTAAAAACATTTAAAGCCTAGTGAGCTTATGAACGAAATCTTGCAATGGATTAGATTTCAAAACTTTTTCCCGTTTCTGCAAGGAAACTGAAGAGTCAGTGCACCAGAAAGTGAATTCCGAAAGGGGGAGTTGATGGAGAAGGAGATGATGGAGAAGGAGATGATGGAGAAGGAGATGATGGAGAAGGAGATGATGGAGAAGGAGATGATGGAGAAGGAGATGATGGAGAAGGAGATGATGGAGAAGGAGATGATGGAGAAGGAGATGATGGAGAAGGAGATGATGGAGAAGGAGATGATGGAGAAGGAGATGATGGAGAAGGAGTTGATGGAGAAGGAGATGATGGAGAAGGAGTTGATGGAGAAGGAGCTGATGGAGAAGGAGTTGAAGGAGAAGGAGCAAATGTAACATAATTTATTTTACGAATTGTCACAATGAAGTAGAGTCAAGTTAGCTATATAAAGAGTTCAGCAAAACGTGGTAGAACTGAGACAAACAAAATCTTACAAATCTGATTTACTTAAACTCTATAAAGGTGTCACTTTGAATACACAACTTTTGAGGGATAACTTTTGAAGAAAACTCGAATGAAACCTGACATGGCAAGGTCACAGAAAATGGGGAAAGGAAAGAAAATTGGCGGAGTGGAAAAATAGATGGGTGAAGAGATATTAGAATGGAGGAAAAGGGGGAGTTGATGGAGAAGGAGTTGAAGAAGAAGGAGTTGAAGAAGAAGGAGTCGAAGGAGAAGGAGTTGATGGAGAAGGAGTCGAAGAAGAAGGGATCGAAATGGCCCTAGCTCCACGTTTCCGGTAAAGCCTTGTCCCCAAAAATATACTTGTTTCTTTTTTGTGCTTTTCTTCTTCAGAAAATAATAGCAATTGCAATGAATAATGTGAAAATCATTTACAATACATAAAACGAGTTCAAACTTTAGAACAAGTTTGGGTACTTGTCGGTTATACATCCACAGAGACTCAACTCGGTTAAGCAAGAAGCTGACAACTTTTGAGCGCTGATGTTCAGTGAAGTAGAGTGCTCGTTTGAAGTGATCAGTCGATGAGTGGAACGAAAATCAATAACCGAGAAGACTCGGATTGGGATACTTAACCGAGATGAGTCTTTGTGGATGTATAACCGAGGATGTACAACCGACAAGTAACAACCGATAACCGAGGATGTAGAACTTGTACCAACTTGGCACCTGACGAAGCACGAACTTGAAGCACGAACAATCCCAAGATTCCGAACAATCCCAAGATCCCGAACAATCCCAAGATTCCAAACAATCCCAAGATTCCGAACAATCCCAAGATCCCGAACAATCCCAAGATTCCAAACAATCCCAAGATTCCAAACAATCCCTAGGTTCCGAACAATCCCAAGATTGTTCGTGCTTCAAGAAAATCTTTTCATTCCATTGCGCTACCAAAAACTAGTCGAATTGAAGAGAACAAATGCAAATTTCACAATAAAGATTTAGATTAACTTTTCTAAAAGAATATAATGATAAAACAAAGAACAAAAAACTAATCTAACTAATATTTTCTTTGCCAAAACAACTCAATGTTGCGGAAAGCAATATGTGAAAATGTGTGTAATTTTTAGCAATTCTGACACGCAAAAAACTCTCAAGAGAATGAAAAGAATGCTTCCGTTTGGATAAAAAAAAAGAAAAATAAGGAGTAAAAAATCATATGTGGAAGGGGGAAATTCATAGAAAAGAGGATTCTTTTTTTTGGCATAATCAATTCATTTTTGAGGGAATGAATAGAGAAAGGGAGAAAAGAATCTTATAAATTCAAACGAGCACTCTACTTCACTGAACATCAGCGCTCAAAAGTTGTCAGCTTCTTGCCTCCAAAAGCCTTCAAGGCCTCCAAAAGCCTTCAAGCCCTTCAAAAGCCTTCAAGCCCTTCAAAAGCCTTCAAAGCAAATGGCTGCAAAATGAGCAAAGGCTGCAAAATGAGCAAAGGGAAGAGCTGACAACAAAATGAGTGAGAGAGTCAATAGCCATTTCGGGAGCCGTTGCCGCTATTTTTTTGGTTGGGTCAAGAATAGGGAAAAGATGGGGAGGATCGAAAATTGGGTTCAGATGGGGGAAGGGGAAAGGCAAGAGGGAAGGGTAAGAATTACTCGAGACGACGACGAAGAGAGAGGCAAGAGTCCCCACTAAATCACTCAACGCTGAAAATCGAGGCCATGTTTAGCCGAAGTTGTCTTTGTTTGTCTCAAGCGAACTTCAGCTTTCACTAAGTGAAAAAGGATGTTTTGATGGGGGTTTTAAAAGTCAAAAATTTGAGCTGAAATCGATGAGATTTAGTTTGATTTTTTGTGTAGAATTATGCTAGAGTAGGAGAATTGTACAAGTACAAGTACAAGTACAAGTACAAATTGTGTAAAAGTGAAAGCTTTGTTTGTTTAGCTATAAAGTGAGTTTATGAAGTGGTTCGTGGTTGACTTATGGGTTTTGGAAAAAGACAAAGAAAAAAGAAAATCGAAAACGATTTGTCAAAAAACGTCACCATTTTTTGGGGGTAAGGTTGAAGAAAAGAAGTCTAGAAACTTAGAAAAAAACATTCTGATCTTTTTATGGAAAAGTTATCATGCAAAATGAAAGTCAATCTCCAATTCCTATGAGGCAAATCTTTCAAATCAACTCCATCAACCGTTTCTACGACTTTGAAAACAATTTTTAAGCATAAATCTCATTTGGGGAATTATTTCTATTAGGTACATGCATCAGAAATGCGATTTCAACAATAAGAAATCGCCGAAATGCGATTTTCAACTAAGAAATGCGATTTCAACAATAAGAAATCGCCGAAATGCGATTTTCAACTAAGAAATGCGATTTCAACAATAAGAAATGCGGTTTTGAACATTTTCATCAATTTCCAACGATAGAAACTTGATTTTATAAACTATAAACTCAATCTGAATAAGTGCAACAAAATGAAACCAAAATCATAAAGATTGGCCCACTTAGAAGAAAGTTATGGCACGTTTACGGTACGTGTACTTCTAGAAATTTAACATATTGGTACAATACTTTCACACACAAAAAAAAGAAAGAAAACTAAAAAAAAGTACAGTAGGACTACAGTTAGGAAACACAGGAACAAAAAAGATTAAATATAGGGCAGTTTTGACATGGCAATAAGATCGAATTCGTTTACAGATACTTTCCGTTTACAGAAACTTTCAATTTTCCTACAGAAATTAAACTTAAACAAGTTTTACCAAAAATGATTGTATTCTGAAAGAGATTTGAAGAGGTAAAGTAATGAGAAATTCATTTGTGAAGGCTAAAACAAGAGCTCAAATATGAGTGAATCAAGAGAAAACTAGGGAATGAAAGAAAGAAGAATGAAACTTAATCCACCGCGTCGAATGGCTCTTTTCATATTCTCGACGACTTCTTGCTCTATCGATTTTTCTTTTTTTCTATCTCTTTGTATTTCTATATCGCTATTATAAAGTAAACTTTAAATTTAGAAAAAAGCTTAAAAAGCTTAAAAAAGCCAAAAAGCTTACCCTTTTCCTTCTGATCGAATCACGAAAATGGTTGAGCACCTCCATTTTGGAGTTGCAGTTCAGATTTCCTCTGAATTTTTATTAGTTTTATAGATAGAGATAGAGATAGAGATCTTTATTTAAAAGAAAAAAGAAAAATGTTTCCATAAAAAGCAATTTTTCATTTCTTTAATCAAATCAAGATTGAATAAAGATTGAATATTCAATCAATTGATTGAATAAAGCTTCATTTTCATCATCAAACTGTGCTCAAATAATCCGTTTTCTAAGATCAGACAACTTTCAAAAGCTAAACTTAGCTACTGTAAACTTATCGCCTAGCAAACTAGTAGATAGTTGTAGAGGCAAGGATTACGATCACTTTCGTAAGTTGCAAGGTTTTAGAATCAAGTTGGTACTGGGGTTACTGTAGAGACAACCGAAAACTAACTAACGAAATAGAAAACAACTACTGTAAGCTTATCTCTACGGTAGGTACTGTAAATTTTGCCTTTCGTTTTATCTCGTAGTTTCGAAAAAGAATTAGTTGAGAGGAGAACAACTCTAATTTCAAATACGTTTAGCTGATAAGTGTCAAATAGTAACGTAAGCTTCTCCGTAACGATAGATAGCTTCTCCGTAACGATAGATATCTTCTCCGTAACGATAGCTAGCTTCTCCGTAACGATAGCTAGCTTCTCCGTAACGATAGCTAGCTTCTCCGTAACGATAGCTAGCTTCTCCGTAACGATAGCTAGCTTCTCCGTAACGATAGCTAGCTTCTCCGTAACGATAGCTAGCTTCTCCGTAACGATAGCTAGCTTCTCCGTAACGATAGCTAGCTTCTCCGTAACGATAGATATCTTCTTCGTAACGATAGATAGCTTCTCCGTAACGATAGATAGCTTCTCCGTAACGATAGATAGCTTCTCCGTAACGATAGATAGCTTCTCCGTAACGATAGATATCTTCTTCGTAACGATAGATAGCTTCTCCGTAACGATAGATAGCTTCTCCGTAACGATAGATAGCTTCTCCGTAACGATAGATACCTTCTTCGTAACGATAGATATCTTCTTCGTAACGATAGATATCTTCTTCGTAACGATAGATAGCTTCTCCGTTTCTCCGTAACGACAGCGTTTCTCCGTATCTTAAAGCCGCTTCAGTTCCCTAGTCAATTGCACTTAGCTTGTAATAAAAATCTTATTGAAAAAGGTAATTCATATTCAAAATTCATAAAAATGAAAGAAAAAGATACTTACAAGATTGACGTCCCTTAAAATAAAAACAAAAAAAAAATTTGTGCATATCATTGGAGAAATTTCTTTTAACATAAAAAGAAGTTGAACTGAGTGAGTTGGGGGAAAATTTTCTTTCAACGGAATTCCATTATCCGCAAAACTTGGCTCAAAAACGAAATCCCTAAAAGAAAGCGAAACAAAACATTCATTGAGTTGGGGTAAAAAGAAGGTAAAAGGTAACGATTTAATGTTTAACAATTTTTAAACTTTAACTTTTAAATAATTTTAATTTATCGAAGTTTATTTATGAAATATTTATGAAATATTTATGAAATATTTATAAAATAAATTTCGAATCCTCTCAGGAAAAATCCCTGGATTTATCACCATGGAATCGGTGACCCAAAAGAATCAAAAAAAATGATGAAAAGATGAAAAGAAAATGCAGAAAATGAAAAGAAATGATTAAACTTGGGGGGTGGGACAAATGCGACCTTTTTTTTTGCGCACCTGGACATTTGCGCACCTTTTTTTGCAGGAAAAGGCCTTAGGCAAGGCCGTAGAGCTTCGAAAATATTTTGAGATAAGGGAATCGTATGCGTAGATTCCGAATTTCGACAAATCAGACCTCGCTGACACGTCAAATTTGGGCTAAAAGGCAAAAACTACGCAACTTAACGCTTTTCCGCAGTTTTTGCCTTTTAGCCCAAATTTGACGTGCCAGCGAGGTCTGATTTGTCGAAATTCGGAATCTACGCATACGATTCCCTTCTATGAAAACATTTTTGAAGCTCTACGACCTTTCCTAAGACCTTTTCCAGCAAAAAAAAAAGGTGCGCAAATGTCCAGGTGCGCAAAAAAAGGTCGCATTTCTCCCACCGTTTTTGGCGGGACAAACTTGGTGTTTTTTTAGTGTAACTGAACATTAAATATCTGATTTTTTTTTTTTCAAAAATTCACTTAAAATTAAACAGTTTTACATTGATTTTGTCTAAAAAAAATTAGCAATTCATGGGAATTTTGTTAATTTTGTACTCAATTTTTCATAATCTTATGAGAAATATATAAAGTACAGTCATGCAAGAAAAGTCTTGTAACATCCAGTTTAGCAAATTTCAAAGTGTAATAACTTTTTTGCAAAGAGGCCGATTCCCAAACAGTTTTTGGTTTTCAGTTGTCAAAAATTTCTATTTTTATATGCAAGAAAAACTTTATTGAAACGATTAACAAAAATTAAGAAAAACAAATAAAAACAAAAAGTGGGCGTATTTTTGATGCTCAAAAGTCTTGTAACATTTGAAAACAAACATAGAAATTATCAAATTTTTAATACTTCGTTGGTCCACCTTTAGCTTTGTTGACTTCCTGGATCCGCTTTGGCATTGAATAAACTAAATCGCGTAGAATTTGGGCTCCCAGGGATGACCCGGTACGGCGAATGAAGAACCAAATCTCTATCTTCGAGTTGAGTCGCTTTCCCTCCAGCTTTGACTTTAAAAAAAGCCCAAAGATGCTCAAATCTGGGCTGTATGAAGGAGCTGAGATAAGTTGAACACGATTTGCTTTGAACCATCCTGGAAGACGAGCTTTTCCACCATTTGCGAGAGTGACGACCCGGCCCATTAGCAATTGACTCTTGTGGCAAGGCGCATTATCCTGATAAAGCAGTCATCCAGGGCCCATTTTTGCAATTGAAAATGGCAGAAGATGATTCTGGAGAACTGATTTGTAGCCTTCAGCGTTGAGCGTTGAGTTTTCTAGCACTAGCGGACCTGGTGAATTTCTCGACATTGCACCTGAAAGACAGAGTTGAGAATGTGCACCATGAAAGTAGCCCTTACCCTAAAGCACGATTGATCCTTGGCCAAATTTCACGATTGGTCGCACATATCTGATGTTGCACCGCTTTCCTATTGGTCTTCTGATCAAGTGGTTGCCATCCGGGCGAAAAAGATTGACTTTTGACTCATCAGTAAAAATCACATTTGCCCAATCATTTTGTCATACTTCTTTGCAAACTCCAAATGAATCTTCCGATGCTTGGCATTCATCAAGGGCTTCTTGGCTGCTCTTCTTGTCACCAACCCACCACGAATCAAGCGTCGGCTCATTCGTGACACATCCTTGCCGAATTGACTCTTCATCATGACGACTCCATCGCTCGCATTCAGATCCTTGTTATTTTTGTGAGCTTTGACGAGCGCTTTATCCTTTCTGGATGTTGTAATTGGTGGACAGCCTGATTTTGAAGCTCGGTGAACAGATCCAGTCGTTTTGAACGTCCCGACAATTACAGATACCGTTTTTTCACTGCATTTGAAGAGAGCTGCCACATCTTTCCTCTGAATTCCTTTCTCTCGCGCTTCCACAATTTTTTCTATGTCCCGAGTTGACAAATATTGTCCAGGCATCTAAAAAAAATAAATTTTTTATTATATAAAAAGAAAATAAAAACAAAAGCAAAAAAAAAAGCAAAATACTTCAAATGTTACAAGACTTTTGAGCATCAAAAATACACCCGCTTTTTGTTTTTATTTGTTTTTCTTTTATTTTTGTTAATCGTTTCAATAAAGTTTTTCTTGCATATAAAAATAGAAATTTTTGACAACTAAAAACCAAAAACTGTTTGGGAATTCGCCTCTTTGCAAAAAAGTTATTACACTTTGAAATTTGCTAAACTGGATGTTACAAGACTTTTTTGCATGACTGTACTTTATTCAGAAAGAAATAAAGTGCGAAAACGACATGAAAAATGTACAATAGATAAAAGATCACAAAGTCACTTAAAATGCAACGAAATAGCCCTTTTAAAATTTAAATCAGACACGGTGGAGATCAAACGCAACTTGTCGGGAAGGGCATTCCAAACTTTAGTCAAACAAAAAACCTTTTAAACAAAAATTGAATGTAAATCTAAAAAATTGACTAAAACAAAAAGAAATCATTGCTTTTAGCAAAAAATTAGAGCAAAAAAAACTGTTTGTTCAAGAGGAAACTTTGAGGCCCCATAATTTTTTTTTTCTTTTTATCCAATCTTTCTAATTTTAAAAATTTAACATAATTATTAATGATTCTGCGTTGAATGATACCAAATACTTGATGGTTGGACGCTCCTAGACCCACTCATTCATAATCGGCTAAGGGGGTTGAATGAAACGTTGTAGCGCCGTCAATTTTTAACCTAAACTCACAAATTTGGTACCAATCGACGGAGAATTGAATTCGCTACAAGATGATATAATATTGTCCTCATACATTAAAGGGTTGCTCTACTAGAAAGATTTGCCAAAAAATTTCATTCATAATCGGCTACGACATATATATGTTGTGTCCGATTTAGATTTCCGTCCGATTTAGATTGAACTTATCGCGGACGTCCGATTTAGATTACAGTCTATATCGGACGTCCGATTTAGATTCAATCTAAATCTTATATAGATTGAACAATAATATAAACATGTTTAGTATATGTTCTTAAGCGTTCTTAAGCGATTGAATCTAAATCGGACGGAAATCTAAATCGGACACAACATATATAAATACTTTATTCAGAAAGAAATAAAGTGCGAAAACGACATGAAAAATGTACAATAGATAAAAGATCACAAAGTCACTTAAAATGCAACGAAATAGCCCTTTTAAAATTTAAATCAGACACGGTGGAGATCAAATGCAACTTGTCGGGAAGGGCATTCCAAAAATGAATCAAAAATTGGGTAAAGTTGAATATTATCTAAGAAAATGATGACAAAAGTTTGAGTTTTTTAAAAGATTTTATTAGTAAAATAGGTGTGGAATGGGAATTTTTGCCATTCTACGTCTATTTTCCTCTTTTTTTTTGTTTAATATAGGCTTTTCTGATTATAAAGAAAGCTTGGAAAAGGTTTTTTTTATGAAAAAGAGAATATTTTATTTTAAAAAATGAATGAAGACAAGAAAAAGCAAGGAAAAATGAATGTAAATTGGCTTAATGAAGGTTTAGAATGTTTGAATTGAAAGCTTTAATGATTTTGACAATTCTTGATCTTCAAGTTATAAGTTTTCAAAGATTTTTCATTCAAATTTTATTGTTTATTTCATTTTATTCAATTTTATTTCATTCTATTTCAATTTATTTCATTTTATTCAATAAAAACGAATTTAATTAATCTAATCTTTAAGATAAAGTCGAAAATTGATTTGTTTTAAATGAAAATCCCGAATTCGAGCTTTTCAACATGATAGTGATGCTTTAAATAAAAAAAAAAGAAACAAACAAAAAGCAATTTAATATTAATATTGTTAAGAATGTGATGAGATTACCGAATTGTAGATTCTTTTGAATAGATACTTTTCTTTTTTTTTTCTTTCCCTTTGATCCCCTCGGGTCCTCTCACCCTTCCACATTCATATGTCATCGTGCGAAATATGGGAGAGCTTTCCCCTATCCCCTTTTTTCTCGAACTTCATCTCAACTCTGTTTTCCTCTGACCTTGAGAAATGTTTTCACTAGTTAAGTTTAAGATTTAAAGCTACAATAAAGCTCAGCTAATCAGCTATCTTTTAACTTTTCAATTATGTTGTTGTTTGTTGTTTGTTGTTTGTTGTTTGTTGTTTGTTGTTTGTTGTTTGTTGTTTGTTGGTTGTTGTTTGTTGGTTGTTGGTTGTTGTTTGTTGTTTGTTGGTTGTTGGTTGTTGTTTGTTGTTTGTTGGTTGTTGGTTGTTGTTTGTTGTTTGTTGGTTGTTGGTTGTTGTTTGTTGGTTGTTGGTTGTTGTTTGTTGGTTGTTGGTTGTTGTTTGTTGTTTGTTGGTTGTTGGTTGTTGGTTGTTGTTTGTTGGTTGTTGGTTGTTGTTTGTTGTTTGTTGGTTGTTGGTTGTTGGTTGTTGTTTGTTGGTTGTTGGTTGTTGGTTGTTGGTTGTTGGTTGTTGTTTGTTGGTTGTTGTTTGTTGTTTGTTGTTTGTTGGTTGTTGTTTGTTGTTTGTTGGTTGTTGTTTGTTGGTTGTTGGTTGTTGTTTGTTGGTTGTTGGTTGTTGGTTGTTGTTTGTTGCTGTTTGTTGCTGTTTGTTGTTTGTTGTTGTTGTCGCTTATTGTTGCTTGTTGTTGTTGTTGCTTGTTGTTTGTTGTTGTTTGTTGTTGTGTGTTGCTTGTTGTTGCTTGTTGCTTGTTGTTGTGTGTTGCTTGTTGTCGCTTGTTGCTTCTTGTTGCTTGTTGTCGCTTGTTGCCGCTTGTTATTGTTTGTTATTGTTGTTTTATTATGCCCATATTTTTGCATTTTGCTTATTTTATTTATTTCCATACAAATATTTTATTGCACATAGAATTTTACCCGAGATAAGAGCAACCAGCAGGAATAGCAATTGGAAAAAAAACCCGTAACAGAAAAACTGATTATGAATTGATATCACCATCGAAATCGTCGACCAATTAACGCAAAAAGTCGCTCATTGTACGGAAGAAAAGCTTTTCGGAGATTTTCCCGTGTTGATGATGAGACTGGGCGATGGGTTCGACCCTGAATTTCATTCTTTCACTGAACTGTTTTATGCTTTCTTTGTCATACAAAGTATTAAAGAATTGAGGAAGAGTCCGGAAAGGGGATTGAACGCTCGATCTTTTGCTTTCTGCTTTGGCAATTGCTTTAACCATTGAGCTATCTAGTACCTTAACTTGCCAAGAAAAAGAAGGAAAGACAAGAGGGAAGAAGAAAGGAAGTAACAAAGAAAGTACTATATTTATTCTAATAGAAGCAATTTTGTGGAGTGATTAAAAAATAGAAGCGCATGCTTTTCTATTAGAACAAATACGGTATACCATTTCTGAAGTGATAAAGAGAACAGTTGTGACCCGCTTTAACCTTATCATCGGGGATGATTTTGTTTCAGAATAGCCGATTAGCACAAAAAGGTTAAACGGGTTTCCCCAAAACGCTTACAACATAACAAGAACACGCAGAATCCAACATAAGGTTAATACTCGTGCTAAGAGTACAGAACGGATTGATACTTCGTCGATGGCGACACAAATGTTAGTAAATTCTTTTCTAAAGTGTTCAATCAGCTTACGGAATTTAGAACCTTAAGTAGATTGGATTTATAATTTTACAGTTTATTAGTACAGAATGAAAAGGTAACGACAGCCGTTACAAAAACAGTGCACGTGAGGAGAAGCATCAAATTTCGAAAGAACGATCTGATAGAACGATCTGAAAGAACGATCCGAAAGAATGATCTGAAAGAACGATCTGATAGAACGATCTGAAAGAACGATCTGATAGAACGATCTGAAAGAACGATCCGAAAGAATGATCTGAAAGAACGATCTGATAGAATGATCTGAAAGAACGATTAGAAAGAACGATTAGAAAGAACGATCCGAAAGAATTCAAAACTCTAAACCCAAAAAGAGCGAGAAGCTACAAACCCCAATTCTCTAGAAAAATCAAAAAGAAATTTGAGGGCAGAGAATGAGACGAAAAAGCGATTGGTCAAAAAGGAACGTAAACAGGAAAGAAACGGACGAGAGCGAGCGTGGAGCGACAGAAATGTTTATTTGAAGTCTTACTAGTCTCTTCGAAACTTTATTTCCCACCTTTGAATCCCCGAGACAATGCGGTGGTTGGCGTTGATTCTTTCGAAAACAGAAAAACCCTTTTCGTTGATCCCAGACAAGAGATGAGGAGTTGATAAGATGCGGAACATTCAAGAAACTCTCTACCAGTCGTAACTAAACGAATTTTTCAACAACTTTACAACAACAACAACTTTAAACTCTTAGAATTCTTTTCTCTACAGTATAGGGTGTTGGAAAACTATTGCAAACTATTGCAACAAATATTATTACTTCTTATTACCTTGGTGAATTGTCTTAACCACTTTTTTTTGTACTTTTATTTAAAAAATAATCTATTTACCAATTCATTTACGATTTGCGACAATTCGAAGATGCTATTTAGACACTTTGGTTCACAGAAACCTATTTTGATGTCAATAGAAAAGATAGAGCACAAAAAGTTAGATCTACAATCAAAGAGATTGGCAACATGCCAAGGAGAATTCAAGAAGTAATTGCGGCTCGCGGAGGACCTACTAAGTATTGTTTTTCATAATGTTTTTCTCACATGTTAAAAGACTTTTGTTCATCAATTTTTGGCTCAATTTTTGGCTTGATTTTTGTTTTATTAAAAAGTTCACACCTGATCAATTTTCAAATCCATCTTTTTGTAATGTTAAAATTAGAGATAATAAGCTCTTTAAATCTTTTAACCGTTGGTCGGTCGGATTTGGATCAAGATCAAGAAATTGGTTCGGATTTGACTTATTCTTTTTCTTTCTTTAAATCATTTTCTTTTATTTTACTTACTTTACTTGCTTTACTTGCTTTACTTGCTTTACTTACTGTACTTTACTTGCTTTACTTGCTTTACTTGCTTTACTTGCTTTACTTACTTTACTTACTGTACTTACTGTACTTACTTTACTTACTTTTACTTGCTTTACTTGCTTTACTTACTTTTACTTTTACTTTTACTTTTAATTAAACTTTTGATTGTTAAAAGCTCACCTCTGGAAGCGGATCGATCCCAAATTTGTCTCCATCGACGATATGGATTTGCGAAAGGGGAAAATAGTTGAGCCAAGATCTGAATAATTGTTGAATCCATGAATTCTAAAGTTAATATTCTTTTTGTTTACCTTAAATGAATCTCATAAAGTGAATTCCTAACAGGTTTATAATCTGTATCAATCTGATCAGTTCCATTTCGGAAAACAACTTCCCCAAAAAGTGGCAATGACTTTTTCAACTCTAAACGATTGTAGTAGACCTGTAAAAAGTTGGTTTGAGTTTTAGACAAAAAAGTACTTACCGTAAATACTGTAATAGTACCCCACCCCCATAATGACGGCGCGGAGTGTTGTGTAGTCTAGCTTTGAACGCGTTTTTCTCGACACTGGTTCAAGCTACAATGCGCGCTTAGGTATCAAAAAATAGCCCTGAATCTCAGCTATTTTTTGATACCTAAACGCGCATTGTAGCATAAACCAGTGTCGAGAGAAACTCGTTCAAAGCTAGACTACACAACACTCCACACCGTCATTATGGGAGTGGGGTACTATTACAGTATTTACGGTATGATTTCACCTGTGTGTAATCACTGATCGTTCGAATAACGGGCTCTCTCAAAATCACAATGATTTTCATTTTTGAATTCATCTGAAAGACTCTTTCCGGAGTTACGAATGATGGAAAGTAGGCTGGTGTTTTCTCGATTGTTAACTGAATATTTTTTTTGTGTAATAGAAAGATTATATGATGGGATTACTTGGTGATGAAATGAAAGTGGCATTTGATCTTTATACCAAGCGATTCCCCGCGAAAAAGTATCATTTCGATCAAAAAAGTGAACCTAAAAACAATTCAAGAGTTTAGATAAAGAGAATTCAGTAGGGGATTTGGGTTTTGTTGTTTTATTTCTATGCACTTACCTCTCTTCTGGCCGCTCGGATCATTGGATGAAGAGCCAACGCGTCGAGGAGCGCTCGAGTTCCACCCTGAACTCGAGATAGAATCATTTTCACAATCAGAACTCTCGACGATCTTCGATTTAACGATCTTGGATTTAACAATCTTCGATATAACGATTTCATTTCGTGATTCCGGCTTGATTTTGATTTTGGCTTTGATTTTGAATATCTCTGATTGTTTGAATATCTCTGACTGTTTGAATATCTTTATATCAAAAGGCGACTGTAAAAAGATAGCCAAATTGTGCAGAAAAGTAGCTCTTTTCTGTGAAATCTTATTTGATGCTTTGATTTTGAATATCTCTGATTGTTTGAATATCTCTGATTGTTTGAATATCTCTGATTGCTTGAATATCTCTGATTGCTTGAATATCTCTGATTGTTTGAATATCTCTGATTGCTTGAATATCTCTGTTCGCTTGAATATCTTTGATTCTCTTGTCCTTCCTTTAGAGGAAGGAAGAAAAAGAAGAAAGGAAAGAAATTTGCGCTTATTTTCATTCAAATTTCTTTAGTAGGTCTCAGTTTTGAAAGAAAATCAATCTTTTTCAAGTGTCAGTGGGTTTATTTTTCAAATGTCAAGAGAAAATGACGAATTCAGTGCACCAGAAAGGGCGTTTTGCAGAAAAGTAGTTCTTTTCTGTGAAATCTTATTTGATGTTTTGATTTTATCTCTGAATATCTCTGATTCTCTTGTCCCTCCTCTAAATATAAAGCTCGAAAGATCGTTTGTGTTCTAAAAAGGGACGGAGCCCACTTTCTATTGCTTTTCTTTGGCATTGAAACACTGAACCAACGATTGATTCTATTTTCTCGCTAGATTATTGATTGTGCTATATCTAAATAAATATCTAACTAATCATTGCCCCATCGGTACCCTCTCACGCACTGCACACAGATTATACAGTAAAATTAGTCTACAGATAGAGTTCGGATAAGTTTCAGAAAAAGCTTAGAGCTCCGATTATTCTCTAGCTCGAGTTTGATATTCAATTTTGTGACTTAAATTTTATCTTTATCTGTATGTAATCTGTAGTAAGAGTACTATAGTAAGAGTACAATAGTAAACAGTACTAGAGAGTAAGAGTACTATAGAGTAAGAGTACTAGAGAGTAAGAGTACTATAGAGTAAGAGTACTAGAGAGTAAGAGTACTATAGAGTAAGAGTACTAGAGAGTAAGAGTACTAGAGAGTAAGAGTACTATAGAGTAAGAGTACTATAGAGTAAGAGTACTAGAGAGTAAGAGTACTAGAGAGTAAGAGTACTATAGTAAGAGTACTATAGTAAACAGTACTGCCGAATCTCTCACTCACTTTCCTGGCTCCAATAATAAGACATCCGGGTAAACGACGCTTTTTCAGTTCAAAGTCGACACTAAATATTGAGAGGATTTCGAAAATTAAGAAAATTAAGCAAATTTTACCTTTCATTAATCGCCGACTCGTCTTCCATTGAATATTTATGGATTTCGTATTGTTGCTCATCTTTCTGATTGCTGTAGAAAAATGAGATCTCTACCAGCGCCAGTAGAGACAAAATGGCGCATGTGTAAAGGAGGAAATGAAGCGGGAAACGGTACATTTCACAACATTTTTTAAAAGCTAAAATTGAAGAGATAAATATAGAAATATAGAAATATAGAAACTTTTTGAGAATTATTTTCTTGAGGAGAAAAACCGAAATTTGACACTTCACAACACAGCTAATCATCGGTTTTTGCCAAAAAGAAATGCCAAAAAGAAGACTTTTTAACACAAGTAATGCTGAGAGTTGCAAAAATGTTTAGAATACAAATAGAGAATTGGAAAAAAAAACAGGAATAGACTTTATTAGGATCAAAATTTAGAGGCTAGACTTTATCTAGAACAAGATTTCTAGACCGGCTTCCATATTTTCGCTTTGTGAATTTAAAATGAAAAAATTTTTGTGATAGAAAGTAGTTTTAAATGGCTTATTGACCATATTGATCATAAAAAAAGTGTTTAAAACAATTTTCGGAATGTTTTTTTGGAAAATTGGCTTGGCTTTGGCTTGGCTTTGGCTTGGCTTTGGCTTGGGTTAGCTTGGTTTGGCTTTGGTTTGGTTCGGTTTGGCTTGGCTTTGGCTTTGCTTTGGCTTGGTTTTGGCTTAGCTTGGCTTTCCTTAACTTGGCTTGGCTTGGCTTGGCTTTGGCTTTGGCTTTGGTTTGGCTTAGTTTTGGCTTAGCTTGGCTTTCTTTAACTTGACTTGGGTTAGCTTGGTTTGGGTTTGGCTTAGCTTGGCTTGGCTTTGGCTTTGACTTGGCTTTGGCTTTGGTTCGGCTTGGCTTTGGTTCGGTTTGGCTTTGACTTGGCTTGGTTTTGGCTTGGTTTTGGTTTTTCTTTGGCTTTGGTTCGGCTTGGCTTTGGCTTGGCTTGGCTTTGGCTTTGGTTTGGCTTTAGCTTTGGCTTTGGCTTGGCTTTGGCTTTAGCCTGGCTTGGCTTGGCTTGGCTTGGTTTTGGTTTTGCTTTGACTTTGGCTTGGCTTGGTTTTGCCTTAGCCTGATCTTAGCCTGATCTTTTGCAATGTTTAGCAAGATATCTTCTAAAGTTTATAAACATAAACCAAATCTACTAAGTTGAAAGTAAAAAGCGAAAACAAAAGCTGAATGAAGATACTTTGAAGATCTACGGAATGCAATCAAGCCAGTTTCCCATCTCATGCAAATTGATGAGACGCAAAAAGATATTCAGTGAAGCGGGTGGGGATCACTTTTTTCCGTGAAAAATTCGGGTGACAACTAGATGACAGCCTGATGAGAAGAAATTCTGAAAAGAGGAAAAAAAAGAAGGATAGAGAAATCCAGAGAGATCCACACGCAGAATTTTTGATGAATCACTCTTCGTAGAAAACTTTTTGTCTCTTCAATGCATTCCCAAGTGAGGGGATGGGGTGGGGATCTGAGGCTGAAGGTGCGCAAATGCTCACACACCGGAATTCATAAACAATCATCAAAATTGAAACAAAACAAAACAAAATAAACAACAAAACATGATCTTTTAAATGCATTTAATAGAAGTTTAGAATTTAGAATTCTATTTTAAAAAGGAGAAAAGGAAAGTTCTTCCTCTGTTTACTCAATGCATTTTTAAGCTTTCAATTCTACCAAAAGACAGCGTTTTTTTTAAATAAAGAATTCATTTAATTCATTTAATTCATTTAATTCATTTAATTCATTAATGTATTTATTTCTTATCATTATTCATTTCTTATCATTATCATTTTATCTATTGTTGAATGCCTTTAGAAGCTGACTGATTTTAAAAAAAAGCGCAAAGAAAGTACGAAACGAAAGTACGCTTTTTTTTGCTCTTTTTTTATCAGCCAGCTTCTAAAGGCGTTCAACAATGGATAAAATGAATGAATAATGACAAGAAAAGGATTCAATGTAAAAGTTCTCCCTCTGTTTACTCGATGCATTTTTAAGCTTTCAATTCTACCAAAAGACAGCGTTTTTTTAAATAAAGAATTCATTTTATTCATTAATGTATTTATTTCTTATCATTATTCATTCATTTTATTCATTGTTGAATGCCTTTAGACTGACTTAGAGCTGACTGTAAATGCTAATTAAAAAAAAGCGCAAAGAAAGTACGAAACGAAAGTACGAAACGAAAGTACGAAGCGAAAGTACGAAAGGAAAGTACGAAACGAAAGTACGAAACGAAAGTACGAAGCGAAAGTACGAAGCGAAAGTACGAAAAGGAACGAATAGACTTTCTGAATAGTTTTTTTAAATTATCGATTTGGAAATTGAAAGTAAAAGGAGAAATACTATTAAAAGCTAAATAATAAGTGATTCACAGTAAAAGAGTTTAGAACAAAGATGGGTGAGGAAGGAGAGAGATTCAAGGGGGATGGACAGGTGCCTTGCTTTGCTCTGCCTTGTTCTGCCTTGCCTTGCTCTGCTCTGCTCTACCTTGATCTGCCTTTCCCTACCCTTTCCCTACTCTTTCCACTTTGACCAAACGGTTGTCACCATCTAGCAGATCCATCTAACAGATCCATCTAACAGATCCATCTATTTGGTTGTTTTAGCTCAACCTTTGAGATTGTTTCCCCCGAAAATCGTTGTTTACGAGCTGCAATCAATCACTCGCTTTTGCCATCTTCACGATTTTCGTTTTGGTTTAGTTTTGGCCAAAAATTGGAGATTTTTTGAGTAACTCTTCGTTTGCTTTGTGTTCTTTTTGCTTAGAAATAGAAACGCATACTTTCTGGTGTGCTTCCTAGCATACTAGATTCTATCGTTTATGCAAAGAAACAGCTAAAGAACGCACAAAAGTACAGTGAATATAAAATAGTAAAGTAAGAAGTATTGTAAAAGAAGGTTTTGCGAAATCCAGATAAGCTTTGAGTTTAAAAATTTGAACGATTTTAGATCCAAGCTCAAGATTTGTGATATTAATATCCAAAAATACATATTCTTATATTTTCATTAGTCCATCTTGATGATCTCTTGATATGAATCCCCTTTGCAATGCCCTTTCCTCATTTCTTCTTTCATATCCATTCACAAGTATCACTTTGTGAGCATTTCGAGTACCCTTTCCTTCCTTTTCTTTCCACTTTTCATCATTTTATCCATCCCTTCAATAAATCCGATCATATTTGCTTATCCCCTTTTTTTTGAAGAGAGATGAGTAAAAGGATGTGAAGAAATGGAAGAGAAGAGAAGAGAAAGAAGAAGAGGAAGAAGGGGAGAAAGAAGAAGAGGAAGAAGAAGAGAAAGAAGAAGAGGAAGAAGGGGAGAAAGAAGAAGAGAAAGAAGAAGAGAAAGAAGAAGAGAAAGAAGAAGAGAAAGAAGAAGAGGAAGAAGGGGAGAAAGAAGAAGAGAAAGAAGAAGAGAAAGAAGAAGAGGAAGAAGGGGAGAAAGAAGAAGAGAAAGAAGAAGAGAAAGAAGAAGAGGAAGAAGGGGAGAAAGAAGAAGAGAAAGAAGAAGAGAAAGAAGAAGAGGAAGAAGGGGAGAAAGAAGAAGAGAAAGAAGAAGAGAAAGAAGAAGAGGAAGAAGGGGAGAAAGAAGAAGAGAAAGAAGAAGAGGAAGAAGAGAAAGAATACGGTAGAGATGAGAGTTTTCATTTTGATTCGAAGTTTGAAGGAAGGTTTTTTTGAAATAAGTTTACTTTGTCAAAAATCATCTCAATTTCTTAAAGAAAGAAATATTTTAAGTAATTTTGAACTATTGAGAATTTTATAAAGCAATAAACTTTTATTTATAGAGCAACAAAAATGAACAGTACCAAACATTTGACTTTCGTCAACTTATTTATAACCTTAAACAGTTAAAGAACCCCTAGCTTTAAGCCAAGAATAAGCTTCAACTCTAACAGATCTGAACAGTAAGAACAGTAACAGATCTGAACAGTAGTCTGTTCTGTTACTGTTCTGTTACTGTTCTGTTACTGTTCTTACTGTTCAGATCTGTTAGAGTAATCTTTTTCAAAAAGTTCTCAAGTAATTATTCAGTAGTTTAATTCAACAAGAAAAACATTAAATTTCAAAAAATTTGTTTAAAAGAGATTTGGATTTTTTTTGAATGAATAGTTGTGAATATTTTTGGATGAAATGAATGAGTAAACTGTGGTTGTTTCTCCACACTGACACTCCCCCCAAATTTGCATTTGAATCACTCAAGTACAGTCAGAAAGAGAGAAAGAGGGGGAAAAAGAAAGAATTCCTACAATTCCATTACTCTTTTCCGCCACCAATACAATACCATAGTCGTATTTCAAAGAGCTCTTTCCGACAATCCGATTATCGATGTGAAGGGGTAATTACTGGGACAATGGAATGGAATAAAAATGCGACACCATTGTCAAAAGTTATAGCTTAAAATTCAGCTCAAATATTACAGCTCAATATAGAAAGAAAGATCACGTATTTAACCATAGCTTTAGTTTCAATAGTACATAGTACTTAACAGTACTATGTAGTAATTAGAGGGTGTTCTTCGCGAGTAATGCGTTTTTTAAAACGCATACTTGGGAAAAAATTACCGTACTTTTAGCAAAAATTATTGCAAAAAAAGACGCAAAAATCACGAGCCCCGCATTATATACGACACTTTTTAAAGATATTCAGCCGTTTAACTGATTTGGTGGGAAATTTGACTTCGAAGTCGGCTGATCTTTATGATTTTGGTGTCATTTTGTTGCACTCATTGAGATCTACAAAATGACACCAAAATCATAAAGATTAGCCGACTTAGAAGAAATTTATGGCGAGTTGCGCAAATAAAATGGCGGAAATTAGGCTACCCCCTCAAAAGCTCAATAGCTCGGGAGTGGGACAAATGCGACCTTTTTTTTGCGCACCCGGACATTTGCGCACCTTTTTTTCCGCACCTTGCCCATTAGCGCACCTTTTTTCGCGTTTTAAAAAAGCTCTAAAAAGCTAAAAGCTAAAAAAGCTAATATTAACCAATTTCTATTCCAAAAGTTGTTTTTCTAGGTAATTTTAGGGCGTAGAATCGAAATTTTGGCATATCAGAGCTTGTGGAACCAATTTCAAAGACAAAACGGCTAGGTCAAATTACAGAAAATTGTTGATTTTTCTCTTTGTACAACTTCGTCCGTTCGCTTCCACACGCTCTGATATGTCAAAATTTCGATTCTACGCCCTCAAATTACCTAGAAAAACGACTTTTGGAATAGAAATTGGTTAATATTAGCTTTTTTAGCTTTTAGCTTTTTAGAGCTTTTTTAAAACGCGAAAAAAGGTGCGCTAATGGGCAAGGTGCGCAAAAAAAAAAGGTCGCATTTGTCCCACTCCCACAGGGACAATAAAATCATTGTCATCTTCAAAAGCCTACAATTAAACACTTTTCATTTAACTCAAAAGTTAAAACAAGTATTTTTGCAAATTCCAAATAGATCTATTTGTCTATTTTTTTCTAAAAGAAAACCCTTAATCCCTTGGTTTTTCTTGGAGAAGAACGAACAAAGAACTTTTCGAATATCGGAATGTTTTAGGGAAAAGTTTCATTTAAAAATTAATCTAAAGAAAACCAAAAAAATTTGTTTACTTTTTGACAAACAGAAGAAAATTTTAAATCCCTTGCTAGAAATATAATAAAAGAGCCATTAAAATAAAAAGGCAATTCATTAAAAGATAAATATTAATGACAATGTCGAAATTTTTCTTTCAAATTAGCTGAACAAGATGAGCAAAATGAAAAGACAGAGGTGTTACAGCTGGGAAGGAAAGAGGAAACGAGGAAAGGGGAAAGGGCAAAGAAGAGAGGGAATGAGATGAGTGTCCAAATGTCGCTTTGGTAGGGTGAAAGGGGGAAATGAAGAGATGAGAGAAGTTTGATAGGTGAAAAGATTCAGCCAATCACTCACCTGTTCACTTCCAATGTTGTGTTCTTGGCCAAAATCTCTAAGTGATTTATGAATGAACAAAGGGAATCCCTTGGTCCGACAATCACTCTGGATCTCTGGATTTCTGGATCTCTGGGTTTCTGGATCACTGGATCTCTAGATCACTGGATCTCTGAATCTCTAGATCTCTGGATCTCTGGATTCGAACTTTCTAGCTTCAGCTAAGCTGACTGAATTTGATTACCCTAAAGTCGCGAGTATAAGTTCTGTTTGGTTTTCGCATGCAAATTGACGGCTGTCTCCGGGGCGGTGTGTCGAGGGTTCGAACCCCGCTGCAGCATAACTTTTTTGCTTTTTAAGAACAATAATAGAAGTAAATTTATTGAGGGTTATAGCAATTTTATGCTGTTATGCTGCTATTTGTTGCTTCGGGCGTGGCTGGCGCGTGCGCCCTGCTCCTCTCCGGTGCTCAGTCTTATGGATCCCTCCCTGGCTTCTTCATCCGGCCAAAGTCCACGTCGACGGTCGAAAGAGATGCTTTCCAGCGTCTTCTTGAACACTATCGTCTGGATGTATCCATGCACATAACAAATAGCAATGGTGATAGGCTGTCACCCTGTAGTATCCCGCGCTCCAAGAACAATAATAAAAGTATATGTCGTAGCCGTTTACGAAATTCAGCCGCTAACGAATGAGGGTATTTCCGGGCATCCAATCAAAAAGTCACCCACATAAAAAATGTTCATAATACATATATTTTATAATAAATTTTTGAAATTAGCTCATTTGGTTCAGTAGAAAATTTTTTTTGAGCCCCCAAAGTTTAGGTTCAAAAATGCCCTAAAATGACTATAAAAAATTTTCTACTCAGCCAAAAAACTTGCCTAATAGCTCATTTTGTAGCCAACTTGATGTAGATTCTTAAAGTCAAGCCATCTAAAACAATTTTTCGTTGAAAGTAGGAGAAAGAGGGCGAGGAACAAATTCAGGGCAATTCTCAAATGTGAAAACAGCGACCCGAGTTCAACTGAAGTCGTTCCTCGCCCTCTTTCTCCTAACTTTGAAAAACAAATGTTCAATGTAGCTTTACTTTAAGAATCTACATCAAATTGGCTACAAAATGAGCTATTAGGCAAGTTTTTTGACTGAGTAGAAAATTTTTTATAGCCATTTTAGGGAATTTTTGAACCTAAACTTTGGGGGCTCAAAAAAAATTTTCTACTGAACCAAATGAGCCAATTTCAAAAATTTATTATAAAATATATGTATTATGAACATTTTTTATGTGGGTGACTTTTTGATTGGATGCCCGGAAATACCCTCATTCGTTAGCGGCTGAATTTCGTGAAAACGGCTACGACATATAAAACAATAAAAACGTATAAAAACCCAACAAAAAGAAATTCAAAGCAATTAAAGCGAATGTAAATTAAAGCAGAACTTATACTCGGATGAACTTATACTCGAGACTTTACGGTAACTGGTAGACCAATTGCTAAAGTCGATTAGTGAAGCTAAGGTGGATATCGAAAAAAAAAAAAAAAAAACTAATGAGCATATGTGAAAGGATTGCTTTGAGAAAAGCATCCTTTGGTTGAAATGAGTATAAACGACCAAGGAAATGGAGAGATGGGCACATCTGCTGCTCGTTCTGCTCGTTCACTCATCCCCTCTTCACCCTTTTAAAAAGTTCAACATAAAACGGCTTTTGATGTGTTGATGTGTTGATTTATTAATGTGTTATTTTTAAAGTCTACTTTTAAATTAAATCTTTTAAATGCTAGATAACATTGGAATCACAAAAAGCTATTCAAAATACCCATATGAAGAATTGAAACTAATAGTGAGAAAAACGAGAGTGTGAAATAAACGAATCAACAACAAACTAATATTATCAATGAGGATGACGAGGATTTTGGGAAGATCCTTTTGGATTACTGTACATTCCTGGATTTGGTGGAAGGTGTTGAGGTAAAGGTGGTGGTTGAGTCATCGGAAAGTGTGACATCGGAGGAGTGTTGAAATTGAGAGAATTTCGGGGCATTGTTCCTATCATTCTTGGGTTTATCGTCACTGGAATCGTCACTGGGATCGTCACTGGCACCTAGAAATGAAATTTCTTTTCTTAGAGTTTTCCTATTAAAGTGTATTCCTCGTGATTAATTTTTTACGCAACTCGTCATAACTTTCTTCTAAGTGAGCTAATCTTTATGATTTTGATGTCATTTTGTTGCACTTATTGAGATCTATAAAATGAAACCAAAATCATAAAGATTGGTCCACTTAGAAGAAAGTTATGGCGAGTTGCGTAAACGACCCTGTTGCGCAAAAAGTATTGCGGAAATTAACCTACCCCTACAAATCAAAACAAATGAATTATGAATGATTGAATGAATGAATTAACAAATTAACAAATGAACAAATGAACAAATGAACAAATGAATCACGAGAACAAACTCTATTTCGTATAACACATAGCTTTTTAAGCTCACTAGCAACTTTATAGCCTCACCTGTGCATTTGGGTAAAGCCGTGTGATCATCTGCGATCGTTGTGGCTGAATGTTTTGCGAATGAAGCAACGGTGGAGGGAGACTTGTATCCGGCAATAACGGTTCAAGCTTCAAATCCATCAGCGACACGGGCGGTTGTTTCGGCAACTCCACTTTCATTCCCCTCACCACTCGACCCTTTTCGGTCATCAGCCGGAAACGTTCGGTGTGCATCTGAAAGAGATCTGGTTATGGAAGAAAAAAAAACTTCAATTTTATTATATCAAATCCCAAAATGACTTTAAAAGATGGGAAATTGGGTTTAGTTTTAATTAGATACTAGATTTGACCTATTTAACTGTTATGCAAGATAGTAATAAGGATTCAAAATTAAATCTAGCTATCAGTATTGAGCTTTAGAAGTTATCTATTCAACACTTAGTAGAGCATTTGATCACGAAATTAATCTGAGACCCGATCCTTACCCTGATCAGGCTTTGATCTACTAATTTTATCAGAACAGATCTTAACTCTGCCTTACTAGCTTGAAACCAGCTTGAAACTAGCATGCTTGTCTTTACCTAAACTATAATGAAAGCATTAAATTTTTGAAGTTAAATGCAATTAGCTTATAAGGTATATAAGATTTTGATAAATTTCACTTCCTAAGACTCACCTCAAGCGCCTTCTCGGCGGCGTTCATCTCGGCCAGTTGTACCGTGCTTCCCACACCCACTGCCAAGCGTTCACCCCTAGAACAAAAGTGATATTACAATTACAAATATTACAGATTACAATTACAATTACATATTACAAATACAATTTAAACACCTCATTAATAGTAGTTCTTTTAGCCTTTAATTTACTGCTTACTTGAACGAGACGGTAACCTCAAAGCGTCGCGTGTTCGTTGGTCCATTCTCGGAGATTTTTCTGGAATCGATTTTAAACTCACTTTAAGATCATAACCTTATAAAATAAAAAAGATATTCAGTTTTAAAGCAAAGAGTTTTTTTTGCAAGACTCACTTATAAATAGGGATCGGTGCTTCGCCTGGGGCTCTCAACGCTAAACAAGCTTGTTGCAGCCGAGATTTCGGATCGTTCCAATTGTCGTTTCGAATGAAATACTAAAATAGAATTTGTAGGCTAAAAAACTGGATAAATGTTGGATTATGAAGTTATTTTATTGTCCAATAAAGTTACCTTGAGCCTAGGAAAGAAGCAAACCCGGCAAATCACCCGGCAATAGTCCCAGCCACGATCCACGTAGATGGCTCCCATTAAGGCTAAAATTTTAGATACAAATTGTTAGCAGAATTCTTCAAGAGCTAGCCCAGACAAGGCCAGGTCTTCACCCACAAAAAGTACCCAGAGTAAGTCCGACTAAAGTCTGAGCTAGCTCCGGCCTTGCCTAGCTTGGTTCTGTCCTTTCCTAACCGGATTCTGGTCTGATTTTAGCCTTGTATGATCTTTTTTTAGCCTTATCTGGCTTCTAAACCTGCCTAGATTGGCTATGGCTTTGCCTGCTCTTTTTTGACTTCACTGGCTTGGCTCTAACCATGTCTGCCCTGGTTCTATTCTTTCCTAATCTGGCTATAGCCTTGCTTAACCTGATTCTTCCTAAACAAGCTTATAAGCCAAGCATCAGCTATGTTTTTAAAGATGATTTATAGCTCAATGATTAAATCAAATCTACCTTCCACAAGATCGGCTCTATCTTTCGTTTTAAGCGGCTGAAGTCGAGCACTCCTTCGCGGTGGTTCGATCAAATAAGTGGTCAGGGAAAGGTCATCGCAGATTATTGACTAAAACACGAATGCTAGATCTCTTACTGGAAATATACTATGATAGATGGAGAAGGTTTGTATTCGAAAAACTTACCAAAGTACTGTTCGAGACTAAACACGTTCTCAACAGAGATAAATGTCCTTCGTGATGACCGGGGAAATGTTTGTAGAGAAAATCGGAAACGATCAATTGTAGAACGGAGTCTCCGAGGAACTCGAGGCGTTGATTGTGACCTCTAAAACGATTTTTTTTTCAGCTAACATCTTAAAGTTCGTTTCTAAAAGTTTCTAAAGTTTCTAAAATGGGTCTTTTTAAGAAAACTACGGTAACGAAGCGTCAGTTTTCATTCGATCACCTCAATTTTAGTATAATTGATCAAATCTTGTGATTTCACATCGATAGCTATCAAAATTTGGCTGATCAGATCACTGCTCTGATTACCCTAGTTTTTTAAAAGGTTTTATTAGAAATCTATCGTAATCAAGCTGCTGTTTTGGTTGAATTTTTAAAATTTTAAAGAAAGAAGACTTATTTTAGAAATCTACCTGGTTAAATCATTCATTGGCACGCTTCGTCTTGTGAAAGCTTTGGCCAGTAGTCGAATGTGCTCAAAGCGAAGACCGATCTACAAAAAGGATTAATCTCTGCCGTACTGTATCAATCAATTCCTACCGTATCCTCGAATTCCTTCAACTTTCTCAGCGCTGGTATCGAGTCAATTAGATGACGATCACCATCAGGGTGCTCAACCTAGGAAAACTCGATTTCTAGCTGTTTCCTTTTTTTCTTTACTTTAAGCGGATGTTCTGGAACATTCACCCATCGATCTCGCATCACTTCATCATTGCTAAACATCACTTCGGAGAAGATTCTGAAAGTTTTATTTTAACTTCAATGAAACAGGTTTGATTTGCTGAGTTTAAAGTGAAGCAATGAGTCAGCAATTTTAAATCATTAAACCAACCGATCGCAATGATCAATTCCTCCATCCAAAAAGACGGCAGCCATGAGTGCTTCAAAAGCGTTTGCCATCGCGTGTTTCATATCAGCCTCATGACAAAGATCCGGTCCATGCGAGAACAGCATCCACGAGTCTAAGCCGAGACGCTGAAAAGTAGAGCATTCTTTTTATACCCTTATTATGCTAGACTTTCAGTTACACTATTCGACTTAGGATTAGGCTTCATTTATCGTTTAATTTTTGTCATTTTAAAACAATTTTTAGTATTTTATAATAATCTACGATTATTTGGTATTCTTAAAAATAAAAAATGAGCATATAAAGAAAACCGTTAAACGTTAAACAGATTATTCTAAAATTTTGATTGTAGATCTAACTTTTTGTGCGCTATCTTTTATCTATTGACACCAAGATAGGTTTCATTTGGAAGAAACGATTCAAATCGCATCATCGAACGCGTCATTTTTGTAACACTCGGCTTCTTTCTAATGAAAAACCCTTCAAAACAAACCTATTCAAAAAATTTCAAAAGTCATTTGCAAGAGAAATGATTGGGTTATCTAATGAACAAAAAAAACCCGTATTTTATTTGTACTCAACCTAATAATATTTGAAAGGAAACAAGAGCATACCCCAGCCAATTGAGCGAGATTTCGATTTTGGACCAGAGCTGTTCGAAAAGTCGCTAAACCACCCTCTTGTAGGCGGGGAAAGCAAAAGTAGAGATGCACGGTGGTCATGAATTCCACTACTGCGTCACCTATAATTTATATAAACATTATGCACAATAAAAGGATTTTATTCAAGCTTTATTTAAAAGCTTTAGACTTAAAAGCTTTATTTAAAAGCTTCATTTAAAAGCTTTATTTAAAAGCTTTATTTCTTTATTTAAAAGCTTAAAAGTTTAACATTTCAATTTCATTTCTTCACTCACCCAAAAACTCCAATCTCTCGTTGTGATTGACGAAACTTTGCTCGATTTTCTTTGACCCTTCTCGAGACATTGTGAATTGAAGAGAGTTCAATCCTGAAAAAAATACACAGAATTTTCTTTTCTAAACCAACTCACCTTTCTTCCTTCCTCCATTTTTCTTATTCCATTCATGATTCGGTATCTGCGGTCTCATTCGAATGCCCAAATTTGCGAAAACGTTACGAGCATGATCCGGGTTTTGACCTAAAACAATTATTTAGCAAAAAAAAAACTTAGATTCCTCACCGAAATTTTTCCTAAATGACGGATGAGTGAAGGCCAACTCGACAAGGCTTCGATCTTGAAAATGGTAGCCCATTTTCTCTTCGAGAAGCTAAAATGGAGATCTCAATGTATGATGAAAAGTTGCAAACGTCACTTGGTAACGTATTTTGTTTCGCATTTTGATACGCACTTTATCCCCCGCCCGCCACTGACAATCGAACTGAGCTCAAATATCTCGGTGTTGGAGTGTTGAATTTAAATATTCTTTGTATCATTAGATGCGCCAAGTCTTTCTCTGTCGATTGGTACAAAAGCTATTTAAATTGAATAGCCCAACACCAAGATATTTGAGTTTAAAATTCGATTGTCAATGGTAAAGGGAGCGGATCAAATGCCCCAGAATCTTTTGGGCAAATTGCTGGGAGTAATTTTTGCCTGATTATGTTTTTGCTTTAAATTCTACAATATTTAAAACCAATTGTTTTACTTAAACAGTAACTAATTTGAGAGATAACAATGCAAATCCGACTATAACCCTAAACAATTACCTGCAATGACCAATGATATCTAATGTGATGCATGGCGAGCACGAATAAAAGTCCATGATGAATCATGTCGGATCGAATGCCCGTATTGCGATAGCCGGCAATTGGTAGGTGTACAAAAGTCTCTTTGCGTTGAATGCTAAATGATTTGTGAACTCGGTGATAAACTCTTTTTTTCTACCTCTCACTGTCGTATCTCGCTATTTCATTCTCGTATTTCATCACCATATCTTTCTCTTCCTAAAAACCTATTTGAATAATTTATAACTCTGACGAAGAACCTGTGTTGGAATCGTTCTCCGATTTCTGAACATTCTTTTCAATCGCGTCAACTTTCGCATCGTTTTCTGGTACTCGGGTCGACCGTGCAGGGTGTAGGCGGTTGGTCTGACAGAATTTCGTTAAAGTTTTCAAAAACTTTTGCAAACCGTTGAGCCATATGAACGACTTTGAGGGTGAGTGCTGCTCCTTCTTGTACTCCCTCGATTCGATCGATTCGGAGAGCGGCTGGACGCTGAATAGAAAAAAAAATTGCAATTGCAATTGTGATTTAAAGATCCATTTCAAGTTTTATAAATGTTTAAATGTATTTTTGTAAGCTTCAATTTAGAGGAAAGCCTAGGTGAATTGGGTGAATTTGTTATTTTTTAACGAAAGTATGAAAAGGAATGAAAATGGACGAAAAGACTTTTTGGAAAGCCTAATATTGTTAATCTAATATTGTTAATCTAATATTGTTAATCTAATATTGTTAATCTAATATTGTTAGCCTAATATTGTTAGCCTAATATTGTTAGCCTAATATTGTTAGTCTAATATTGTTAGTCTAATATTGTTAGTCTAATACTGTTAGTCTAATATTGTTAGTCTAATATTGTTAGCCTAATATTGTTAGCCTAATATTGTTAGCCTAATATTGTTAGCCTAATATTGTTAGCCTAATATTGTTAGCCTAATATTGTTAGTCTAATATTGTTAGTCTAATATTGTTAGTCTAATATTGCTGGTTCTATGGGGTAGCTTTATTCAAACTGACTATAAGATTAAACGCAGAAAATACTCACCATAACCGAATTGATCACAATGTTATCCTTCAGCTCGTATTGCAAACGTTTCTGCGTTTTCACATCACCCATCGGCGGTAAACTCGACGCCAAGAACGTTTGAAATCGACAAGTGTAATGCGCTAGGACAATGGACAACGGCAGGAGATGGGTGGAGGCTGGAAAAATAAGAAATGCTTATTTGATCGAAACAGAAATTATCTGAACTATAAAAAGTTCCACCAACTTTTATCTCGATGAACGTATCGTGGAGCAATATGATAGACAGGGCAATTTGTTTCGGTATCGGATTCGCTCGGAAACCTCCACTCATCAACCAATTCCATCACGTCTTCAAAGAGATAGCCACGGAAAAGCTCCATCTCTTGCACGGAGCCGATCTGAGATTTGTTGAATTATAAAGTGCTCTAGATTTTGTACTCTTTTAGCTTTCAAGTCAAGTTTATGTGCAAAAAGAGGAAAATATTGTGCTCAAATGGCTAACTAAAGGTTTACCTCAAAAAGCGACCAGAAGCCTACCTTCTGGTCTCAAAAAGCGATCAGAAATAGACCAGTTTTTCAAGCTGATTCTGATCTTGTTGTGATAGATTTTGAAAGTTAAATCGGCACCTAGTAAGCATCTACAAAGTTCATTCTAACAACACAACAACTTTTCCGAGAGTTGATTCAATAGAAACACTTGCATTTGGCAAAATTATATAAACTCGTTTAAATCCAACTCACCCAAACATTGTCCTCGTCTTTGAGCAACTCAAACGAGTACTCCGGTCCAAAAGTGGTCAGCGGCATTTTGGGAAAACGATTCGGGAGTTTTTCGTGTAAATAAACGGAGAATCCCTCAAGATTGTATCTAAATTAAATTTTTTTAGCTTATTTTATGCAAAACCAATAAACGAACTGTTTCGTTTCGTGCACAAGAGGGCCAGCGTTTCGAAGGGCATTCGATGGGAGCGGAGTCGCTCGCAAGTAATAGTGATACAATGGAGAGTTGCTGAAAATTTTGCTTTTTTAATGCAATAACAGGTTAAAGTTTATAAAATGTCATTTCATTTTCAAATTCATTACCCGCCACATTTGGGGATTGGCTTCTCGCCGGCGAAGTACCCGTGTCGAATGCCTTTCTTCGCGGCATTGTTCGAGCACCGACACAAAGGACCATCGTTTCCCTGAACATAATGAAATTGTAATGAAATTTTCAGCTAAAGCAGTTGTAAACTGCTGTGGGTTGAGGTCTATAATCCTTGTTGTCTATAATTTATAGTCCTTGTTGTCGTGCCAATCAATAATCACCATTTCTTCGTAAGCAGGAATCTTTTCGGCTAACGCCGCTTTTCCTGCTGGACAATTGGGGCTCGGCAATCCATTTATTTCATTTATCCAAGTTGTTTTAAACTCATTTCTATAGTCAGCTCATCCCAAATATGGGAATCTCTAGGGAGAACCGCGCGGAGGTCTAGGATCACTCTCCCTCCATGACCCAAATCAAAGATCTGTGGCTGGGGGCCTTGGAGCTCTAAAAAGGGCTGTTGGGAGAAGTTTATTCGAGAATTTCATTGTAGACTGTTAACTGTTGTCATTTATGTTGAATTTTCTCTTTATTTGTTATATTGTAGTTTGTCAGCTGTAAAAAAATAATTGTTATTGTTGAGCTGACTGTTTGATTAAACTGTGATCTCGGAAGCTGATCCATATTTGAGCATACAACGAACGCAAGTTTTCACATCTTGAAAAAAAAGCAAAAAAGTTCGGTATGGAGACTCGAACCAGAGATCTTTGGTCTCGAACACAGACGCTCTACCGCTCGCCCATGGCCTACTAGAATCGAGGGCACGCAGAAGGCGGCTAAGACCCAAAAAACTCATATTTTCAGAGTCCTAACAAAACTTTACGCTTATAACTCCTGCCAGAATAACGTTCAACAAAAATGGAAAGCAGATTCGAAATCAGCGTGAAATTCTGCATTGAATGGTACAGGTTGCATGTCATTTGACCGGCTCAGCCAGTTGACCTTCTCTTGTTAGTTTTATTTAAGGTATATCTTTTAAATTTATACAGTATCTAGATATTTCTACTCAATTTCCCTTTTCCAGACTCACCTGTTTCGTCTCATTGAAAGCGATCTCTCGAGACACGCTCGCCGGATGATTTCGTTTGCGCTCCACCTGAAAATCGGTTTTATACGACGTTAAAATAAGAACCGGTACAGTTATCAGTTATGTTCAAATCTTTGGCTTTTATGCATTCAGCTAAAATTCTCACCTCTTGTTGAATACTTGTGCTCAATGTGCTCTCTTTCTCGTCATCATCGGATTCGGATGAACTTTCGTCATCCGTCGCGGCACCGCCTAGAAGTAAAAGTTCTTGAAAAAGAGACTAAATTAAGCAAAAAGGCCGTTTTTTTTCTCATTTTTATATTTCGCCATTTTAAAACCCTTTACTCACATTTGCATTTTGCGTGCATTGCAGGTGAGGCTGGCCTGGGCACTTCGACGCGTTTCTCGCGTTCTATTGCGCAAGCTTGTCGCACTTCGAGCTGAAATCTGAAAGCAGATGCTGTGGAAGCTGTGGAAGCTAGGTTTACTTGCTTTTTTTTTCGATTTAGTGACTTACTGTAGCTTTATGTAAAAGTTTGTAACTGGATTACGGTAGAAAAAAGAAAACTTTTTCGAAAGGTAATTTGAGTAATTCTTAAGTTTTCAAAAAGTTTCAAATTTTCAAACAATTACAAAAGCAAATTTATTAGGAAAACAAACTTCTCCGAGATCTGTTTCGATAGGGAACTCTCTGCATTCGGTAGAATTGTATAGAAACGTTCCCAATCCACGACAGTAGCTCTGAAGATTTGAATTTTACAGAAATACCGTAAACTCTTGCTCTTGAAAACGTAAACACTTGAATTCTTTTAAAATGAACCTCTCTAAATTCGGTTTCACTTGCTTCTCATTATCAATATTTTCCTCGGATTTGTCCATCTCCTCCACCCAATCATCATCCCAATTCGCGAAATCCTCTTCGGTGAGACGACAAAATTCTAAAAAAACTTTCAAATCTTTCAGTATATATCTCCTATTAGTTTAAAGTTAATGTTTTAAGTATTTAGATTACGAGATTTCTTACAATTAGTGTACTGTAGGAATCTCTTGACTTATGATATCCCTTTGAATATAATTCTTATCGTAAAGTGTACAATTAGTGTACTATAGGGATCTCTTGACCTATGATATTCCTTTGAATATATTTCTTATCGTAAAGTTTACTGTAGGTTACGGTACTTCAACATAGATATTTTAAAGCGATCTCTTTCTTACCAGTATCCTTTCCTCGATTTCTCTCATCAGTTTCGAAATCCTTCTTCTCAATCGTTTCATTTTCGACTACTTTTGCATTTTCCGGCTCAATTTTTTCCATTTCAGGACTACTTGGCTTTAACTAAATATCTCTTTTTAAAAGTAAAAAAAACGATTTTCTGATTACCGTATTCTTTTGCTTTTCTTGCCTCAAACGTGTCTCCTCGGCTAAAGCGAACAACGTGGTGCCAAGGGATTTCTAAAAGGTAAATAGAAATTTCCATTTATATCCGCTTACCTCTTTGCTCGTTTTCTCGATCTTTTCCGATTTTCTCTTCTTTTTCTTTACTTTATCATCTTTATCAAGTGGTCTTTTTCTCGATTTCGTTTCCTTTTCCGGTTCTTCATCATCACTGATGTCTTCGAGGAATTGTGTGAGCTGCGGGGATGGGGCTGAAATTTTCAATCTCAAATTTGGCATTCGGGTAGATACATTTGCAAACTTTATCATTCTTTGGGAGCTGAATAGTTTGCTCATCGTTTAACACAGATTTAGCACTTTTTCGAGGCAGGTTGGGCTCAAAATTTGCACCAGGGGTTTTGGGGGTCAAGGAATTCGAACCCGTTATTATTTTTTAAAAAAAAACTGCTCTATTTTTAGATATTTCTTTCGGTTTAATTACCCAAGTGCTATATAGAGCCGTGTGCCAGAAAGCACGCGATTACAAAAACATGAAAATTTTCATGCTTATAGGACTATAGCTAAGGATATAGGACAAAACCCAAACTCGGTTTCGCTCATTTTTTTCTCTAATTTAGTTCAATTACCCAAATTTTAGAGTTTTGTGATGACGGTATTGGCTTAGAAATTAAAGTCGCTCAAAAGCTAATAACGGATTCAGATTTTCTATCCCAGAATGTCCCAGAATGTACAAATTTTCAGGTCTACAGCTAACATAGATAGCTGTCGTCCGAAAAACAGACAAAAATGGCTTTGTGAACGCGTTAATGACATTCAGCTAACAAGTTCGTACTCCTGTCAACTTACGGGGCGCAGCAAGAGGTGGTGGCAACATTTGATGTGTGAAAACAATCGGTGGTGGTGGCACAGAGTACATTCCCTGAAACTTAGCATGATTTTATGTTAATTTATCAATTATCCAGAATTCCTTAATGTTTTGTCACAAATTGATCTCTTTTCTACCTGAAATGGTGGCGGGATAGCGAAATTTTGAGACATTGACTGTATTGGCATTGATGGAGGCGGCATCGTGTACGATGTTGTTGGTCTCTATAAACAAAAAAATAAAGCTGTTAAAATTTAATTTGTCGCCTTTGTACTTTTTATTTATTACTTTACTTTTACTTTTTTATATTTTATGCCAATTCTCAAACCATTTAACCCCATTTAACATGTGAACGTAATTATCATTTACCCTATAAGTATTGCAATCACTGTTGCAGACACTTTAGCATCTCAAGTAGGTATAGTATCCACAATGGAAATATCTGTTGATCGTTGAAAAATACTTGATTAATCTGTACATCTACTCACCGCATTACCCATCGTTGTCAAATTCATCACAAATAGTGGTGTAGGCGGAGGTTGTGAAAGATTTGGCATCGTGAGTCTGAATTTTCGGTGGTTGAATAGCAAAAAGAAGGACAAGTCTTGGGTACATTATGTAAATGACTAACACGAGCCAACAAACGAGAAAAACATCTGCACATTCAAGCATTTCAGAATGTAATTGGCATGTTGGTCACTTGTTCCAAAAATAGAACTATCACTCAAAGTAAAGTTAATAAGTTGTAGCCAGCTTTTAGTTAGGAAAAATTAAAGTTTCTTTGCAAAGCTCACCGTTGAGGATCATCGGAAGGCTTTTGATTCAACATGATCTGAAAGAAAACTTCAGTTTGATTCCAGAAAACCAGAAAACAAATGCAACTTGTATAAACAACTAACAACGTCATAACTAGAATTCAACCCAGCTACACTCGAAGACATCTGAAAGATTTTGCTCGCTCACTTTCTGTCCTTTGTACAGTAATAAAATTTTTATTCGGTATAACAAAAAAGACTCAACAAACTAACAAAAAAAAGTAACAATGAGCAGTAATTGACAAGAATAACACAACTAAAGAATTCTTCCCTTCTTGCGCAATTTGTCCATCTTTCTTTTCTTTACATCTTCTTTTCGTTTATCAATGTTGGATACGCGTTTATCTTGACGTTTCGTTTGCTTCTCCTAGTTTTGTGATTTAATCAGTAAATTTTATCCGAATTTACCTCGACAGTCTTCTGTCGATTATCCCATTTCTTCTTGCTTCGTTCCTTTGTCTTTTCTTTCCGTTTTGCGGCCCGTTTCAACATGTCAACGTTGTCCTGAATTTAAGAATTTAGTTTTATTTTAAGTAGTGTAATAAAAAAATTACAGAATCAAGTCCTACCCGAACTTTTTGACCTTCCGCTTGTTGCAAAACCTTGTTCCATTTGATCGATTCTTCAATGTGTTCAGCTTTCTCAGGATTTTTAGTTCTAAAAATTGGCTATTTATTCACTTATTAGACAAATTTCACCTGATACTTTCAATCTTTTCCTTTCGGCGTTCAGCTTTCTCAATCAACCGCTTGTAGTCTTTGCCAGAAAATTTATCCCGTTTTTCTTGCTTCGTTAGAGCCTGAAAACATAATAATTAAGTACTTTTTTTTCAATAAAATACCTTTTTGTCATCACGAACAATGAAATCAAATTTGCTGTAAGTGATGCCATTCACAACAGCTTCTTCTGACTTCAGTGCAGCCTTTGCATTCTGTTCATTTTTGACATGTGGATCAACTTTTGGCTCACTAAAAAAGAAGCATTGTAAATATTTTGTACCGTTTTTACGTCTTTTCGGGCGCTTTCTTCTCTTCAACTCGTTTTTGTTTCAACTTCAATTTAGACATACGGCGTTTCAACTTGCGAGCCTGTTCAAAGTCCTCAGCGCTTTTCTTTCCGCGACGTTGTGCTGAAATCAAATTCGTAAAATTTAGAATTCTTGAAAACTTTACCTTTAAAAGACTCCAGCTTGTTTTTCAACTTCTCAATTGCCGTCTGCCGAGAATCGATTGGGTTTGATGAAGCATTTGATTCCTAACACCAGAGAGCTTTGACAAAAATCCCATTTCAAACCTCGTTTTTAGGACGTTTGCTTTCTAGTGCTTCGCTTACTCCAGTATTTTTTCTTTTCTTTGAGGCTGTTTGCTTTGCTAGCGAAGATTCTTCCCTAAAATTAGGTATGCTAAGAAAATGATTGCGAAAAAAATTAATTATGAACTCAAAAAACTAACTCGTCGTCTGAAGATTCATCGCTTTCTTCTTCATCTGAACTTGTTTCCTCAACGATGGGCTGAGCAAGTGACTAAATCAAGTTCAATAAGAAACGAATCAGGATACTCACAGGTTTTTCTTCCTTTTCATCATCATCGTCGTCTTCTTCAGAACTTGATGAACCTGTCTTTTTTGCTGGCTGTGAGTTACCGTTCTTTTTCACGGGATTTACAGTAGCCTAAACATATTAAATAAAAAGTTATCATAATCAGAAATGCTTACTTTAGCTGCCGGTTTGAGTTGAGGCGCCTTTGCTTCGACGTTTTTCAATCCTGGTTGTGTGTTCATCCAATCAAGAACTTGGCTCACCTAAATATAAAAATAACTTTGCAGATAAGCAAAATACAAACCGTTGAAGGAACAGCGCCTAATTGTTTAGCCAGCTTATGCTTTCTCTTCTTTGACATCTTCTTTTTGTCATCTGAAAAAAAAACTATCGTAAGTTAACAGTAAGAAGTAAAACCTTTTGAGATATTTTGTCCAACAATTGAAAACTTTCTTTGTTCAAGTCGGCTTCTGATCGATTCATCGAAGCCCCAATGCTAAAAAAGATTAAATTAGCAAAAATTAGCCAAGCCTAATACTAGGGATTATAAAATTGCCTTATCAAGATTAAAAATCCACAGCTGTGTTTCAATTTTTTGCAATCTCCTGGATTTCCTCATTATCGAAATTTTATTAATGAACTGCAACTTTTTAGCTCAAGTTCTAGTAAAACTACCAAAATTTGTACCTGGATGGGGATGAGATCGCAAGCATTTCGCACACGAAGCTCGACAGCCGCAAGCCTGGCTCGCAGCTCTTCCTCTATCTGCGGTTCGCTCATACAATTTCTAAATGAAAATGTTAACAGTTTTTATGAAATCAAAGCGAAAAAGCAGTAAAAATGAAATGAAATGAAATATCCATGAAATCCTTAGCGTTCTTTATCTGAAATAGGATCAGTTATTGTTATCCAGCAATCAATTACACACATGATATGCAAAAGAACGAGTTTAGGCTAAACTGCAAGATAATCCGTGTTATAAAACGTAAAAGCTGTAAAGGCTTTCCAAAATTAAAAAAATTATATCGTCTCTCTGTAAATGAAAATTTACGCCATTTTGCTATCAGTTTTAATTTTTCTTTAAATGCAAATTAGCTAGCCGAGCGATTCGTCATTTGTTCGCAGGCGTTTTCATTACCTCATATTTTTCTCTCCTTCCACAAATTCTCTCATTAGCTTGCACTTTTACGTGTCCTTAACCCGTGTTTCATAATTTTGTTTATTTTCAGTTTCAAATGACGCTCGACATGGAAACGATAACAAATTATTCGGACGAGTACAGATTGATTGAAGGTGGGCAGCCAATTTTCATCCCTTTTGTGCATGATAAAATTTCAGGAGTTGACAACAACGTTACGATGGCCTGTTTTCTACTCGTTGCTTTCACGTGTGCCATCTATTATGCATATAAAAAGGGAAAAGAGTTGGTTTTTTTAGAGTTTATTGCTTGAAAATGTTTATAATTTGTGTTATAGGCTGCGTCAATCCATTCACCCTCAACTTGTCGCAAATGTTGATGCATTTCGAGCGGCAGAAGCTCGTCTTGACAATGCTAGTGCGGAGGTAATTTTAGCTTTCTAGCGTAATTTTTAAAAAGTTAAGTCTTTAATATTTCTGTCAGAAGGCGACAACAGAAAATTCGGTACTAAGGCAGTTGGGGGGGCACCTAAAATTTTTCCAAATATAGTTTTTCTAGGGTAATTGATGGCGCTGATCACGAAAAAAACATTTTTGTTATGTTTAAAATTAAAAAAACTTATGGATTTTCCCAAATATTAATAACCGATTACTTCCATTTACTTAATCTATGTCGCATTTGCGCCGTCTGCTAGAAGCCTGAAGGTAGCGGGCTTTGTGTGTTTGCGAATCCTATCGATGTTGACCTTTGGCGCGGTAGAGGCGCGGAGCCAACGCCTAGGTAAATATATGGCGCCTATGTAAAAATAAATGAAAAAAGAATAACAAAAATGTTTTTTTTTTGTGTGATCAGCGCCATCCCTAGAAAAACCCTAGAAAAAACTACATTTAGGAAAATTTTAGGTGCCCCCCCAACTGCCGAAAGAAACCCCCTAAGAACCGAAAATCCCTAGATTTAAATTTTCCTGATGTTATAAGCTTTAATTTTTAGAGGTTGCGGGAAGCACGTGCGAACAATGATCAAATCGATTGTCCCATTTGTTATACGGATGCGAAGTTTGCTGTTTTAACAAATTGCGGGCACATTTTCTGTTGTGAGTTGCTTTTTTGTTATCCTAATCGTGAGAGTCTTCAAGGCGAGTGTATCATTGGTTATTGGCAACATAGTGCATCACCCGTGGCTCCGGTAGCTTGTGCTATCTGTCGAACACCAGTATGTAAATTAAGAATAGACTTTAGTCCTTAATGTTCAGGTTACCATGCTTCTTCCGGTCAATTGGCGATTCGAGACGACAGATGAAGATGATCAAGATGCGCTGCAAGAAAATAATATTCGATTAGACGACTACAACCGGAGATTTTCAGGAGAACGACCGGTGAGGTTATCTTTTCGATAAAACATAACTTTCATTTCTTAGTGGATCGATTACCTTTACGATTTACCAGTGCTGATCCCATATGCTTTGCAAAATTTGGCGGATTTTAACGGTAATTTTTGAAAACTTACTCTGTATACTAAGTTTCAATGTTTCAGGTCTTGGTACTCTTTTTCGCATTCGGATTATCGTTTGCCTTGCAACAGCCATGATTTATTTATTGGCACCCTTCGACGTCTTTCCAGAAAGTACGTTTTGGAGTTTTGTTTTTATTTAATTTTTATTCGATTTTTATTCGATTTCAGGTGTTTACGGAATTCTCGGGTTTGTCGACGATATCTTTGTGATCTTCATCGTGCTCATCTATTTTGCTGGCATCATTCGAGATTTTATGGCGCAACGAGGACAAGTTCAACGAGATCCATTTTGAGCGCTCAATTTGAAAGCTATCTGTAAGTTTTGCTAATATTGTATGTTCTTTTGATTTTACGCGTTATTTTGCTTTAAAAAGTGTTTTGCTAGTTTTAATGTTTCATAGTTTTCTTAGACGGTGCTTTCCTTTTATATTAGTCATTTGATCTTTCGATCTTCGATTTTATCACAAATTGGGTACATTCAATGCAACGGGTTTCGATATTTTAATTTGTGATTTTGTTATAGGATAAATCTGTTACGTAAAAAACATGAGAATGTCAAGTTTATTAAGAGTTTTATGCATGAAATGAGAAAAGACTGAAATCACAAGTACAAGGACCCGTTTAGCAATTTTTTAAGGGTACAGGAACTACATAAACCCTCCAGAGTGTTGATGTCCCTGGTGCATTGGAGGACCCATTTGACCCATTCCATGAAGCCCGCCCATTCCTGAATCGAAATTTAGCTACATGTTCTGCGTTAGGGAAAAATTCGTAAGTAAATCTAATGAACATACCCTGCATGTGCTGGGGAGCCATGTGATGAGGTGGTCCGCCATGTGAGGGTCCCATCGGATGTCCCATTCTTTGCTGTGGAGCTCCCATCGGCTGATTGTTCATTTGCTGTGGCATTTGTTGTACCTGAAATACGACTTTTTCCGAGTTGTTTTCTCCTTTTCAAACTTGTTGCTGATGCTGTTGCACTGGGGGTTGCGTCGGCGTGGCGCTCGGTTTCGGGAGTTTATCGATGAGTCTCTGCAGCTCGTTTTGCTCGTCGAAACCTTTCCAAAGGGTGTACAATTTGTTGATATCCTGCACGACTTCATACACCTAAATTATGATTGATAAAGTTAGAACTTTGATTTTTAAAAAAAACCTTTTCAAAATCGACACACAAATCGCCCATAAAAGTTCGGATCTCCTTTTCACGACCGAGCATTAAAGCCGCTTGAATGATGCAACCTGGAAGAAATTTTGGTTGCAATTTTTCGATCGCCTAACTAACCAAGTGCGATCATATGTGGCGGGTAAAGCATAACGAAATCTCCCCTCATCGTATCGTTGCAAACTTTCCAGGATGTTGCCTCCAATTCGTCGATGTCCTTCATTCCATTAGTCTTCATGTCCTGAAAGTGCTTTCCTTACCGTAACCCGACAACAATGGTAGCCTAAGTCTGTAGTTCTCCATGGATAATTATGGTTCAAGTACTGTAGTTGTTAGTTCAAGTATCTATGATAATTTGCCTGGATCATCTGCGTCAACGGTCTGTACGCGTGGTAAACAATCAAACAGCAATCCATGATCTCTAGAATGATGAATTCGGCTTCGTGAATGACACCGACACGCTGCGAGACTTCGAGTTGAATGAAGCACCAGCGTTGTTTCACTGAAACTCGATGAGCAGGTGTTGAAAGTTTGAAAGTTTTTGAATGGAAAAGTTGTGTAAAAAAAACTCACTAACATTCGCCACCGATGACATCAATTTCGTGGTGCTCATCATGCCGAACTCTTCGACTTTGCTCGCCAAATAGATGCAAGTGGGCGCCAAAACGAAAGGATCAATATCCTTTAGGCTTCTCCTGAATTTCTCTAGGTATATGATTGCTACCGTAAATACTGTGAAGCGTTGCGTAGTCTAGGTTTTAACGAGTTTTTCTCAACATTGGTTTATGCTATAATGCGCGCTTTGGTATCAAAAAATAGCTGACGTACGGCTGCTTTGAAAAAAAATGAAACTTGCGACTACACGACTGTACAGTTACGGTAGGTCTGATCTACGTCTACGTCACGACTGCACAGTTACGGTAGGTCTGATTTACGGTAGGTCTGATCAGAGTGGGCTAAAATCAGCTAAATCAGCGTCTCACAATTTTACATTACGATTAACATCACAAACCTCGCATAGAAGCGCTTGAAATATGTAAAAGCGGTGGCGATCACTTGCATCTTCACCTTTTGCCCGTTATTGTTTTGAGTCTCCAACGCGATGTGTTGAACCACTGAAAAGTTAACTTATAAGTTTCTTTGAATCATTGGAAAATGGATCGATTAGGAATCAAAATGAAAACTGAATGCGATCAAAATCAAATAGAATAGTAAATCTAAAGAAAAGATTACGAAAGCTTTCCTTTTTCAAATGAAATTCTATCGATAAAACTCACGATTCGAGAAGAAAATCATGAGTTTTCCATATTCTTCCTCCGAATAGATCTTCAAATCCTCGTGTCGCATTCGCAACAAATTCGTCTTGTCAAAGATCCATTGTTCACTAAATTTGCCGATAATTTGCCGATAATTTGCTGATAATTTGCATATTATTTCACCAAAACAGATTTCTGTAAATGTTTTCAAAACTTACTAATGGCTGCTTTGCCAGAAATTCCCTGCCATTGTTCTCAAAGTTTTTCTGAAAGCGAACGATTTACCGTATTTGTTCGAATAGAAAACCGGGTAAAGAGTATCATTGCGTACTCCTGCGTAGCAGCCCTTTTTAAAATTTCTTTTCTGCATAAAAGCTTTCAATGAAGTGCTATAGGGCTCGAAAATGACTCAAAAATACGACATGAGCTAACAGATTTTTGAGCCATTTTCCAGCTCTATAGCACTTGATTGAAAGCTTTTATGCAGAAAAAAGGGTTGCTACGCAGGAGTACGCGATCATACTCTTTACCCGGTCTTCTATTCGAACAAATACGATACATATTTACAAAATTAGGATATAAAAAACATTGAATTTTTTAAAAGCACGCATGGAATTCCATTAAAAAAACAACATTTTAAAGGATAAAGGATAAAGGATTTATTAGCGGATAAAATTGTGAATTCGGAAATCCCTACAATTATCCATCGAATTGTTTATCACAGATATAATTGACTATAAAAATTTGATTACCCATAGCAAATGGAAAGGCGAAGAAATGTTATTTGAAAAAAAGATTAGAGATTGAAATGTGCTTTTTACGTTTTCTAAACAGTGGACAATTTAGAAAAGCTAAGAAAAGGGGGTAGGCTAATTTCCGCAGTTTTTTTTTGCGCAACTCGCCATAACTTTCTTCTAAGTGATCTAATCTTTATGATTTTGGTGTTATTTTGTAGAGCTGAACAAGTGCAACAAAATGACATCAAAATCATAAAGATTGGCTCACTTAGAAGACGGGTGGCGGGTTGCGCAAACGACCCAGTTTCGCAAATGACCCAGTCGCGCAAATGACCCTGTTGCACAAATAAAATTGCGGTAGCCTACCCCAAGAAAAGCTCTTTCGAGTAAAACTATCGTAATCTTTTTTTCGGGCAAAGCTATCGTAATCTTTCCTTTAGATTTGCCATTCTATTTTTTGATCCCATTTAAAATTCGTTTAAAATTTGATTCCTAATCGAATGATCAAAATTAAGTCGATAAAAGAAAGATTAGGGTCGCTTTTCCATAAAAGATTACGGTAGCTTTTCCACACTTTATAAAAATCTAGATGAGACACCGAAAACCTGTTTGACATGTTTTCATCAAAAAAAAACCGGAAAACGCTAGAATTGATATGTGAGAATTGGATAAATTAGAATAAGAAATGATAAAATCTCTTCGCGGAATGATTTGATATGTACAAAAAAACAAAAATTATCAAAAAGACTAGACGATTCTAAGGGGGGGGGGGAGAGGAGAATTCGGATTTGATAATTGTCATTACTCCATTCCCGGCGGGACCTCCCATTTCTTGTCATAGCCATGAACGAGAGTTGTGTTCGGGACGAGAAAAACGCGGAGACCATCCAAATAAGAGGTGACCACACCCTGGTAAGCGGTACGAGGCACGCCAGCCTTAAAATCATAAACGTCTATAAGAATTAGCATTTTAAATGTGTAAATCTGAAAAATTAGGAGTACAACTGATATTCAAGTATGAAAATTTACTTGTAAAATTTTCTAAGGCTGGATGGGTGGCTAGGCTAGGTATCCTCTAATCCAGTTCTAAGGCTCCGACTCGGATGGGTGACTAGGCTAGGTTAGTCCTCTAATCCAGTTAGTACAGTAACTTCGTAACTTAGTACGGTAAGTAGTTGTTCTTCGTATCTTCGTTACCATAACATCAACTAACTTGATATCTTCTGTATATACAGTAGCGAATGATTTAGACGATGGTAGACGTTGGTATTTTCTTTCTCTTTGTGAGAACACGACTTACCGACTCAAAAGCAAATTTTTTACCTTGATCATTTTCGAATATTATGAGCCTAAAAGCTCTTTTCTAGTTCTTCTTTTTATCATAAAATTTTCGATTCTCCTGAGTTCGGCGAAAGGTCAAATTTTTCAACTTTTTTAACTAGACATTTTTGGGCAAATTTGCCTTCAAATTCGGATTCTCCATGTATTTTTAAGTCTAAAAAAAGTATTTTTTCGAAAAGATTTTTGCGCGCGCGCATACAGCTCCTCAAAAGGGGTCAAAAATGGTCAAAAAATGATCAAAAATGGTCAAAACATCCGACCTACTCACCTTGTAATCATGCATGATCTGCAATTTATCCGCCTTTTTGATATAATCCATATTTGCGCTGTAGTAGACTCGAACGGATCCACTTTTCGGTATCCGAAAGACATCGTCAATGTTGATCACTTGTGTCTCCTCGTAAACCGTTTTTTGAAAGATCGAATCATACGCAGATTTCTTCAAATAGTCTAGATTCGTTTTCGTGAACTCGACTGGGTCTCTGGAAATTGTTTTGTTGTTTTCAACGCAAATTTGGTAACAAACTTGTTCAATGTTATTTTGACAAGATGTTTCGTGAAGAATAGCCCTTCTGAAGCGCCCTTCTTCCCGAAAAGTGTCATAGCAGTGCGACTGATCTGTAAAGAAATAGTTTTATCTTTGTAATTGAATACTTTAGTGTACGTCTAGGCATTGCAAGGGAATGGCCAGAAGTGACCGTGATATTTCAGCACCAAAATAAGAGGCAAACACTTATCGAATACGGCGAGTCCGACGGTGCTTTCGAATTTTGCTAAGGATCGCTAGTTTTCGAGAGAAATGGCTTTGAAATTTCGGCATCTACATCAAAACAAACGAAAACTTCCATAAAAGGACTTCTTTCGGACGGACCGGATATCTCCTTATGGTCAGCAGGTAAAGTCCTCGCCTCACATTTTTGCGGTCCTGGTTCGGTCCCGGATAGCGCCATTTTTTTTCCAAACTTGTATTTTATATATTTCAAGGGTTATAGAACTTTTAAACATTAGTGTAAAAGCTAGCAATTACAATACATACAAAGCTGTGTAAAAGCTAGCAATGACAATACATACAATGTTATTATCCCTAACCCTTAAAATCAGGCATTGAGTGTGCCGGAAGAAAAGCATTTCTGTATCTATTCAATCATTTTTCATGCTTTTATCAATATATTGCTACCTCCGGCCGAATGCATGAGCGATTTTTGCGAATATCCGGCTCCCGAAACCAGTCATCCCAGAAGCCGGCCGGCCAGATTGGTCCCAACTAAACGAAGAGTTCATAAAGCCTTTATAATTCATTTGGAATCCGGAATAGAACCAAAATCTTGATTTTTACACCTTTACCTCTTCCCAGAGACTTTTCGACATCATCCACCCAAGGCCCGAGAAGAAATCCGAGCGGTACAGCTTGTCGTTGGCCCGAAATTATTGGATTCAAGTCACGTTCAATTTTTTCTCACTTTCATATCAATCGAATGCGGTTTCCCGTTGTCATTCCAAGCCGAAACGCAGTAAAGTGACTGGTCTTCATCAAGCAAGAATCTGTTTTTTGAAGGTAGCAAATTCTGAAACTCTAGTCACCAACCTAGTCGCACTGAAATACTCGAAAAAGTCAGGTGCAATATCGAGATCATCTTCGGTGATGATCACTGACGTATGGCCGAGTTTTTCGAAAACATGTCGCAAAGCAAGCTTGTAGTGTCTAGAAATTGATTGTATTCAACTTTTCAAAGCCATTTCACCTTGCAATCCGATAATACGTAACCCATCTCAAGTGATTCTTGGCCACCGTGATGTTCGCCTTATCGCCGGCAATGTGCTTGACGTAGATCACCTGGAATTTGATGTAAGTGTACCAATCACCCTAACATATATTTATAGCACCTAATTGGATCAAATCCAATTGGATTGGCTGTTGATTGGTTTTAAATTCTAATCAAATCGCTACCTGTTCCCCGAATGACTTTATCACGTTAGCAGTTGGCATATCATCGCAATCCTGGGAGACGACGATCGGAAATCGTTCAGCAGATGGCCGATAGTGAATCAATTGTTGAATGTGATGACTGAATATTTGTATCATTTGTAAAATCTATTTACACTCACCCAACCGCATCTTGCCTGTTACAAGCGAATACCAAGACAGGAATCGGCTCCTTCCATGCGCCATGACCGTTCGATGGGACTTTTCCTAATCGTTCAGCTCTGCTCTAAAGACTTGATTAATTATCACTTGTAAAGAAATTCAGCCTAACTAGATAGGTTCCCTTTTTTTAGATTTCATTAGAGGTTGGCTCACTTTAATAGCCTTTTGCTGAGCATAGGCGCTTTGTTTAACTTCTTCTTGCAGCCTGTTCATCGATTCATTCTCCAGATTGAGTTCTTTTTCCAAGTCGATGATGCGTTGTCGGAGTTCCGAGACCTGCATTTTAAATTAAATACTTTACGTCAGTGTAGTTTACCTCATGATTTCGCTCAAGAACAACTTCATGGGAATTGTTAAATGTATGACTGGCGACGTACAACCAGAAAATAATTGTCGTGGTCAACCCAACGATCAACCAACGAGTTCTCGGCATAGACAAGCCAGTTGAAACTGGCGGTCAGCCACCTGGAATTTGGCACACTTGTTAACCCTTTTTCGGAAGGGTGTACTGACAAAAGGGAAATGTTTAGAGTTTAAAATGTATAGGTTGGCACCTATTGATCTTTTCTATCAACGCATGCTTTCTCTCTTTTGCCAATACCTTCTTTTCATGTGAAGCCATAAACTAAACTAATCTCCTTTTACGGACATTCAACCCTTTTTCACATCGAGATATCACTTTGTTGTATACATTTGCTGACTTCATTAATATCAGACAATATTTATGCATTGAACAAACGCAAAAATAAATGGCAATCTTGAAGAATTAAACGGAAGCCTTGGTATACAACAACAATTTAGAAAGAACTTGGGTTCGAGATTAGATTAGCCAAGAAAAGCACTCATAAGGAGCAGGGGAAAAAAAGTGGGCATTTACCCTTACGAAATAGGAGAAAACTTAAAAGAAAATAAGAACAATGTTCCAAAATTTAAATATAGGGCAGTTAACTGGCTGGGGTGAGGCTGGGGTTGCATTACAAAGAACAAACAAAATAAGTGGAAATGTTTGAAAACGATGCTCGAGTTGGGCTAGCATCAGTAACCCGTTCAAGTGGATTTTGAGATTGTCCAGTATCTCGGCCTAATGTTTGATGGAAGTTTTCTTATTGTTGCGTGGAGGCGATTGAAAGCTGAAGGGTTTTCCTTGCATGACACGACGACAATGATTGTCCCACTTGCACGGAAGAAGCGGAATGAGCGCTACCGAGTGGAAGACCCTGAAAGAAAAAGCATTGCAGTAATTCTTGAAAGTCTCGAAATCTTGGTTGCGCTTGCTTTGTACGTTATAAACTTGATAGCCAAAACTAATTCATACGACTCTCCACTAATCAATCTTACCCTAAAAAAATTTGCGAGCCAAAATAAAAAACTCACTCATGGCTGTACTTGGATTGAACCGTTTTTGCCTCATCATCAATGTGGTTTCGAATGCGATGGAGCATTAAGTTCAGCTCGTCCACAAAAGGTTCAATCTCGGCCAAAGAGTATCCAGAATACTTGTGCAGGATTGGAGTCCTATAAAGATCGTTAGAAAAAGAATGGATAAATGCAACGCACCATTGGGCACTTTCATTTTCCATTTTCAACGCCAAATAGAAAGCACCAGAAGCCAAGAGTGATTCTCGAACGCCCACAAACTCGTAGTAGCAGAGCGAGGTTTCAAGAATATAGCGTGAAAGAGTCAGGGTTCCCATTCCAGTTGAAGTGACCTAAAAACTGACTGATTATCCGAACAACAAAGAAAACTTATTTACTCTTTGGTCTTTGATCAAAACTTACGCGAGCCAGGCGACGCAAATATACATAGGAGAGAGGGCATCCGAGATCAAACCCAATCACGTCCAAGAGCTAGAAATAGCTAGTTATATTGAGCGTATATGTAGGTAACAAAACCTTCATTTCACAAGTGATGAATGCCTCGCGTTCGAATCGATCCTGACAGATGTACAAGAAATCATCGATGAGTGGCGGTGAACGTTCATCGAATTTACTGGCAACAAAGATGCACACCGAAGCGATGAGCTGTCCACTCACATCAGTCAAATTAACTTCTGAAGTCTGCGCCATGTAGAGATCCCAAAGTTTGACGGACAAGTAAAGCGTTTCGTGGTTGAGTTCAAATGATTCTTGCATCTCAACCTAAAAGAGGAAATTAATCAAACGATTTCATTACTCTCACCATCCAATCGACAACGCGGGCCCTGATTTGTGGCGTGTAATGCTTGAGGCGTTTGATGTAGTTGCCCACCATGAAATTCTTTTCGCGGCTTCGAGAGTACTCAAAGATATCTGCAGCAAATTCTGGCACAGCATGTTCATCATGCTCACGGGCACACTGTTGATCGAAGTCAAACTCGGGACAAGGGTCGACTCTTTTTGGAAGCGTGACCTGAACATTGAGATAGACCTATAGTAAATCGGCAGTTTAGTCAAAAAAACAAAAACTCACATCAAGCACCTGGATGTCGCTGTCTGAATCTGTGAATGTCTGTGAGCTGTCCCTGAACACCAGAAATGGAGATTAACAACGAAAATAACGTACTTGCTCGAATTGCTGCGCCTCGTCCTCTTGGTTTCTGTCCTCTTCTGAGAATCAATCAAAATCCCGTCAATCCCCTAAAATAAAGAATAATTGATGTTTCTAAACATATCAACATCTATGAAAGAAATCATGGTGTTCTCAAACGACTGATTCCTATAAAACGATTCCCGAAAAATGTTTACATTGTTTAAAATTTAAGAATCTCTTGCTTGATCGGTTGACAAAAACTATTGGTTTTATGGTTTCACTAGTCCGACCTCAATGCTTTTCCTCGTCACAAATGAACGCACTCCAAATGACGCCCCCAAAAGGCGCCAGTTCAAACATGATCACAAAACAATTCTAGCGCCTAAATGACCCCTAGAACCACTCTGACATACCTAGTAAGTGCCTGCAAACCAGCATCAAACACATGCTCAAAATGAATAGCATTGTGATTTTCCGGGCGAGCAAAGAGAAATGAAAAATCAATGTCAAATTTGGACTCAGCACCCTCAAAAACCCCTGGGTGCAGATTTTGGACAATTTACCTGATAAAAAAATGTCTTCGTGAATGCGTTAAGCTTCTATCACACAAAGTTGTTAACTTCAAAATTCAAATGCTTCCCATTTTGACAACCTTGTTTGAGTTTTTAATTCTAGTTTTAAGGTCAAGATCTAACTAATTCGAGCTAAAGTTCTCAAATCCTCACCTCATGAATCTCATGCAACACGGCTCGCTTTGGTTGTGGTTCTCCGGATCCATGTTCTGGTGCTCCGCGCTTCTCCAGCACAATTTGATTGTTGGCGACGTTGCGTTTCGCTGGCGGATCAACGGCGGCATTTTTCCCGGCGGCTGCTCCAGTGTTCTTTGCGACGATGTTAGTGTTTCGGCTGCGGAGCATCATCTCTTGCCCAGCTTCTTTTTTTGTTGAAAGCAATTGAAAAATGTGCTCAAAAACGTCCCCTCAAATTCCTGAAAAAACAAGTTCATTTCCCAGAGAATAAAGTGAGAAAAAGTGTTAAAGAAATGAAACATCAGTCATAAAAAAAATTAAAGGAATCTAGAAACTAATAAAGTTTTACAACTAAACACAAGCTTTGGTCCTCTCAGAGAAGGGGTTTCTTTCCTCCCATTTTTGAATCGTTTCTGTTCCCGCCGCAGGGCATAATGGTTTTCAAATGGCGTCCCCAAGCCCGCCCCTTTTTGGATCGATCGATTGCCAAAAGGGTACGCGATGGGTCAAAGTGGGGGTACGGTGGGTGCGTATAAAGACACTAAGGCTAGGTCATTTAGATGAGATCCCTATCCCACAATGCCAAAAGAAAATTTAAAGGGGAATTACAAAAGGCAAGATGGTGTTTCAGCAAACGAGAGGAAATTGTCAGGATATGAGAATCGGTTGGAAAATTTCCAAAAAATGATTTTAAGTCATTAGAAGATTCGAAATCGATTTTTCCCCGACATTTAGGAGATATTCAGCCAAAAAAATCGAATATCCAATAACGTGAGAGTTTCAAGATACTCAATTTCACAGATTACGGTAATCAAGACATTTTGGGGCCTAGTCAAAATAGCGCCGCCAAAACAGCGCCAAATTGAAAAAGACTGCGATTAGATTTTTTTGGTTTTTTGGTCAACTTGCAGCTCATTGTTAGGCACCTTAAACTTGTTAGATCAGAAAGTTTTAATAAGATTTAGATAGCTTAGAACGTCAGCTTTCAAAAACTATTTGTTTTATGAAAAGTTGTTAACAGAAACCTATCTAAAATCGGGCTGCAAGTTGACCAAAAAACTTACTCCCCCATTGTCCGTAAAGCACCCAATTTTTAACCAATTTTAATCACTAAATATTCGACTAAAGTATAGTTTACCTCCCAGACCAATTTTTTCCCAAGAAATTTTCTAGATCCATTTTTTCTAGAGTTTTTTATTTGCTGAGTCTGAATTTTGCTATTTCATAAGCTAAAAACTAGTTTCCTCAACTAAAAATCGAGTTGCGTGCTTTGCTTTGCTTTTGCGTGCTTTGCTTTGCTTTTGCGTGCTTTGCTTTGCTTTTGCGTGTTTTGATAGTGACTTAGGACATTTTGATCGCGGGGGGGGGGGGGGGGGGTGTCTCCCCGCCTTCAAACTTTGCCAAATGGTTTTTTACACAAGAAAATACAATAATAAACTGTTTTAGATAAAAATTTTTGACTAAAAATCACCATGACCACATGGGTTTTTCAAAAATTTTTTTTCTTAAAATTTAAAACAAATTCGACTCTGAAAAGTCGATTTTTGTAATCTACGCATAAAATTACCCCAGAAAAACATGTTTTGGGGGCCCGTGGCTGGGGGTAAACTATACTCTTACAAAAGATTCATTTTCTAACTTAAATTGACTCGTAGAGGCAAAAAAAATTGGAAAGAGTATTTTTTTGAGATTTTTTTTGATTCATTTTGATTCATCGTCGAAATTTGGAAAAAAAAAATTTTTTTTTTACTTTGCTTTCATTTGATCAGAAACGTAATCAGTAGGTTAAATTATGCCAGATGAAGTGTTTTTGACTACAGAAAAAAATTTTTGAGAGACCATTTTTAGATCTCTTCCCTATGTCTCCCTCTCATTACACTTTTTGAACGTGCACTTTGAAGCCCTGAAACTCGGCTTAAAATGCCTTTTCCCAAGTTTTCATTGTGTTTTTCGGAATCTACGCATAAAACTACCCCAGAAAAAGTGGTTTTGAAGAAAAAATCGTGACCCCCAACTAGGCTAGTACCAGAACTTGTAACTTTTGTTATTTTTAAAAAATTTATAAGCACTTTGCGTGTGTTTTGACAAACCGACGGATTATTTCATCATTAGAATCATATTTTATGGTCCATTTGCGATAAACAATGCGGCACATTTTGTTTTCACCGTTTTTTTTTCTTGGTATTTAATTTTGTGTTTTTCCGGGTAAAAGAACGTCACTTGAAGGAATAGAAGATTCGTTTCAAGCGATTCGACGTGGCTAGCGACAATCACAGGTACTTTTTGCTACTAAAAAGTTTGTCGGAGGATTAAGCTTTAAGATTAAGAGAGATTAAGTTTTTACTTTTTTCTGCAAAATTTTTGTTTCTCAACATCTTTTTTCATTTAGAAATGTCGCTATCTCAGAAAGGTGGAGTGCTACTTTACGATGGAGTAAATGGACACGAGTAAACGGTATATTAAACGCAATGAAATTCTTTGCTACTGACTGGGAAATCGATATGTTACTTCAGGTATATTAAACTCTTTGGTACTTTGTGGGTTGGGGGCCGCCTCTATTTTTGATCTTTTCACTTTTCTAGAGGTAATCGAGAGTGCTGAGCATGAATTTTACAGTTTTAGCATAGGTTTTCAACTGAAAAACCGACATTTCGACGTGTTGAAAATTACACTTCTATTTTCCTAGGCTATGGCTCCGCACACCGCACAGGCTATAGCTCGATTCACCCAGCTCCGGCATTCCTTACACTCGGAGACCTGGCCGGGCACAGGCTATAGCCTGATTCATCAGCTCCGTAACGACTCATCTGAGCCTGTGCCCAGCCAGGTCTCCAGGGGTACGGAGCCATAGCCTAGGTAAATAGCAGGGTCTAGAAAAAGTCGCAGAAATTACTGTGACTTTTTTAGTCACACAAATTTAAAGCTGCATTTAAAGTGCAAAAAAAGTGTAATTTTCAACACGTTGAAATGTCGGTTTTTCAGTTGAAAACCTATGCTAAAACTGTAAAAATTCGTGCCGAGCGCCTTCGATTACCCCTAGAAAAGTGAAAAAAAAATCAGATATATCCAAAGATATGCCCACAAAGTACCAACTAAACTTTCAACTTTAATAATAAAAGTTAAATACTTTTAGCACTCAATTTGGAGTATTGATGGGACGTTTTATGCGGCTCACCTCAATCGTCGAAAGTTCTTCATGGCCAGCGTGTAAGAAAAGTTGCGGCTCAAAATGGATCTTTGGGTAAGAGTGCAGTCGAGCATTTAAAATCTTTATTTTTTAATATTCTAAAACTGTACCCCCCCCCGGGGGAAATTTTTTTTTTTTTTTTCAAAAAAGGTTTCAAAAATAGCTGTTTCGTTTTTGTACCAAGGGGATTGTAGAAAGGGGGGGAAAAGCTTAAGGAAGGGAAGGGGGGGGTATTTACGGTATGTTAACTCCGTTGTTTATTTTTTCATATCGCTATTTAAATAAGTTTTCATCTACTATTTTACTTTCAATGCACAAAAAAACTAAAGGTTTTATCGAAAACTCCAAAAGAGCGTTGGTTAATCTACATTAAAATTTTTAAATTTGGCGCTGTTTTGACTAGACCCCATAATCATCATCACAAAAGTCTACTTCAGTTCAATTCATTTTCTGGTCATTTTTGTGAAGTTTCGAAGATCTCAAGTTTCAGTACCGTATTTCAAGAGTAAACGAGGCCTGAAAACCCAGTTCATCCATGTTTGTCTATTTCGTTCGGTAGGTACCGTTTTCTTTGTAATGCCTTTTGCCTGTAATCGCATAAATAAATTATTTATCGAAAAAGTTTCCTGATTATAAGAATCCAAAAGAGAGAAGAAAATATAGAGGAGAACACCGTATTTATTGGGGAGAAAAATACCATGATAAAATTTCAGTCTAAACAGTTGGGGCAGAGGGAGAGGTTGATCCGATACTGACTTTGAAGTTCCCGTAAGTGGCGACAAATAGCAGCAACTTAACAGAATAAAAAAAAAGCTGAGGGTAGGCCAGTTTCTCTCGGTCAATTCATGAGGACAACGCACAGTCTGGGGGTGTACACAAAATACAAATAAAGTGTGAACATAGAAGAGCTAAAAAAATGATTGAGGAGGACACGCTTTTGGAATTGTTTTAATCGAAAATTGTTTAAAAGTGGGCAGCCCTAACAAGGCAACGAGCGGGCGCCAAAAGGGGACGGGAGTAGAGCTGAGATCGTAAAATAGGACGGATCGTTTGCCGACGGCGAACGTTGAGAAGTGTTTAATCGCTCTCCTCGCCTCCTTCAGGCTCTTCTCCTTCATCACCATCGTCTCCACTGGCTCCCTCATCCTAAAAATTGAATATAAAAAAAGATATAAGAAAAAAATGATTACATCTTCTCCCTCGACGTCTCCTTCAGAGTCTTCACCACCCGAGGATTCTTCATGGCCTTCCTCGTCATCTACCTCATCATCCTCCTCTTCCTCACCCTCACCCTCGGCGTTCTCATCTAAAAATAAAAAGTTTAAAAACCACTAAAGTTTACTTTAAGCTTTAAGCCTCGTAAGTTTATTTTACTTTATAAAACTACAAAATTGACGTTTATTGACTTCTCAAAAGTGACACCATCTTTTGACTTGACCAGAAACTGATAAGAACCCCAAATGGAATTTGAATTTTGTTACTAAAGGATTTACTCTTGGGACTCCGACGAAAGTTAAAATTATACAATATATTTATCCCTTTCTTAAGGGAAGCTGAATAACACTTTGTCTGGAATTTCAACGAAAAATTACGAACTTTTCCCTTTCGCCAAAACTCTTTTAGTTCCCCCGTGCTATCTCTGAGTGTCTTTATTTTCTTTTCAATCTATTCTGTCTCGTATTTTCTCTCCCCTTCTTTCTTTTCTTACCCACAACCCCCTCCTTGCACATGCCACCAGCGTTATTTAGCCTTTCACGCTCTCAGTCATAGCACTCTCTTGTTAAACCCTAATCTCTCCCTTTGAGGCAATCTTCCCTCTCGCTGTCATGTCTCAGTGGTGGCTCTAACAACTCTTTTTCTCTCACCACTAGATCTATTTTCTAGTTCAACCTACCGTACTTAATTTCGCAAAAGATTTCTTTTAGAGACCCTAGTCATTTCTCAGTCGTTATTTTGCAAACACTTAAGGAAAGTATAGCAAGTTATGCTAAAAAAGAAGAGTTAAATTTGAAGAAGCAAGCTCACCGGTGGCCTTGTCCTTGAGTTTCTCCTCGACCTAAATAAAAACATTAATATGAGTAACATGTATTATTTGAAAGTTTACTCCAAGAACAGGTGTTTCGTCTTTTGGGGATCTTAAGATTTAGGCCCGGTTTTGCACTATTTCGTTGGCCTCGTTGGCGTAAGTCCAAAAAGAAAGAGAGCGATCTGCTGGCTGTCTGCCAATGCAGACTCTTGACTGCGTCTCTCTCGGCCACCCACTATTTTCCGTTTCCTTTCCCCTTTTCTGTGTCACTCGCCGTTAAACGCGACTGCGGTCACAACGGAAAAGAAAAAGTGCGGGAATCGCGCGCGAATCGACCGCTAACTAAGAGGACGCCTAGAAAAAAAGTGCGACTCAAAAGAAAAAATATTGACTTAGTCATCGGTGTTGCTTGCGCTGAATTTTAAATCTAAAAACTGTAAGGTTCGCAAAAGCTATTGGTTAGCTAGTCTATGTAACGCTCCAATAACTTATTATATAGTCTTGAATTTGTATACAGCGATAGTTCTAACAAAAAAAACACCATGTTTTTGGATTAAATTATCTGATTCAAACAATCCCAACCTCATTTCCGTTCTCGGTGTGAGCCTTCTTCTCAGCAACACCATTCTCATCCTCCTTGTCAGCAAGGGGCCTCTTCTCGGCGCGGACCTCGTCGGCTGTGGCAGCGGCAGACATTGTAGTTGGTCTAAAACGAAAAAATATTAAAAGTTTTGGAAAACCTAAAATGAAAAATGAAATGAAATAATGAAAAATGGAGAAGAAAATGATGCGAGGTATACGGTAACTTTCGATCGAATAATCGATATTAAGGTTAAACATTGAATTTCAAAGGGAAATTTAAAGTGGGATAAATAGAGAGGCACACCGCTAATACTCGCCAAGTCAAATTACGGAAAGGGATCGAGCAGCCTCAGAGCTCCTGTGTGAAGGAGTGGCCGGTGGTGTGGTCGGGGGAGGCCGTCCAAGCCGTCGTCCCAAGGGCTACACGCAAAGGAGGGGCTCTGTTAGGGGGGCGTGTCCATCTGCATGTTCGCTCCACACCCCCCAAAGCGCTAGTTGTACTCTGCGCTCTCGCCGATCCCTGCCGACCCCTGCGCATCTGTCATCGAGGGACGAGCAATCGCCCACGACACTCTGCACTCAAACCGAAAATCTGCGCGTCTGCTGATGGATGGTGTCTGTCGTCTCTGGTGTCTAAAGCCTTGTCATTTCCTCGGCATGTCTACGCGTCGACCCTCTGGCCACGCTGGACGCTCGCAATCCTCTGCGTGTTTAGCGTAAAAAGTCTTCTAGACTCTCTGCACCCTAACCTCGGTCGATTCTCTGCGTTTCTGACCGTCGAGCGCTGGCCTTTCTGCGCGCACTCCCTTATCGAACAATTTTTGTTTTGGATGGGTCGCCAACTAGAGGTCTTGGGATTTGAGGAGGGCAACGAGGCGAGCTAGAGAAGTTGATAGAGCGAAGAAAGCTGAAAGGAGAGAAGGAGTCGAAAAAGACGGCCAAGCAAACGACGCGAGCGCAGTCAGTGTCAGCCACGGCGCTTTCCCAACCGCCCAGAGCCCGGGCAAAAATGAAAGGGGAAAAGAAGGGTGAAAAGAGAAATCGGCCCGGAAAATGCCGGCCAGCGTTTTGCTTGCTCCTCGCCTATTTCAGCGAGCTCTTCTCCCCCCGAGTTGGTTACAGCGCATTCAAGATAAAGCACGTCAGGGCATGAGTTGAGAAAATGCGAGGCCTAGGCTTTCAGAAAGCCACGCTCATCGATTTGACATGTTTTCAAGGTCAACCAAGCTACGCCTAATATTGATCGATTTTTAATCTAAAATTCGAATCCATAAGGTTTAATATGTTTCCTAGCAAGTCTTGAAATGGAGACTTTTATCAGTTTTTTTCTTATGGTGAAAATATGACAGAAAGGGAAAGGCGTGGGTGACGAGCAAAAGAAACCACGGTAACCGATAAAAACACAAACGGAAGGGCATTTGCCCAAAATTTGGTACAAATTATGAGAGAAGCCAACACTCTCTTAAGTGATTATAGGACAGTAGACTACATTGAACATGTGCCAAGAATTGTGATTACAAAAGGTGGCAAGGAGATGAAGAGAAATCGCCAACGGCGTTTAAACCCATCAAGGAAGAGTCCTTGATCAAGTAACGCCTTTAGCCTGAGGCGATCCTTGTCAACTTGAGGTGAAAAGACATAACTCTCTTGGCACTTAGGTAGGCAAGTGGTGGACATTATTCAAATGTTCAAAACGAGCAGAGATCATCGAATCAACTTAAAATTTGAAAATGACTAGCTTTGTGCAATCGGTTTGCGAACGAGGCTCGGAAGTAAAAGGAAGGGTATGATATCAATGCGCTAAATATAACGTTTCAATATAAGTTTACAAGATTGATCGTAAACCACCATTTATAACCATAAACAACCATAATTTCAAAATTATCAAGGAAACACCGAGTACCATTCTAACAAAAGAAGTTAAAAAAGCCGGCAATTCGTCATTATAAATGCTCTTACTAAAAACTATGCACCCAAAAGATATAACCACAAGCGGAGAAAATAGAGGCAAATTTTAGCACAGACATCATTTTGTTTTTCTCGCTAACAAAATATTGACAGACATGTTTAAGTGAAAGCACGAAAGAATGGCTCTATAAAGCCTACAAACCATGTGAAAAGATAGAATGCTATGTTGTACGTACAGGAAATTCGAATCACAAAATTGATCACAAAGAAGCGAGAAATGACACCAAATACTTGATGATGGTTAGGATAGAGGAAAAAAGTCTGACAATTAAATTTAATAATTATTTAATTATCAACCACAACAAAATCATCGTCTTTTCGAGCACGTCGTCGAACCTAAAGGACTCTTGGTTAGGTTTGTTTAACAAGTCTTTAAAATTCCGTTTTTTCCACAAGCGAATAAGTTTACAATCCTGGTGTTTACGAATGACTTACTTAACGAATAAGTAACTCTTTTAAAAATAGAATACGGATATTTTACGCAACTTAACCACTTGTTCAATAATTGGAGATCCAAATTAGGCTACCGTTACCGTTAGTAAAATTATTGTATATCAAAATATGACGGACCTTTGGAGCGGCAATTTTCGGGGATGACTCTTCTGGGGCAGCGCCTTCGCCAGTCGATGCTGAACTTGCCGTCTCGCTATCGTCGTTCTGAAAACATTGATTTGGAAAAGGTGTGAATTTCAAATTTTTACTTGTTCTGTGTCCTCTTCATCATCTACAACATCCAAACTTCCAGACTCTTGGTCAGCCTTCTCTGTCACTCCGGCTTTCGAATTATCTTGGACTGTTTCGTTTTCGTCGTCTAAAATTATTCTTTAGCTGAATTTTTAAAAAACTCTCAGTAAAATTTATTAAATTACCTGAGACTTTATCTTTCTTCTTTTTCTTTTCGCCTTTCGGTGGAGCCTTTCCATTTGGCCGATATTCATAAGTGTACCAAGGTTTGAAAGATTCAAAGAAGCCACAGTCCTAAATAAGAGTTACAAAATAACAACTATTTTTAAAAAAACCTCTGTTAGATTTGGCAATATCCACAAATGGTGCCGGCCACCAGTGAATAGCCAAATAACACCAAAGAGTATTGTCCGCACTAAATGCTTTAATATTTACAAACCAAACTCAACAACTTACGTATCGCAGTGACCACAATTGCGCCAAAAGCTCCAATTCCGGCCATTGATAGGTAGTAAACGCCTTGACGAAGCCACATTGGCCACAATGGGAAAAGACAACAGGCAATCGTTCCAAAAACTAAAACCAGCACGTCAACTTAGATAAATGGGATATTTATAAGTGTATAAATAGTTTTAAGGGATAATGTCAGTTCAGTTAATTTTTGTATCAAGCAAACTTACCCATTCCAAGTCCAATGACTTTCTTGTAAAGTGGAGTTGGGTCGTACACCCAAACATAAACATCGCTCGAATCAGTAAAAACCTAGACTATTTGTTTATCAAGTAGTCAAGTTATTGCAAACTTGTGATTGATGAACTTCCAGCTTGATCTTCTTCTTTTTCTTCTCATCTTTCTCCTATAACAAATAACAAATAGATTTGCTTAAATTATAATGCTTACCTCTTTCTTCTTTTCGTCTTCCGGAGCTTCACTAACGCTTTCGTTACCTTCATCAGCTTTCTCTTGTTTCTCCTAAATTTTAGCTCCATATTTGTCTAAATCCCGTCTAAATTTCATACCTTCTTGTCTTTCTTCTTGCTTAAAGTTTCTGGACGTGGGCTTTTATTGACATCACTCTCATCACCTGCAACAAATAAAAATAGACTTGTTTATGCTAATGAAGTTTAGTACCAAAAGGTTAATACAACGTTCAAAGAGGAATAGTTTTCACATCAAGTCATTGCATTTGACATTAACTTTATTGCGAAGCCAAGGCTAACTTCAGCCAATATTGCCTTCAGGTAATTTCAGCCAATATTCACAAAACCACCAACCTTTCTTTTTATCCTTGTCTTCTTTTTTCTTGGCCACCAATTTTCTCGCTCTCCAGAACAAACGACTCTCAAATAGACCTTCGAGGAATCTAAAATACAAATAGAACATAAATTTGAAAATCGATTGCAAGTAAGCCTTTTAAAAACAAAACTCACTTCACAGCAACCCGACGATCCGCGAATTTGGGCTCGCCTTTTGCCTTTGTTCCATATTTCGATTCGTATAACGTGTCAACTGCTTTGGACCCTAAAAACAAGGACTTAAATTTGGCAATAATTAAAAACTTCAAATTAAAAGCACAAAAACAAACCAGTAAAATAATGCACGTCATTTCCTTGGAATAGAGTCGATTCGGTTGGTGTATTGAATCGGACGAATTTGGCGATGGCCTCTTGCTCTTTGTTCATCGCAGCACTGTCCTCACTATCGTCCTCATTCTAAAAAATTTAGAATATAGATATTGCTTGAGTTGCATTTAGGCTTAAAACAAAAACAACTTAAGATTTAAAGCTTTAACATCTTTGAGTGCTAATGTTGATTAAGTTCAACACTTTCTTATACTTTTAGCTTTATTAGCTATCTAGTTGCAAATTTAAAATCTTTAACGGATCAAAAAGAAACCTTTTTCCGTCGAGGCGCCATTCCCCTTCAAAAATATTACAAATCGGGTTTCGCAAACCTAAAATCAAACGTAAATCGATGAAAAGTAGAAAAATAATCAACATCAGCGCAAGCTGCAAAAACAAAACCAATGTTTTCCCCAAAACCGTCACGGATAAAACATGACATCAAAGTAAAGAGAAAGGTCCCCGAAGACAAGTCAACTGAAAAGGGTAAACGTTAAAGTATTCAGGGATCGGGGTGGGACCGAGAGAAGACTGAGAATGGAGAGAAAAACCGGATCGTGAAAGAGAAAAACCATAGAAAAGCGTTTCAGCAATGCTACCCAGTTAGGGCAATAACCCCCGTTATTTGAGGTCAAGAATTGATTGTTCATAAGTGATGATATATATATACAGTGGTTCGCATAAGTATTTTCCTATGCCCCACAAAAAAATATTACTGAAAAATTTTCCCATAAAAACAATAATACGATAAAAAATCCTTGGCTTTTTGAATACCTGAGTATCTAGCTTATAAATAAATACAGTTTATTTATGTACAGGTAACAATTAATAAACTAGATCAAAAAGTTTAACAAAAATATGAAAATAGCCTCCGCAAAAGTAATGTCTTATGAACAAAAAAGCAACATAAAAGTAAATCAGAACTTTGTTGAGCGTCCCTTTGCTTTCACCACTTTTTGAAGTCTCTCTGGCATGGAATTCGTGAGATTCTCCAAAAGATTCTTCGGAATGGTCGACCAGAGACGTTGAATGTGAATGCAAAGGGTCGCTTTTTAGTCGAACTTCTTTTCCTTGAGCCGAGACTTCACAAAAGATCACAAATGCTAAATAGAGTTAAGATGTAGGGAGGTGGATTAATCAATTTGACTCAATTCGCCGCAAACCATCCGGGTAAGCGAGCCCGGGCACCGTTTTGTAGATTGACCACCGTCATGAGCCTCGACTTGTGTTTCGGGCCATTGTCCTGGTAGAGCATCTATCCGGGAGGCATCATTTGTGTTTTATCGTTTTTATTGTCCTATGACCTCAAAAAAAGTTTTCTCCAAAGAATTTTGGCATAAAGTCAAAAACGATATGTTTGGATTTTATATCTTCAAATCCCAAAATGTTTCTAGTTTCTCGTTCTCCACACGCACCTATGTGAAATTTATTTTTTTTCTTTTAATCAAGCTTCTCCCATTCATTCAAAAAGTAAATTTAGTGTCATTTACTTAACAGAAATCACTCGAACTCAATCATCAAAAGCCCAACTGACACGTTCAAAACATACGCTCAAAATGGGCTAAACTGGTTTTTTTTCAAAAAAAACTAAAAAACTAAAAGTCTTTTAAAAAACGGTTTGTTGTTGGTTTGTTGGTCTTGGGGGGCAGTTTGTAAACATCGGTTTTTTCTAACTTGCCACTAGTTTTAAAAACCTTTTTGGAGCAATTAATTGCACTGAATCTATTGGAAGCATTTACAAACCATTCTAAAAAACTTTTATGTCAGTTTGAGCAACAATTCCGAGCCTTCAAGAGTGACTCTAGTTTCTCTGGGTTTAGAGGTGCAGGGGCGAATTAAGAGGCTTAAAACCTCAGTAACTGCTTGAAATAGCTAGAAAACAGTCATGAAAGCTTAAATAAATACCAAATTATGAAACTACGCCATGAAAAACCCTAGAAGCAAAAACTAGTGCGCTCTAGCTCAATAGAGATGAATGTACACTGCCCCCAAATACTATTTCCTCATGTCTACTCTTCTCGAAATTGTCATAGATAGTCATAGATAAATCAATCTTCTTATCTTTCGGACAATACAAGACAGGTCAGTCGTTTATTCCTGAGGACTCTCCTCCTACTATGGAGGAGTTGAGGCCGGTTGTCGATTGTGCTGGGAGTGGCAGGAAAAAGGTCCTCTAAATCTTTCATTCCTACAGAGTAAACAACACACTCATTCTCACCCATACACCCATATCTACAGCTGACTGGATTAGCCATTATAGATTGAATCTTTAGCGGCAACGACATATAGAAACTTTCTATTGACACTTTCCAAATGATCAGAAGAAACTTTTCCCTTACATTAGTGCTGTGTTATTGGCACAACTAATCCATTGCTTGGGGTTTGGGCTTTGTTTGAGCCGTCAGACAACAGTGCTCTAGTACGATGAGTTGTTTGTGTTTCCGAAATCGAAATGAAAGATCAAAAGCACTGATTATCATGAAAATCACTTAAAATATTCAATAAGTTTTTTTTTGCAAATAAGCAATCACTTGAAATACTCATAAAAGCATTTGATTGTTAGTTAAAAAATGTCATTTTTCAGAGTATTTAAAATAAAATAGCGTTCATCAATGAAAAGATGTTTTCTCGAATGCTGGATGTCTTTTTGAGTGGATTTTCACAAAGAACCCCACGTCGGAGTCGAGAAACGATGATTGGCTTCAGTCGATCTGAATTGTTTTACAGAAAATTATCATTTTTATTAGATATTTGACTTTTTCTAAACACCAAACCGTTCATCACAAACCTTGATTTGAGAAAGTTTCTTTCCATTTAAGAATCCATTTCTTTCCATTTCCTGCCTCGATTTTTTGAGGTGTACAACTGAAAATGATTTTTAAAAAATCAAAATTTAACTAGAACTATTTAATTATAACAAAAACTTTCTCTTTAAAAAGTTCTACCACCATTCTCTTATCACCTACTATCAATCGGTAGCGATTAATTTCTTTTTTAAATCAAAATTCATATCATCTTCTGTATATGTTCAAGATTTCATGACGATAGCATGAATAGATCATTTTTTTATGAACACTCAAAAATGGTTGGTCAAAAAAAAACGAGCCGCAACTTAAATTTAGGGGTTCTTTTATTGATGATCTTATAAAAGATATTATTAATTTAATATTTTTCTAAACTAAATCTACTTAAACATATCAAAAAGTTAGCTTTTAGAAAAAAAAAGCAAAGAAAAAAATGATTTTGTAGGGTTTTTTTTTCAAAAATCTCAAATTTCAATTGCGTCTCGTTTTTTTAGATGCCCGGTTATTCAAAGCTTAGAATAGAAACTGGTTGTTGAAGTAAGCAATCAAATCTTTTTGTTCTTAACCCTAAATTGAGCACTCATGGACATTCGGGGTTTTTCTTGGTCCCAGAGACATCCCGCAACTTGACTTGACTCTCACTATATTTTCTTGCTCAACATCGCTTAAACCTTATGAAATTTCCGGTAAAAGACTTCAACTTTTTGTTGGTTTTTCAACAATGTTGGCTTTTCATTATCTACGAATCGAGCTTCAAACACGAATTTTATACAAAACTTTGGACGAATAAAGCACTTAAAATGTTAAAAGTGAGCAAAGGATCGTGACAGTTTTTCTCTCGAAAGGAAAGTGCAAAAATAATGTTTTTTCAGTTTTTCGCTTAAATAGCTAAAAAAAGGATGATTTTCGTGATCAGGGGCAAAAATTACCCCAAGAACTTCAAACTTACGTTTTTGAAAGGAAAAAAAAGTTAAAAATTTAGTCGTGGCCGGGGCTCAAAGCAGCGACCTTCAGATCAAAAGATATCGCGCCCGATTCGCCGCATTTTCTCTCGTTTTTCTCTCTGTATTATTACCTAAAAATCACTATCAACATTTTAGGTATTCAATCTCATTTATGTGCGTGATGTTTGTCTCTGTTTCTCTATTTCTCTTCAACTAACTTTCTCATAAATAAATGGGTTGGGGAATTGAGAATTGAGAATTGGGGAAAAAGAGAAGGAGATTGTTTGAATGTTTCAATTGGATTGATTACTTATTTTTTGATTGAGCACTAGTTTTAAAAGCTCAACCGAACATTTATCGTTCATGCAAAATGATGTCAATGACGCTGAAGTCAAATTTGAGTTCTGCCTACCGATTGCTTCTTTTCTTATTCTTTTTGATTCTTCTTAAAGATTCATTTGGCGAGTATCAGCCAAAAGTTGTCGATGGTACAAAAGTTGAAATTGGTGAACAAAAGTTTGAATGGAACGACCAAAAGATGTTGTATAGGTGGGAGGTTAACGGAACATATTCTAACGGAATAATAACAACATTTGCTTGTCTGGCTTAGCCTATTTTAGGTATATTGTGAAAGAAGCTGGACAAAGTTTGCAACTGCACTGTAATGGAGACAAGTTTTTACGACTTTTATCATACTCTTTCTTCTGATTCTAGTTGGGTGTTTCCATACGAAAGTAATGCAGCGCTTGTCGGTTGGGGTATGCCGTATATTGGTAGATATGTTCCAAAATATGAGCCTGGTGGCAAGGTGAGACAAAATATGAGACTGAACTTTAGAATTACAAGATGGCCGCAAATTGTCTTGGCTATATCTTGGCTATATCTTGGCTATATCTTGGCTGTAGCTTGGCTATATCTTGGCTATATCTTGGCTATATCTTGGCTATATCTTGGCTGTAGCTTGGCAAACCGGTTTTATTCTTTTTTTATATGAAAATTGCGATAATTTTCGACGAAGAATTTCTTTACACAAATTGTAGGATGTTTTTGAGATTTTTATTAAAGGTTTGCAAGATGCGCCCAAAAACAATCGTACAACTCAATCTGCAGCTTTTCATAAACAAACTTCATAACTTTTAACGCCTCTCACATTGCTTATTTGACTCTTTTTTTTGTTAAAAAGCTTAAAAAAATGTTTTTCAAATGTTTTTCAACAAAAATCTTCAACTATTTAGGGTTTTTATGAGCTCTAGAAGAAAAATGCAATCATTTTCATCTTCATCTTCATCAATTCATCTTCTTGAAGATGAATTTTTCTTGAAACTGGCAAATTTCATCAGTTAATCTCAAAGTTAACTTAAAGAATTATCCAAATTTTACTCTTAAAGCTTAAATTTATCAAAAAAAGGTGAGAAAGTCGATTTCAGTTTAAAAATGAATTAGAAATAGTTTGAATAATGTTGCATGCCAAGGGTTATTTTGGGCGCATCTCATCAGAGGCGTTAAAAGTTATGAAGTTTGTTTATGAAAAGCTGCAGATTGAGTTGCGTGATTGTTTTTGGGCGCATCTTCCAAGCCTTTAATAAAAATCTCAAAAGCATCTTACAATTTGTATAAAGAAAATCTACTTAGAAAATTATCGCAATTTTCATATAAAAAAGGAATAAAACCGGTTTGCCAAGCTACAGCCAAGATATAACCAAAAAAAACTCCAAGGCGATAATTTACGGCCATCCTTTGCAATGCATAATTTGCTAAATCGCGGGATGCTTATCGAGTATCCGAGGACTACTGGTTTTGACAAAGTTTTCACCCACAATTTGAGTGTCTTAGAGTTGACGAGTCGTAAGTTTAAAGTCGAGTAAATTTAAAGAAGATTTTGATAGCTTAAAATCAACTCGACCAAAATCTATTTGAGATTTTGGTCGAGTTTGATTTGATAGCAAAAAAGTCGTCTAATTTTGTGAGTAGAAATTTGTGAAAAACTGGTACCCTTTCGGATACTCGATAAGCATCAATCGAAAACATTTTCAAAGCTTACTACTTCAAAAAAAAATCGAATAACAATAATGATACATAGAGTTCCTCGTTGTCGGTTTTCGATCTAACAGATTTGGATACAGGAGTTTACGGCTGCGGAAACTCCACGGATGGCAGGGGAAAGTATCAAGGACTTTACGTATATGTAAAACGTTGGTCTTTGTTTTGTTTTATCAAAAATCATAAAACGTGTTGATTATGCAGGCTCACGGCTTTTTTTGCAATATGGAAGAGGCCAATCTTTTTTGCTCGGGAAAGCATGGCACAAAAATGTGATTCCATGTCGGACAACATCGCCGATTGACGGTCAGAATTTTTGTATTTTGTAAGGCTTTTTTTGTTAGTCTATTAATGAAATTTTCCGATTCTCACGGCAACAATTAAAGAAAAGTTCCTATGAAAATTTTAGTCACAAAAGTGAGACTGCTATCGGACAACGAAGAGTGGACAGAAGTGTGTAGGTATAAAAAAATTCTAGCAAAAAATTTCAAAAAGTATGTGTTTAGTACGATATTTGGCCGAAACCTGATACGAACTTTAAACAAAGCAAACCAATCAAGCGACTCGAAAGAGCTCTTTGGGTGCATTCCAATGTGGAAGCATTATGATCCTAGGCAAGCTTTAGAAATCTACTATATATATATAAAAGAGTAACGTCGGAAACAAAACTACTTTTTGATCAAAACAAGTTGTTTCATCAAAAATCCGTAAAAAAATCAGAAAAACCACTTACCGTAAATATTAGTACCCCAGCCCCCTCGTACAGTCGCGTAGTCGCAAAAGTTTTTTAGTATTTCATTTTTTTTTTCAAAGCGCCCATACTTTCAAAAAAAGAGTCTTTGGTATCAAAAAATAGCTGAAATTAAGGGCTATTTTTTGATACCTAAGCGCGCATTGTATCATAAACGAGTGTCGAGAAAAACGCGTTCAAAGCTAGACTACGCAACACTCCGCACCGTCATTATGGGGGTGGGGAACTATTACAGTATTTACGGTAGGTATGCCCTTCGGCGGCCTTTGGGGAAAGGGGGCGTGGTCAAGGTGGTTGGCGTTCCGTCTACAAAACTACTGCTCTAAGGGGGTGTCGGGTTCGATTCCCGGCCCTTCTAAAGTTTTTTTTGCTTTAAATCTTTTCAAGCATGGAGTTGAAGTATGTTTAAATCTATTGAATAATAAAGTTTTTATTTTTTTAGTGCAAAACGAGGGGACATCCTCCCGTTTTGGGGTATTTGAGATTTTTCAAATAGCAGGGTTACTGGAGGTGTCCCCCACCACCGTTTTGACAAATATACAAGGTAACTGCGAATTATAGCGACTCACTTCTGAGAATCTAGCTCAGCAAGAACCCGATGAATCTATATGAAATTTTTGGAGGTGTTTTTTGAGTATCTTTTCTGTAGCTAAACCCATCTTCTAACTAATTGGTGCTTCTAGAATCTTTATATGACCATACAAAGTTAAGAATCGCGGTACACCTGGTGAAAAACGAAAAACAAAATGCAAATTTCGGGAAAGTATAACAGTAGAGTATCGTTTTCTAAATCAAATCAAATAAAGAAAATGACTTCCGATTTGTAAACATATTTTTAGAACTGTGCTTAGCGAGTATGGTGGAGAAGGGGATTTTCAACGAGATCATTTCCTTTTGGACATTCTGCAGTGCAAGATCGAAAAATTGGACGACCCAGATTGTTCCGATGAGCTGCAGGAGATTGTGAAACAGTTCAGATTTGTGCAAAACATGACTACGATTAGGCAAATTATGACAGATCACATAGCAAAAGCCATTAATTTATTCGAATTTATTTTATTTAGTGATCCCTTTGAAGAGTTAATTATCTAGCTAATTATCAGGTCCCAGACAGAGCTTTTTTTGTTAGGTTTTCCATAAAAAGGTCTGAAAAATGGATATAAAACGAGATTTCCATATGAACTCACTAGTTGCACAACATTCGATCGCTGTCAACGCCCAATGGCCAGAGAAGTTCTCGCAAAGCTCTTTCTGCTCGAGGAAGTTAGTTTAAGAACTTTTGTCACAAAACACTATATCGACTTGAAATCGACTTGAAATATTTAAAAAGACATAATAAAAAGAAAAAAGTTTTTATTTAGCAAAATTTTTCAGAGTGATCCTTTCATTGAGAGTTTAAAGCTCATTCCGTTTGTGGAAGCAGAGCAAAGGAAAGTGATTCGACCGATTGGATTTGATGGAACGGAAGAATGGAAGCCTATTAAAAGCAGAGACTCTTCCTACAGCTCTGTAGATCTTTTTCCTGCGCTGTGAATTTTGACAAGTTCAATAAAGAAAAGCAACCTTTTTTGTTTGAAAGAGTTACAAATTTAGCGTCTAAACATGTTGCTAAGAGGATTGATTTGAGTTTTATCAAAAAAACGTGTCAGTCTTATCAAAAAAAGTACCTTTACGGAGCATGAAAATTTATATACAAGATTTATTTCCTACAAAAAGCTACAGAATAGTCGACGTCGAGATTTTCGCTACTTGTAGAGCTAATTTGTAAAATTTTTCTTTCTGATCAAAAAGTTTTATTTTTTTTTTACTCTTGACTGATTGACATTTATAGGGACTGAAACACAAATTACATCATTTAATTCTCTTTGAAGATCATTAACAATTTGAGCAAACTCCTGGAATACAATAGGCACATTTACAGAACATTGTTCCGAGTTGAGACCAAGCATCTGCAGAAACGAAATTCCGCCACGCGACGAGCACCTCGCCAAACGCGAGTTTGTTCGTCGAGAGAGCGTTGCAGAAACCGCATTGTTCATAGATTTTCGTGTGGCTGGAGAAGGCTTTATTTGACAGATCCGTGCAATTCACATCACCTTTGACTCCCTGAAAAAACGAAAATCAGAATCTTTTCCTTTGTTAGGAGTCCTTTCAAGAATTTGATTATGTGTTAGTCCTGTCCGATCTCAGAACCACTCCGACTAGTTCAGAGTCAGCCTTTACAAATCGTTCGAAGCTTGAGAAAGCTTTTTTTCGATTTTTAGATAAGTTTCATTTTCAAATAGCTCAATTCATGAAAGAGACGAAAGGTTAGTTTTTAAAAAATATGTAAGCTCAAATAAATGCTTAAAAACTGGCGCTTCCAGAGCTTCCAGAGCTTCCAGAGAGCTGTAATAAAACAAAATCAAACTTCAGACTTACATTTAAATAGCTCTGCACGTAGGGCAAGAGTTTCGGGCGAACACAGTTGATGAAATTTTTCCCGATCACGTCAAACATCTGATATGAATCTAAAGCCCGGTTTTTCCTCATTTCCAAAAGTTTCACGCACCGTAATAGCTCTCGCAAAAATACCATCCGTATCTCTTCAAATATCCATCCGATCCACAGTGAGCTCTTTGGTCGTCCAAACACGTATACTCATCACATCCTTGACAACCGCCGGCACAGGGAAGCGTGAAATACCATTGCGTTGATGTTGTCCCATCACAATTCGGCTCGACGTCGACTCGAACTTCTGTATAGCGGCCTGAATGTGGAAATGTTTGCTAGAAAGAAATCTCTCAAATCCAACCTTCATAAGTGATCGGAGTCAACTGCTCGTCATTTGTTCCAATGCAAGTACTATCGAAAAGGTTCACTCCACCATACGTAACCGTCACTCGATCGGGCACTTGATATGTCTGATACGAAAAAAGCAAATTTCTCGCGCTTGTCGTATTCATTCGGTATCGTCGAGTGACAGGAGTGTTGGCGCCGGCGACTTGTTGACCATCACACGCCGAACAAGAAGTCGCACATCGGGACGTCGAATTCGCGTCACATTGAGAACCGCATGCCACTGGAAGCTCGTTGGAGAAATTGGCAGCTGATCCGAGGTTGTCTCTAAAAATTTCGATTGAGTAAAACATTATTAAAACATTATAAAACAGTAAAACAAAAGCTAGTCTTGAAACTTTTTAGTTCATTGCATTAGGTGATGATGCAGATTTGCAAAAAAAGAGTTGCTTTGGAGGGAAAATTTCGGCAAATGCAGATAGCCTTTTTATTTGCGTCTTAACGAAATGTTTTTACGAAAAACAACGAAATGTTTTGGCTTTATCTAGTTGTAAAAAGAATTCAAAGACTGGTTGAAAAAAAAATGGAAAAAGTTTGAAGCGTTTTTCAAAAAGCCTATCTGGTTTTGTGTACATTCTACCGTAGGCACTTTGGTGTCGCGTACTAAAACGCGCCCCTTTCGAGTATTTAAAGAAATTTTTGCGATACTCTCTATACCGATAAACCTAACCTTTCCTACGAGAATGTGCCCAAAAGGGTATTTTGTTTTGTTTTGTTGAGCGCTAAAAAGCGCAATGGTATGGAGCTTTTTGAAAAGTGGAACCACAAAATATGAGTTCCCTGCTTACCCAAACACAAAATAGGGACTCCAGTTGACGATCGAGCACGATCCCGAGGCACTGCTCGCGCACATCTCTTCCGCCATCCGCACTTGCACTTGATAGACGTCACTTCGATCCGAGTTGAGCAACCCAATGTAACGGAGACCCGAGTTGGTGATCGATGAGAGATTTAATGGAATCACATTCAGAGTGTCGGATGACCCGAAACGAACACCAATACCACCGAATTGCATTCTGAAAGCATTCCATTCTTAAAGCATTGTTAAAGCATTGTTAACGCATTCTTAAAGCATTCTGAAAGCATTCTTAAAGTATTCTTAAAGCATTCTTAAAGCATTCTTAAAGCATTCTTAAAGCATTCTTAAAGTATTCTTAAAGCATTCTTAAAGCATTCTTAAAGCATTCTTAAAGTATTCTTATAGCATTCTTAAAGTAAAGTCATTCAAAAAGTGGTTTGACTTTAAAGAAGATTTAAATTGAGATTAAGATTGAGTTTTTTTTTCGCTTACCTTGCGGTGCCATTCCTTGGAATTCGCACAAACATTACACTTAAACGATTCGTTTCGGCCACTAGTGACGAATTGTCAACCGTCAAACCAAGCGATTTTAGATCTTGCAATGTGACAAGGATAGGATTCAAATTCTTCGGTCCAACTTTCAGCGATCCGGTCGACACTTGATAGGATCCATTCGGGAAAGTGGAGTCATTGCTGAGGATGTCATCGAGCGAGGGACTGCTGTCTGGCGAATCTTTCTTTTTGTGTTTTCGCAAACCGACAACAAGACCGACGATGAGAGCAATGAGAAGGACGACTCCAACGAGAATTCCAATTCCAATCCAAGTTCTTCGTTGCATGAGACCGGAAATTTAGCACTAATCTCTGCACAGACTTCCAGCTTTTTTATACAAACTGATAAGATTTAAAAAGAGGGGCTTTTCCAACAAAATAAGCAAAAACTGAGCGCTTTGGAGCTAATTGATAAGGTGTGAGTCATTCAGAGAAAAGCGGAAGGGCGGATTCGTTGCTGATCTCCATCATTTTTTTTGACACTTTTAATGGTAAATGACTGATTAGAAAGCATAAAATTGTCATGTCACTCGAAAATTTTTGTTGATCTGTACTTTCTAAACGTTTCTCTGTCTCTTTTCTGTCTTTTCTCTAGCAGAAGCAATTTCGTAACCATTGAAAGCTGGGGATCAAATTTAATCCAAATTTGATCCAAATTTAAAAGAATTACAGGGTGTCCGGTAAAAAAGAAAGTGGTCATCGGTCTGAGTCTCGGCCACTAGTGACGATCTTCCACGATCTTCTCTCAGGCAGTGTCAGACTTGGTTTCAAGAGAGAGAGACGAGACTTTGGAAGACTATGAGCACGGCTCGAGGCCAAAAGTCGTGAACGAAGCCAAGCTGAGGGACGTTATTCAGGCCGATCCATGCCAATCTGCTCGAGATCTTGCGAAAATATTCCATTGTGATCATGTCACCCGATAGGCTTTCGAAAAAGCTCAATGATCGCTTGTCGATGGGGCGAAGATTTGACCATACCTGAAGATTGATCATACCTAAAGTAAAATCATATCGAAGAGAGAGTTTAGTGCTATTATTTTTGATTAGGTAATTGAAAGGAACATCTCTGATCAAGCTTGGTTTTTTTTGATTGATTTTAGATTTCTTTTGAGGTAATTTCAATCAATATCTAAAAATATATATAATTTCTGTCCACCAGACATCAAATCTGCTGGATTTTTGAAGTAAAAAATCTTGAATTCCGTACAAAAACCACCTGTTTTCGAAAAGAAAAAGAAATGATACATTCAGCTGATGGCGGAAATTGTTTTTTTTGATACGACTAACATTTACAATAGATTTTAGTAGCTTTGTTAGCTTCTAGTTTTCAAATTCTAAAACTCCGAGCAGTATTTGTTATAGTTTATTATGGTTCTGGACTAGACCTAGATCAATCTAGGCGGTCCGCCCTATTTGAATCCCCGATCCTGTCCAATTTCTCCTGTCCGACCTAGACCAAAGGCTCAGAACATGCTTGGTTTCAGTCCACCACAGTAAAAGCTTTTATTCAGAGCCTTCCGATGGAACAGATTGTCTACAACTATCCGTCAATCTACTTGTGGAGTCTCAGCTCGACTGGAATCATTACCGGAATCATTAATTTCTTTACAATCTATCTAATTCTTTATGTGTCTCTAAAATCGATGAAAAACGATAGTTTTTTTTGTTGTTATGGTTGCAGGTAAAAGATTTGAGCGCCAGAAGATTTGTTTGACTCAAGACTTACTTAGGACAATGCAATAGTATACATGTATTTTTGCTAGAGTACCAGGGTTGGGCTGATCGTCCGGATCCGACCGAAAGACTGAAGTAGACAGAATGCCACTTTCCGTACAGGCTTTCTCAACTGTATTGGAAACTTTCATGCACTTGGTGTGCGGTGAGTTCTTCTATCCAAGGGCCAGTGTCCACTTCCATGGCCCATTTACCGTTCTACACGATTTTCGACATGTCAGCAACTATTCATTTTGTGAGACGAAACTTGATGCGTCAAATCTTTCTTTTTCAGCTAATCTTTATGATTCTCTTCATTGCAATGGCCTACAGCACTGTCATTTGTTTTGTCTATCGACGTCGACTCATTCTACCCGACGAACATTGGCTTCGGTTAGCGACCGGTACACTGGCGAATGAGAAACGTTCACAAGTTATATTTAGGATAGAAATAGGAAATTCTCGGTTCGAGTCGATAAAATGAATCTCTGATAAAATAGTAAACCATGAGATTCTTCAAAAGAGTCAATATCGAATCAATATCGAATCAATTCCAGATGAAAAGAAAAATTTTTAGTCCAAAGCTTTGCAGCTTAAAAAGAAACTTATGGCAACGAAAAGAACTTTAGGTCAACCTTCTCTTACAAGAAATTTAGCGTAACTTTCTTTTACTAGAAATCTACTGTGTAGATTACCATCACTGGGTGGTGTTGTGCATATGTATAGAATGCTCAAGTTTACATTTTATATCCTGTAGTTCTTTAACCAGTAGTTCTTTAAGCAGTAGTTCTTTAAGCAGTAGTTCTTTAACCAGTAGTTCTTTAACCAGTAGTTCTTTAACCAGTAGTTCTTTAACCAGTAGTTCTTTAAGCAGTAGTTCTTTAAGCAGTAGTTCTTTAAGCAGTAGTTCTTTAAGCAGTAGTTCTTTAAGCAGTAAATATCGTGGATTTTGAGAAACTCATTTACATTCATGCACTCACAGGATGGTAGTCGATGGGTTTGGTATGACGGAACACCGTTCGACTACACCAACTGGGCACCCGGCGAGCCGAGAACGTCTCCATGGATGATGGTGAGCGCTTTTTGTGAATCCTTGAAGAGCTGATCGGGGATAAACTGCTTTAGAGAACTGAATAAGTGGTAGTCTGATGGGGCTAAGTCATGGGTCATAGTCATGCCAAGTTATGGGTCATAGTCATGCCACTTTTCACTTTTTTTCTTATTTACGAAAACTTCTCAAATTTTTTTTGAACAAAAAAACGAAAAAACATTTGTTTTTGAAAATTCAGTCCGGGATTATAAACCGAAATTAAATGCTAAATAATCAACCCAAATTCAAATTTACCCACAAGATATTCAAAGTTAGATAACTTTAGCGTCTGATTTGTTGTCTCATATGAGTTGTCTACTTCGTAAATTCAAAAATCTCGACTATGCGAATCTCGACGAATAACAAACTCGATAAGAAACCTGATTTGATTTGATTTGATTTGATTTGACCTGGGTTTCCCGTCGAATAGCCTTTTTGAGTTTTTTTTCTATTTGAATCACAATTTTTTTTGATCTCAAAAAGCCGAATTTTTCAACAAAACCGATAAGAGAACGCTGCCAGCGTGCTGTCTGCTTTTTGCTGTTTATGCTGTTTATGCTGTTGCTATTTATTGTTGCTATCAGAGTTTGTCGACAATCACTTCCAAAATTGGGCACAATTTCTCTTGTTTCTAGTCTGCCCCTTTCTTTCACTCATCTGGTCGTCTAGCTGATAAGAAATCGACGAAATTTTGGGGATTTCTGCTTGAATTCGTCATTTACACGTATATAAACTCGGTCATTCTCTTTTATTACAATTTCGGAATCCGAGATTTGTCTGAATGATGAACGCTTTGGTGGCCTTGACTGCTTTCTCGGTATCCGTTTTTGCGGTCAGTTTTTGCGTCATTTACTAAAATGATTAGCTAAAAGCCTTCAACTTCAACTAAAAGCCTTCAACAGCCTTCAATTTATGCTTTATAACGACTCAAAAAGCTAGTTGTTTTCTCACATTTCTCACACAAAAAAAGTGAGCCAAGTAGACTTGGCTATCGATATTTTGTGGTCGCATTAAAACGGACATAAATGTAGATTGATAGCTCCAAATGCTCGAAAACTTTTATCAATGGAAAGCCAGAAATTTATGCTTTATTTTGGAAGAACTGTTAGAAGAAAAACGCATCTCAAAAGCCTTATAGATATCGATAAAAGCTTGATAAGGTCATATCGATCGCGCTCGGCTTTTAGAGATACGTTTTGCCTACTCTTCTACGTATTAGGTATCAAAATGAAGCTTAAACTTTTGGCCTTTCAGTTTCAGAGGATTTGGAGGTATCTATCTACAATCTACAAGGGAAACTTTTCAGCTATCGACTCAAACGGCAGACCCGTGTGCCATGTGTGAATATGTGATGAATCAGGTGATTGACTCAGTTTTTCGACTTTGAATTATTTCAAAAACTTTTGTTAACTAGATATCTTGTGATTAAGTGATTCAGTTTCAATCAATCAATCAATCAATCAATCATTTCTCATAATCCATTTGTAAAAATGTCGACTTTCAGGCTGAACAACACTTCCGACGAGCAGAGAATATCACTCAGCTGGCCAAAGATCTTCAAGGAGTTTGTTGGCTTTTTTTACTTTTCGAAAACAATTTTTAAAGCTTGTTAATCGTAAAAATATTTATAGGATTGTGCAACGTTGCAACGATTCTACGGTGATCAAGCGGTGCAAGACTGTGCTCGATTGGTGACACAAAACTTGGATTTAATCTATGCTGATTTGCAACAAGGTTTCATTTTTACTTGGATGGAATTGAAAAGCGTTAGACTTTAGCTGATGTAAACAAAATTTTACCATCTCAATACCATATTATAGTCGTTACTTGAGCTACTTTTTAGTCTATAAGGGCTTATGAAAACTTTATGACCTTATGTTGTTCCACAAAATTTAAAGCTGATTTCACTAGTATTTTTGATGATTTTCGGTCACTTTTTTGGTATTTAATCCTAGAAATTGCGTCGTTTATAGTGAGAGTCTTAGTGAGCGGGGAAGTCTTATGCGTTATTTCGCCTGACTATAAACAGATCTCACTATAAAGTATAGTATAAAGTATAGTATAAAATAGAGTCTAAAGTAGAGTATAAAGTATGGTATAAAGTAGAGCATAAAGTATAGCATAAAGTATTGTATAAAGTATTGTATAAAGTATTGTATAAAGTATAGTATAAAGTATAGTATAAAGTAGAGTATAAAGTATAGTATAAAGTATAGTATAAGTATGGTATAAAGTATAGCATAAAGTATTGTATAAAGTATTGTATAAAGTATTGAAGTAGTATAAGTATAGTAAAGGTAAGTATAGTATAAAGTATGTAAGGAGAGTATAAGTATGAAAGTATAGTAAAGTATAGATAAAGATGTAAAAGTATAGTAAAAGTATGAGGGTATAAAGAGTAAAGTAGTAGTAAAGTATGTGTAAAGTATGCAAAGATGTATGTATGTATAAAGTATGTATGTGGTATAAGTATAGTATAAGTATGTATAGTGGTATAGTATGTATGTATGTTGGTTGTATAAGTTGTTGTATAAAGTATTGTATAAAGTATTGTATAAAGTATTGTATAAAGTATTGTATAAAGTATTGTATAAAGTATAGTATAAAGTATAGTATATTTTCGAAACCAAAACACTTCTGGCAACGTCAGAGCTTTCGTCGGACCCTAGAAAGCTAAGCATTCTTTCAGCTGGAGTCCGTGCCATCGCTAAGGGCCTTTATACGATTTGAAAAAACCAGGAGGAGATTTGAGATTTTGAGATTCACCTTGACCAATTCAATCGCATCATGCGGCTTCGTTTGCTCGAACATCTCCAGCTTTAGTATAAAGTAGAGTATAAAGTAGAGTATAAAGTAGAGTATAAAGTAGAGTATAAAGTAGAGTATAAAGTAGAGTATAAAGTAGAGTATAAAGTAGAGTACAAAGTAGAGTATAAAGTAGAGTACAAAGTAGAGTATAAACAGATAAACAGATAAACAGATAAACAGTATAGTATAAACAGATTAAACTAGCTAATTTAACATGTGGCTGTGAATGTGGCCACATCTAAACATATAGCTTACTAGTAGGCCATAGCCATGTCACTAGTTTCGGCCAAACCTCCATAAAAAGACTTAAATGAAGGCATCGAGGTTCCGGGTTTAAATTAACATATTCCCGGTTCAATTTTAATGAACATTTTTCAAACTATACCCCCTTTCGCATCAATTTTTTTTCAGGAAAACAAACCGGTGAGATTTGCCAAGATATGGGCCAATGCATCAAGGTGTCCACCACACAACCCCCACCCACTTTCCCATGTCCCGTGTGCGAGGCTGTGCTCAATGAGGTGAATTTTAAAAGAGATTTCCCGAGAATTTCACGTCCACAACAGGCCAAACAAAAGCTCGGCACTCGGATCAACGATGAACAAGCGCTGCTGGTCGAGCTGCTCAATGTGAGACAAAATACAGGGTGTTTCAAAAGTTCTTATACTTTTTTTTGACTTGAAAAACACGTGAACTAACGGAAAATTTCGGAAAACTAACGCCGGATTCTTCTTCAGGCATTTTTACCCCCAATATGCCCATTTCTATAAAAAGATTTCAAACCTTCAACAACTTTTTGACTAGGATTTTTTACATTCGTGTCTGATCGCTGTAGAAAGTTGTAGAAAGCTGTAGAAAGTTGTAGAAAGTTTTAGAAAGCTGTAGAAAGCTGTAGAAAGTTGTAGAAAGCTGTAGAAAGCTGTAGAAAGCTGTAGAAAGCTGTAGAAAGCTGTAGAAAGCTGTAGAAAGCTGTAGAAAGCTGTAGAAAGCTTTAGAAAGCTGTAGAAAGCTGTAGAAAGTTGTAGAAAGCTTTATAAAGCTGTAGAAAGCTGTAGAAAGTTGTAGGAAGTTGACTTAAACTTTGAAGAATGGGGGTTTTTTTTGCCAAAAACTTTTGTTACCATTTGATAGACCTAAGTTATTTTTTTCTTGAAAACAAGCTAAAAACGAAATTTATATCTTAAAAACGAAAGATTTTCAAGCGAGGGTACTGTAGTGATTATTGTTGGTTTAGATATAATCTTTATTACAGCGATAATAGTTGGTTCAGTGGTTTGAGATTGGGAGAGTAGAGACACGGCACGGCACACCTCGGCAGCTCGTTCACATTGCTTTTATACGGAACTGAGGCGTTGGTCTCGTCTTGGAGACAATGGAGTTGAACGGATATTAAATATTAAATTAAACGAACGGATATTAAATAAATTAAACGAAGCGACGCATATTAAATCTCGCACAATAGGCGTTCGTCCACATAGGTGCCTAGCTGGCCACATAGGTGCCTAGCTGGCCACATAGGTGCCTAGCTGGCCACATAGGTGCCTAGCTGGCCACATAGGTGCCTAGCTGGCCACATAGGTGCCTAGCTGGCCACATAGGTGCCTAGCTGGCCACATAGGTGCCTAGCTGGCCACATAGGTGCCTAGCTGGCCACATAGGTGCCTAGCTGGCCATTTCCATACGTGGCGATCTCGATCACGAGATCGTCACGACAGGCACCCAAATAACCCAAAAAAACAAAAAGCGATGTGACAACCTTTAAAAATCCTCATCAAAAAGTTGTTTAGAGTTGTTTTTTTATTGTTTGTTGGTTTGCAAAAAGTTGTTTTGCAACTTTTGTGCAAAAAAAAATCTAGTAAAAGTAAAAAATACCTGAATTTTCATAAATCCGGTGTTGTTTTTTCAAAAATAACGTGTTTTCCCAATTAAAATGTTCGTTTTTAAAAATATAAAGACTTTTGAGACACCCTGTATTTTACTTTGTAACCTTTTTTTGCAGGATTGCTATGTTGTCAGTCCGGCAGTCGCCGAGGCGTGCATCGAATACGTCAGCTTTGGCATTGATATCATCTACGCAGATCTGACAAATGGTTAGGGGCTAACTGGAGCTAAGGCTAACTTCTTTCAAATCAAATTCTTATTAGAGTTGTCCATAAGTTCTTGGGGTACTTTAATTTGTGATTTCTTGAAAATCAGCTAAACAGTTTCATCTGTAATTTCTACAGAATAATCAATAAGTCTATGCTAACTAGTAGCCAAAATTTGATCATGATTAGTTGGTTCAATCGAGAGAATGAGCCTCTAACGTTGATGTGTGTGTTTGTGAAGTGGCTCAACTCTTTGTGGAGTGGCTCAACTCTTTGTGAAGTGGCTCAGCTCTATAGAAACACTAATGAATCTGGATCTAGAGCATTTTTAAGAGAATCTAGATACAATTCAATTTAAATCAGCTCTTTTGATTGATCTTTTTTCAATAGAAGTATGCAAATTCTCAAATATTAGCCTTCAAAATAAGTTCAAATAGATGCTGACTTTTTTTGATCAATCATACAGTACTGGACAATGAAATATCAATTATTCGAATAAACGATCGTCACTTTCGCGATTGAATCGAAAAACGACTTTAAACTATTGCTCTTACTAACTTAAAACTATTCTTCTTACTAATTATTAGCTTAAAACTATTCTTCTTGCTAACTATTAGCTTAAAACCATTGCTCTTACTAACTATTAACTTAAAACTGTTCTTCTTACTAACTATTAGCTTAAAACCATTGCTCTTACTAAGAGCTAACGATTAAGAGCTAACGATTAAGATCTAACGATTAAGAGCTAACGATTAAGAGCTAACGATCTTACTAACGATTGCTCTTACTAACTATTAACTTTAAACTATTGCTTTTACCAATTATTAGCTTAATATACAGTACTGGACAATGAAATATGATATTTGAAAAACGATCGTCACTTTCGCACGTCTGTAACTCCGTTGTCTTTGAGTTTAAACTGTTAGTGTTATACATTTTCTGAAAGCTCTTTTCAACGGCTACACAATGGTAACATTAATATTTAGAAATACGGTAAAGACAAGGGAGTTACAGACGCGCGAAAGTGACGATCTTTTTTCAAAGATGATATTTCATTGTCCAGTAGTGTATCTCTCGATTCAACTCTTTGTGAAGTGGCTCAGCTCTATAGAAACACAAATGAAAGACAGGATCTAGAACATTTTCAAAAGGATTTTTCATCCAGATACAATTAAGCTTAAATTAGCTCTTTTGATTGATCTGTACGATCACAGTATTTACGGTATAATTATTTCCAGAAACAGGAGACAATTTGCAACTTTTTTTGAGTACAATAATGATAGGTTTCAGTGTGTCTAGCGCATTTTACAAGCAAAAACCTTTTCCGGATATTTTCCGGAAAACCTGTAGAAGAAAAGCTTTCAAGTGTTTTGGCTTTCACATGAAAAAAATTTTTTTTTTTAGGCAAAGACGCTTGGCAGACATGTGCTGATCTGCACGTTTGCTTTGGCACCGAGCCACCAATGAGAAATTGATGACATTGAAAAGATCATGAACCAAAAAGAAACCTTTTCTCTCAATAAATTTTGAAAATCAGTGCACTTTAAAAATGGCAAGACCAGGCAAATGTTTATCAAAAAGTGGATGCAATTTCTGTATCAAACGTTCCGGAAACTGCTCGTCCTCCAAATGTTTATTGAGCTTTCAAATCTAGAATTGTTTCTAATGAACAGAAACTTTGGAACCGTATTAGATCAAAAAAAGAACCGTATTGGAACCGTATTCAAAAAAAAACTTCAATAACTTTTACGTTGCCCGAATGTTTTAGTCGCAAGCAGGTCACCGAACCTGTTGCATCTGTGGTCCATCCGTTGGATATTCGATCAAATCTGGACGATGCTACGACTACCTTTGGACTCATTATTTGGCGGAACATTGCGATTGTCGTAAAATTGTCGCCATAACTTCGGACTGCGGCTCAAACATGTTGAAGACGGAAACTTTAGTCTGTTGATCTCTAGTTGATCTCTAGTTGATCTCTAGTTGATCGAAACTCTAATCTGTTGATCTGAAAAAGTCATCCTATTTTTTGTTTCTCTCATTTAATTTTTTTTTTCATTTCTTTCATTTTCTTTCATTCTAAAATCAAACGTAAATCAATGAAAAGTAGAAAAATATTGGGTTGGTGGAAAAGTCCTTTCGGATTGTTTTTAGCCTAGGTTTCTGCACGGAAAACTAACGAAACGTGAAAACAGCCATTTTTTGGCTCTGCCGCCCTTTACTAAAATAGCTGTAAAAACTTTTCGAAAAGAGATATCTTAAAACCGTTTTTATCAATCGATCCGTCTTGAATTCAGCTTTAGGATGAGCTATAAAACGTCAAAATTCGACAAATTTAAGGTACTCTCCCAAAAAATCGGAAAGGACTTTTCCATCAACCCAATAGATCAACATTAACGAAAGTTGCAAAAACAAAAACAAAAAACAAACCAACAAAAAAAAACAAAACCAATGTTTTCCCCAAAAACCGTCATAGCTAAAACATGACATCAAAGTAAAAAGAAAGATTTATCGCAGGCAAGTCAATTGAAGGGTAAACGAAATGTTAAAGTATTCAGGGATCGGGGTGGGACCGGGAAAAGACTCAAAATGGAGAGAGAGAAACCGGACAGAAAGAGAAAACCCATAGAAAAACGTTTCAGCAATGCCACCCAGTTACGGCAATAACCCCCGTGGTCAAAAATTGATTGTTTATAAGTGATGATATCATCTCTTTTTGTTAAATATTTCGTAAGTTATAGTTTTTATCCGTTATCCTTTGTATTCTTTGGTCAAATACCTTTTTAATTCGCTTTGATCTTTTAATTTCAGCCATTTTTTTGCCCAGCGCTGCCTAGGTAACGGGCTGAAGAGGTAAATTTTAATTGAAACTTGAGAAACGAGTTGCTCCTTGTTTGATTTTTTTGATCGGTGAATTTAAATTTCATTTTCACATGTGAATTACTTTTTCAACGTTTTAAGCTTTTATAAAGTTACTGATTTTATAAAGTTATTGATTTTAGGTAAAAAAACCTAAACTCCGTCACAAAATGACCTCAATTCGGATGCCAAGGGATGATGAAGAGGCTCTATTGCCGGAGTATGAAGAGGTGAGGAGGAGGAGGGTACTCTAGATTGATCTAGAGTATCCTCTAGTGCGGAGGGTACTCTAGATTGATCTAGAGTACTCTAGATTGATCTAGATTGATCTAGAGTACCCTCCGCATTGATCTAGATTGATCTAGAGTACCCTCTAGTACGGGGGGTACTCTAGATTGATCTAGATTGATCTAGAGTATCCTCTAGTGCGGAGGGTACTCTAGATTGATCTAGATTGATCTAGAGTACCCTCCGCATTGATCTAGATTGATCTAGAGTACCCTCTAGCACGGAGGGTACTCTAGATTGATCCATGGAATAAAATCTACAACATGAGTAGATAAAATCTACAACATGTAGATTGATTACTGATTGATTCATACTGTAGATTGATCCGTAGAATAGAAAATAGAGCCGAACCTCAATTTGCAGGCCCGGAGCCCCCGCCAAGCAGCCGGCACCGCGCCACGAACCCAATTCTGGCCAAAAGATATCGAGGGGATGAATCAAGACGCGAAAGAGGGCAGTGTTAACTCCAGTCATGTTCATATTCGAATGGGTGAGAGAATGCTTTCGGTAATTGTCAAAAAAAAAAGCTCGATTTAGCTTTTCTTCGCAAAGTCTTCGGGATTCTCTCCTTTCAAATCGTGCTCACCACCGCCATTTGCGCAGCCATCTACATGACACCGGGGATCAAAGAATTCGTCCAGGCCAAGTAAAGAATATCTTTAAAAAATCATTAAAAAAGTGTAGTTTTTGGCAAAGAGACTATAGATCAGATTTTGAATATTCAGTTTATCAGTGATAGAATTCTAGTTGGCATTATCAATGTGTGTTGAAGAAGCCAAAAGCTCAGCTTCTTGAACCACCTCAAGAAATAGACGTGGCTAACAGGCTAACAATTTGAAAACTTTCTTGAGCACTTGTGAATCCTATCTCAAAGTTAATCAACTTTTTATTACAATATCGTACCATTTACTTGTTTGTATGTAATGTAGTTTTGGTTTTTGTTGAAATGATCCACAAGATCCACAAGCAGCCGGATAGATCAAATACTTTTGATTTTATATCTACCTTCTTTAGTAAGATCAATTTAAGAGTACTGAGATGTTGGGTATGCCGTAATCTATTCTTTAGCATACCATTTTCAGTGGTTGGGTGCTGTTGTTGACGCTTGTCGGCTCGATCGGTCTGATCATTGCGATGCACGTTCACGCAAGGAATGTCCCAACCAATTATGTCCTCCTAGCTTCATTCACCGTCGTTCAAGCGCTCACCCTTGGAACTCTAGGTAGTTGAGAAAACTAATAAACTAAGTAACTAACTAAGTAACTAACTAAGTAGCTAACTAAGTAATTAACTAAGTAACTAACTAAGTAACAAATAAATCTATAGACAAATTTCAGTTTCAATGTTCGAAGTCGGTGTGATTCTGGAAGCGGCTTTGCTGACATCAGGTAAAAATGATTGTTTGATTGTTTTGATTTGAAAAATGATTTGATCCACCGCCCACCCCTTTGCCATTGACAATCCAACTTTGAGCACAAATTTCTTGATGTTGAGCTGTCCAATTGAAATAGTTTTTGTACCAATCGATAGAGAAAGACTTGACGCATCCAATGATACCAATAATATTCAATTTCGACAGCCCAACACCAAGAAATTTGAGCTTAAAGTTAGATTGCCAATGGCAAAGGCGGAAAAGAGGTGGGGCACGTCAAATGTCCGATAAAGCAGTAAAAGTTGAAAGTGTGTAAATTGTTTACACGAAATTTTTGCAGTGATCGTTTTCTCCTTGTTTGCGTATACGCTGCAATCGAAGAAAGATTTCGTCAAGCATTACGCGATTGCCTATTCGATGCTTGGCATTCTGTTGGTCGCTGGAGTTTTCCAGGTACAGCCAAGTCAAAAGACTTTTAAACAAAACACATCCACCAGAAAGGGTGCGTTTCAATGCCAGAGCACAAAGTACAGCAGTTCAGCTTGTAAGCATGCTTCACCTAGCGCATAACTGATAGCTCTTTTGAGCTATGGCCTTCTTTTGAGCTAGTAACTATGGCCTGAGTGACTATGGCCTGAGTAACTATGGTTACACAAACGTACTCTTTCTGGCGCGCTGAAAGCGACGAGTTGAGTGCACCAAAAAGGGTGTGTTCAGAGCACAAAGTTCAGAAGAAAAAGGCGGTGAGTAAAAAGTCGTTTTCCAGATTTTCATCCACTCCTCCGCGTTCAACTTCTTTGTGAACGTGTTCGGTGCGGCTTTGTTCTGCCTATTCTTGATGATCGACTTGGATATGATCATGAATTACATGAATGCCGAGGATTATATCCTTGCCTGTATAACCCTCTACATGGACGTGATCAATCTTTTCATTCGCATTCTGCAAATCGTCGCCGAAGCACAAAGGAATTAGTTCAGCTTTTTGGTCAAGCTTTTTGATCAAGCTTTTTGAGCTCTAAATTTGATCTGTCAAACCTATTACAGTACGTTTTCTAAAAGGTGAATAATTTAGAAAGTTATCGTACTTTTTCCTTTAGATTTTGTTTGACTTGAGTTTGAACATTCTTTGATCATGATTTTGACCATTCTTTAATCATTCTTTAATCATTCTTTAATCATTCTTTAATCATTCTTTAATCATTCTTTAATCATTCTTTAATCATTCTTTAATCATTCTTTAATCATCAAGAATCAAGTTGTGAATCGAATAATATCAAAATTAAGTAGAACAGACTGGATCCAAAGGAAAGATTACGGCAGCTTGACTCGAGATTCAAGACTCAAGAAAGATTACGATAGTTTTACCCAAAAGAAAGCCTACAATACCTTTCAAATTGTTCACTTTTTAGAAAACAAAGCTCTATCCTTGTCAAATTCATTGAATATTTCAAAATTTCCTTATTATAGAATGAAAATTGAGTGGTGTTTTGGGTGGTACTCAAATTTATCGTTCATTTCTTGGGCTTTTTCTCTTTTTTTTTCTCTCCGCTATCCTGTGATATGTACGTGTTTTTTTTACAGAAATTTACATAATTTGTACACTATAAATTGTTAATAGCATTTATTTCAAAGACATAAAAACAAAGAAAAAAAGAAAAAAAGCAAAAAAAGAAAAAAAGAAAAAAAGAAAAAAGAAAGAAACTGACCGTTTAACCGTTTATAAACTTAGCGTTACCCGTAATTTTTGATGCTCGTAAAAGGGATGAAAGAAATGTAAAGTCAAATTTGATACTTAGCTAATGTGTCTTGTAGCAATTGTGGTGTTATTTTCTTCAGCAATGAACACTTTTCCTTTCCTTCTTGGCACCCAGGAGATTAAATTAAACAAAACGGGCATCACAATCAATCCATGAATCGCTCCAAGGAAAACCACCAAGAATAAGGTTTTCGCAAAGGTCTAAATAGAAATCGCACTTTTAATTTGATTTTTATTTTAGATTTTACGGTCACAAGGGGTTTTACAGGTTTGAGGCAATGGGCGGAGCTTCGAAAATGCCAAAAACATTGCCAAAAACATTTCTAGGGTTTTTGCGTACGCTGATTTGATTGGTGATATTTTTGGCGTGGGCGGAGCTTCGAAAATGCCTCTGGCACGTTGCCAAAAACATTTCTAGGGGTTTTTGCGTACGCTGATTTGATTGGTGATATTTTGGGCGTGGGCGGAGCTTCGAAAATGCCTCTGGCACGTTGCCAAAAACATTTCTAGGGTTTTTGCGTACACTGATTTGATTGGTGATATTTTCAGAACCTATCTGCGATTCATTTCTTCTTGTTTTCTTATGTTTCCTTGCTTAGCTATATTTCTCATTTTCTTTTTATGATGGCGGGAATAGCTGAAGACCTTAAGTCGTTTAATCTTGGACCTTAAGTCGTTTAATCTTTTTACTGAGTGGCCAAAGCTCAAAGCCAAGACCGATGATAAGGCTATCGGAGTGTGGACTAGTATGGGAGAATCGGAAATGTCTCAATTGCTAAGAACCAATAGAAAACAATACAACATACATAACATGAAGAAAACATAGGAAAACAAGGAGAAATAGGTCGCAGATAGGTTCTGAAAATATCACCAATCGAATCAGCGTACGCAAAAACCCTAGGAACGCTTTTTTGGCAATGTGCCCCGCCCACTGCTTCTAACCCGTATAGCCTCCTTTTCAAAGCTTGAATATCTTCATACTATGTCTATTCTTATCTCTGAATTACCTGAGACATGTGAAGATCAACGAGGAAGAGACTCAAAACGCAGAGAATCGTTGAGACTGAGGCCTAGAAATGAGATTTTTTTGAGAAAAAGGCAGCAACTAATCCCCTGGTTCTCTTAAACGTATTCATAGCTATTGTGGACTTTTGTGGCCAGGCGCGGGCCTGGCCACAGCAGGGTGAGCACTTGAACAGTGGTCAAGCCAGAAGCCAGGACCTGACCTGGCCTATGGCCTGCCGGGTAGTTTACTTTTGAAATATCGTAGCCCTGTTCCCAAGTGGTGTTCAAATATATCAAATGTATCACCTGCAAAATCGGGAACCCGACAGCAGAAATGGTGTGCTCGAGTCGATGAATGACCGAAGGAAATTGTTTACCTGAAACTTTTACGTTTAAAAGAATTTGAATGCCTCAAACTTGTTTGAAAATAATGATAACTGATATGAGCTGGGATATCGACAGCGAAACCGATTGACATCACTGTGGCCGACATTAGAATCGGATCTAGATCGGCTCCCCACCACGACACCAAGCCAAAGACACCTAGAAAGTTTTGGCTGATAAAGGAAGATAAAATAAAGTGCTTTGATGAAGCTCTTTGTTTCCAATAAGCCGAAAAACCCTCACCAACACACGTTGAAAGAATTGAGAAAGTGGCGACGAAAAGAGTTGGTGGATCAGAGATGAACAACAATGTGACGAAGAACATACAAATGAGTGTGAGAAGGGCTGATTGCCAGGTGGTCGGGATCTGGAATAGCTTTTGGTGACGGTCAATCTTTACATTACCTTACGCCATATGAGATTTATCATAGCAATTTGCATTTAAGTGTAGCCAGTACTTGATTTTGGCTTTTTCCTAGTGCAAGGCTACGGTGATTTTCAAAAGGTGATACTTTTTCGGGAATAAGAAGCCGAAATGAAGTCAATTTCAACTAAAAATGGAAATTTTTAGCTTATAAACTGAAGAAATGGCTTTTAACTGGCTTCTAACTGGATCCCCTTGGCTTTTAACTGGCTTCTAACTGGATCCTCTTGGCTTTTAACTGGCTCTAGATCGATCTAATGTTATTTTCCAACAGTTAAAAATCTACTATATATAAAAGAACAGTGTCTGTCTGTCTGTTCGGCCTTTTTCTCAGCCGTCATTACGCCAAAACAATTAAAAAGTCAAAGTTGAATTGCATACGGGGGATCGAACCCGGATCGTGTGAGCCGTAGAAATGCGCGCTCCCGACTACATCACGGCAACAAATCGTATTGCCATGAAAAACCCGCCTAACGACACCCGTCTAATGGTTTTTGGGACATCTAATGGGACTACGGGGGTCGAACCCGAACCGTGTGGATCGTAGCTCGCGACTGCGCCACGGTCATTAGGCGGGTTTTTCTCGCAAGGGGGTTTGTCGTCGTGGTGCAGCCGGGAGCGCCCTTGTCTATAGCCCACACGATTCGGGTTCGACCCCCCGTAGTCCAATTAGATGTCCCAAAAACCATTAGACGGGTTTTTCAGTTAGTATTCAATAAAGACTGATTGTAAGCTCGTCTAGAAACCATACCATTGTTTCAATGAGATCAAGAAATCGGGCATCATCTTCATAAACGGTGATATTGAGGGACGGATGCTAAATAGATTTGGATCAAAGAATCACAGTTATTGTCGAAAAGTTATTGTAGTTTTCTGCAGTAGAACCATGTCCGAAGGGAAGTCAAGCCAGAATCTAGCTTGGCCTTGGTTGACCTGACTGATTACTTTTTGCAATAAGCAGAAAGCTTGCCAATCGGAGTTTACTATTTTCAATTAAACCTTAGCTTTTTCAAATTACTTTTTCAAATTGCAATCTTTTTTCTAAGCCCTTTCCTATCAGCCACTCCTCTCCAGATATCCAACAATTCAACCCTTTTTGCAATAACTTTTGCAGAAAGCTTGCCAATCAGCGTTTACTATTCTCAATTAAACCTTAGCTTTTTCAAATTCCAAGCTTTCTTTCTAAACTCACCCTATCAGCCACTCCTCTCCAGACATTCAACAACTCAGCCCTCTTCGACCAATCCACTAATTCCGCTCCATGAAAAGCAGTGATAAAGAAAAAACGATCAATCACCAAACTGTAATCTTTTGATTTCTTTCAATCATTTCTAAATCTTTACCCATTGCTTGAATTCGCTGTCTGCAAGAATCCCTTCCAAAAAGAGAATTCCGGCCAAGCAAGAAATTTTCCCAAATCATCTTGTGTTTTCAGAGCCATACTAAAATGAGTTAAGTCTAGATTTTGCTCTAGTCTAGTGAGTAAAGACTCACCTTTCCTCCTCGAATTCAGCTTCATCAGCTTGTTGGAGAAATTCCTCGTAATCTCTGAATAAAAGAAGAGATTCAACTTTTCAAATTCTAACAAAAAACGATTCAAATTTCAGCTTTCAAATTTCATTATGATCAAATGTTTCTATCTCATTATAGATGTTTATCTTAATCAACAATTCCTCTAAAATTCTTACCGAAGAAAGAATTTTGTTGAATATTTCCCAAGCGCTGATGGAAGAGCCTCAAATTCGTCAACGAGTTCGCGCAATTTTCGTCGATTTGTCGAATTTCTGAAAGAAAAACGTGTTTGCCAAAAGGTAATTTATAAAGATAAAAAGAGGAAAAGCATAAAAATGAACCGAATATCCCCTGGATTATTGATGAGAACCCAACAAGTCGCATAATTCGGTGCGATGAACACTTTTCTTGCGTTGAAAATCTGAAAAACCCGATTTTTTTTTTTTTTCTTGATTTTCTTGATTTTCTTGATTAGTTGAAGGTAAAATAGCTGAATAACTTTCAATTTTTAACGTTATTTATCCATTTCAACCATTTCAACCATTTAACCTATTCAATCATGCAAATTCACTTACAAATTGCATATCAGATTTCTCTAGAAAAAGCCTTTGCGGATCGAGTTCGGGTTTGATTTTGAGAGTGCCACTAATCGAAATATACCTGAAATTTTCGTTTTAAAACGAAAGCAATGTGATTAATGATTCAAAAATTGTATATTGAATCAAATAAAGTCGAAAAAAAGCTCACCAATATACAGCCAGCAAGAAAATCAGCGACATAATCGTGTAGCGATCGGTGAGCACTTTACAGTACACTTTGACGATTCTGGAAATTCTTGAAATTTGACGATCAGCAGTTAAATAAAGATTCTAGAGATTGAACTTCTTTTAAAGTTGATTCTAAAGAATCTATATTCTAAAGATTCTAGATTCTAAAGATTCTAGATTCTAAAGAATCTATATTCTAAAGATTCTAGATTCTAATGATTCTAGATTCTAATGATTCTAGATTCTAATGATTCTAGATTTTAAAGATTCTAGATTCTAAAGATTCTAGATTCTAAAGATCCGAAAGATGCTAAAGTCTAAAGAAGATTCTAAAGAAACTTCTTTGTCCCGGTTGTACTGGATGAGCTTTCCGAGGTCGAGTGCTGCGTCTCATAGTCGACAAATTTGAGGGATTTTCTTTCGTTTTCCAATTCCCATCTCCCGACGACAGCCATAAGCGCAGTGAAAATCGTCAACTGACATTGAAATAAAATCATTTTTGAAAAATATTGCTTTGATTGAAGAATTGAAGAATTGAAAAAAAAGAAAGTATCAAGACGAATCGCTTCAAACACTAGATTCGACTAATCAAGCCAAAAGCAAGCTCTCAACCACCAAAGTACCGAGCTTTCTTTAAAGAATCGATGCTTTTATGGGGTTTTTTACAAGATTTTTTTCTCAAGGGTTGACCAAACAGAAAAATCTATCGAATTGAGATCCGAAGAGCTCTTCGGATTCGGAGAGCTCTTCTCCCAAGCTCTTCGGATTCGGAGAGCTCTTCTCCCAAGCTCTTCGGATTCGGAGAGCTCTTCTCCCAAGCTCTTCGGATTCGGAGAGCTCTTCTCCCAAGCTCTTCGGATTCAGAGAGCTCTTCTCCCAAGCTCTTCGGATTCGGAGAGCTCTTCTCCCAAGCTCTTCGGATTCCGGACAAGCCAAGACCATTGATTAAACACACTGTGAGTTATTCAAAAATCTAGATCGCTATTCAAATCGTCTATTCAAAAATCGAATTAGCTAACCTGATAAATGTAATCAAAAGTCACAGCGAGAGCGTTTCCAATAGAGAATAGTTGAATTTCGGGAGTGGGAGTGAGTGCACCGATTCCAAAGGCCAATGCATTCGTCAATGAGGTGATTGTCACCGAGGGACCCGTTTCAATCTAGGAAATAGCTTTATGATTTGATGGAATAAGTCTTACCATTCTACACAATAAGTTCTGCACTAAACTGCCATAGTTACAGTATTTTAAAGTTTCATTCTTCAACTCAAACCCACCAGCATTTCCCTCATTCTCGAGCGGAGATCCTCGTCGATGTCTTCTCGTTTTGCGTTGTGTTTTCTAAAGGATACTATAGAATAAGGAAACTAAAGGATACTATATTTAAGTCTTACTTATTTACACGTGTTTTCGTAAGAATCTCTAAAAACCTCTACAAAGAAATTGGCTGAATGAATTTCTCTAAAAATTTAGCTAGATACTTAACTTTTTAAGCTCTATCTTTTATCTATTAACACGAAGATAGGTTCCCTTAGCTAAAGTCTCTAAATAGCATCATCGAGTTACCATTTTTCATGTCTTTTCTTATTACGTCTTACTGTCTTACTAGATCTTATTTATCATTGAATATACCTTCGATGGTGACAGATTCTTTGCCATGAGTTCATCACAAGAAAACCATCATCAACACTGATTGCCAATACGAGAAATGGGGTCACACAAAGGATTGAGCCGAATCTGGATTGTTTTGTAGTTGAAAAGTACATATAGAAGAAAAATCCTAACAAATAACAATGCTATTAGGCTTTCCAGAAAGTCTTTTCTTTAGTGTAGGCGTCAGAAATCAGCGCTGACTCTGGCAGAAGCCAGATCGGTCTAGCTCAGTCGAAACATTTCTTGATATCATTGATTGAAATCAATCAATCAATGATAAATCAATGAATCAATTGATAATTCAAAAGCTGCAATAAACTCAATTTATAACTACAGCTATATATTCTTTCACAAACCTAAACCCAAACAAAAACATGGCGCCCATTGTTGTTCCACACGCCATGAAAGGCAAAATGCAAGCCGTAAGTGCAATTAGGATCTAAATCTAGTTGAAATGGTTAGTTGAAAAAGATATGGATATTTTAAGGTATTAAATTTCCATTAATCACTCACTTTATACTTGTTCCATTGTCCAAGACTCCTTGCCGAGATCCAAAAAGTTGTCGTCGTGAAAATCGTCATAATCAAAAAGCCGATTCCTAAATTAAATAAAATCAATAAAGTAAAATGACATCAATAAAATGCTAAACAAAAAATAATCGCCAAAAAATCACCCAAGAATGGTAACAGTGTTAAACCAGCACGAACGATTTCTGTAGTGATCAAATTATCCGTTAACACGTGCACGCTTATCGATGAGTATTCAACTCTAGATTAAAAAGGATTTAAAGATTTAAAGGCTCAATTACTTGTGAAAATATCGAGCTATTTCCATTTCGTACTCTTTCAAAGCCTCGGGATCGATCTGAAATTAGAATGAGGCTTGATAAAACGCGATTTATCTACACGAACACGAAACACGACTTGTTAAATTTTGTAGCTTGATCTATAGCTTGATCTTGAGTTGTAGCTTGATCTGTAGCTTGATCTTGAGCTGTAGCTTGATCTGTAGCTTGATCTATAGCTTGATCTTGAGCTGTAGCTTGATCTGTAGCTTGATCTGAAGCTTGAGCTTGAGTTGTAGCTTGATCTTGAGTTGTAGCTTGATCTATAGCTTGATCTTGAGCTGTAGCTTGAGCTGTAGCTTGATCTTGAGCTGTAGCTTGAGCTGTAGCTTGATCTGTAGCTTGATCTATAGCTTGAGCTTGATCTATAGCTTGATCTTGATCTATAGCTTGATCTATAGCTTGATCTGTAGCTTGATCTTCAACCTTTCTTTTTCCCCCAATCACTCACCTCATCACCGATCTCTGCTCGAAACTGAAGCACGATTAGCCCCAAATGGCGGATATTGTTGCTAATTTGGGGCTAGATTTCAAGAATTTTTTAGATATGCCTTTTCATCTACCGAATTGTTGATGTCCTTTGTCGCCTCAGCAACTTCCACAATTTCCTCCTTTTCGCTATTCTTGCTGGGGATCGCGATCTGAAAAAGCTCATGCAAGTTAGATCATACAAATTTACAGTTAGATCAACGTCAGAAGAGTTTACCTTGACTCCGAAGAAATTCGGATCCATATACAGCTTTCGGCCAAGTACAACAGTGACTGGATATCCGAGATCGACATGTGATGAGCCCGAGAGTGAGCCATTGTTCAAGAAAAAGCCTTTCTAAAGAAAAGCAATATGTTAAGGTTAAGGAAATGATATTCAGCTGTTAAAGCTGAGTATCATTTCAAAAAAAAGGATCAATATAAGAAAATACAGTATACAGCTCGCTAAAATATACCAAATGGATCTATTCAAACGCGGAGGGGGATTAGACTTGATTATATGTTTTCTAAAAGGCATAAACTTTTAACTTTTAACTTTTAACATTCAAAAGTTGCTCTAATCTTACCTTTACAGTGATTTAATGGGTGCTGTAGTCGTTTTCGAAAGCTAACATGGTTTAGAAACCTCTACAATAACCCCTACAATAACCTCTACAGAGCACTGTATTACTATAGAATACTATAGCTAAGTGTTACAGTTAAGTGATTTAATAGATAATGTAGTCGTTTTTGAAAGTTAACATGGTTTAAAAACCCCTACAATAACTCCTACAATAACCTCTACAATAACCTCTACAATAACCTCTACAATAACCTCTACAATAACCCCTACAGAGCACTGTATTACTATAGAATACTATAGCAAGAAGCAATCAATTACAATGCGTTTATCGCCTCAAAAAAGCACTTACCGCAAAATTTCTGACCGGCTCATTGATTAAACAAAATCCTCGACAAAATTCTTGATAATTTTCCTTTCCTTTTGATGTTTTCAAGTAAAAATCGTAGTTGATCTTGTCCATTACCTAAAATTATTCAATTTTTACATAAATTCGTCTTTCTCATTAATTTTTTTCTCTTTTCTCTTTCATTGACCTCGTTTTTGACGAAAACAAAGACAAATGAATGCCATTTTTTCTCATTTTTGACGTAATGTGTTTCTCTCTTTTTTTTCTCAAAATGACCTTTAATTAACTAATCAAATTATGACTCACAAGGGGAAGAGTTTGAGAAGGGGAAGAGTTTGAGAAGGGGAAGAGTTTGAGAAGGGGAAGAGTTTGAGAAGGGGAAGGGTTTGAGAAGGGGAAGAGTTTGAGAAGGGGAAGAGTTTGAGAAGGGGAATGGTTTGAGAAGGGGAATGGTTTGAGAAGGGGAATGGTTTGAGAAGGGGAATGGTTTGAGAAGGGGAATGGTTTGAGAAGGGGAATGGTTTGAGAAGGGGAAGAGTTTGAGAATGAATTGTTTGAGAATCAATTAGAAGTATTAGAAGTAAAGAATTTTAGCCTTCTTTAGTTTAATTGCATTGAATAATGGATGCTGTAGTCGTTTTCGAAAGTTAACATGGTTTAGAAATCCCTACAATAAACTATGATAGTTTAACAATGACAAAGTTCTCTGAAAAAGTGATCAAGTAACAATTTTCAACTATTTAACCTATTTAAAGTCATTGAATAAAGTCAAAAGTCAAATTTCTTTCTTATACAAATTCAATTGATTTTTGACGATGAACTAGCTTTGATTTTTGATAAAATCGGTCACCTTAAGGCAAAGATGTAACCAAGAAAGACAATCTGCTTCGGCTTTTCAAAAAGTAACAGTACCAAAGTCAAAAAAAAGTGATCAAGTGATCGGTTTTTTAAAAAAAATTTTGATAATTTACATTTCCTTACTTGAATCGTTTGATTGAGCGCCTCGATTGTCAGCAAATTCTCTCCATCTTTCGGTCGAATAAACGCATAGACGACTTTCGGCTCGCCTCGATCCGAGAAAAAACTTTCGTAGATCTGGAATAGTCGAAAATAAGTCAAATCTTTTCGCTCAAGAGTTCTTAAACAGGCGAATTCTTTATCGAAATTCTCTAGGCTTATCAAATTCTGTGCTAGTTTCTAGTTTTAAGATTGCTTTACACCCTATTTGTCGGATATACCTTATTCTCTCTAATAGTAGTGCACCGTGGGCTTTCCCTAAATTGGTTGTAATCTCGAGAACCGCTTATCAGAACCTATCGATGTGGGGGCGGAAAATGTAGCTGACGATGAGATCTTGTGGGGGATTTGAGTGTTGAGCTTCTGGGAAAACTTAGAAACCGTAAAATAGTCATCAACTCGGCTCGGCTGGGTGCGACTATTATTAGAGGAAATACGGTAGTTATTGGACCTGGTTTTGCATTTTGATCATCTACCAGTTTTGCCAGTTTTACCAGTACCAATTTTACCAGTGAAGCCTGTTTTCCTACTTTAAACATCAATAACCATTTTATATTATTGGATTACTTTTGTAAAAACATATTTGTATCAATTCAGTGAGACATTTTTGTCTTTTGTCACTACTATTAGAGAGAATACGGTATTTATTTAATTTTTTTTCTTTATTTATCATGTTTTTTTAGTCCGATGTGTTACAGATTTAGTTCTACACTTTTATTCATAGTTGAGGAAAGTATGGTTATTATTATTATTATTATTATTATATATGGAAACCAGCGGGAAAAGCCTCCGTGAAGCGGCTCTTTTCACTGGTTTCTAACTGAGCGCATCCTCTGTCGCTGTAGTGCTTCGTCCTTCGAACGGTTGTGGCTTACGCTTCTCGGTACTCCAACCGATCCGCTGCATTGTCGTTGATCCACCTCGATTGTGTTGATGATGATAATGATGAAGATGAGTATGCTGATGTGGATAGTGCATTGGAATTTTGTAATTTTGAGTGGTAATTTTGAGCAGCGGGGAGCGCGCTTTTCTACGACTTACACGAGCCGGATTCGACCCCCGTAGTGCCACTTAATTTGTCTTTTTTGTTATAAAGCTTGTTTGATAGCATTTCTGCTTTCAGCCATTTCAGCCAAATTCTCACCTGCAACTCTTGTCGACTTCTCGCTTGGTATGGCGTGAAATCCGAGATGTTGTTCTCCATTTCTCGAAAAGGAATGATCGCCGATAAAGCACAAGAAAACGCCGTGCTTACCTAAAAGCTTTTAATCAGAAATCTCGACGATATGAACACAGAAAAACTGTTTTCTATCAAGTTATCAAGAATACGGTAATTCTAAAATCAAATAAGTAGACAAAGTCTTGTTTTGTTTTGCATTTTGATAGATTACCATTGATTAAAAAAGGTTTTACATCAAGCCGGACACATAATTTGCATTTATAAGCCTGTATTTCCTTGAAAAGAAATCAAATCAATTAAATCAATTAAATCAATCAAATCAATCAAATCAATCAAATCAAAACAAAGCAAAGTAATTTTTAAATTTAAAATTCAAATTTTATGTCCATAAAACTTGATGTAAGACATTTTTGCAATAAGAAATATGGTATTTTAAAATTCTCTTTCTTTCTCTCCATTTAGCCGACTTCACAGCCTTTTTTTTGTGTGTTTATAGAATAAGAAAAAAATCTCGAAAATCTTTCTCACAATAATAAAAGTCCACGGAGCATAGCAGACAGCGTCGCCGACTTTCGAGAAGAAACCCTGGATACCTGAAATTCGTGTTTTCTTGCTGATAAAACAAAAGAAAATGGATAAAGATATCGGCTAAACTTGGGAATCATTTAAAGCATGACTTGGGAATGATTTAAATCATGACTTTTAAGAGAAAATTTGCTATACCTTGAACGAAAATTGTCTCCTTTTGACACCGGCCTTCTTGATCTTTCATTATGCCGAGTTTTTCTAAATGTTTCGTACACCCAAAACGTACTTTTAAAGACATAAAGATATTTTAGTCTAAATTGAAACAATATGCTGAAATTTGCTTAGGCTAAGGATAAGGATTTTGCTATGAAATTAGCTATGAAATTAGCTATGAAATTAGCTATGCAATTAGCTATGAAATTAGCTATGAAATTAGCTATGAAATTAGCTATGCAATTAGCTATGTAAGCAATTCGTTTTTGAAAAGTAGATAATTTGAATAGCTACAGCTACCGTAATCTTTAGATTTCAGGCTTTGAAAACTTTTATGAATATCTTTAGAAGCTGTAAAATAATGCAAAACAAAACATAAATTTTGCGCCAAACAACGCCAAAACAACGCCAAAACAACGCCAAACAACGCCAAAACGACGCCAAACAACGCAAATGCGCCAAAAAAAGCAAAGAAATTGGTTAAGGGAATCGAACCCAAGCCAAGTAACTTTGCAGGTTTTGTAGACTAGCACACTATCCGCTAGACCAGTGGAGCCGAAAGGAAAGGAAAAAGAGCCGATCGGAAAGGCCCCTTGTGGCGGCCTCATAAACCCCAAATTCGAGCTGAGATCATACTTTTGTTAGTTAAAAATTCGATGATTAAACTGTTAATCAAATGAGATCAATTAGAAGAATGGGTAAAATCTGAAGGAAAGATTACGGTAGTTTTTCAAATTAGCCACTTTTTAGAAACATTCGTAAGATAAACGCAAATCCAAATTATCCCAATTTTGATCAGTATACAAAACGAAATTCAGCACATAAAACAAAAGAAAAAGAAAAAAAAAGGAAAAAACAAATGGTCAGCAGAGGTGTCACTAATGGTCAGCAGAAGAAACGGAAAATGAGTGAATGGTGAGAGAATTTCCCTGAGAAAAAGAAAATAGAAGAAAAGTTCAGTCTTTTTTTTTTCTCTTTTCTCATCTTTACTAAACACAGATTTTCTCTCATCAAAACGAATCGAATTTGTCGTTTTTGCGATTTGTTCTTCTCACGTTTTCTTTTGAACTTTTGAATAGACTCTTCGGTCGGTCGTAGGGTCGAGAGATTCTTCAAAAATCCATTCAACGAGTTGATTACCTCAAATTTGTGGCAAAGAACAGAGGAATTTAGTGAACGAAAGGAAATCGCTGATCAACTGATCTCTTGAGGAGAGGCTGAATGCAGAAAGGGAATAGATTCTAGGAATAAAGCTTTGACAGGGAAAGCTAGAAAACATAGGAATAGGAAATAGAAAAACAGGAAATAGGAAAACAAAGGAAAACTAGGTTTTCTATATAGGAAAACTAGGTTTTCTATATAGGAAAACTGGGTTTTCTATATAGGAAAACTTAGTTTTGCAAATGTGCCCAAGGCTTACTTTTCCGTCCTTTCCCTTAGGCTCACGCTTCACCCTGAACTTATTGGATTCAGATACAGTCGAATCGAATTTGTCGTTTTTGCGATTTGTTCTTCTCACGTTTTCTTTTGAACTTTTGAATAGACTCTTCGGTCGGTCGTAGGGTCAAGAGATTCTTCAAAAATCCATTCAACGAGTTGATTACCTCAAATTTGTGGTAAAAGGCTTCTGATTGGCTTAAAAGCTTTTTCAAACCAGTCAGGAGCCAATCAGAAGCCTTTCCTTGAAAACAAAGATCCTAGAAATTTATCTAATTGACTAAATTTAATAATTTACTTCTAGCTCATAGCTAAAAATCTAATGGATTTTCTAAACTGGTAACTTTTAAAGTTTCGGTTCTATTTGTTGTCTATTCCTTTTCAAGTTCAGATTAGCTTTTCCCTTAACTTTTCTGGAATGCCCTTGAGCCTTGTTTCTCCATCTTTTCATTATTTATCTATTCGCTTCTCCCGCTGTGAGAAAATTGCTCAATTGGCTCACTTTCTTCGTGAGATCAAAGATAGAACTCGACAAAAAGGATGAACTTTGAAATTAGGTGAAAACATTTTAGGTTTGATCATGTGAGTCTAAGGAGTGAGCTTTTTGGTTGCGGATCGTGAAGGGGCAAAGAAGGGCAAAGAACAGAGGAATTTAGTGAACGAAAGGAAATCGCTGATCAACTGATCTCTTGAGGAGAGGCTGAATGCAGAAAGGGAATAGATTCTAGGAAGCTTTGGTAGGAAAGCTAGAAAACATAGGAATAGGAAATAGAAAAACAGGAAATAGGAAAACAAAGGAAAATTAGGTTTTCTATATAGGAAAATTAGGTTTTCTATATAGGAAAACTTGGTTTTGCAAATGTGCTCAAGGCTCACTTTTGCGTGCTTTCCCTTAGGCTCACGCTTCACCCTGAACTTATTGGATTCAGATACAGCCACCTGGCTTCAATTTTCAAGCTCAGATTGGATAGTCAGCAGGCGTAAAGGTAAAAAGGTAATCTATGGTGCAACGGCTATCTAGCCTGCTAAAAAAGCAACAACTATCTAGCCTGCTAAAAAAGCAACGGCTATCTAGCCTGCTAAAAAAACAACAACTATCTAGCCTGCTAAAAAGACAACAGCTATCTAGTCTGCTAGTTCAAAACTAAAACAAATGTTGGCAAATGTCAGATTTAGTCCAAAACAAACAATGCTATGAACTGTGTCCGTGAACTGTTTCAAAACTTTTGTTACAACAAAAAAAAAGAGAAAAAAGAAAAAGAAAGAGTGTTTGAAGAGTTGAAAGTAAAAGGAAAAGAGATGAAAATTTGAAAAACAGAAAACAATTGAGTAGAGAGAATTATATTGATATTGAAAAGAGGAGTTTTCTTTACTAAATTTTCCCTGAAGGGGGAACAGGTCTGGCATTGTCAGTGAATGGAAAGAAAAAGAGAGAATAAATGACACTCTCTCACGTACACCCATTCCCCTTCTTTCATTCCCCGATCTGTATTTTTCTTTCGCTTTACTGATTTCTTGCATTTTTTTTTTGCAAAACAATGTGCTTCACAAATTGTCATCGAATGACACCAGCATTTAAGAAAAAAGACTTTATTTCACAGAGTGGAGAAATCTCTTTCTACCTTATGAACTTTTGAATCGGAGAAAATCGGAGAACTTTTGAATCATTAAACATCAGAGAAAGGCGGGAAGGGTTTTTGTGAGGTAAAAATGCAGACTTTTAAAATATACCCTTAACTTCAGCTCATCAGAATCACTTTCACATTACAATAAAGTGCTTTGCTCATGGTTGACATTTGAATAGTTGACGCGTTTTAGAACAAAACGTTTCAACTTTCTTGACTACTATTGTAGTCAAGAAAGTTATAGTCAAGATTACTATTGTAGTCAAGATTACTATTGTAGTCAAGATTACTATTGTAGTCAAGACTACTGTTATAGTCAAGACTACTGTTATAGTCAAGACTACTATTGTAGTCAAGACTACTATTGTAGTCAAGACTACTATTGTAGTCAAGACTACTATTGTAGTCAAGACTACTATTGTAGTCAAGACTATTGTTATAGTCAAGCCTAGAGTTCGGCAAACAAAACCAAAACCAAAACAGACCAAAACCAAAACCAAAACACGAAAACAAACCAAAACCAAAACAAACCAAAACTCAATTTGCATATAAATTAACATGTAAATTTAAAATTGTAAAATGTAAATTTTAATGTAAAATGTAAATTTAAACTTGTAAAATGCAAATTTGTCTTTCACTTTTTCCTCACTCCACAAAATCTCGCGGCCGAAAAAAGGACCAAAACACGACCTCGAAATTTCGAAACAAAAAATAGCCTATGGGATAGTTTTTTGGATGCTGATTTCAAATCTGCAAACAGATTTTCGCTAGCTCCTCCCAGTCGCGAGATATTGGCGAGTTTTGGCTTTGGTTTTGTTATGGTTTTGGTTTTGGTGGTTTTGGTTTTGGTTGAGTTTTGTTTTCCGAAGTCTAGTCAAGACTACTGTTATAGTCAAGACTACTCTTATAGTCAAGACTATAACAGTAGTCTTGACTACTGTTGTTGTATACTTTGTGTTTCCTTGATATCATTGATGTTGATCTAGTTTTAGTGATGTAATTTGAGTAGTTGACAAAATTGATTTAACAATATTAAATTTATTATTTAAACAAACAATTTAACAAAAATATTAGGCAATCCTTTTCAAAACAAAAGTTCGACAACGAATTTGACCAAAGAGAAACAATGCTGTGAAATGGCGGACAAATAGGGCTACGGTAGGAGGTCGGCACTTTAGAAAACACTTCGATAAACGAATAAATAATCTGTGGGAAATGATTTAAAACAACTATTCTCAACAATTCTCAACAATTCTCAACAATTCTCAACAACTTGTCGTAACCTTGTCTCTAGCTTTTATCCAATCTATCTACCTAATTCTGTAAGGGTTCACGGAGGACACCGAAAGATGCCAAAAATAGATGGATTGGTTAAAAGCTAGTGGTAATATTACGTTGTTTTAGAAAGTTAAAATGTTTTAGGAAACGGAATGAGAAGAGAAGGCTGAGGTTTTATGCAATTCATGCACAATCAACTGCAAAAAGTGAATTTTTGAGCAGGGACCACTCAAGATTTTCATTTTTTCATTTTGGAGTGAGAAAAGAGTACTGTAACATACTTGTAGCAGAATCCAAGGATTCGTTTGTGTTTTTGAAGAAAAAGCACAGAATTCTGAGCGTTTTTTAAGTTGTTAATCGAAAATTTTCTTTTCAGGTAACCTCGACCAGCTTCAAGTCTAAGTCCAATCAATCCTCGATTCACCAATTTTTATCCCAAAATTTGATCACATAGTCTCGTTTTGTATTCAAAAATGTTCAAATCTTTTGCTGATACTGAAATTAAATTTGTTTCAATGGATTTCCATGTTGTTTGTTTCCATCAAAGTTTCGATGATCAGTTTCAAATGCGAGAACTTCTCCCAAATTCATGGCTTCTGTTGTGAAGCAGAGGAAAAGACAGAAAAGAGGATAAGAGAAAAGTGGGTCCTTTTCGGGGAAACGGGTTGAGAAAAGGAAAGCTCTGGGAGGGTGGGGCCCAAGAATGGGAAAGAGGGATCGATGGAAGGGGGGTGAGCTCCCCCTTTCTCTTCTTTCACTTGAAACGAGGGCCTCCGGTGGCCGCTCGTCCTCTTTTCCCCGAAACGAGCTCCTGCAACCTAATGCCCCTAATACTTCCCCCATCGCTTTTCTCCTTTTTCTTTTTATCTACCCAACATTTCTCGTCGAGTCATAAGACCAATCTTTGCATCTTTGCGGCTTTTAAGGTCTTGAATTTCTCTCAATCTTTAGATTCGACAGCTAGAAACTAGAAACGACAGCTAGAAAAGAATAGAAACTTCTAAAGAGGCACACTTTTATCACTAGCTAAGAATATGAGACTGATTCTCAGGCTCAGCAGCCTAAGCCTAAGCCTAACAGGCTCGAGAGCTGCATTCAAGTTAAGATTATGCTATTTCTATCTTTGTTTTCAATTTTCCAACCCATTCTTCATTACTCCTAAACGCCCAACTTCGGTGTTGGGTTTCGTGTTTTCTGTGGTCTGCCATTCTTGGGGTAATTTGTCGTAAAGTCAAATTCCCGACATTATTAAAATGTTTTGCAGACCACAGGTATCTTTTGGCTTAATTCAAAGAATTTTATTTGCACTGTATTCGAATTTAGAGCTTTTTCGGATCAGCCAGCATAGAGGGCGAGAGTGCGGCGGCTCCAACGCCGCCCGCGGCGCAGATTGCGCCGGCTGTACCGGTTTGTTACTCTAAAGTTATCACAGAAACCTACCAATCAGTTCTGCTTCATTGAAAATTGTTTCACAACAATAACATAAACTACATGCAACTGTTTGCAGTAGAGCTTTTACAAAAAAAAATTTCAATAAAAACTCTCGAAAATTCTTTTCTTCTTCGGTTTTCTGAATTCGCCAAATTTGCGCTTTTCAACACACGTTCCTACCAGCTCTGATTGCTTATTTCTTTCTTGTCGACGATGCTTGCTATTTTGACGCCTTCACCGGATCCGAAAATGGCATAAAATCGATATAAAAAGCAAAAAGCCCAATCGGGGACAAAAAAATAACTGTTTTTGGGGGTCTGTATAGGTATTTAAACGTGTTTTCTAATTGAAAACAGTGAGAACTGAAATTATGAAGCAGAAAACGGAAAAAAAAGTTGCTTAGAAGTTGGGAAAAAGTGATTTGCCCTAGTGATTTTCATAAGCGCAAATTTGGCGCAAAAAGACGCGGCGCTTTTACCAGCACCTCCCTTTTTCAGCGCAAAATTAATTACCAATTTTTTTCCGATAAATTTGATTGGAGGGACAATGTTTTATACTCGGCTGTGGCAAAATTTGCTGAATTGGACGTATTGGCCTGTAGTAAAGATTTCTAAAATGGGAAATTATGCACACATTCGAGATGAATGAGATGAAAAGAAATTTTAGGCTCCAAAAGCTAGCACCAGCCAAGCTCCAAGTTCAGCGCACTCTGCTGAAACTTCAGATTATCGTGTAGCTGTATTCGGTGCGGGCGGTGTCGGAAAAAGTAGCATCGTGCAAAGGTGACCAGAAACCCACTTTCCCAAACAAAAGTTTTAGATTCGTCAATGGGACATTCTCAGATAACTATGTTCCGACAATAGAGGATACCTACCGACAGGTTATACAAAAAGACCTTCCAAAAATCAAAATAAATTTCAGGTCATATCATGCAATCAAAAGAACGTTTGCACACTACAAATCACCGACACCACTGGTAGCCATCAATTTCCTGCAATGCAAAGACTTTCGATGAGTAAAGGACACGCTTTCATTTTAATTTATTCAGTTACGAGGTAAGCAAATACCCATAATGAAAAAGAAAGAGTTTAGCCGGCAAAGTTTGGAGGAGCTTGGACCAATTGTAAAAATGCTTATGGAAGTAAAAGGATCGTCTATTGCAGAAGTTCCGATCATGCTAGTTGGAAACAAAAAAGATGAGTCTTCGGTGAGATACTATCTATCGATTAAAAACGCATAATTAGAAAAGAGAAGTCTCTACCGAAACGGGCCAAAAGCTGTCTGGCAGATGGGGGACGGGTTTCATTGAAACGAGCGCAAAAAACAATGAGAACGTTACGGAACTTTTTCAGGCAAGTCGCAGAAAATATTAAAATCCAACTTTCTTTAGTCTTTATTGGCTTTGGAAAAGAAGCGTCAACTCGCCCTCACTATGGAAGATCCTGAAGCAAAAAACGGCAAAAAGAAAAAGTGTTCTTTAATGTAGACTAACATCCCAACCATTGCCCATGTTCGTTTCATAATAAATTTTACGCCTTTGCACTGCATTTTGGTTGTGTTACACGTTTTAAAAATAACGACAATTTATCAACAAAAAGAAAACAAACTTATTCCTCGCCATCAACATTTTGGTTTGTCAATTTCTTGAAGTTGGTGCAGGGGACGTAGGTGACGAGGGTGAAGAGCTTGTGCGGGCTGTCCTCATCGTCGTTTCGTTTGCGTGAAAGGCGAACGCGAATGCGGTAGGGAACGTTTCTAAAATTAAAAATACGTACAAGTACTATCTTGGCAGCTCAGTTTTCGATTTTCAAAAAAACTTACCTAAAGAATTTTGGCTGGCCGTGCAAGTTAGGACAGCTAATTGCACGACCGGTGTGGACTTGGCCATCCCTTCGCGGTTTCCTGAGGCTAACCTGAAGCTGTCCGACTCCAAGCTAGTTTGTTCCTCATTTCACCGTAGGGACGTTAAACCCCTGTACCACGTTACGGTTGTCCACAACAGGGGTTGAACCAAAAATACTCTGAAAAAAATACCTAATGCCCTTGGCCCACACAGCTTTGTTCAATCTGATGTCCACGCGCACGTCCTTGGTTTTCATTTGCTCCTCGGCGAATTTGCGGATCTCGTCGATGGCACGTGGAGCACGCTTCTTGAAACCGATTCCATGGAGACGCTTGTGAAGGTTGATCGTGTACTCGCGGGTGACGACCTCGCTGATGGTTGACCTCTTCTTTTCCTGCTGCTTCGCCTTAGCCATTTTACCTGAAAGCAAAAAAAGATTATCGTGGGGGGAAAAAACAAGATGAAAATTGAAAAGCTAGAACGATGGTTGAGATAGTTTGCGTAAAATGAAGGAATAGAAAGTCGATCGAAAAAATCCTAACGTGATTACGGTCGATCGCGGTGAGACGTTGTCTAAAAACGACAAGCGAATACAAATAACGGCTTTCATTTAACGCTATTCAGCAATCAATTTGTTCTGAAAAAAGGTACATAAAGGCACTTTAAAAGCGTTTGTAAAACTAATGTTGCGAGTTCGTCGTTGAAAAAGGCTTTATTAATAGGTTTTGCTTACTTATATCCTGTACCTTCTCAATTTGTTTCAAGAGTTTGTCTCAACACTTAGTAATATTGTATTTTCAGGCATGTTTTTCCGGATCATCAATCGAATCCAACCATGCACATCACAACAACGACTATTGTCTCGTTCGCCGGCACTGCAAAATTCCTTACTGCAGCAGTTTTTCGATGACGAGGAGAATTTCGGGAAACAAGAGTTGAGAGCAAAGAAGAGGCCGGGTCGTTCGTGGACGAATGAGGAACTTCGTCTAAAGAGCAGCGAGGATTTGCACAAACTATGGTACGTGTGCTTGAAAGAAAGAAACATGCTTTTGACGATGGAGAAAGCACACAAAGCTACGGCTCGCCACTTTCCCAATCCAGAACGACTTGACCGTGTGAAAGGAACGCTGAAAAACATCGAAGAAGTTGTACACGAGAGAAATGACGCTTATTATCAATTGGAAACTGGTGACAGCGCCTCGGCACCGAAACGAACGGTCACCTCATTTATGGGATTTACTTATGAAAAACGAGCTGAGGAACACTACTCTCCTCCAGGAGAAGGACAAAAGGGATATGAGGTTCCTTATCTCGATGATGATGCCTACCTAATGCAAAAGTTGTGGAACGAAAAAGAGCTTTGTAAAGAGCGTGACCGAAAAGATAACTTGGCTCGAAGACAGCTCGCTAACGATGAAATGAAGCACTACAAACGCGGGGGAAGAAGAACATTCGATCGATTGGAAGACTTAAAAGTTTATCAATAAATTGCATTGATTTTGTTTTTTAATAAATAGTTATACAGTGCTTATCAGAAATTCAAGAGCAGTGTTTCTTCACTGTTTTACTTGAAAAACATTTTTTGCATTTTTATAATTTCTTTTTTCAAGGAATGAATGAAGAGAGTAAGGGTCATGGTCACGGTGGTGGTCCGAGCATCCGCTCTCGTCCCGAATCGGTGAGTTCCCTAGTTTTACGGAAAACATTGTTTTTCTAGAAACTTCTGGTACAACATGCAATTGATGAGCAGGATGGAACTGATAAATTTATGAGCGAAAACTTTCGATTTTATCTACAAAAAGTTGGCACTCTTTCGGAAAAGGTCTATAACAAAAACGTTTTTTATTAAAAAATGGTTGATTTAGGAAGCCATCGACACCCTCCTAAATGTGGAAAAGAGCGAATTCGAGCGGATGCATTATGGACTAATTTACGGAATTTTGACAGAGCCGAACAACGCTCAAAAAGTACGTTTTCATGATTTGTTTGACTATAATTTGTCGGTTTAGTATTTTTCACATCTAGCGACTATTACATCCGCCCCAGGCCGAGGGGAACCATGGGCTATGGTATCTTTTTTTTAATAATTATTAGCTTATCGTTTTTATAGTCAACGTATGCGATGTCTTTGGTCATTGATGAGCTTTTCCATAAGGTTTAATACTTTAAATAGCTGCAATCATAGTGCTTTTAGATGTTAAAACATGTTAGATATCAATTTCTATTTCTTTTTAAAGAGGCTATGCGATTGGATGTAAATCAGGTACGCTTTCTGATTTATCTTTTTACGTTAATATTTAAAGCTTGATGGGTCTATGCTAGAATTTGTACGAGGCCTTGGCGACGTTTTTGCAATAGATGAAAGGTGTGTCAACATGATAACTTAAAAGAGATTGAATAAACTTTAGGAACGCGTTGTATGATCAGTTTCTTGGTTTATTAGAAGCAAACCGACAATATCTTCATCAATTGAAACCAACTTTGAGACGGGTATATCTTAGAAAGCAGAGATTATTTAAATAAACATTAAACATTTTGATTCTAGGGTCACAATCAGTTTGTTTCATATATTGTGCACACCTGTACGCATTTGATATGTGATTTGCCGCCAAATGGTCCATTTGAGGTAAGCCTGATAAATTTGTTAATGCAAAATCTAATTGTTTAAGCCACTTCGTACAAAAGCGATTGACCTCTTAAATTGGTCAATAAAAAACCGTGTTCAAGATGTCGGGATGCTGGGACGAGATTTCATTTTGACTTTGATGCGCGGCTCGAAAGTAATCTTTTGATCAAATACTTATTTTATGTTACATTCGTTTTAGGTAAAAGAGATAAGCACAATCTTCGAAGATCTTCTTAATGGATCAAATCGTTTTGAGCCGTTCCAAGGTACACTTTTGCCTAGCTCTGTTTTAATCTTCAGCTTTCAGGTTTCGAAGATTTCAAAAGTCGATCGCCTTGTTTGACGCTTCAACGTGTCAGCCCCAGTTTGCAAAAGAAACTGCAATTTTTCTATCAAATTCCCCGCAACTCTTTTGATCGCATTGAATGGTTCTGGAAGCTTCTTGAAGACGATGTAAAACAAATTTAGACCATCCACTTTAGTAAATTTTAGTATTTACGGCCACATGGTGAAGACAATGGATGGTTACGTGGAGAAATTTTACGTTATCTTCTATATTCACAGGTCCGTTCATAAATTGGGCTGGGAATATGTTTGTTTTAGCCTCCTGCGCCACAGGAGCAACAGATACAGCTTGATGTGAAATTGAACATTTTGACACTACTTTTCTTGCAAGTAAAGGTAAATTGATGAAACAAAGTCAAACTGGTTTGCAACTCTTTTTTTCAGCAAGAATCTATCGAGTTACAGTGGATGAAAATGTGCCTATGGTTTGATTGGTTAACGTTTGTCCCTCCACAACCAGGAAAACAAATTCAGGTTTGCTTCGGAAATTATCTGTAGCTTATAACCGGTTTCAGCCTCAAATGCTAGGTCCTTTGCAATTAACGTGGAACTTCATACGCGCATGTTTTAACAGTTCTCAACTGGCGATCATTACCCTCGGGAACTCTTGTTTGCAATTTCTCTTGAAGGTTTTAAATTTATTTATGCCAAAGACAATATTTAACTAGGCTGCTGAATTAGTCTGCCCCAAGCTAGCACCGAAGTTTCAAGAATCTTGTGTTGGAGCTCTTTCTCTTCTACGTGAAACGCAAGGAATGAAGTAAACCTTTTTAATAGTAATCTATTAGTTTATGTTTAGCTTCATTTCTCAAGTTTTGGATAATGCGCGTGTCGATCGATCGTATCGAAATCAACTGCGTGAATACTTCAAGGTTTTTACTCTCAAGTTAATATATACTGCGCTTAAAATTATTCATGCACTAAAACATTTTGTGCGCTTATAGGATTTTGTTCGTCAGCCAACGGTGCCAACACCAACCTCCAGCGAACCTCAACTTCAAGCTCAACCCCAGGTCAAGCTGGAACGTCCCGCTCCTGCCATGTAGGTGGTATTTTTACCTATCTCTAATGTTAGTTTTAGCGAAGATGCGGAAGAGGCTAATGAAGTGCGAGATAAATTTACCCAGGAAAAGAAAAAAGAACGTGAAGAGCATGATAGGGAAATGGAAAAACGGCAAATTACAAATCGAGCGGTGCTAGAGGTTGTGTTTTAATAGCGCTTACAATTTAGTTAAGTTCCAGCTTATAAATCAATATTGGATTTAGGCTGATGTAAATGCAAACAAAGAATCTCGGATGCAAAGCTTGAAAGAAGTTATGGAGCTATTGGTCCCTGATATTAGAGAAGCAATTACGAAAATTAGGCTAGTTTTAAGTATATTTATTAAATTGATGGATTATTTTAGAGATGTTTTTAACGATCCATCAAATGACGCCATGAAGCGATCTGAAGAAATTCAGGAATTAATTATGACCATTTTAAGAACAGTAAGTGTAACAGTAGTTGTAACAATTAAGTACATTTTTAGGAAAGTGTCGTAGTTGAATCTGAACAATTGGAACTTGTTGGTCAAGCAGTTCATTATATCCTTGGGCCACTAGTGGTAATCTTGGGTTGAAATACTTATACATGTATGAATTTCAGAGTTGGGTAGACTCGGCACTGCCTGAAAATCCCAATCCCGACAATCTGGAGGAATGCTTCAATGCTCCAATCAATGTTTTCTTCCGCAATGTTGTTCGTCGAACCCACGACGACCCAACTCATAGGTTTTTTTCTCTGTTCAAATTGGAAAATTTATAAAATTCAGGAATGCAATAATTCAATTGATTGCCGCGCTTCGTGACAATAATTCGGCTGTTGGATACTTGTTATTATTCTTCTTAAAGTACGAGACTTTAAGTAAAGATGTAAGTTGTTATGCTTTCAATTAGACTTATAAAACTAGGTAAATGATATTTAGTCAAGTGATCCAACTTCCCTGGACGTATACAGCGACATCGCACCTTTGGCAGATGTAGAAGTAGAAGAAATGCTTGCCGATGATCTGCAGGTGCGTCTAAAGTTTAGCTAGTGACATTTATTTTGTCCCTTTAGGAATGTGCCGTCACTGATATACGACTCTTTTCATACTTGTTACCATTTGTGTATAGATTCAAAGAGGTTTGCTTCGACTTATTAGGACTTCTAAATTAACTATTTAGGCATGTGGTAACGTTAAATTGCTTCGAGTCGCGTGCAAATTTTCTGATCCAACCGACATTTTGAAACTCATTAGCGAAGTCGGCTCGTTCACGACCATATAGAATAAAGATTTTTTAGATAACAAAAGAAAACATGACAGTATTCAAGAGGACCTCGTTTGCTAATTTGTTAATGTCGACGGCTGATTGGGAAATTACAGAACAATGGGTGATGTGGCAATTAGGTTGACGCTGCTTGTTAATTTTAATATGTTTTTTTAGTCCACGGGCAGGGTATTTCTGTTGAATGGTGTCTTCCGTTAGTTTCACGAGTCGATGCTGTACGTCACCAAGTACTTGCCACAAACCTACTTTTGATGTTTAGGAGATTAGAAAGGTTAGCTTTTCAGGATTTTAGCAATTTTTAGCCGATAGCTAGTTAAGAGAAAAAAATTTGAAGTTTTATAATACAATTTTTTAGAGAACCGAATATGGCCATGATTAAAGCAATCTTTCAAAGACCTTGTGATTCTAACGATCAAGTGGCCATTGATATGTTGAAGGTTCGTTTTCAGATAAAAAATGTCCAGATTATTTTTTCAGATACTGATTGCTGATGAGGAGGTTTGTATCAAAGTCTGCGAAATCATCAATTCAATTTTTGAAAAAGGAATTCAGGTTACCAATTTTTTGTAACTCAAAGAGCTTTTTTCAGGGTGGTGATTATTTGCTCCAGGGAGGCAAACAAAAATTGGGGCAGAAACAAACAAAATTAACTTTGGAACAGGTATTTTGTTAAGTCACAAAACTTTTTCTAGCGCGTTTTTCTAGGTCGTTGCGCATTTACAGAACTTTGCTCATCGTTGCCTATACAAAGATAGCCATCAGGTAAAGCAACTTTGTCAAGTAATAATTATCAACAGATATGTTTAGGCGGAAGACTTTCTTTCAAGATCCGAATTGCGAGATGCGTTCACGCTGATCACAAAGTCAAAGGAGAACTGGGTAAAACAGCATTCTAGTAAAAACAATGAATCAAAATTTGTGCTCACTTAAATGTACTAAAAAAACTTTTATTTTAGGCAACAAAGTTGCGGGAAAAGTACAGCGATATTTTCACGACAGTGATGGAACTACGTGGAGGTGGAGAGATTGCCACGAGGAATCTCAGACATGGGCGAAGGGCCGGTGGGCAAAAAAGAGAACGCGGAGCGACGGCGTCAGAATCGGTGAGCGAACAGTTTTGATTTCTTTAGTGCTTTAGTGGATCCTAAAGTTTTAATACAAATTGCAATTTTAATACAATTTTAGGATGAAGTACATCAACCACGCCCGAAAAAGAGTCAGAAAAATGTGATAGAATCTGAAGACGAAGACGATTGACTTTAATAAATGTTTATTTTTAAATAATTTCCCTACTTTTAGTATTTATTGATTATAGTTTTTCATTGTTATATTGCTCTGTAGTTTATTGTTGTTTTTTTGCACATTCGCCTATGCCTACTCCACTTGTACTTTACATGTTACGCGGATCTCAATAAATAGTTACAGAGAACGGCGATATTTGGCAGGATTTTTGTTTATAGCAATTCCGTTACAATGATTTACAGACAAACATTTAATGGAAAATGTTGTTGAGAGTTGTGCCATAGCGAAGATTTTTCAAAGTGGGTAAACACTAGACATGTGCCTCGATTCGACTCGAATCCGGCAAACTCAACTCGAAATGACTCGACTTTTTTTTCGAGTCGACCGACTTGACTAGATTTTACGTGAACAATGTGGATTCTCTATTCTAGAGCGTGCTCAGTATATAAAGCAGTTTTTTTCAATTTTTTTTTTGCCATTTGTGAAAGTTCAACCTTTGTTTTTCTAACAATCTTTGAAGTTTTAGTATATGTCCTTCTGTATGGCAATACTTTGCAAAAAAACAATATTGCAACATTTGGAACAAAATAGCTCTTTTACATTAGCCAGGCTGTTATTGAAAAATCCTCGAAGGCAAAATCTAAAGGACTCTACTGCCCATGATTTGTTAAACATTAGCTGCAATCAGCCTCACGTTAAGTTTTTTTCCAGATATTTTATATACTATTTTTCGCTTAGATTACATGAGTTTTGACTCGAGCTGGCTCAAGGCACATGTCTAGTAAACACTACCCGTTTCCTAAACCGTGCCCTATACTGTTATCGTAGTCTCTTGTCGCGTTTCATGTAAACCTTTAGGGAGAAAAATCATTCACTTCTCACTTCTTCCTCCGGCGCACAACTTTTATGTCCCTTCACTTTTGATTTACTGGGTTACAAACTTGACACATTTCGAAAAGGTCGTAAAAGTACCCTGCTATCCGATTTTTACAGTAGAATTCTAAAGCAAAAGTTTCGAAGTTTGATCAAGCGCATTCCTGTTTTTGTCCATTCTTGCGTTGATAGGTAGTTGTATCTCATTTTTTTTATTCTAGTTGCGTATGTTTTCCATCCTTTCAACTTCGGGGTATGATGCAGGAAATAGTAGCATTGATGTCTCGAAAAATTTATTTGGAAAAACACCAAAAGGCAGGTTTGTTTGTTTGTTGTTTGTAGCACTTTATTTATTTTAGACGATTGCCCCCGGCTGGAAGGAATGCAACAAAGACTCCCGGTAATCGAACACTTCCAAGAGGCACTATTGCAGGTTGTTTAAACATTTATTCATTACAATTTAATAGAGACGAATATTGTTTTTCGATGGCCCATAATCACTTCTTGCTGACATTTTTCTTGGCGTTGACGAGGCCTAAAACATGATTGTAGGTAACAGTTCGAAGACTAACCGTATATATCCAGTGGTACGGCGAACTTAGGAGTAAAGTTGAACCCTTCAATCGGGCGCCAAAGGTTGGCAGCATTGAGTGGAATTTTCTCTTCTTCGTCCCCTTCCACAGACCTTCCACAACGGACCATTAAACAGTGCACCTAAATAGTAAAAATCATTAGAAACACCACATAAATCTCATACATTATTCGTAGGTAAAGTCCTCCACGTGCTTCTTGCCTTTCTCACAAAATCGCCTAACACTCCTTTCTTGTCAAATTGAATCACTTCTAACGCCTCTTCATTATCACTGATATGGAAAATAAAGAATGTTGACTCGGTTTGTACAAACTTTGACATCGACATTCCGTATGGCTGGACTAAAATCTTTGCTGACCGAGATCATCGTTTCTCATTGCTTCCAACTTTGATACATGTCTAGTTCCTAAATAATTTTTCTAAAGCAAAGCATATTTGTGGGGTTTTTCAAAAGTCACCTTGCCGGGGAACATTATCCGTAGAGCTCTCACGGTGTCCACACGATGTTGAATTAGGCAGCTCTCGTTGGGGCAATGTGGCACCGCATCTAAAAATAAACGAAGCATGAGCAATGTCTCAGCCTTACTTTCTTTTTTTGAGTCGTTAATCATCTCGTCAATCAATCAGGCACGGCATGCACATCTCGTGTTCACATTCGTTCGCCGATGGAAAGTTGCTTATTGGTTCGCTGTCGCATTCAATTGATCCGAGGCAACTCTAAATTCAAGATTGCTTTAGAATGACTGGACGAACACCAACCGAATAAGTCTTGCGCGCCTTTCGGCCTCTTCGTTCGTTTGTTTTAACACACTTCCCAGGTTCACACACACCTTCCTTCAGTTTTTGCCAAGCCTTCAAGGCATTTCCAGCAGAAACGACCCTGTAATGCATGATAAAAATATAGCTACGGCATTCAAATGACAACAAGGAGCCATTTCGAGATCATCGATTGGTTTTTCTAATTTCCGAGGTCCTTCGCATTTTTACTTGATGTCCTCCATGTTGAGAGCTTTCCCACAATTTTCAACAGGGTAAACGCGTTTACTAAACAAATCAATATAAGAGTAAATATAAATGGCATGCACACCTTTTGTTCGCCAATGCGAAGCACTCGAGGCACAGACTGTGCTCACAATCAGTACACGGTTTTGTCGCTCCTGCATATGATATCTTTCTGTTGTATGTCTACATATAATGTTAAGCTTTATAGTTTTAAACTAGCAAACTCACTATCACAATTATTGTAATGCGGCGCTGTGGGAATTAAAATGGGTGAATAGCAAGCCTTCTTTGAACACATCTAATAGAATCTAATTTATAATAGAATCATTACCTTTAGTTTGCTAAGTCCTCGGTATTTTCAAAGCAATGGTGGCAGAAATAATGAAAACAAGGAAGCAATTACTAAATCCATAACTAAAAAGCATAAAAGATAAAACAAGCCTGTAAGTCAAATTTGCCCGTATGCAAATTTCACAAATTGTTATTAAGATGTAAATTTAGCTGTATGGGAAGGTCGAGGTGCTGATAAAGGATTTATTGGTTTGGCTTGGGCTGACGAAGAAAATGTGGAATGGATTTTGACAGGTAATTCTTTTTGTTCACGAGCTGTTATAGTTACCACTTCAGAGTTCCGAGATTCTAGTGGGTATACGACTTTAACCTCCTTGCTTCATTTATGCGATCCGAGTGAAGTTTGTGGTGCTCGAATATAAATATCAATGTTTTTCAGGTCTTGGTGGTGGATTCTGTCAACGACAAGGCAGCAAGTATACTGATGAATGAAGCTATCAAGTCTACGTTGCCATCAGTTGTTATCACATCAGTACAAAGGAGGTTGGTTAAAAATTAGGTAATGATAAAAATTGGTGTTGTTTTTTAGATTTTATAACGCTGAAAGAGGATTATCAAATATCAAAGCTTTGTCAATTCATGCTGAGGTTTTAAAGTCAGCAGAGGAAAGGTGTTTTTAGCGAAATCAATACTTGACGAAATTTTGTCTAGACCATATGCATGCGCAGCGATGGGAGCATTGATTCGATTTGTTGAGTTCAAAAATAGCATCATCTTAAGCTCGGCAACGATTCCATTTAAATTGCTAGAAGTGACACATGCTTGTCTATTAGGTTTTCAATAGTTTTCAGTCTATTTAATTTTCAACATTTTAGATCATGCTTCGTGGAAGAATTTAGAAATTGTGGATGAGTCTTTCGCAAGAAAAGAAAAACGAACTTTATTGACGGTCATCGATAATACACTTACAGCTATCGGATATCGGGTATTTTTGGTCTTTTATCAAATGATGCTTTTTAATAGATGCTCAGAGCAAATGTAATGCAGCCACTCACCGTTGTTTCGGCAATTGAACGGCGCCAGGAGGCGGTGAAGGAACTCCTCGAAAACCCAGTGGTTGGGTTATAAGTCCTTTTGGAGTGACAAACTAATATTTAGGCCTTTGAACAACTTTCGGCTTTGCTTAACCGAGTTTACGAATTAGATGGCGTTGTGAATGTTTGTTGCAGAGAATTCAATGAGCAAATCAAGCCTTCAAGAGATCAAGCAGAGAATGAAATACTTCAGGCACTTTTTACATTTTAACTCTTATTTGCAATTTCAGTTACTCTGGCTTTTCCAAACGTTGAAAATTGTTCCGTCGCTTAAAGAAATGCTTTCAAAATGCCAAGCTCCACTTCTAGTGGAATGCATGAATGTTTGTTCGGAATCTTTTAAAATAATCTAGTGCCTTTTTAGCGTTTGAATGACGAACGATTAACGAATATGGTTGATATTTTAAGTGACACACTTGATGATGCCGTACTAAGCATTAAAAGATCTTCGATCTCTTTGATACAACAAAAGTTATACGCTATTCGGGTGAATTGAAGATCAATTAGGTAACTTCATTCGAATTTTTAGCCAGGCGTTGATCCAAGAATTGATGCAGCGAGGGAAGTTTATATGCAAAAGTTAGCTTTAGTTGAAGCAAGTGGTAAGTTGCCTAATTTGTAAGAGGTGTTGATTTTCGGTTTTAGTTGGAGAATTGGAGAGCGCTCTTCCCGGTCACAATACTCGTTTGGCTTATTCGGTTTCAAGAGGCTTTCATTTTGTGTTGGTCGTTTTATTTGACGATATAAATATTTTTTCAGGTGGAACACTGAGCCGAATAGTGCGAAATTACCGTCCGAGTTTTTAAACGAAGTTCGCCATCGTACTTGCATCACATTTTCAAGCTTAAATCTACTTAAATTGAATGGTTTGATTATCACGCTACAAAAATATAGTTTATTCTATAGAGCGAATCAACATTGCCGAAGCTGAATTACTTGTAACTTCTGGAATCAGGGTGCAAAAGATCTGATTTGTATAATCAAGTACATGCCGATTTTAGATTAGAGAGTTGATTGTCTACATTCGCCCACTTATCGGCTCACTTTACGCACTGGTTGATGATTTATCTCTACTTGATATGCTTCAATCAATGGCAATATACGCTTCAAATACGGAGTCTTGTGAGTTGCTCTGCTTTGTGAATCGTTCTAACCTGGTTCTTTAGGTCTTCCTAAATTCTGTGAGGATATAATTATTGTGAAAGGAAAACATCCCATTCTTGATCTGCACAAATGTAACAATGTGGTGGCAAACGATATGGTATAACCGTTTGAATAGATACTTTACTAAATCGGTTTAGTATTTGACGAGAGATAACCGTTTTGCAGTGATCACTGGACCGAATATGGTATACTTTTTTCTAATAAATACAGATTCACTGTTTAAGGCTGGAAAATCGACTTTCTTGAAACAGCTGTGTCATCTCTGTATTCTGGCTCAAATGGGCTCCTTTGTCCCAGCATTGATGTGTAAAGTTCCAATATTTAAAAGGTTTGGGTTGAATGTTGCTTGCTGCGTTGCATCTGAAATTTCAGAATATTTTCTCGTATCGGACACAACGATAGCTTGAGACAACATCTTTCCGCGTTTGCTCTGGAGATGCGGGATATGGCGGCAATACTGGATGTTGCAAATCGAGAGGCGCTAATTGTTATTGATGAACTTGCCCGTTGTAAGCTGTTTCTGTAATTACTTTAGTTTATCAATTGTTTAGCGACTGCAACCGAAGAAGGAATAGCTATTTCATACGCAATCTCAGAGGAGCTGATACGCAAACAAGTAGCTGTTCTGAAATGATTTTAATATTCTTGTTTAGTCTTACACATTGCTCGCCACTCATTTCCTTGATTTGGCTGCCCTAGATGTTACCTATTCAGCAGTAGTCAAGTAATTCAACTTACTCTAATCTTGGCATTTTAAATTTAGTTTCCACTTCAAGTCGATTGATGAAGATGCAAATTTTGAGGCAACCAGACATCGTCTATTCAAGGGTCCCTATAAAGGACCACTTTATGGTTGGGTGTGCTCAATTACAATACAATAAAAAATTATAGGGTTCGATATTATTCAATTGGCGACTTTCCCAAAGGACCTGATCGAAGAAGCTGAAGCAATTGCTTATCGGTTGAGAGCCGAATCAGAGCAAAGAAGAGAACTGGATTGCAGTACGCTGAAACGGTTTAGTTTTTGTTAGTTCTTAATTGAGGTACAAAATGCTTAGGCGCGCTTTTCTTCGAACCGGACATCGTCTAAAAGCGGCTTTATCTCAATTGCGGATTGCTAACCACAAGGCTCGTTATGAATATCTTTCTTCTTTACGAAAAACGTTGAAGGTTTCATTGAAGTCACATTATTTGTACTTTAATCATAACAGGAAGAACTGAAACAACTGTCGGAAAACTACGAAGCCTCAAATCAAGAAACCACATCAGCTCAGCAGGAAAAATTCGATGTCGATAGAATATTGGACGAGTTTGAGGCTCAATTAAATGATGACACACCAGAATGTTTGCCCTCGGATTCAGAATGCGAAAACAGTCAACAGGATAAACACGTCGTTTGCGTAGTCAAAAGTCAAACTCAACAAAAAGAAAAAATGGATAGAGGATTTTTGGATAGAACTGCTTGATTTATATTGATGTTTTGAACTTTTTGCGGTTTTACTAATCGTTTGTGAAGTAGTGAAATGTCTGTGAGTTGTGGTTAATATAGATTTTGTTGATTTTATATTTCTGTTTGTTTATTACTAACTTGTACAATGTGTGATTGTAGCATTTTTTGTTTTTGGAATAAAAGATTCATAGATTTGCTTCTTCTTTGCTAAAGTGATTTGAGCGTTTTATTGTACGTCCTATTTCGCGCTCTTTTTACCGATCTTTTTCTGCCCGGGCGGCACTTTCTGATGAACAACTTTCATTATTGCTGGCGTAGTATCGTGGTTTCGCTGTTTTTATTAAAAGCGTCAACTTTTTAACAACTTTTATGCATTCTATAATTTTAGGTAATGGCTTGGTTGCGTCCGCCACCCGCCGGCACTCATCTGTTAGTCCCTTGCTTTTTGCTTTTATAGTTACTTATTTAGGTACCCTTGGGTCCCAGATGCGATCTTCATCCCCATCTCGCGGGCTTTTGAGCGTGTTGGCGTTTATTTCTATAACAGGTTCGGCTTCTTCTATGAAATTTAAAGCGACTAAACGATGGTTTTTTTGCTTTTTTAGTTAAATTTAAACCGCTTGCTTAGCGCATTTGCAGACCGCAGCCATTATAGCATAGAAAACACTATAGAACAAATTTGATTGTCTTTTAAATAAGTAGTGCAATTGTTATAGCATAGGAACCATAAGTAAAAAGCTATTGTTTGTGTTTCATTCGAAATTTTTTGGTTCAGGGTGTTGAACAAGACTGAAATCGGACTCTTCAACAAGAAATGGAACCCAAAGGTTCACGGCCCTTATTGTCATTGGCGATATTATGGAAAACGTAGGTTTATTTTTAAAAACTTGTCGTTTAACATTTCTTTCACAGAGCAGAAAGGTTTTATTTCATAAAACTGACGGTTTAAAAAATTGTACATTGAGTTGCAAGTACATTGATTGTTTTAGCTGATACCAAGCTTTTTGATGTCAAGATCGCTGATCTGCCTGCATGGATTGGACGTCGCGAAAAGACCCCCGGCGCTTTCTACAACGAATTTATGCGAAACGTCTGGCGTGTTCATAACCTCTATTACTCGGGACCAGTGTTCAACAACACGGTAAATTTTAGAGTTTTAACATTTTATTTTAGTTAGGTAGTATTAAGCAGCTACATACAAGTACATTAGAAATTTACGTTTGCAGTAGTCGTGCTGTGATTGCCGTACGCAAATAGATGAGCCATATAATGTGCAACTGATTAATCATTCTTTTTTATTTTAGATCAAGACGATCTTCCGTTTCATCTTCTGCTTTTCGTTCTTGAATTGGCTCGTGAAGTCTCACCGCTATCTTGATTTCCAAAAGACGTACTATCACTGGTAGACGTGTACTACAATAAATAAAGTCTTCTTGATGTTATCGATTAGAAATCTGTTACAATTTCTAGGCTTTCGTCTTTTGTAATTTTATGCTATGAAAATCGATGATAAATAGTTTTAAATTTTTTTTGGTTTGTTTATGTACTCATTAATTAATGCGCATGTGTATTTGAAAGATTTATTTGCTGATACTAAAAACGAGCAAGAATTTGTCAGTGGTCAATGTTTACAATTCGGTAGGCGTCTTGAGTAATTTGAGGAAAGCTCTGTGTGGGAACAAAATTTCGCTTTCGGGATTCTCCCGTTCAAACCCGTTTGGTCTTAAGTTTTTGTATTTGAGGCGCCGTCTGAATCCAGTTTTTCCACATTCCGTTTTCAAATGCCGCCTTCTTTGAGATTTTATCTATGAATCGCGCTGGGTAGTTTCGATTTCCCCCAGCTAACCACATTGCCAGAAAGCTTTCAATTCTGTGTTTTAGACCTCGAGATGGGTGAAACAAAACGTGGCGCTTTAATCATCTTTGAAGGATTGGATCGATCGGGAAAATCAACTCAAGTAATACTTTTTATTACTAAGAAATCTTGCCTGATTAATCAAATCTTCGAGTTAATTTTTATAAATTGATTTTATGCGAAACGACTTGTCGAGTATCTTCGTTCAAAAGGCAGAACTGTTGAATTTATACCGTTTCCAGGTAAATTTATGATTAAATAAGCACTCATTAAAAATAATTAAGACAGATCAACGCCTATTGGAAAGTTGATCGATATGTATTTGAGACGAGAGATTGATATGAGTGAAGAAGCTCTGCATCTTTTGTTCTGCGCAAATCGGCGAGAAAGAGTAAGTTTTTGTGCTATCTATGAAATGTTGTTGAAAATCTTTATTTATTCATGATTTTTGGTTTAGGTGGATTTTATCCAAGAATGTATATCAACGGGAATCGATGTCGTTTGCGATCGGTACGCCTATTCAGGAGTTGCTTACTCGTTAGCAAAAGGTTTATTATTTTGCGTTATTTAGCTACATTATCTATCAGACTTCAAAAGTCATTTGAAAATAATATTTTCAGGTCTTCCTGCTGATTGGGTCAGAGCTGGAGACGTTGGAATGCCTCAACCAGACGTTGTGTTGTTCTTTGAGGTATTTAAATGATAATTCAAGGAACTATTTTTTCCAGGTCTCACCCGAAGTGGCTTGTCAACGCGGTGGCTTTGGTGAAGAACGTTTGGAGACGGGTGAACTTCAAAGAAAAGTCAGGGAGACGATGAAACTACTAAGAAAACCATTTTGGCAGGTGGGGTTTGAGGGAAAGCTTTTAAAAATACACAAACGAGATGAGTTAAACTGTTTTTTTCTCCGGCTCACTAATTTAATTTAATTTTCATATTTAGATGGTCAACGCCGACGGTGATGTCCAGACAGTTGAGGGAGAAGTACGTGCGATTGTCGACCATTTGGATCTTCATTTACCTCTTCAACTTTTGGACCAGATTTGATTATTCGTATCACTTTATTTCAAACTGAATCTTTTTATGAGTTTAATTTATAAGCCCGTTGTATGATATTGATTCCGGATACTCTTTGAGTGCATAATTTTGGTTTTAAAATTGGTCTCGACATTTTCTCACTTGCCAATATCATTAGTGTTTCTAACCTGTTCACAGGATCTTTCGTCGTGATTTAAGTATTATTGTCTGCGAAAATTTTGTAATTGTGTAAAATTGTAATTATTGAATTGCTTAGTATTTTCAAAAGACCACAAAATAATGTTTTATTTCAGTAATAAATCCAAGAATAGAAAAAAGAATCACAGAATTCGAATACAGGTTCGAGTTTCTGAAAGAAACAACGGTATAGGTGAGGAACTAGAGATGAGGAGAGGAAATTGGGTGTAGAACTGATCGAATTTAATATACAGGAGTTGTTTTGATCATCGAAGTGACGCCATCTTCATCGGGACTATCAATGGCGCCCTCTTCGTGTTTTCTCAGATGTCGATCGAGGTTCGTTTGTTGACCAAAACAACGCTCACACTTATGGCACCGGAATGGGCGTTCCTATAACTGGAATGATACGGTAGAGAGGATAAAATGGAATTTAATTTTCATTCAATTTCGAAACTAAATTGAAAATTTGATTTGAAATTTGACTGGGTTCACCTTGTTGTGAATGTTGCGCACGTGGCGTTGCAGATTTGAGGAGATCGAAAATGAGCGTTCACAGTGTTGACACTGAAATTGGGATTAGTTTTTGAGAAGTTTAGCTATTATAGGTTCAATTACAGTATCTGGTGTTTACAGTCAACTCGCTGGACTTCTTTGTCCCTAGAATACTGTAACTTTACAATTGGTATTTACAGTAGCCCGCTGGCGTTTTCAAATTAACTTTTATTAACTGAAAAATTGCGTAAATTTTATCTCATCATCTTATCGGATCCTTAAATATTACGGGACTTTCGAGAACTCAAAATGGGATGTGGGGAAAGGATGTGGCTAATCTCTTTAATTGCTAAAGTTGTAGCTAACCTCTTCAATTGCTATAGATGTGGCTAACCTCTTCAATTGCTAAAGGTGTGGCTAACCTCTTCCTTAGCACAGCACAGAACTCAAAACCTTAGCACAGCTAACCCAATCCCTCTCCTCAATTCATTTTTACTCATTTCTCCCATTTATGCACATCATCAAGCCACAATGATGAGCCACCAAGCAGATCTTTTCCAGCTCAATTTAGCGCACCTGGATGACGCAATACAAGTGGCCCTTAAGCCGGATGAGCTGGCAATAATATTGACCTCCACTAATGCCCACTCGTAGCCTCATTCCCGGGATTTAGTGCCACAACCTAAGCACCCAAATGGACCAATAATTTAAGTCATTTGGTGTAATGAGTTTGTTCTCATTTCCCCTGAATAGTCGGTTTTCTAAAAATATTGTAATCTTGCCTTAGCCAAGCTATCGATCTATTTTAGCCAATCTATCGACTTTTTGAATCTTTTTTTGAATTTTTTGAATCATGAAACCTTACAGAGTCAACAAAAAAAGTAGATTGGATAAAAGGGAAGATTACGGTAGCTTTTGAAAGTTGACGGGTTTTAGAAAAAGCTTTAGCTTAAAGTTGACGGGTTTTAGAAAAAGCCCGCTCAGTTCCTCACCTTGTATGGCTGTTCCCCGGTGTGCGTGCGGAGGTGGCGCGTCAAATTCGCCGATCGAGGGAAAACCTTTTGACAGAATTTGCATGTGTATCTAAAATGATGGGATGATCACAGTTGAGCTTTAAATTCAAACCTGTCTCGTGTGCCTTTCGGTAACAGATGGGCACTTGGTGCGACGGCTTGTGAAGGGAAATTACTGCCAGGGTAGGGGAAACCTCTCTGGAAATTTAGAGATGGTAAACTTGGGAAATTGATTTGTTAGAAGTTAGATTCTTGAGCGTACTGTCATTTGTACTGTACTGTACTGTAGCTGTAGCTGTATCTATAGCTTAGGTTTTGTGTATTTTAGAATGAAAATTTTAGAACAAAGCTGGCTCCAGTATGAAAAATGTACTAAAGTCACTGTAGCTTAGCTACTGATTGAACAAGAGAACGCGGTGAGTACTGTACTGTACTGTAGCTGTAGCTTAGGTTTTGTGTACTTTAGAATGAAAATTTTAGAACAACGCGGTGAGCTTAAAATCAATAAAGTTTCATTTTAGATTATCGGACTTACGGATAACATCGGGAAAAGAGTCGGTGGTCCAAATGGGGTCAACGTCGGCGCACCGTTCGCACCGAATCGCGATAAAGCCGGAATGGGCAGCGTTGTCGCGTTCGGAGATGGATCGTCACGAGCTGGCGAAGCTTAAAGTCTCAGTATATCGAAAACTTTATCTATTAGTTTAGTTTCATCTTTAATCAGACTTTTATTCTATTTTTCTATTTTTCTACATCCGCTCACCATCCGTGTGTGCATTGTCGTCCTCATTTCCTGAATCCGAGTTGCTCTCGCCGCAATCCGATTTCTCGGATTTCTGAACAAAACGTTTTGATTTTCAAATGAATTTTAAATCCAATAGTTGTTTTTTTTTCAAATCTAGCTCTAATCTGTGAGGTTTTAGATGTAAGATTTTAGATTTCTTTAAGATTTCTTTAAGATTTCTTGTAAGATTTCAAACCTTTAGTGTTAAATCAATTGGACTTGCACCGCGTTCATGTTCTGATGTGCTTGGTGATGGAGAATCGCGGCCACCATCCGAATGCTTTCTAAAGATCGAAATAAGAAATTTAAGCCTTACTGTAGCCAGTAAACAGTATTGTTTCGAAGGTTAAGAAGGTAAACAATAGTTAACTCCCTCTGGAGTAGGGAGATCAAGTGCGTTGTGGTGTAATGGTTGCACAGTTGCCCGGTAAGGGAAAAGTCGGGGGTTCGAGTCCCGGGGGCGAGTTTTTGATCTGCCCTATTTCCAAATCAATCGTTGGAATAAAGCAAACAGCTTTTAGCTAACAGCTTGTAGCTAACAGCTTGTAGCTAACAGCTTTTAGCTAACAGCTTTTAGCTAACAGCTTTTAGCTAACACTTACAGGCATACTTATCCCATACAGTATGCTTTAAGGGTCGATAGTTCTTGCAATCATTAGATGAAAGCCTATACAACGGTTTTTTATACAGGTATGCCCTGAAGACGACTACTGTAATCATTTCAGTTTATAAGATCAGCTGAAAAGACCAACCGATCAGCGGTTCGCTTATTTATGCAGAGTATATACAGTATGACTTTTAGCCGAGTACGGTAACCCGTTCAGTGCACATAAAAGAGCACATTGTTGAGCTCATTGTTTACATTCGATTCCCCATTCAATTCGAAATCTCTCGTCGTCAAGATTTCGACTTTTCCCCGAGACAAGAGAAAAGATGGGGTCAATTATAGGGGAAATGTCTGTGGATTTGGATCGAAAATGCCATTAATATCGAAACACCTGTTGTGTGGGGTTCAGCTCCCAATCTTTCCCCCTAAAAGAGAAGGGCTAATTGCCGATGAAATGCTCATCGATGGATGACTGAGATCTTTCTTTCCATTCTGACTTCTTCTCCTTTCCCCGTTTTGCTCTTTTCTTCAATTTTTGATTCATTTTTTTGTCTTCTTCATCCTTTTTTTCTATTGAAGGTCACAATTATGCCCATCAATTTGCAGATGAGATTTTTAGAGAAAAAAATGCTTTCAAGATTAGTACTAGAGGTTGAGATGGATGGATGGATAGATCTAGTTAACTTTGTTAAGAACTTCAATGAAATCAATGAAATGAATCAGATGAACCAGGAAATTGTTCGGTATTACTAAAGAGTTGTTTGGCATTACTAAAGAGATGGATGGATGGATGGATCTAGTTAACTTTGCTAAGAACTTCTTACTAATCTCTATTATATTTGTTTTCGAAAAAAACTTTATTCAAAAAGGATCCAGAATCAGCGTTGAAAACTCACTAATAGACACTGATTTGATTGATATCTTTTCCTCGATCATATCAAAGATTATATCAAAGTTTTACTCAAGCACTCTTCAGTCTTCACTCTCTCCAAGCATGGAAGGCTTTGGGGTACTAGACCAGCATGTACCCTTGACTCATTTACCCTCTCTAAATATATTTCCATCTTTCCATCTTTCCATTTCAACGCCCCATTGTCCATCATCTCATTTACCCCAAAATCTCCAATCTTCAATAACTGACCCGAAAGCTTGAAAGGGGAAAGGGGGTAATCGCTCTAATTGGTCCAGTAAATATTGGCCGGTGTTTATGAAGCGTATTACCCGCAGTTTAGGGGCAAGGCGGCAGCTTTGTGGGTGTGCGGGGAAGGAGTCCCTCATTTTGAAGGGGTACACATCCTGGAAGAGATCCGCGGAGGGAAGGCTGAGAAAAGAAAGCTGAGAAAGGAAGGGAAAGGAAGAAAAGCACCCCGGCAACAGATTAGCGCTCTTTCTTTCTCTTCTTCTTTCTTTGATCTCTTCATTCAATCCTTTCTTCTCAAGTGCCTCTTCTCGTCTCTTCACCCATCCCTTTAGCTAACAAATACTGTAGATTTGAGTACTGTATTTGTGCTTAATCGGTTTTTATTAGTTTAAAACTATTAACTAATCGTTTGTTGCAATCTAATCTGTTGCAATCATTAAAATCCCAACTTTCCTAGCAACTCACCCCTTCAATAAAGCAGCACAACTGAAATCGGTTGTCGAGGGAAGCATTGATGGAAGAGGAGTAGCGGTTGAGGAAAGATTTCCAAGTTGTAGTTGCTAAAGGAGAAAAATTTAAACAAAATACATCAACTAACAGTATATAAGTTTACCACTATTTATAGGGAAATATAGAGCAATCTATAACTACAAACCTGCCAAAGGTATTGCCAATAGAGTGGTAGCATCGGGCTGAGCAGTGAGGGTTTACAGGCCTCACTCGGCATTCCACAAATCGAGCTAAAAATAAGATGGATAGGAGAGATTGAGTTTAGCCGAATCCAAAAAAAAAGCCGCACAATAGAAGACGAGAAAGCAAGATAATTCAGCTATCTACTTTGAAATGTTAAAATACTGTTCAAATAATTTTAAAAGTATTAACACCTTTAGTCTCAAAAGATCGTACCGATGTTTGACGAGAGCTCCGTGATTGGGGAATTGGTGACCACAAGTGGGACACCTCCATCCACCAGTCTCTTTCGTCGACGAGCTCAAGTGGATCCGCCGATGGCGACACAGATTCGAGAATTGAGTGTAAGCCTGGAATGGGTGAAGTGAAAGGTGAACTTTAATGTAAGCTTTAATGAGATATAAAGCTGTCATAGCTAGCCAGCCTAGCCAGCCTAGCCAGCCTAGCCAGCCTAGCCAGCCTAGCCAGCCTAGCCAGCCTAGCCAGCCTAGCCAGCCTAGCCAGCCTAGCCAGCCTAGCCAGCCTAGCCAGCCTAGCCAGCCGCTAGACAGCCTAGCCCAGCCTAGCCAGCCTAATTAGACCAGAGAGAGTTCGTTCAAAGCCAGGATCAATTCAAAAGTCAATCTGGCTCCTGCTTGACTTTTTGTTAGCCTGGCTGAAAGCTTGGCCAGCCAGTCATTTACAAATCCCTTACCTTATTGCATACATGACATCTAAACGGCTTTGAGCTGCAATGAATGTGTGAGTGTTGTTTGAGTCCACTAAAGAGATCATTCTTTACACATTCTTAAACTCCTCAAATTCTGCGTCCAACCTTGCACTCGAGAAACTCTTTGGACAGATCGGACATTTGTGTTGAGATGAAGAGAAACCATCTCCAAAATCGCGAATCTCTCCCGGTTCCACTGATGATTGAGCCGAGTGTCGCTCGCAACTAAAGCAAGTTTTTTTTTATGAAAGTAATTTAAGTTTACTTTTCCAATCTAATCTAATCTAAAATCAAAATAGTCCCTATAAAACAAAGCCAACAAAGCCAATTTAAGGCTTTTCCTGGTTTATATTAGAATTTCTAATCATTAGAATTTCAATTTCTAATCAAATAACCAGAAAATCCTGTTATAAGAGTCCTTTTCTAAATGATTTTCTAACGAACTCGTCTTCCAATTGCACATCAATCTCATCCTCTTCGTCTCCATCATGTCCATCAGTATCTCCCTGAAAATTTTGCAATTCTAAATTGATCAAGAAAATTTTCAAAGCAAAGATTCTGTAAGCAATGATTTACTTTCATATTGATATCCATTTCCTCTTCAGTTTCATCAACAAAAAGCTGATCGGAGAAGCGATTCGCTAGCAATTTCTCACCGGCTTTTATCGAGCGTGATGTTTGCAAGAAAGTCTAAAAATTTAAACTGAATCAATTTCTCTAAAAGTTTTTCGTCAAGCTCGTCAAGCTCGTCAAGCTCTACCCCCATTTTCTTGATCTTTAGCTTGACTTTACTTGGCTTGATTTTGGGAAAGCTTTGAAAAGTCTTTATACTAGACTTTAGATCTAAATAGTCCCGTATAAAACAAAGCCAAATTTTAAGGGTTTTTTTTTGGTTTTCACTGAAAATTTTCATCTAGAAACAGCCATTGAATGAAAGAAGTTTAAATCTTAACTCTTAAATCTTAATCTTAACTCCAGAACAAATATCTATTTATTGAACAGGAGGTTTAGATTAAAGCTATATTTTGGATAATCTTAACTCTTAAAGTCCCTGATTGAAAGCTCGGTTTAGTTAGAGAGAATCAGAAAAGTTGGCAAATGTCAAAAAAGAAACGATGGCTCTGAAATGATGAGTGAAAAGGATAAAGAAAAGAAAAGGCATAGAAATGAGACAAATAGAGCCCGATCAACCCATCACAAATAGAATTGGGAGGGGTGAAAAGGAGGGAGCGGAGCTGTCAGCGCATCCGGCATTGTGCCCCCCATCTCCACCCCAAAATGAAGAGGAGAAAAGCTGACTCCAGAACAAATATCTATTTATTGAACAGGAGGATTAGATTAAAGCTATATTTTGGATAATTAAATCATTTGTGAATAGTTTACTGAAAGCTGTGAAAGCTTTACTTGAAGCTTTACTTGAACAGCTCTTCAACAGGCTGTTCAACAAAGTCTTTTTGTTTCTTTTCATCCTTTCGTTGAAAAATAACAATCAATAATAACAATTAATCTATTCATTAATTCAAATGCGAATAAGTAGACTTTTAATTGCAAATTAAGCGCTCTTTAGCTTATTTTAACGTTCTAGAGTGTCTAGAAGTGTCTAGAAGTGTCTAGAAGTGTCTAGAAGTGTCTAGAAATGTCTAGAAGTGTCTAGAAGTGTCTAGAAGTGTCTAGAAGTGTCTAGAAGTGTCTAGAAGTGTCTAGAAGTGTCTAGAAGTGTCTAGAAGTGTCTAGAAGTGTCTAGAAGTGTCTAGAAGATAGATCAAAAAGAATCTAGTTCATTGAACGAAACATTGAACGAAAGTTCATTGAACGACCAGATCAGATTCAAGTTTTATATCTGAATCAAGATTGAAGCTTGTTTCCCAGTTAAATTCAGTGAATTGATGATTTTATATCAATTTCAACTCACTTTTGTTCCAATACATTTCACGTGTACATTCGCCGTCTCTTCCTCATCACTTTCCTTGATCAGATTCAGAATGAGAAGAGCATTCGGATCGTTGCCGGATTCCTAGAAAATAACTTCATCTAAAATTTGCCTAAAACTAAAAGCTTTATCTAATTGCTTGGTTTCTATTTTAAAGAAACAAAGAGTTGAACAAATGCTGGTCGTTTTATCGAAACAGATTGTAAGACATTTGCCCGCCATTGACATTGACAATCCAACTTTGAGCTCTAATTTCTTGGTGCTGGGCTGTTCAATTGAAATAGTTTTTGTGCCAATCGATAGAGAAAGACTTGGCACATCTAGTGATATCAAGAATATTGACATTAGACAGCTCAACACCAAGAAATTTGAGCTTAAAGTTAGATTGCTAATGAGAAAAGGAGGGCGTTTGATAACCGTTCGATAACCGACAAAATATGGTCGACAAAACATGGTTCGAAGCCACGAGATCAAAAACAAGATCGGATTCGTCTTATTTGCTGAGTTGGCTAGGATTTTAGCCTCTTAGCCGATTTTGTTTGTCCAGAATTGTTCTTGAAGTTTCATCGCCTTCACCGCTTGTAATCAGTTTGCTAATTGCAAAGATTTTGTGTGGGAAAGGGTGAAGAAAGGGGATGAAGAGAATCGTGGGAATCTACGGTATCCAAGGGGAGATGGAGAGGAGAAGGGCCGTATCATCTTTCCAAGATGGGCCAAGATGAAGCTGGGTCTTTCCCCTTTTCAGAACGCACCTGGAGGGCCTTCTTTTTGCCATTTTCTCGGGATGGCCTTCCCTTTCTTTTCCTATTGATGCTGGCGGATGTGCTCCTCTTCTCCTTTCGACAAAATGGGGAAAAAGAGATGGGATTCCTCTTGATATATACTACCGTATCCGGGTCCTCATTGAATATCTTTTGAGTTAGAAAAAAAGAGATAATTTTGGGCTATTTTTGTTAGCAATTTGATAGAAATATTGAAATATTTTTGAGATTCGATTCCGACATTCTTTGACATTCGACATTCAAATCCGAACCTAACTCCACCTTCATTTTCTTAGCCGTTTCATGGTCGATTACTCTGGAGTTATCTACAAATAGAACATCAGTTTGTAGATAAAATTTCAGAGCAATTGAAAAAGAAACGGCTGAGAAAACAAAAATGGAATTCTCCCATATCTATTCTCTAAATGAGTCTGGAATCTAATGGACCAGAATCTAATGGATAAAGGATGTGTTGGATCGAACAACACAAAGTTGATTCAATAAGCTTTTTCAAGGCTAACAATTTCTCATTTCTAAACACCTTTTGAATTAGTTTACCAAGTTCTAAGCTAACATCAAGCCTTAACAATCGGCACTACTTTCTTACAGACTTTCTTACAGACTTTCTTACAGACTTATGATGTTTATAGGTTTGTTTTCAAAACAAGAATTCACGAAATTAATTTGAAAATGGAATTTCTGGCATTTGAGATGTCAAGGGATTAATTGCGTCTTAAATAAAGAGGAAAAGAAATTGAATTCGATCGGCGATTGATGAGAAATCTAGTCAACAATATCTCATAGGTTTTTGAGAGAAAAAGAATACTGTAACTTATCTATCCGATTTTTTTTTTGCGTTTCCTGGGAATCTATTTGTTGAGAGGAGAAGTGAGAAGCAAAATTGTGAATCATTTCGGGGGAAAAAGCTGATCGAAAATGATTTCAAGAGAAGAATCTTGAGGATAAATCGATTTCAGGAGAGGAATGGTCATTGAATGAGCATTATAAATACATATACAAAACAAAGAATCATTAAAAGTAAAGAAAAAGATAGAAAAAAAGACAAACCCTGTCAATAAGGCCGATAGAAAAAAGACAAACCCTGTCAATAAGGCCGATCAGTTTTCCAGAGGAGATCGAATTGACTGTCCAGAGCGCATTTCCAACGCCAGTCTCGGCTCTCACCTTAATAAGGTTTTGAAATAAAAGAAAAATGGGCTGGTTAATGCTTGATGAGCCTAAGTTATGCTGAAAATTCGCCAAGGACAGATTCGCCTTCATGGCCGAGTGGCTAAGAGCCCTGCGTCTTAATCGGGAGGTAGTCGGGGAGGCCAATGGTTCGATTCCGCCGGCTGGCTTCTTCGTTGTTTTTTTCGCGTATATTCGTTTTTTTCTTACATTTAGGGCTTAGGGGTATTTATGTATTCTTTGTACCATATTCTTTGTACCATTCGTGTTTTTTATTCCCCAAAAGTTCGAGAGACTTAGTTGTAATGATTTAGGTTTAAAATAATCACTTTATCCGGTTTATTTGAGTTTATGACTTAAAAAATGGTTTGTTATGACTTAAACAAAGGCTCTGACCGGCTTTATGATGTCCTAAACAATAAAAAAGCTATTTGAAACCACTAAGCAATGGTTTTTTTAAATGCGTAACTTGTTATGACTGGAATTTAATCCCTAGTTCAAATCGTGTGCTAAAATTGTACTTTATTTGCTTTTACTTTCAAATAACAATATTATAAATATCGGATTGTCTGTGAGATTCATTTTTAAATCAATTTTAAACCCTAGTACAGTTCTGAATCAATTTTAAACCCTAGTACCGTTCTGAATCAAATTCAAACACCAACCTCGACACTTTTAAGAAACTCGGCGTCGATGCTCATCAGGAATCAAACAAAACAACAAACAATGAGTACGGATGAGCAAATGAAAGCTACCGTATCTAGAAATAAATGAATGTGAGAAAAGATGGAGAGGAGAGGAGTCGGGATGGTTGCCCGTGGTAGCCCGAATGGATGAGACAGAGGAGGGAGGGGGGCATCCTCTCCTCTTCACCTCTCCTCCCTTGCCCCGCCCCTTCCATTGCTTGGCGGCCAATCCAAACACGCTTTGCCAAAAGAATCACTCTTCACCTCTTCACCTCTTCACCTTCAATCTTTTCATCATCAAGACATTTAAAGAAGTTGAAGTGGTGTTGTTTGAAGTTTGGAAGTCTTGATCTAGATCTCGACTTGGCTTATTGATAGATCGAGATTTGCTTAAGATTTACAAATCAATTTCTATATTTGTTATCTAAAGTATTGCACAGGTTAAAGCTGTGTAACTTGGCTTATTTGCCTTGTTACTTGTCAGTTCAAAAGCAGATAAGGATTTGCTTAGGATACGGAATGGGAATTTGTTTGAACTTGCTTAGGTAATTGAACTTTATATAGATTGGATTGAAAAACTCTCATTCACATTGATAATTGACAGCAATCATTGACAGCAATCATTGAAATCAATTATTGACAGCAATCATTGACAGCAATCATTGACAGGAATCATTCAACAATCATTCAACAATCATTCATTAATCGTTCAACAATAATTTAACAATCTCTAAAATTCAACAATCATTCAACAATCTCTAAAATTACAGCAGAAAGAATATCTTAAAGTTTTCAAAGATTTAACGCTAACAAGAAGCTAACAAGAAGCTAACAAGAAGCTAGCAAGAAGCTAACAAGAAGTTAACAAGAAGTTAATAAGAAGCTAACAACGCTAACAAGAAGCTAGCACAAGAAGTTAACAAGAGTTAAGAGACCAACAGAGCTAGCAAGAAGCAACAAGAAGTTAACAAGAGTAAAGAAGCAACAACGCAACAAGAAGCTAGCAAGAAGCAACAAGAAGCAACAAGAAGTTAACAAGGCTACAGAAGCAACAAGAAGTTAACAAGAAGTTAAAAGCACAAAAGAAGCAACAAGAGTTAACAAGAAGGCCACACAAGAGCAACACAACAAGGGAAGCGAAAAGAAGCAAACCGGCCAGAGCAAAAGAGTTAAAGGTTACAAGGCTACAAGCTAACAAGAAGCTAACAAGAAGCTAACAAGAACGGCTTTGTTTATGTATTCATTTCCCACATATTGATTTAGTGCTTACTCTTAAAGTCAAATGGATAATGCAAGTTGATTGGAAGTGAAAGGAAAGGCTAAAGAAAATAGTGCTCCTTTATTGCACCTGGCTTGAGATGGGGGTCGATTAACGGAGGTGAAAGACAAAGAAAAAGCTTTAAAGGGAAAGGTTAAGCAGAAAGGAATAGAACAACATACACATTTTTGAGATTGAGAAGTTTTGAGTTTGAAGTTTTGAAATTTACAGATGAAGATGTTCTGATATCTACATTAGCTAAAAAAAATCAAAAATCAAAACCTTTATGAAGGTCAGGCCATAGCTCGGTCAGAAGCCAGGGCAAGCCATTCTAGACCTAGCCAGTTTTGAGGCAAGGTTAGAGCCAGATCTGTAGCCAGATCCAGCCGTGCCAGGCTAGGCTAGGCCAGGCCAGCAAAGACAGAAGCTAGGCCAGAACCTGGCTTCTAGTCAAGAATTGCCAATTTATTACTTCATCTATCTTTACTGTATTATTGATATCGATACGTACACCAATTAAGCCTAATATATCAAGATTCTTAGCTCAAAAACCTCATAGATTAACAAATCTCAACTTTGATCACATCTCTTTCCATATGTGATCCATTCGCAATACCAAGTTTTTCATGTAAAGCTTTCTCTAGCCAATTCAACGAATTCTTCAACTACGTCTTTGTTTGGGAGTGTGATCATTTGTAGAAAGAGGGGATGAGAAGAGGGTCGACCGGAACCTCAAGTGGAGGCTCTTCGTTGAAGCGGCTGAAGGGGTCGGCGTCAAGAATTCATGGAGGACCGAGAAGAAGACCTTCTCAAGGAGAAGAAGAAGAAGAAGAAGAAGAAGAAGAAAGGATTACGGTGGAGGGGGAAAAGTGGAAGAGAGGCTTTTATCCTTGTATAGAGAAGAGATGGGGAATTGAGGACGCGGGGAGGAGGGGGTGCCTCGGCCTTCCGGTGGTCTAGAATTGGGCAGAGCTTCAGCGGGAGGATTGAAGGCACTCGCCTCTCACACCTGCCGCTCACGGCTCACTTCCTCTCCGTCCTCCGTCTTTCACTTCCTGAAGACCCCCGAGAGTGGATAGGATTTGAAATCGCGTTGTTGCGAGAGAAGAAAAAAGACATAATAGTGACTTTATTTAAGGAAATCTTGTCAGTTTGACTTTTGAGTCTGAGCATCTTGAGCATCTGAGGATCTTGAGCATCTGAGCATCTGAGCATCTTGAGCATCTTGAGCATCTGAGCATCTTGAGCATCTGAGCATCTTGAGCAGCTCTTGAGCATCTGAGCATCTTGAGCATCTTGAGCATCTTGAGCATCTTGAGCATCTGAGCATCACTAATCCTGTTAGTCAAAAATTTGATAGCAGATTTGTTTTAAAAAAACCCATATCCACTTTCAGTACAAGAATTAGATTAAATAAAAAGATTAAAAGAAAAGATTAAAAGAAATCCTTATATAGTATGCATTGTTTGCTCTGTAGAGGTAAAGCTTTTTCTGTGCTTTTCTCTTTTTCTCTTTCTCTTTCTCCTTTTCAACTCAATCAATTGACACCGACTACAATTTGAGTGAAGAAATTAATTTTTCTGGAGCAATCAGCTATAGGATTTGATTTTTTTTACTTTTTAGCCTCAATTTGTCTTAAATTTAAAGGAATAAGGGACTTTTTAGGTACTCTTATAGATTATTCTTCCTTTTAGTTAGCTTACAAAGAAAATTATCATTAAAACATATTGCAAAGCTTTACTAAGCTTCACATAAAGGCTTCATTAAGCTGAAAAGCTTCACTAAGCTACAAAGCTTCACATGAAAGCTTCCTAAGCTGAAAAGCTTCATATAAAAGCTTCATTAAGCTGAAAAGCTTCATATAAAAGCTTCATTAAGCTGAAAAGCTTCATATAAAAGCTTCATTAAGCTGAAAAGCTTCACATAAAGGCTTCATTAAGCTGAAAAGCTTCATATAAAAGCTTCATTAAGCTGAAAAGCTTCACATAAAAGCTTCCTAAGCTGAAAAGCTTCACATAAAAGCTTCATTAAGCTGAAAAGCTTCATATAAAAGGTTCCTAAGCTGAAAAGCTTCACAGAAAAGCTTCACTAAGCTGTAAACCCTCACTAAGCTTCAAACCTTCACTAAGCTGCAAACCTCCACATAAAAGTATTCAGCATTTAGTAGCTCTTTGCTTCAACTGAAGAAGTTAAAAGATATTCAGTCTGGCTACTGTAATAAGAAAATGGAGTTTATTTTTTAGCTACTCAACTCAATATACTTTTTTACAAGTTACAGATCGATGAAATTGAAAGAAGAGTGGGTGTGAATTGATGGAAATTGGGGTGAGCATTCTGTGTATATTTGCCAGAAAGTCAATCTTTTTTTCTCTTTTCTCTTTTCTCTTTTCTCTTTTCTCTTTTCCAATTCACTCCTCCTCAAAAATGGCATTTTCTTTTTACCCTTTCCTCAGAGTAAATAGATTCTTTACCGTTTTTGGAATCGATTTTTCATCGAGATTTCATCGAGAACTTTCAATTTACTGGCACTGGTAAAGATTGGGAATTGTCTTGATGGATTGATGTAGTTAATCGAGTTTGACAATCTCTTACTCTAGCATAATAGTAGCCTAAAGCTTAGGAAAGCTCAAACCTGGTCTTAATGTAATTGCAGTAATAAATCCTAGTCAATATGATGTTCAAAGAAACATGGTTATTATCAGGCTAAACTTTTAAAACGGTTTTAGAGTACTAATAAGCTTCAGATATTACTAATAAGCTTCAGATTACTACTAAGCAAGTAAAGTAAGGTAAATTTCCCAAATCTTGTAGGTTTGAAGGGTACTTGATGAAAATTAGAGAGAAAATGTGTTCAAATGTAGTAAATCAGTGAATTCGCTTTTTTCTCATCGTAATACTCTAATCCCCCATTAGATCTCATCGTCAGCTACATTTTCTGATAAGCGTATCTAGGTTCTGATAAGCGGCTTTTGAGATTTCGAGGAATTTAGGCGACGCTCATGGTGCACTACTATTAGAGAAAATACGGGCTTAACCTTGCTTGCCTTTGCCAGGGTTTATTGTAGCTCTGTCCACTAGGAGTCAGGCCTAGATCTAGCTTTTGTCTTGATTTACAGGTTTAAGAGTCTAATCGAAAGAACTAGAACTAGATCGATCATCCGATCTTTATCCATTTTTTAAGTTTGCTTTAATCTTTTAAATTTCAAATTTTCAATTACAGTAGCTAATTCTGTACTTTTGATTATTAGTAGTGGGAGATCTGAAAAATCGTTAAACTTCCAGTAAAATAATCGCAACTAGAAGAATCTTTAGTCTAAAATAGATCAATCTTTTAGGTGTCAATCATCAGCATTCAATTGTGTCTATCTCTTTGTGTCTATCTCATTGTGTCTATCTCATTGTGTCAAGAGTGGATGCGACGGATACTGGTAGGTAAGTCAAATTGACTCGAGAGTCCATGTGATGTTTGCTAAATGGAGAAACGATTCATTCATTTATTTGGCCTCTGCCCCAAAGAGACCATCTTTGGTCTCTTTGGCTCTGATATTCTGAAAAGATGTTGATGGAGACGACAGGTGGCAGCAATGGGAGGAGATGGTGGAAAAAGAAGTAAAGGAGAGGCTGAGTCAAACAGCAAACACACAACTACAGAAGAAGAGAACACGAATACGAGTAACCGAACCGCCTCCACGACGCTCAATCATTTTAGGGAGTAAATCATATCGAATTGAATCACTTGTGAAGGTGGTTTACTTACCTGAAAAACATTGGACAAATTGAACAACTGAAACTGAAAAAAAAAACAAGGAACTTGTGGTGTACTTGTTGACAAAGCTGTTGACAGAGTTGTTGACAGAGCTGTTGACAGAGTTGTTGTTAAAACTATTCTTCTAGATCAAGCCAAGACCAAACGTTTAGATCTGGTTTTTCTAGATGTTTTTGGTCTGATCTGGTTCTTCTAGATCTAGAAGCTCAAGATCTGGAGCTAGGACTGTTTAGCCTGATTTTACTACTCCGATCTGGCACTGGATCCATACAATACTGGATCAAACCAGGCACGAAAGTAGCTGAATCTGGAAGCTAACCTTGCTTGCCTTTGCCAGGGTTTATTGTAGCTCTGTCCACCAGCAGGTCTAGACCTAGTTTTTGACTTGATTTACAGGAGTTTATTCGGAAGAACTAGTCCAGATTGATGGATGTATATGCAAACTACAAGCAAGCTAAACGAGCTACTTGTCAACAAGCAAGTTAAACGAGCTACTTGTCTACAAGCAAGCTAAACGAGCTACTTGTTTACAGGCAAGTTAAACGAGTTACTTGTCTACAATGAAGCTAAACGAGCTACTTGTTTACAAGCAAGCTACTAGCTATGTGTCTATTGTAAAGCCTAAATAAAGAATTTTAGATGGCTTTCTATAGAATTGTAACTATTTTTCAAATTTCAAAGATTATTGTTTTCATTGACTGAATAAATGCAATTCTTTAACCACAAAGACAGCATTTATCAACCAAACAAAACAATCAGAATCCCATCAGAATCAGAATCGAATGTTCGATGACAAAGCGATTGATTCAGATGTGAAATCTCGCATCGAACAGTACCAATTCATTGTGCGATAATTGAGGGGCAATGTTGGGGTGAGCTGTGAGTCAATCTTTCCCGGAGAGAATGGATTTCCCCATGAATTGACAAGCAGAGATTGGATCGAGGAAAGGAAAGGAAAAGGAAAAGAAAGGGGGATCTAGAGGGGTAAACAGAAGACAGAAAAGACAGAAAAGAGACATGCATAGATACCTTTGAGGGGGGAAGAAGAGTACCTTCACCTAGTGTCAATTACCTATGAATGGGTCCTTATGTAGGGAGTGGACTCCAATCAATCTCCTGCGCACACAGCTGGAAATTTCTCAGGGATTTGCTTTTAAAAGTAGCTATGAATCCAAAAATCCAGATTCTGGCTTACAAGCTCTAGGCTAGCTGGCTGGCTGGATGGCTGGCTGACTGGCTGACTGGCTTACAAGCTGGCTGACTGGCTTACAAGCTGGCTGACTGGCTTACAAGCTGGCTGGCTGGTTTACAAGCTGGCTGGCTGGCTGGCTGGAATATTCCTGTTTGATAAATTCTAGTTGTTGACTATTGACTATTGTAAAGCCTGAGCTATTGACGATTAAAAAGCCATTGACGATTTAGAAATCGGCAACGATCGAAAATCGATCGGTAATCGGTAACGATCGACAAAAATAGAAAGATTTTCAGCAAGATTCTAGAAAGTTTTAGTCTTTTTAAGTTCAAATAGGTTTAAGGTTCTTTTTTCATTTCATAGAAATAACCTAAAAAGAAATATAGTGAAAAAACGAGCTGAGCCACTAGACTCACCCCAATCGGGCGACCTACAAAAAAAAAACTGATAAGAGACGTCATTTTTTCAGGTCAATCTGGATCCAATTTTGCTTTTTTTATATAATAATAAGAAATTTTGTTTCTTTTTCATGTAAACAAAGTAAAAAGCTTTTAAAAAAAAGGAGAATAACAGAAATTGAAACGTTTGTTAGTGTTGTGTATCGATTTTTGTTCAGAGGCAGTTTCCTAAAGTTTTTTTCTTGTTTTTTTTTGTTTTTTTTAATGTCTAGATATAATTTAGATGTATTTTAAAGCCATTTTAAAACAATTTTAAAACAATTTTAAAACCATTTTAAAGCCATTTTAAAGTCATTTTAAAATCATTATAAAGCCATTTTAAAGCGATTTATTCTAAAGAAGTTCGATTGATCAATCTGAATTCGATTTTCTGCCCTAATTTGATTTTATCCAAAATTTTCAAGAGCTTAAAACGAGTGTTTCTTTATGCCGATTATTAAGCTGATTACCGTATTTTCTCTAATAGTAGTGCACCCCGGCGAACCGAGTTGATGACGATTTTACGGTTTCCAAGCTTTTGCAGAAGCTCAATACTCTAATCCCCCACTAGATCTCATCGTCAGCTACATTTTCCGCCCTCACATCGATAGGTTCTGATAAGCGGCTTTTGAGATTTCGAGGAATTTAGGAGAAGCTTAGGGAAACAGTATAGGAATTTAGGAGAAGCTTAGGGATACGCCAGCCTCAAAACATTCAGTTAGGCGGGTTTTGATATAAGTTTTTATGTTTTCAAATTTAAGTACATCAAAGCCAAATCTAGCTACAATTTGCAACTTTGATCAAGATCCGATCAACTACGAGGAAGCGTTGGACCTCGAGATTTCGAGCAATTTAGGAGAAGCTTAGGGAAACATCGATAGGTTCTGATAAGCGGTTCTCGAGATTTCGTGGAATTTAGGCGACGCTCTGGGTGCACTACTATTCGAGAAAATACGGTATTAACCTTGCTTGCCTTTGCCAGGGTTTATTGTAGCTTTGTCCACCAGGAGTCAGGCCTAGATCTAGCTTTTGTCTTAATTTACAGGTTTAAGAGTCTAATCGAAAGAACTACTCCAGATTGATCATCCGATCTTTATCCATATCCAGTTTTGGTCCGATTTTTAACTGATTTTTACGTTATTACGCTTTTAGTTTATCTAGTAGTTAGCTTTAATCTTTTAAATTTCAAATTTCAATTACAGTAATCACTTTTTCAATCAAATTATGGAGACAACCGATCCGATTCTCGTCCATCTTTCTCCTCAAATTCGAGGCCCAATCGTGCTCGCCGCTGGTATTCTCTGTATGCTTAGTTATGGAGTCGTTTACACGTTTGGTTCGTTTATTTTGTGAATTTCATTTTAAAAAGAATTTCCAAGAAAATAGAGAACTCGAAAGGAAGCTTTTCCCAAAAAAAAGCTAACTATGCTTAGCCAAGGAAAAGTTTTCTAAAATCATTTCGAAACTCTACTCTTTTTGAGATTCGTGGCCTGAAAATTGGCTATAGGAAACAAAATATAGGAAGCACTTTGTCTCTCAAAAGAAAGTACAGACTCTTGTACAGACTAAGTACAGACTCTTGTCTATTCTTCTTAATATCATATCCGATTAATGATAACAATAAGCTTATGCTTATCTAATCACCATTCTATCCTCGTTCAACAGCTTGAACAGTTTGTTGCTATTGTTAAGTTAAGAAACGCTCAACAGCGTTCAACAGCTTGAACCGTTAAGAAATCATTTTCGTTCTAGGCTTAGGCTTAATCTTTGTTACTTGATTCAATTAACGCTTTACATATTTCTTATTTCTTAAATTTCTAAGAAAAATGCTCACGCAATTTTGAGGTAAATTCTGGTGGAAAGTGGTGTGGTAAATGTTGGTGTTTTTCTCATAAATAATTCCCGAAGGATCTCAGAATTGAGACATAAAGCTTCGGGGTGAAGCTCGTAAAAATGGGGAAACGGTAAATGGGGTTGAAGGGAAAGAAAAGGAAAGAAAAGGAAATAGAAAAGGAAAGAAAAGGAGACTAAATTAGGAAATGAGGGGAATTGCAAGTGAAATGGGAGAGAGATACGGTAGATTGAGTATTTCGAAGAGATCGTGCGGGGGACTTTTCATTACTGATCGATTACAAGCGAGTCGTAAATATGAATAATGGGTCTACCACTTGGCTTTCTCGTTGCTTTTCTTCAAAAATTTACCCCAGATTTTATGGGGGATCGATGGAAAATCTGGAAAAGTTAAAGTCTATTTTTAAAAGCACAATTGTCGGCTAGACTGTTCTCGTTTTCCTACTTTCATGGTCGATCGGCTAGATCGATGTGGTTGATCGATCGATCTCGATCAACAGCTTGGACAAATTTGTTGCTATTGATTAAGAAGGCATTTTCTCTCTAGATAAACATACGAGATAAACAAACTGACTTTGCAATGAGCCTAATACAATACTGTCACCATTTCAGTCACTTTCAAACATCTAGAGGGCTTAAAGTCGAGCTATTTTTCAAGTAAACTGAAGGAATTGTATTTCAGGAAATCTTCTCCCCTATTTGGTTTCCTATATCCGATGGCAGATCGATCCAAAGAAAACTGCTGGCGAAATGATCTGGTTACAAACGATCATGAGTGAGTTCATCATTTGATTAAGCAATAGTTTAGAAAGATATTGAAGCTAGAAAGTTATTGAAGCTAGACAGCTATTGAAGCTAGACAGCTAGAAAGTTATTGAAGCTAGAAAGCTATTGAAGCTAGAAAGCTATTGAAGCTAGAAAGCTATTGAAGCTAGAAAGCTATTGAAGCTAGAAAGCTATTGAAGCTAGAAAGCTATTGAAGCTAGAAAGCTTTCTTCAATCTATTGAAAGCTATTGAAAGAACAAGAAATAAACAAAGAAATTCTTTATTCTATGATTTACAAAATCAAAACAAAATAAAACTCATTTAGACGGGATCCCGTTTGCAATGATTGTTGGAGGGATTCTCGAGCGAAAGTTAGGCGGTCGAGCCGCCGCATTGATTGGATCTTTGCTTTATACGTGCGTCAAATGCCTTCAAATCTTTTCCTAATCTTTCGCTTTTAGTCTGGGTTGTTTTGCATCATATTGGACAGTGAAAATGTCATATGGCTGGTTGTTGGTATCGTTTGGAGTGGTGATGAGTTTTGGGCAAGGAATCGCCTACAATGCTGTTCTTTGCACAGCGCAAAGGGTAAGTGAAAAGGAAACGTATTGATACTGATTACGATAGCTTTAACGACAATACTACTTACAGTAGTTTACGTAGGTTAACGTAAGTTAACTTAAGTTAGTTGATCATTTCAGTGGCTTCCGAATAACGTGGGTTTGGCTGGTGGTTTGATTGTCGGTGGATTCGGGTGTGGTGCATTTATTCTGGCTCCTTTACAAGTTTGCTTATCATTCCGCGAATTCACAATGATTCCAAGATTTCAGACGACTTTCATCAATCCATTGAACTATTCAGTGAATAAGGATGGATATTTCACACAAGAGGACTTACTTGAAAGAGTAAAGTTTAAATTTTAAAGCTATTGGGTTGGTGAATTGAAAATTGAAAACTGCCGACTATTGTCATATGTGACAGTTTGGGGGTAGGCTAGTTTCCGCAATTTTTTTTGCGCAACAGGGTCATTTGCGCAACTCACCATAACTTTCTTCTAAGTCGGTCAATCTTTATGCTTTTGGTGTTATTTTGTTGCACTTATTGAGATCTACAAAACGAAACCAAAAGCATAAAGATAGGCCCACTTAGAAAAAAAGTTATGGCGAGTTGCGCAAACGAGCCAGTTGCGCAAATAACCCTGTTGCGCAAAAAAAGTCGCGGAAACTAGCCTACCCCACAGTTTGACCTCTTCAAAAGAAACCCATTTTGGTGCCAATGGAAAAAAAGACTGAAAAATTCTTTTTGGCGGGGTCGTTTTATTGCGTCGGGTTACGGTAGCTTCCGACGTTTGGCGCGGAAACGTCTGAAAAGTACGGTAGACGGTCCGAAAGGCATCTGTCGTCAGAATTTTATTATTTCAAGAGAGAATTCCTTTAAATTGATTTAAAGTAAAATGAAATTAACACGTTGACGACATTGTCACCTGATGCTGTCTGACACATATTCGTTTGCCTGGGACATTGTCACCTGATGTCAGGTGACAGTACCAAAATTGATTTTTTTGTGCATATTTATGTTTGCTGATGATGGATATTAAATAAGCAAGTAGGGTAGTATCTATATTCGACTTGGTCCCGGAAAATGTCGATTTAACCGTTGATTATTAAAATTTTAATTTTTTATAACATAATAGATATGTTACGTCCGAATCTGAGGAGACGTCCATCTCCGATCCGGACGTCCGAATCTGAGGAGATTCATTCTCCTCTGAAACGGACGTCCGACTCAGAGATGGACGTCCGACTCTGAGTCGGACGTCCGTTTCAGAGGAGAATGAACTTAGTAGAATTTAGTAGAACTTGAAAAAGCACAATCACATCAATTTTACCTTTGAATTTGAAAGAAAAAGGAAAATTTGAATCTGAATACATGTGTTTTGTTCAAAACATTGGATTTTGCATTTAAACTATTTGTTCTCAAGATCGGACGTCCGGTTTCGAGAAAAATGATCATTCTCTTCCGAAACGGACGTCCGACTCAGAGTCGGACGTCCATCTCTGAGTCGGACGTCCGTTTCAGAGGAGAATGAATCTCCTCAGATTCGGACGTCCGGATCGGAGATGGACGTCTCCTCAGATTCGGACGTAACAGATATAAGAACAATCAGAACTACAACTAACAAGATCTGGAATTATTTAGAGAGCCAACGGCGATAAGTGCTAGTTATCTCCTACTTAGAAACATCACCAATGAATAAAACTTTCTAGATTGTTGTTATTTCATCATTATCAAATAATCATTTTAAACTTTCACAAAAATTTTAAGTTTGAAAAAAAAGAACTCTGTGGGACATTGTCACCTGATGTCAGGTGACATTTTTTGTCGAAAAAAACAACGTTGTCCCATGCGATTTTTTGTGCAAAAACGCCATTGTCGTCAACGTGTTAAACCCAATTTGTTTAATTACTTTTTAAATTATTATTTTTAATTTATTGGATTGGTGAATTGAAAACTGCCGGCTATTGTCATATGTGACAGTTTGAGCACTTTCTTCAAAAGAAACCCATTTTGGTGTCAATGGAAAAGTTGTAGAGAATCAAAAACGAAGCTTATATCCAAATTTTCAGAACGATTCAAAAACTGGTTTTCAAGAAATGCCAAATTCACGAATTTTCACAAAACTTGCATTTTAGGCGAAAATACTAAGTGTATCTTTTTGGAAATTTGGCTATAAGCCTAATTTTTGATTCTCTACAACTTTTCTATTGACACCAAAATGGGTTTCTTTTGAAGAAAGTGCTCAAATGCTCAAACTGGGACATCTCCAGTCCTCGATTTTTGAGTCTCACACTTGTCTCACAAACAAACCAAAATCCTACTGCGAAAGAGGAATCCGCAAATTGCCTGTAAAATGGGCAAAAGTCGTCAATAATAATGGAAATTATTTGGAATGAATTGATGGTTTTATGTTGAATAAATTTTAGTTCAAAGTCGCGCAGTTTTCAATTCACCAACCCAATAATAAACTTAAAAATAGAAGATTCAAATCATTACTTGAAAGAGTAAAGTTTAAGTTTTATAGCTAGAAATCAAAGATTCAAATCATTAATCAAAGGAAAATAATATTTTAGGTGCCAAGCGTTTTCCTTGTCATGGGTTTGTTGTTTGCAGTATTTCAAACGATTGGGTTAACTTTATTGGGTGAACCGGTTGAGGTTTGTTTTCGAGAATCGATTCATGATCATTATTTCAAGAAATTCTTTGCAAAAATCCTTTTATAATAAAGATAAATCTTTATAGAAATCGACTAATGAAAGATTTCTGTGTTAGATTTGTTTTTTGTTTATCTAGACTTGTACTTGTGTCTGTTAGACTTAGATTAGATTGATTTAAAAGCTTTAGAATTTTTGTACTAGGTGGCTAGCTGTTAGGGAAAGAATATGAAAATGTAAATTTAATTTGAAAGCTTATTTGAATAATCTATCAAATCATCTAGTCAATCCCGTACAACAAAAATGATTGCAACAACTATTCTTGCTTGTTATTTCTCACTGGTTGGCTTGATTGAAAAGATTTTTATATCAATCGATAGCAAAAGAGATGACGAATCGAATGATACTAAAACTATTTCAAATTGGTTAATTGAAAGCTGAGATATTTGAGTTTAAAGTTTGAGTTTAAAGTTCAAGTGTCAAAGCAAGCTGAAAGCTGGGAAAAAGCTGATTGTTTTTAATTTTTATGTAATTATTGTCTCAAAGATTTTGTAATGATCTTGAAACATAGAATAATTGATAGAGATAATCGTGTAAACACATGCAGAATCCAAGCATCGAAGACGAGCCCCTTCTCGTCACTCCACCCACCGAGTCTTCCCTTCAAGAAATGCTCTGCTCAACCACATTTCTCATGCTCTTTTTGACGCTTACATTTAACGCAATTTGGGTTCAAGTGACTAGTGGATTGTACAAGGTGAAATAGTTTTTTAAAAATCTAATAATCTAAAGCTTTAGGCATTCGGTCAACAATTTATCTCATCCGATATATTTCTGTCGTTGATCGGCTCTTTCTCCTCGATATTCAACTGCGCTAGTCGAGTCTTTTGGGGTCTAATGGCGGATAATGTGAGTCTTAGAATACGGAATTGAACAAATTACAGTCACCGCTCTAGTAAATAGTATTAATAATACTATTTCTAAATAGAAATAGTATTAATAATACTATTTCTAGTAAATAGTATTAATAATACTATTTACTTTTTGTTTTGCATTTTCTGGGGTAATATTTGGGGTAATAAAATACGCCTAAAATAAAATAAAATAAAATACGCCTTTTTGATAAAATTCATGGCATTCAAGCGTTTCCTTACGGTTGACCCATCACAATTTAATGTAAGCCCTATTTCTGAAGAGGTTGAACGAGGGTTTTCGAGAAGACAGCGTCTTATTTGGTCATCAGATAAAAATAAAAAACGTGGATTACTTTTTCACACACCTAATTGTATTAGAGTTCGGCAAACAAAACCAAAACCAAAACAGACCAAAACCAAAACCAAAACAAACCAAAACAAAACCAAAACAAACCAAAACAAACCAAAACCAAAACAAACCAAAACCAAAACAAACCAAAACTCAATTTGCATATAAATTAACATGTAAATTTCAAATTGTAAAATGCAAATTTGCCTTTCACTTTTTCTCACTCCACAAAATCTCGCGGCCGAAAAAAGGACCAAAACACGACCCCGAAATTTCGAAACAAAAAATAGCCTATGGGATAGATTTTTGGATGCTGATTTCAAATCTGCAAACAGATTTTCGCTAGCTCCTCCCAGTCGCGAGATATTGGCAAGTTTTGGTTAGTTTTGGTTTTGGTTTTGGTTTTGTTATGGTTTTGGTTTTGGTAGTTTTGGTTTTGGTTAAGTTTTGTTTTCCGAAGTCTAGTATTAATAATAGTATTAATAACAGTATTAATAATAGTATTAATAACAGTATTAATAATAGTATTAGACGAAATTGCAATAGTCCTTGATTCTCAGAGCTCTTATCAATCCTCGATGGCCATTGTGTGCACATTGGGAGCAGTGTTGATGTGGTTGTTGCCATTTGTGAAGAGTATCGGTGATCAATGGCTTTTTATGGCTACTGTGAGTGCAATTTGTTAAACGATTAAAGATTTAAAACGGTAGATTTGTTTGATGTTTGGTTGTGTCGGTGGCACGTACAGTCTTCTCCCATTCGCCACTCATCGATGTTTCGGAAGAGCTCATTTTGGACTCCTTTATGGAGCGATACAGTCATCGATTGTGAGTTTTAAAAGATGCTCTTTGAAAAGCTAAAAGTAACGCTAAAAGTAGCGATTGTAAACGTATCTTTTTCAGACTCTAGCCGGTGTAATCACAGCACTTCTTTCACAATTCATTCTTCCCATTCTCGGCTATGAATATCTCTTCTTGATTTGCGGTGGTTTCATGGCGATTTCGCTTGTTTTAACGACACTTATCCATTTCACTCCATACGCTTTAATCAGGTGTGCATTCTAAAGTCAAAGTCAATCTTTTAAAGTCATTTTTTTGGTGCTGGCATTAAGGTCAAGCTTTAAGTCGATTTAGGATAGCTTGGCTTGATCAGTCGGCTTGATCAGTTTGATTAGTCGGCTTGATCAGTTTGATCAGTCGGCTTTGATCCAACCTAGTGTCAAAGAGCTGATGTCAAAGAGACCTCTGGATCAGTTCCATCCGTATTTGAGACTTGTTTAGATATAGTTTTAATGGCTCTTTTCTAGTATCTACAAAAAAAATCGGGTACTTTAACGAATGCCTTAAAAAAATCGGATACTTTACAGCGATTCACCAATCAACTTTCAACATTTCCCATTTTTTCCCCTTTTATTTTCCCTTTTATTAATTTTTCTTTTTAAAAACTTAATTCTGATTATATTGAAAGTAAAAACTCTATCTAAACTAGTCTCAAAAACTGATCAAGGAACTGATCCAAAGGTCAGCTCTTTGCCACTAGGTTGAATCAAAGCCGACTGGATCAGAGCCGATCAAGCCGATCAAGCCGATCAAGCCAAGCTATCCTAAACCGACTTAAAGCTTGACCTTAATGCCACTGTTTAGTGGAATTCAATGTATTGGTGAGCAAATCTTAACCACTTTTTTTTGTACATATGTTTAGAAATCGCTCTAGTCACTAGTTGAGCATTTGCTTTAAATAGAAGAGGTTTTAGGATTGACTTTTCTATAATTAAGTCAACTTAAGTCAATTTAAGTCAATTTAAGTCAATTTAAATCAATTTAAATCAATTTAAGTCAATTTAAATCAATTTAAGTCAATTTAAGTCAATTTAAATCAATTTAAATCAATTTAAATCAATTTAAGTCAATTTAAATCAATTTAAATCAATTTAAGTCAATTTAAATCAATTTAAATCAATTTAAATCAATTTAAGTCAATTTCCAAGTAAATTCAAGTAGAAAAACAAGCTTTTCAATCGAAAAATTCGATAAAAATTTCATAAAAAGTTCATAAAAAGAAACTCGGTGTAAAGGTAGGGAAAATTTGGCTATACACCAAACTTTTTGTGGTAAAAGTTGAATATTGAATGGAAATGTTAAAAGTTAGTTGTTAAAAATGACAAAATTACTTTATATTAATAGAAAAGAGTCGCTTTCATCTATTCAATTATTCAATTTTTAATCTATTCTACCCCACTAACTCTAAATCCAAAAAAACCTGGCTACGAAATTATAATATATAATTATAATATAATAATAATATATAATTATAATATAATAATAATATATAATTATAATATAATAATAATATATAATTATAACTTTCAAAATCCTCCGTTGTAAACAGATTAGCCCTTTGTTTATAGAATTTTTCAAATTTAAACCGCGGTCAGGGCCCAGAAGTGGCTCATTCCTTTTGCAAATTCCCTTTGCTTCCAATGCCTCTTTATCAAATTCATTTCCCGTTAGAGCCGCTAGATTATGGAACTTGCTCCCAAACGACATACGAGAAATTCAGTCGCTTTTCATATTCAAGAAACGTATCGATGCTTTAGATCTAGTGGCTCTTTGCCGTAAGTAATTGGCTTATTGATTTCAGTATGTATTGTATGATTAAGTATCACTGTGCATTTCTCTATGATTTCTTTCACTTTATCGTTTGAATAAAGTATTATTATTATAATATAATAATAATATATAATTATAATATAATAATAATATATAATTATAATATAATAATAATATATAATTATAATATAATTATACAAATCTAAGCCTTTAAATCCTTTTTCCATTATCCTTCGACTTCATTTACATCAAAAAAAAATGCAGCTTTAACTGTAAATAATCTTCTAAATAACACTAATTTTTAGGGAAATCGAGGAAATCGTCGTCAGCCGACGCCAATCCCATTTCAGTCACTCCAGTTAGAATAACTAATTTTTATCAATCTTTATCAATCTTTATCATTTTTTTTTTTGCCAAAACCGGGTCCATCACATCATCTCACTTTACGAATTGTTCAATCGTTTTACGAGAAATAAAAATTTTCGCAAAGTTTTCCAAAAAAAACAATGAAAAAGTTGGGCTCTTTGCGGGGGGAAAGCTGAGCAAACTGAGATTTGTTTTTATTTTTTAAAAAAACACCTCAACTTGCTCCACACAAATTTTTTTCAATTTAATATGTAACCTTTGAAATTTTCCGGTTATCTGACTTACCGTAAATACCGTAATAGTACCCCATCCCCATAATGACGGTGCGGAGTGTTGCGTAGTCTAGCTTTGAACGAGTTTTTCTCGGCGCTGGTTTAAGCTACAATGCGCGCTTAGGTATCAAAAAATAGCTGAAATTCAGGGCTATTTTCTGATATCTAAGCGCGCATTGTAGCATAAACCAGTGTCAAGAAAAACGCGTTCAAAACTAGACTACGCAACACTCCGCACCGTCATTATCTTTGGTATCAAAAAATAGCCCTGAATTTCAGCTATTTTTTGATACCAAAGACGCATTTTTTGAAAGTACTGGCGCTTTGAAAAAAATGAAATACTAAAAAACTTTTGCGACTACGCGACTGTACGTGGGAGATGGGGTACTATTACAGTATTTACGGTAAGTTTTTAACTTTTGTTCACAAAATTTCAATAGATTCTTTGTTAAACCGAGTATTTTCCTCTCAAATTCTCAATTTTCGAAAACTAATTTACGAAAACTAATTCTTAGTCTATTTACTCTATTTTTTTGTCTTATCTCTTTTGTCTTAGTCTATTTTTTTGTAATGATAATTACCGGTAGCGTTTTTACCTCACGAGTAATGCGGTTTTTTTTTTTAAAACGCACACTTAGGAAAAATTATTGCAAAAAAAATGGCGCAAAAAAAATGACGACTTATATAAGTCTCTTTTTAAAGATATTCAGTCGATTAACTGATTTGGTGGGAAATTCCCGTCACAAGTAAAGATATTCAATTTACTCGACGTGTAAAGAGGTTTTACTCGTAGTTACTCGACCAAAAAGGTCGATTCGTTGAGTTGTTATCGAGAAAATTACTCATGCGAATTTTACTCGAGTAATTTTACTCGATTACTCACTCGCGAGGAGCGCACTCTAATTACCGGCGTACGATATCGATAAAGTGATGAAGCCAAAGTCTCAGCAAGTGTTTATACCATTTAGTCTCTAAAAATGCTTGACAATGACAATGAAAGATATGGCTTTGACAAAATGTTGGCTTTGTCAAGCTAATGTCTCATCTGTCTAATCTAAAAACCTAATGTCAAGCTGCTTCATTCGGATCACATCATCAAGCGTATTTGAGCGGTTGAGCTAAGTTTAGAAACATAAATTTCACTCTCAATTTTCTCTGTTCTTTACCAATGTCTGTCCAATTACCCGATCTTTAATCCATTGTGTTTTTCTTGATCTCAATCCCAAAAAAAACAATGCTTATTTCCTTCTTAAGCATTTGCATGATAATTTGTTGCTTTATTAGAATGAGAGAGGCCTTTGTTAGAGTCAATTATCTTTCGGAGGGAAAACGTTTTCAAGCTAATCGCTTTTTTTGAGAAAAGGGATTCAGGAAAAAGAGATGAAAGGGGGAAAAGAGAAAGAGATGAAAGGGGGAAAAGAGATGAAGGGAAAAGGTTAAAAGGGTTCACCTTTTATCCTTTCACCCCTTGGGGTCTCACTCTTCCAGAAAAAAAAGAAAAAAAAAGCCTCGGGACTCCTCAAATGCAAATCGATTTCTGAATAGGAAAAGACTTTTCTTCTGAGGGAAAAAGGTCCATAGGTAGAAGAGAAAGTCGAGAACAACATTTAAAGACCTACAAAATTTTGAAGTTTCTTATTTTAGCTTTAAGAGACAGCTGATTTGTATGTTTAAATGAGAACTCGTCTGTAGGAAAATTCAAAGTACAGTACTGGACAATGAAATATCATATTTGAATAAACGATCGTCACTTTCGCGCGTCTGTAACTCCCTTGTATTTATCGTATTTCTAAATATTAATATTACCATTGTGTAGCCCTTGAAAAGAGCTTTCAGAAAATGAATAACACTAATAGTTTAAAATCAAAGTTTAAACTCACTCTAGTTCTAACGATTGGATTGCTTAAATACTATTTTAAATTATATCTGTCGTAGCCGTTTACGAAATTCAGCCGCTAACGAATGATTCGTAATCGGCTGAATTTCGTAAACGGCTACGACATATATAGTACTGGACAATGAAATATGATATTTGAACAAAACGATCGTCACTTTCGCGTGCCTGTAACTCCCTTGTCTTTGAGTTTAAACTATTAGTGTTATACATTTTCTGAAAGCTCTTTTCAAGGGCTACACAATGGTAATATTAATATTTAGAAATACGGTAAAGACAAGGGAGTTACAGACGTGCGAAAGTGACGATCGTTTTTCAAAGATGATATTTCATTGTCAAGTAGTGTATCTGTAAACGAATTAGATCTTATTGCCATGTTAAATCTGCCCTATATTTAATCTTTTTGTACCTGTGTTTCCCAACTGTAGTTTTACTGTACCATTTTTAGTTTTCTTTCTTTTTTTTTTGTGTGAAAGTATTGTAGCAATATTTTATATGCGGTTATGATTATCTGATTCGCTTCTATTCGCCCTTGAATAAAGCATATATATATATATATATATATGTTGTGTGGCGGCCCAGAAAGGGAAGGGTCTGTGGTCGACCCCGTCCGATCTGCCAAGTTGAGCAACGTCGGCGCGGGTTAGTCGTGGGTTCGACTCCCATGGGTTCCCCTCCGAGCGCCCCAGCCCGGCCATCGGAGTATCATCGGCTACGACAGCTACACTTCTGCCTCAGTAAATGTGGAAGCAGGTTGTGATCTGCGCTAAGTGCGAAGACAGATCAAAAAAAAAAAATATATATATGTTGTGTCCGATTTAGATTTCCGTCGGATTTAGATTGAACTTATCGCGGACGTCCGATTTAGATTACAGTCTATATAGGACGTCCGATTTAGATTCAATCTAAATCTTATATAGATTGAACAATAATATAAACATGCTTAATATATGTTCTTAAGCGTTTTCTGTAGTTTTCTGCATTTTTCAAAGGTCTTTTATTGATTACAGTCTATTATTTTTATTATTGTTCGATCTGTATCGAACGTCCGATATAGACTGTAATCTAAATCGGACGTCCGCGATAAGTTCAATCTAAATCGGACACAACATATATATATATATGTTGTGTCCGATTTAGATTTCCGTCCGATTTAGATTCAATCTAAATCGGACGTCCGATTTAGATTGAACTTATCGCGGACGTCCGATTTAGATTACAGTCTAATCGGACGTCCGATTTAGACTCAATCTAAATCGGACGTCTTATATAGATTGAACAATAATATAAACATGTTTAGTATATGTTCTTAAGCGTTTTCTGTAGTTTTCTGCATTTTTCAAAGGTCTGTTATTGTCTTTTTCTGAAAAGAAAACCCAACTATGAAATAATCAATAAAAGACCTTTGAAAATGCAGAAAACTACAGAAAACGCTTAAGAACATATACTAAACATGTTTATATTATTGTTCAATCTATATAAGATTTAGATTGAATCTAAATCGGACGTCCGATATAGACTGTAATCTAAATCGGACGTCCGCGATAAGTTCAATCTAAATCGGACGTCCGATTTAGATTGAATCTAAATCGGACGGAAATCTAAATCGGACACAACATATATATAACTTGGCTTTTGATGTTCTACGAGCTTTCTCAATCATCTTTAAGCCCTTTTTGGCTGGTTAACAAAAAGAGTTGACTAAATTAGTTGACTGAATTCTCAAGATCGTTTTTGAAAAGCTTAGAGTATGCTTTGTCAAATTTTCTTACATATCTAGTGCGTTTAAAAGCATGTGCAAAGCCAATTCGTATATTATTTTCAATATCTCAAATACTCAGCGTTCTCACGGGAGGGGAAAGCAACAAAAAACATCTGTTTTCATTGAAAAAATGATAGCAGAAAGCAGAAAATGGAAGCTACTGAATGAAACAAAAAAAAAAAAGCTTTTTCCTATAGATTATAAAAAGAGAAAAGAACGAAAGAGTTCAAATGAATGTTTTCCGAAAATGCTAAAGGATTTGTGTACAAAAATACATTTTTTCACATTTTTAGTCTAAACTATTTTATTATTATTGATCTTTTTGAAGCTTATTGATCTTAGCTTCTAAATTGAACATGTTTTAGATATCTTTTGAAACTTTATGATCTCTAAGATTCATTTTAGAGAATTCTACTTTAATTCTACTTTAATTCTACTTTAACTGTACCTTAACTCTACTTTAACTGTACTTTAATTGTACATTCAATTGTACATTTAATTGTACATTTAATTGTACATTTAATTGTACATTTAATTCTACTTTAACTGTACGTTAACTCTACTTTAACTGTACTTTAATTGTACATTCAATTGTACATTTAATTGTACATTTAATTGTACATTTATTTCTACTTTAACTGTACTTTAACTGTACTTTAATTATACTTTAATTGTACTTTAATTATACTTTAATTATACTTTAATTGTACTTTAATTATACTTTAATTGTACTTTAATTGTACTTTAACTGTACTTTAACTGTACTTTAACTGTACTTTAATTATACTTTAATTGTACTTTAACTGTACTTTAATTGTACTTTATATTAGATCTCAAATCAAGCCCTTTCTTTATTCTTCATTTTCTTTTGAACAACTATTTAAAAAGACAAAAAACAAAGATTAAGTGTGCTAGAAAGGATGTGTTTCCATTTTTAAATAATCAATCTCTTTTATTAGGTAGGAGTTCAGGTTTTGCACTAGTTTTGATCAGAACAATTGATCCTTTAAGCCAAAAGTCCTAACCTAGCACTGAAAAGTCCTGGTTCACCAGTCCATTTCCAGTC